TCTAGACGTCTACATCAACGACGGATTCCTTTGTTTACACCTCCCGAACAATGGATCGGACATACGCCCATCTGGATGTCCGCGTAGGGACAAAGAAAAGAACGACAGCAAGACGCGCCCCATCGGGCCCGAAATTCGGGTACCCTGTGAAACAGGTAGACGTGTGTAAGCGACGAACGCTTACCGATGGAAAGAGCGAAAGGAGAGAACAAAGGCGCTTAGGTGAAACACGACCGGCGCTGGCCGATCTGGAATCTCGGCCTAGGGGGGGGATCCTGTTATAGTATCCGCGGTACGCGTACCAAACAACCGCGTCGGGTAGTTTTTCAGGGACCTCCGATGGGAGTTCCGTACGGAGTATATCTAGAACACCCCCTATGTGTTTACTGTAATGTAGTACCAGTTGTACTACATCCGTTATTACATTCCTTACCTTACCCTTACCTTCTAGTCCCGTGTGATACTATTCCAGGCTTGCAGGCAAGCCTAATAGAATAACGGATCCACAAACTTCACCCCGACTAGAAACCCCCACGCGATGAACACTTCGTTCACCCAGTGTTTTCGTCCCGATGGGACCCCCCAAGGAATCCCGCCAGGGATCTCGCCTGTGCTGTCCGAGGATGGACAAAGCCAGCAGGTAGATGGGGAGGGAAGGTTTTTGTGGTTGCGAACGACGGACTCCGGAACGGAGACCACCGCAAACGAATTGCGGGTGTTTGCCAACCAGCAACCTCAAACGCAGGCCACGCCGGCCAACAACATGGGAACGGTCCCCCCACGAGTGGTACCAACTCCTCCTGCGAGCAACCCCGCAGCCACCTTGGCTCCCACTGCAGCCGCACCGGACTTGAATGCCCTCTTTCAAATGATGGCCAACATGCAAATCCAGGTGCTGGAGTTGGCGAGGGCAAGGGAGTCGCGACCGTCTTTGGACGAGGCCCGGGCCAAACTGTTTAAGTTTGGAACGCCGGACAAGTTCGATGGCAGCAAGAAGGAGAAAGTCCGAGGGTTCCTGGACCAATGCAACCGGGAATTCGAGGTCAAACCGGGCGTCTACGTTACTGACCGCCTGAAGATGATGTACGCGGAGTCGTACATGGAAGGACAGGCCGCCGACTGGGCTCGGGAGTACTCCACGGGCCGAGTGCCGGCTACCTGGGAGCAGTTCGAGCAGCTGCTCATCTCCACTTATGGTGGAGGACGGAACATCGTCGCAACCGAGACCGAATTATTTCACTTAAGGCAGGGTACCAAGAGCCTCGCGACGTACATCACCAAGTACAACGACCTCTTGGCCCTCCTCCCCAACGTCTGCGAATATTCTCGCCGGATGCTGTTCAGGGCCAACCTGAGCCAAGCGTTCAAAGACGCCATCGTCCCTATGCCGGGCCAAGAAACAATGACCCTGGCGGAATTCCAAATGGAATGCCGCCGGTACGAAGATCAGGCGGACGCCAGAAGGCATATGTTCTCGGGAAACCGCTACAACTCGGGCGGTAACCGACAAGCGAGTAACCACTCCGCTCCTCGTAACCCCGTTGTGGTCAATACCCCCGTTGCGACTCCTACCCCCGCCGCCAACACTTCCACCGCTGCTCCCATGGAACTCGATGCGGGCAGGATGAGGCGGAACGACCCATGCTACCGGTGCTTCCAGCACGGCCATGTAGCCGTCAACTGTCCCAACCAGAGGGTCCCTGCCCCTGCTTGGTTCAAGGGTAGGAACAACGGTCGGATGAATGTCTCTGGTGCCCGGGTTCAGCCCGTCGAGACCGTCCCGGAGGGAGTTTGGGAAGCCGAGCTCGCTAGGCAGAATGGAGAGCAGCCTTTGCTCTGGACCCCGGCTGATTAGACGTACGGTTGTGTTGTTATTGGCTCATCATTTGTTGTACCCCCACGGCAGGCCCGGCGGGGATGTTTTTATCACCATTCACTTTTTCAAACACTCGACTTCACAGTTACTACGAGAGATACACTCATCAAAGTATACGCCATCAAAAGGTAACGGTACAAGAAGTACAATACGAAACAAGTCCCTCGCGAGGAGTAAACGCACAAGTCCCTCGCGAGGAGTAAACGCACAAGTCCCTGGCGAGGAGTGAAACGCACAAGTCCCTCGCGAGGAGTAAACGCACGTAGAGAGAAGAAGATGAAGTCGGGGCTCTATTATGGTATATCAAAAGTACAAGAGAAAAAATACCCCGACGTAAAAACAATCCGGAGAATACAAACACGACGAAACTCCAAAAGACCCGGAACCCTCTACTCCTCGTCGTTCGAGGCATCGACAACCTTCTTCTCCTTCTTCTTCTTCTTCTGCTTCTTGCCGGAAGCGGGAGCGGGAGTCGGGGAAGGAGGGGGAGAGGGGGTGGGGGTGCGGAGAACGTCGTCGTCGTACTCAGCGCCCGCCGGACCCTCCATCGGCGCCGCGGGGACGGGCTCCCCGATGTCCTCGCCGTGGCCCTTGAAGAGGAACTCCCGGTAAGGCTCCTTTTGAGGCCACTCGTCGGCCTCGGGGATGGTGACGCTCCCATCGGGGTTGCGGGCGGCGTCGGGGTGGCTCTTGGCCCACTCGTCGTTGTGCTTCTGGATCTCCGCGTCCCGGTACGCTTGCCAGGAAGTGACGAGTCGGTTCTCCACCAAGCAGTCGGTCTTGTTGGAGAGTAAAGGGAGAACCTACGCAAGGTACAAACATCAGTTCCGAGAAGTACCTGCGTCGGGGATCCAAACCGGAACAGCAACTTACCATGCGATTCATGAGCCGCTGCAACTCGTCCCCGACGGCGATGGCGACCTCGTGAGGGACGTTGGGGATGGTCAGGACCTTGCACGCTGCCTCGTACCGGGTAACGACCCCGTAGTCTCTGTTGAAAACCGTCATGTAGGCGGACGGCAAAGGGGCGCACTTGAACTTGGTCCCGCGGCAACAGAAGCAGGAGCTCCCGCCGCTGGTGGACTTCCCGGCCTCCGGGACGGGGTGGCGGCAGACAAACATGCCGTCGAACTCCATGACGTTGTACCACCCCTTGCCGTCCTTGTCGGTGTACCCGGGGACGTCGTTCTCGGGGGAGAGGTGGAAGCGGTCCTCATAACCGAAGCAGTTAAGACAACACCACTTCCAACCACCACGGAAATTGGCCTGCGTACGTACAATCGGAATCAGTAAACCGTGCTCCCGATGGAGGGAGTAGAAAAGAGAAAAGAACATACCATCATACCATCGAACGAGGCAACGTTCCCTTCCCGCCACGCCTTCGCAAGAGGCCCGATGAAGGCGTTACCGGCCTTGAAGTGGGTACGACCCAACTCCTCTTGGTGGATTTGTTCCTCTAGAAGATAGCCCGATATGTTATCCCCGACGGACTCAGCAAAAACGAACACCACTCACTCTCGCCGGCGGACTGAGTTTTGGGGTAAACAAAACCCCGACGCCGGTCTTGCTCGAGCTTCGCGGTCGACCGCGAAGGCGAAGGTTGATACGGCTTGTCGCCGTGGTTCTTGGGGGTCTTGGGAGTGGCAGGCATATCGAAGAGGGCGTAAAGGTAGACGGGGGGTAGATAGCGTAGGAAGGGTAAAGTGAGTAGTAGCGAAGGACACCTACGACTTACTCCCCACCTCGCGGACGCGAACGCGAACCCCTTTATACCCTACATCCTTGCTGCTGCGGCGGCCCGAACAAAAGAAAGGTTGCGATACTAGCAACGATAGCGACTAGAACAATACTATTGCTATGGATATGGGCATATGGAGAGAGGATATCGTACAACAACAGCAGTCTAGACGTCTACATCAACGACGGATTCCTTTGTTTACACCTCCCGAACAATGGATCGGACATACGCCCATCTGGATGTCCGCGTAGGGACAAAGAAAAGAACGACAGCAAGACGCGCCCCATCGGGCCCGAAATTCGGGTACCCTGTGAAACAGGTAGACGTGTGTAAGCGACGAACGCTTACCGATGGAAAGAGCGAAAGGAGAGAACAAAGGCGCTTAGGTGAAACACGACCGGCGCTGGCCGATCTGGAATCTCGGCCTAGGGGGGGGATCCTGTTATAGTATCCGCGGTACGCGTACCAAACAACCGCGTCGGGTAGTTTTTCAGGGACCTCCGATGGGAGTTCCGTACGGAGTATATCTAGAACACCCCCTATGTGTTTACTGTAATGTAGTACCAGTTGTACTACATCCGTTATTACATTCCTTACCTTACCCTTACCTTCTAGTCCCGTGTGATACTATTCCAGGCTTGCAGGCAAGCCTAATAGAAAGTATCTAGATTTGACAGTATTGATCAAGTCGTCGGGCGAACCGGCCGGCCCCACTTTGCAGGCACTTACTTACTGATACTGGCCTGCGAAATCTGCCAGTATTGCTGGGTCAGACGGTTTGAAGCAGCCTTGCGTAACATCCATAAGGTCATCGCAACTTTCGCTTGTAAACTGACGTTGTCGGTGGGTTTGATGCGATGTAGTTGGTCGATATCGTCGGTAATTCGTTCAAGACAACTGGCGGACATTCCTATAGCGTTGTGGCAAGCCATAGGGTGTCCGCCGACCGTCTGAAGAAGGATACGAGCCGTCGAGAAGGGACTATGTATAATAGGTCGAAGGGGGGGCCTCTCGAGGATACCTCGAACGATTTGAACGTAGGCTTGCGAAGCGGCCGTCAATAAGTCTACGGTGGCGGAATTAGCGTCTATGAGGTACTGGTCCTCGTCCTCGTCATCTGTGCTGTAGTTCATAGCTATATTTATAGTTCGTTCATGAGATATTACAGCTACAAGACGTCGACCTAGGTATGTCGACGTTCTTGTCGACCTCCGATGTCGACTTCGAATATCGGTCGAGAAGTCTCAGCTCAAAGTAGACATATCTTCATCGCGAACGGTCTACTTTCGAGTGCTTGCGTAATTTTGTTTGCTGCCGAATTTTGTTAACAATTCACTAGCAAAACGTGGCACTCTGAAAAATAGACGTATAATAGTCGAATGATCGCGAACGCAACCCAAGCTACTTCTCCCAGAACGTTATACCTCACCATCTCACAGTCACGTGATCTCTGCAAAAGTGACGTCAACTTTGTCAACAAAGGTCAAGTCGCAAGTCGACGCTCCGGCGGCTCAGAGCGTTGGTGACTTGGTGAGACCGATTAGACCTCTTTGGCCTCGCCCGCGATTCTGAAAGGGTAGCATAACAAGCCATGGATCGAGCTCTCTCATTACCCCAATCTTTTGCGGTCAATGTCAGGCCACAAGGGCAAGCGAAAGCGAACGGACGATCCGCCGGAAGAGGCCGAGAGACCCTTGGACCTCGAGGCTGTTCTGCAGAAATCGATCGAAAGAGCCGCCACCTTGATTGAACAGAGCAGCAGGATCTTACTGCTTGTGGGAGCTGGTATCTCTACATCAGCCGGAATTCCAGGCAAGGCATCGTGTTTCATACTACCCTTCCTCCCAGGCTAATTGCTCCCTTCACGTCCTCAGACTTTAGGTCTTCAGATGGGTTATACGCGGCTATGAAAGACGGACGTCTAGAGGAGGAGGGACGGGTCTCGGAGACGCCGGTCTCGGATGCCACGCTGCATTCTCCCACTCCTTCGCTGAGGTCTAGGCGAGCAGCAGCAGTGCAGGGCGAACGGTTGAGACAAAGACTTCAAGAGACCGAGGATACTTTCAAGATCGCAGATCCCCAAGAGTTAGCGAGTATAGAGGTCTTTCGCGAACATCCGGAAGTCTTCTAGTAGGTTCATGATTCGCGTAGCACATGGTTTGAGCTTATATTTCTCGATTGTCGATCTTAGCTCGTTCGCCAAGCAGGTCCTTCCCGGGGATCGTACACCGACCGAGACACATCGCTGGATCAGATCTCTTGAACTGAACGGCAAAGTCAGTGCATCACGTTTACACTTCAGCGGTGGTTCGCTTACCGGCGGGTACGACCCTTCTCACAGATGCTGCGCTTGTATACTCAAGTAAGGATTCATGATCCCGGAATAGATGAACGTCGGCTAATGTGCGGCTGAGACAGAACATCGATCAGCTAGAAACTGCCGCCGGCATCGAGGCGGTGATACCTTGCCACGGTGAGTGATTTCATGGCCCAAATTGGCAGAAGCTCGTCATTCTTATCAGTCGGGCGAAGGCACATTCGCCACTGCGTCCTGTATCAGATGCCAGCGCAAAGTCCCGGGAGCGAATATTGCTGAAGAGATACAGAAGGGCACGGTCCCGTACTGTCAGGTTTGTAAGCGATCCAAATCTAAGCCGATAAGGGGTTACTTGCCATATATGAAAGTAAGTGTGGGTGGAATCACGCGGACATGCCTAGTCCGATCTAGAAAGTTGATTTCTTGCGCTTAGCCCGATATCACATTTTTTGGAGAACCCGTCGACACGAGAGTGGAGAAACAGCTCAAGTTGTGGGCATCTGCTAGTGAAACAGGGTACGATCAAGAGATAGGCTGATTCGCTACGTCCTCAACGTGCTCACAGAGACCGCCTACAAGCGGATTTGCTCATCGTAATCGGCACCAGCCTCTTGATTCCTCCGATTCGGGATATTCCAAGTTAGTCCGGCGACAGAAACGCCCGACTCGCCTATATGAGCTGATAGAACTTGGTATCGGCAGAATTGTTCAAGCATATACCTCAAATACTTATCAATCGTAACAAACCTAAAGCGATCGATCCAGAGGCATGTGTATATCATATTCACGGTTCACATCATCAGAATGGCTGATATTCCCGCCCCACAGATTCTGCTTCTGGGAAATTGCGACGATATCATCCACCGGTTGGAAGAATATATGCAACACAAAGGGAAAGCTGGTGTAACCCGATGATCCAGTCGGATTGACTATTTCTTGTTCTTATGGATGAAAGCGATGTATCGTTCCATTTCTGTACCGTCCCGTAGATGAATAGCTCGAGAGACGCCCATAGGTCTGTTCAACAGCGAGAAACGCAATGCCTACTGTAAGACTCCCGCCTGCAGATCGTTTGAATTACGAGGTATGGCACCGGTATACACCCGGATTTATATCCGGAGATGGCCGAGCTCTCGGATCGATGGATTCTCAAAATGCAAAACGTAAAGCTTCGAGCAGATACTTCGCTTGTTGAGCTCTTCGTCGCTGAGTCAAGGAATACTTTGCGAGAACGGTTATCGACTTCAAAGAACTTAGAATGGCCGACAAATATGACAACATGTCGATGGAGGAGCGAGCCGAGTTTGACAAGCAGGCAAAGCAGAAGGAGGAGGAGGAACAAGCGAGTACGTCTCGGATTAACGCTAACAGGATGTCACATGAGCTGATCACGGTCGTAATCCCGTCAGCTCTTCCTTACAAGTGGAACCAAGACTTGACCTCTGTCTCGGTCACGGTGCCCCTGCCTGCCGGTACGAGAGCCAAGAACCTAAACGTCGAGATCAAGAAGACCAAGCTCAAGGTGAAGTGTCATTTACTATGCTCCTCGACCTAAGCGTTACAGGGGTAACGAAAGTCACTCATATCGAAGCTTCCAACACCAGGTTCAAGTGAAAGGGTCAGACAAGCCGATCCTCGAGGGTACCCTATTTTCTGATATCAAGGAGGAGGACTCCACTTGGAGCATCGGTAAGCTTCCTTTTCGGCATTTACCGCTCGCCGTCATCGTTGACGAGCTTTTATCGAGTAGATGATGGTATCTTGTCCATCGAGCTGGAGAAGCTCTCGTAAGCCTGAAGTCGAGATTGATGATAACAGTGTGACTGAGTAGCCGTATTCTATCTCAGTGGAAGGACAACGATGGGAGCATGGTGGCCTCACGTCTTGACTCATCACCCCAAAATCGACACGACCAAGATCACGCCGTCCAATTCAAAACTCAGCGATCTAGATGGTGAGACTCGCGGGATGGTCGAAAAGATGATGGTGAGTCTGGGAGTTGGTGAAAGCTTTCATGCAGGTACGACGATTTTGACAAACCGGTCGTATACCACAGTTTGATAATCAGCAAAAGGTATGTTTAAGATGTGTAAGAAATCAACAGCTCGAGATCTGCGGCTGATCGTGATGCCCGCTATAGCAAATGGGTAAACCCACTTCTGACGAGAGAAAGAAGATAGAAACGCTCGAGAAATTCAAGGCTTCTCATCCTGAGATGGACTTCTCCAACGCCAAAGTCAACTGATCAAGAGAGATCGACCCCGACTGTAGAGGTATCATGGGATTCAATCTGTCGTACGCAAGTTGATTGTTCTACATGGTCTGAGCTCTCTGCAGTCAGGTGAGAATCGAGAATGTCGTCAAGGCCTGATTACCGGTGATGCTCGGTGGAGACTGTCCGAATGAGGCCGAAGATCGTGTTGTGAGGTGAATAGCAAGTCGTAAGGGTCAATCGCGAGTATGGGTCGTCGGTTCGTTCAATGTCGGGCCTGGTCGAAGGCCGCTGGAAGTCTACTTGCGCATACGCCAGATGGACTGCACAGCGATTCGTTTGGCCTGGTTGTCAACCGGGCAGAAAGGGGTTTAGTGTCGAAGCAGAGTTGGTGAGATATGACAAAGACAGCTCACCTGCTCGAGACTGATCGCATCATTCGTAAAGGCAAGTGTGTCCGGTTTGGCTTCGCCGTCATCAGCGGGCGTATCGTTGGCTCGCTTGGAGGGCAAGTCGTCGTCCGAGTCGGCGTCCGAATCAACCATCCGAGCCGGCTTGGAACCGGATTCCCGCAGTCCCGTAAAGGTTGTCTTGCTCTTCATGTCGGTAGGCAAGCTGGAGAGCAACCCTCCCCCGGTAGACAAACGCTTCGCACCACCATCGTACGGTTTGAAGGTAGCAGAGATCTCACCAGCCTTGGGTTTCATGCCATCCTCATCTGAACCCGAGTCCGAGGTAAGACTGTCGCTGTCGTCGTCATCGTCCATGCCAGAAGGGACAAACTTTGCCCTGCCATCGACAATCTTGCGAACTGCTGGAGGAGATGCGGGACTCATGGTCGCGCTCTTCTTTCGTCGAGGCAGTGGTGGCGCCCAATCGCGAGAGTATCCGCCATAGCCTCGACCGTGTCGTCCCTTGTACTTGTCGTATTCGTCCGTGAAGCGGTTTCCCAAGAACTGTTGCGAAGTACAATTTTAGCATCAATATGATTGTACAGAACACCCGAAGAAGAGCAGAAGAGATTCCCTACCTTTCTGATGTGCTCTTTCCCGACTTGCGCGTTCTCGGCGTTTACCCATGTCTTGACGTTCTCGAGATAGGCCGGGGTTTCGTTGTAGATGTTCGCGATCTGAATTTTCTTGGTAACTCGACCTTGCATGGACAACGCGTTTTGCAGCTCACTATTGGTAATGAAATCTCGTCAACCCGGTGTCATGTCCGGGGCTCGTATCTTTCTCTGGTCACTTACCGAGCCATCGAATCGATACTTTCTTCATCAGTCTTTCCCGCCATTCGGGAGTAAATCTCTTCTCCGACCTCTATGATCGATGTTGAGCCTAGCATTAGCCTTACGGTCATATCAGGTAGTATGCTGTCAGTGAGACGGACCCTTGATGAGCTGCTCCATCTCCATGTTCTCCAAGACACTCCCGATGATCGCGTTGGTCAATAGATCCGCCGACATGAGAGGCAGCATGAGTCCAGAGGTAATGGTCGCGATGGCTTGATAATACTCGACGGCCCGCTATTGTGAATCAGGAAAAGTTAGCTTGTGATGCGTTCGTGGCAGGATCCTTAAACTCACGTCGTAGTGAGAGAGGTTGGATTCGCAAGCCACAATAAACTAAACAGGCGGCATACCCTAATGTGTTAGCGAGAGCGGGAAGAGGGCCTCGGTGCAAAAGACGAGCTCACACAACTGATGCCTCGAGCAGCCATGTTCCTGGCCAATACCAACCCATCCCATCCACCTGGTTCTCCTTGAGGGAATCCGTCGCCCCGCTCACCGATCCCATGAGGGGGAGCATCCGTGATGATGACGATCATCTTTGCCGCATTCCTCCTCCATTGCAAGTCCCCCAAAGCTACTGCCATACCCGCGATAACAGCTTCGGGACCATCTCCACCGCCTCCGGCTCGGAGATTGTCGAGAAAGTGGTGAAGCTCGGTGGTGTTGGAGGTGAACGGCAGTGTCTTGGTAACGTAGGAGTTGTCTTGACCCGGGTGATCACGGTAGGCCACAATCTGATCGCATCGAGCGGGACGTTAGGTTTGAGCGACCTCTATAGCACGGCTACCCCGCAGCCTTGTTTCAACTCACACCGACTCTGAGATCATCCTCGGACTCCATCTTTTCGTGAGCAACAATGGTGTTGCAGATAGTCTCGATGTTTCGCGTAGCTGTCGTGATAGCCAAGTGACAGGTTGGTTGCTAAAAATTTCCAGTCGACGGGACTGACTCGAACTCACCGCTGGCGATGTAGCTTCCCATACTTCCAGTAGCATCTTGTATGAATACAAGATCGCTGTAGATAGGCAGAGACGATCAGGTCGATGACGAGCACAGGAGCCAAGGGTACTAAGATCGACTCACATCATCTTCCTGCCAGGAGTACCATCCTCGATCACGCTCCAACCTTCATCTCCATGCGGCAACCCTCCATCGACCGAGATCCTCGAAGGCTTGCCGACCCCATACCTTTCCGCCTTCCTGTACGACTTCTGAACGTTCAATTCCACCTGCGTCATACCGCCCTTGATCCAATCGATTTCCTGTAGTCGGTCTGCCTGTTCCGTTTCGGTCTCGTGTGTGGGCACGCGAGAGAGTTCGACGAGCGTCTTTTCACGCCAGGCTGTCTTGGGAGAAGGAGGGAGCTGGTAGCGGGGAGCGGTTTCTCCGTCTATAAGGAGGTCCGACCAGCGTGTATGACGAGCGACGTTATTGGTAATGACGGTGGAGGTGATGATGATGTCGGGAGTGGTGATGGAATACAGTGTCGATCGAAGGTGTGCGTGTGTCGTAGTGTCGGTTCGTGATTGGGTTGAGCGGGAAGCGTCAAGAGATCCAAGAGACAAAATGAAAGCAGGATGATGTTCAGCGAATAGGTTCTCAACCCGAAAGAAGGACGAAGAGAGCTTGCCTTCATCCATTCCGTCCCACATGTTGGCTGCTTATATACGAGTTTGAGGTGTTGATGCGAATGATAGGAGGAATTGCCGGGATGCCTCGTGGTTGCTTTTGTCTTGACAAAAATCGCAGTCGAAGCGAGTCGCTATCGTCGCTATTGTCGCCGTGTGACAAGATTGAGAGATGAGAGAGCTGATACACGATCTCCCGTTCACTTTTGTCCGACTAGCCGAACGTGATCAAAAGATCGAAAGGCAAGTTTGTGGACGTGGGATCACGGTAGTGCCAATACCAGGTCACTCGCTACTAGCTACTCGACGAGAGTTCGCGCAGCTGTCTTGTACTTTCGTCGAGGGCAAAAAAGAGACCCGTGAAGGGAGGAGAAGGAAGGATTGATGTGTGCTGGTGATCTGGTGATTATGCTGGTGGATTGATGGATGAATTGATGGGTGTTTCCTTGATCGCTCGATCAAAAGTAACGAATTCCGAGGGGCTGATTCCTCATCGGTCCCCGGCCTCAGCCACAACACCGTCATCTCCCAAAGTCACGTGATTGCTCCGTACGTCATCGAACAATAGGCGACCGGCAAACTGTTTCAACCTCATGCAAATCACACTCAGGGGTTCGTTTGCTCTTCGGTGTGTGCAAATTCGCCGTATCTTTTTTGTTCTGCATGCTGTATGCTGTGCGCTATGCTTTTGTGGCACATTTGCGACCTAACCTGGAACCGGTCGAAGCATATATACATCGCCGTGGGATTCCAAAACACATGTATGCTGCAAATTGGTCACAACCCCCTGATACGATATGCGCAATTGTAGACCCAGAATTCTTATGTCGTGTGCGAGACATGACTATCATCACTGGAGTAGGCCATTAGTATCGATGTTGTGTAGAAGCGAGGCTTGGCCTGGTTTTGGCAAGGCCATTGACAAGGCGTCAAAAACGCGGCCCAAATGCTCTTTGGATAGTTATTGACTTGTTTGTACTTTCGATGATACAGTTCACTTCCAACCAAATGCTAGCCCTTCGTCTTGTATTGCGAGTCTTATTCGATTATCGTTCAATCAATACTTTACTTGTTGACGGGAGCGCCGTACTGACGATGGGGAAAGGGGGCACGATGACACGTAAGCCACCGGGATCGGGAAATTGCAGCCTTAGCGACTGCTCACCTTGTACTTGGCATCGTGAGCCTGCCCGTTCTTCTCGTCGTGAGATTGGTCCAAGACGTTCGAGCCCTGAGAGTATCGAAAACCACTCGATTAGCACCTATTCTTGCCTTGAAACCCTTGTTGTCCAGACCAAGCTCGAGCTTACGTGGACGGGAGCGTCTTTCATGAGCTCGTCGTTGACATTCTCGATGGGCTTCTTGTCAGCCGATGGGGTCGAGGTGGTCTCGGTCTTCTTGAAGCCCTCTGCGATCACCAAGCCAGGATGTCAGCACCATGCTCGAGAAGGGAGAGCTCGAAGGAAAGGAACAGATGCTCACGGTCGTTGACCGAAGGGTCCTGAGGGTCGATAGCGTTTCCGGCAGCCATTTTGAGTAGAGTTCGTTAAGATGACAGTGATATGGTGATTCGAGTTTGTAAAGAGTCAAAGCTGGGATGGGGAAATGTTCATCGGTTACGAAATCCCTTTACTCTCTCTTATACCTCCCATGGGGCAAACTCTGGATCGCACCATCGAGAGAGAGATCGAGAAATTGAGAAAGTGACGTCTCGGTCGCGCTTGCGATGGCCCACGCTGCTGCGCTACCAGCTAACCGGCGATTCAGAGGGACGACGAATCCATGACGTCAGCATCGGAACTCTGCACCCGAGGCATATATAATATATACTCCTTGTCACTTGCACACTTGCACTTGCTCGATCCGATCCGACATGGGATTCTCTCATATAGCTCATATCGATATACAACTGCCAAATCCCATCTCTATCCGACCTCACTTAAGCCTTATATACATACATCTATTTATCTAGAATGGCTCAGAACCACTCCAAATGTAAGCCTTGCCGAAGTGTGTCGGCCGACCGATCGCAGCGGGCTGACCTGTACACAATCTCACCTCCTACAGCCGACACCCTGGCCCACGCCACCCCCTCTTTGGACCAGAGGAACGCTTCGGAGACCCACTCTACCAAGGAACAGAAGAACTCGTTCTCGGCAGAGGTCCAAGAGCAGATGCAGAGGGACCAGTGTGAGTGGCATGACAGGCCAAGGTTGAAAATTCGAACGGTGGCTGATCGCACAACGTCTGTGACCTTGTAGACCCTGATGCCCCCACGAGCGTCCAGGAGGCCAACTCCAACACCACCTCCAATGCTGAGCAGTCCCGTGGCAAGACCGTTGACGATCAGCTCGACGCCGAGGATGCGGCCGAGGTTGCCAAGAAAGACCAGGCCAAAGCTCAGTCCGCTGCTGCTCACGGAAAGGACGTCAACTAGACTCGGACCATAACGGTACGACTGGGTTGTCAAGCGACCAAGCGATGGATACAACCAAAGTAAATGACGAACAAAGGGGAAACAGCCCGCGTCCTCATGAAAGCAATCAACAGTCTGAAATGTGCAGATTACCCTATTTGTACAAGCGATAACATAAAGTAGTCAGCATACAAAGCAGAGACCGACGACATTTGACACTTCTCTACTCCAAGGGTAAAGATATCTGCATCGTCGTGCATTTAATAATGGCTGCGAGCTGCTAGCTAGTGACGCTAGCAGGCTCAAGAATACCTCCGGCCTTACCCTTCGGAGGCAAAGGCGAGCTCGGTGATCGCGGTCGCTTCTGCCTCTGATCACGATCAAGATCAACCTTTCTTCATCCTTGTATAGTACAACCTCCACGGTCTTAAGCCCTATCGACGGTCTATTCTGTGCGAGAAACGATCTAGAAGACTGCTGATCACTTCTAGAGAGTGAGCTCGGCCAGACATCCAGGATGGATGCGACAGAACACTTCGAAGATGCTGCAGCGTGGCTATCAAGTACGCCAGCAGCAGCCAACCTTTCCAACGATAGCAAGCTGGAGGTTGGTAAACACCCCATACAGGTTCTAGCGATCCTGGCTGATGATCTGATGACATGGTTTTCACTCGCAGATCTACGGCTTGTACAAGGTCGCGACTGTTGGGCCAGAACCGTACGTTGGGCTTTGATTCTGCTCTGCCGCTTTATGAGCGCTCAATCATGCACCAGCCGTTGATTGGGACAGTGACTGTCCTGCACCATCATTTTTCTCGCTACCGGCCACAAAGGCGAAATGGAATGCCTGGAAGGCCCAGGGCGAGAAGTACGGCGAAGATGCCCAAGGTGCAAAGGAGAAATATATCGAGATCTCGGAAGAGATCGGGTATCAGGTTGGCAAGACGAGCAAGGGTGGAGTGGGAGGGGTGGTAGTCAGCTCCATGAGCAGAACCGACATGGATTCGGAAGAAGAGTAAGTTCTGGGAGATTTTCACTGTGGGATCCATGCGGCACTCGAGTGCAAGCTGACATGTGGCGCTCTTCCCTCAAGATTACATGAGCCTGTACACGCTAGGGCGATGGATGGAGACATACAGGCACTGACAGACATCCTGAAATCGGACGGAGACCTGATCAATAGTCAAGACGAATTTGTGAGCACCGGGAAGTTGTCCCTTCCTTCGAAACCGTGTTGATTCGAAGTGTGCACCATATTCCTCCTTCAGGGTATGAGCCCTTTGCATTATGCAGCGGACCGTGGCCACGTGGACACAGTACGGATGTTGCTGGACAAGGGGGCGGACAGGAGTCTACAAGTCTGTCGTTCCGGGTTTCGTTATCCTGTATGCACTCATGCTGAGACTGGATTCGCCATTTGCATTCTCAGGATAGCGAAGGGCTTACGCCTTTTCAGCTGGCCGAACCTATGCAGAACGAAAGAGTCTTAAATCTCCTTCGACCTTGAGACAGCCATATAGATTTCTGGTTCTAAATGTTTCGTTCTTGACTACTACTATGACTACTACTATAATCATTAATCATGGATATTGTTACATCCACGAGCCGGTATCTCGGGATGAATATTCCGGCTTTGACATTTCAGCATTAACCCTGGATGGATGTGGCGTGTTACTATACCCCCACTTCGAGCCTCTATAACCAGTATCGATGCTGTCTTGCTGATCCCGTTTAGAGACTCCATGTTTTTCGCGGACATAAACCTATTACCCGATGTCCGTGTTGTCAGGGTCGAGACGAGAGCCTTGGATATATCGCCGGGAGTCAAACAACTCTGCTGTTCATCTCCGATCTTCGCCTACGATCTGACACTGACAGACATATAGACACGAACTAGCTAGAGGCCATACATCATGCTCTGCTGCGGATTTGAACCCAGATTGGAGCTTCGCGAGGAAGAAGTACCGAAATACTCTGCAGCAGTCGCCGCCGAAAAACTCGACGTCGGATCAACGCTCATGCGTTACGACCCGTTAGCGATGATTCCACTCGAGAGCGAGAAGACCCAAAGATGCTCTCGATGCCTGAAGAAAGCAGTCAAGAACGTCGAACAGCTTTTATGCGGGCGTTGTAGATGCGAAAGCTATTGTTCCCATGCATGTCAGTCGTTATCAATAATCCTTCGTGCGTACATGGCATAGAAGCCGAATATAATACGTTGCAGGCAGGGACAGGGCTTGGGACGAGTATCACTCTAGAGCTTGCCAGCATCTACCTCCCATACACTACGCCTTTCAGGCCAAGCAAGTAACCTCGGCGGATGCTCATGCCGCTCTGCTGCTTCTCAAGCTCGTTGCTCTGCATTTCCAAGGGCAAGACTCGCCTGGCCGGACGCAACTACTTGTGGCCAAAGACTTGACGGTAGAGCAAATCCGTTCAGGTGGTTCATCTTCTACCCCATCGCGACTGAGGCTGCTGGTCGAACTCTTGCCGCGACCTCTATCCGAAGGCGAGCAATTTGTCCTGGACGTGATTGGTGCTCGGGTTACGGATCTACCGAAATCAGCCTTGGAGTTTCTGCTCTGCAGATTTTCGGGCAACAATCACGTTCTGTCGGACGAGAGACTCAGACCTATCGGTCACGCTGTACTGTGAGTGTCGAAACCCGACGATACCTTGAAAATCTTGTCTGATCGCTCTCGATTTCTTTCTGTATAGACCTGAAATCTCGCGGGCATGCAATCACTCCTGCTTGCCATCAGCAGTGATATGTACTTTGTGGAACCCATCTACAGCTCGTCTGGAGGTCGACGTCCGCACACTCAAACCGATAGCTATCGGCCAGGAGGTAGATCCCTCGAATCTTTGCTCGACATGCTAGAGATTCATTGACCCTTGATTACCATAGCTAACAATCCCATACCTGGACCCGATTTTGCCCCATCACGAACGACAAGGCTTTCTGCAAGAGCGCTACGGCTTCTCGTGCACGTGTTCTCTCTGTGTCGCTCAGACTCCGCTCGCTACGCCGACTAGTTGCCCTACGATACAGCCTCGTCCCGACGACCTGACTCGACTTTTCCAACGGGTTGTCGGTCAAGGTCTCTCAAACGAAGTCCAGGCGCTTAAAACGCTCATCGCTCAAACGCCACAGGATCTTTCTGGATGGCTAGAATTTCGGCACCCCCTGCCTAGCCGGATATCGCAAGAAGCGCTGCCAACTGGGTTGTCGAATTGCTTGAAGCCCGATGTGGTTCGAGAAGTCACCGCAATGTTCGAGGAGTCGGGTGCAGAAGCAGATTGGCGGACCGCCTGCATGGCTGGGATGCATGTGCTAGCTATATACGCGACGGTATACGGGTGGCGTCATCCTCTGGTTGGTGAGCCAAGACATGGGTTCCCGTGCAGACTACGGAGAATAACAGAGTTCATAAAAAATCTGTCAGGTCTGCATTTGCTAGAGTTGGCGAAGGTTGTTTACAACTCGCACATGGCCGCATCAGCTTCCAGTTCCACAGCCAGAGCTACTGAAATGTTATACCAAAGCACAGTGTATTCCCGGTGGGCTCAATCGAGCCTAGCGTGCTCGGTCGCAAGCGGTGGGGACCTAAGCGGTGACGATCATGGTGGACCGAGGGCTGAGATAGGTAGCCTTGATCGAGCTATTATCAATGAGTGGAAGTATGTCACCATGTAGCTGTTTAATCCCTCGCATTCCGCAGTCATGCTGTTGAGCAAAGATGTCGAGAGCGTTGTGACGGTACTTTATTCCACTTTGCGCGTGAATATTCGAGGCTTCCACATTTTACGCACGCTACCCCGAGCCATAAGCCGTTCCCGAACGTCACTAGGTAAGTTGTGATACAGATTGGGTTGATCGACGCCAACTGTCCCGTCCCGTCTGTGTAGCACAAACCGTCACATCTCCTCAAGATGTCGTCCGCTGCCCGTCGATCTGTTATTTTGCCGATGCTTCGACAAGCTCGCCCGTTTTCGTCATCCACGGCTCTTCGCCAGGCCGTCGTTGGTGTTGAGCGTGTTCCGGCCGGAACTGTAGGCACGATACCCGTCAGGCGACCAGTTGGAGGATTCCGTGGAGGGTGAGCGCAGATTCTGGCATGTTTCGATGGATAAACAACTTACATGCTCGCTTTTGTATACTCCACAGGCTTCTCGGTTTTGTGAGTCTACAATGAGATGAAACAATTGATCAGTCATTGACAGGAACTGACGGATTCGCTCATATAGTTCTTGGGATTCTCTATCGCCTCGGCATATGCGTCCTACTATCTGCTCCAGGAATACAAGTTTGCTAGTTCGCTGCTCCAATCTAGCGTAGAGGAGTTGCAGGAAAGCACGGCCAAGGTACGTCATACGAACCACATCGAGATCAACATACTGGTGAGTACCAGACCGGCTGACACCATGATACCCTTGCATGCCTATTGTCTGACAGATGACAAACCATCTGCAACGAATCCAAGCCGTGGAGAAGGAGGTCGCCCGATTGAACGGCGCTACGGCCGTCAAGGAGGAAGTTACCAAGCTGAGGAGCGAGATGAAGAAGCTCTACGTAAGCCACAGCTTCAATCACGAGCCGACAGAACCAAGATGGCTAACCCGTCTGAGACATAGGATGGCGTCCACGTCGAGAACCTCGACTTGCGAGCTCACGTTTGGGGCATCGAGCAGGACCTGCAGAGGTCGGCTAAGAACGGTAGGTGGCTTCAACCTGTTCACATATCACCCGTATAAGAGATGCTCAATGTGGTTTCGCTTGTCTCAAAAAGATGTATTGAAAATCTAGATTCGCAGTGACAGCCAGTCGAGTCCCAAGCGGAAACAGGGCGGATTTGCCGGGAGGTCTGGTTATCACAAAGTTACTTGACAAGAGAAACGCAAAATATGCATAGAACATATCGATAGATGACGTCCGCTTTCAATGACCCGACCCGCTCTTCAATGGCCGGCATGTCGGTCATTACTCAGGTTGGTCTCGACGTTGGCGCGACACTGCTTGAGACACCCACGATGGAGACGACCTCCCAGGGGTCAGGCATGCATTACTACAAGCGTTTCGGTAGCTGCTTTCGCATCGCAGCGGAGATTCGTAACGGCCCGTGTGGACGTAAGAAGGAAGGGCTCTGTAGGATCTGCCGGGGTATCGTATGCCCTATTCATGCCATAATGAGTCCAGCGCAACCCTTTCATGTTGTATGCGCATGAACTACGGTGGGCTTTTCGATGCAATTCGCCCAGTTAGCCGCAATCAAGCCTTGCGGGATAAGTCGAGCCAGAGCGCTACTGCGCAAAGCAATCTTGGCCATGTACGTGGTATGCTCATAAGTAGACGGAAGCCAACACGCCATATTATACAAGCTTTCGGGCCTTGACCTGCATCCAGATCCTAGAAAACATGCAACGTCTGATTAATGAATGGTTCGCCCCACGCATATGGCAGCGACTTGTTGCTCCTCACCTGTACATCTTCAACTGCCGTTTTCGGTTCACGAGCTGAGAGCGGGTCAAAGATCAGTTTCCTGTCAAGCTTCAGAGGCGGACAGCGGCAACGCACCATCCTTCGATCAACCCCAAGCTGGTCGATCCTGAATAATGGCATAGGAGGCAGACCCAGCTCTTCGTGAGGCGTCACAAACGGGTTCCCGATCGCCGACTCGGGCACGGCTTCCGTCTCGTCTTGTGTCAGCGTGGGGGTCTGATGGGTGGGGAAATCCGCTCGGGGCAGCGTGCCCATCTGAGGTCCTGGCGTTCTGAAACGTGTCGATAGCGGTTCGGCCGGGTTCGTAGTCGATGCTTTGGGACGGTCCATGGCCTCGACGGACAAGGCAAGCTTGGACATCCTGTCGGTCTCGACCTGTAGGTCATCGGGTTGATGTCGGAAGAGACGGCTAGGACGACTCGTTCCCGCACTCGACGATTCGGCGCCAAACAGCGGCGTCTCAGCTCGGCTCTGCGCCTCGTCGACTTCGGTTCCAGGAGTAGCGACCCCCGAATCTGTACCCTCCACCTCGACCTTGGGTTCTGCATCGTCCATGGGCGTATATGCGTCCTTGGCACCCGTAAGCATTTCGGACAGCTCGGCTATAAAGGCGTACAATATTGGTCACCATTAGTACAGTTAGAAGCACTCTGCGGTCGAAGGGTTTCAGGACGAAGTACTGACCGGCTTCGAAGAAATAGACCCTCGTTCCATCTCCGCGGATGTAGAAATTCTCCTCCAACATCCTGCCCTTCTTGATTCTCAGTTGAGCCAAGTCGTACCGTCCGTAGTCACGAATGAATAGCAGCCCGTTCGGTTTCAACATCTATCAACGGACGTCATAAAGTTGTTGCTCCAGATCAGCATGAGACGATATATCGGATAGTCAGACCCTATCTTGAGCGTGTACAGAATTGAGACCTACCTTATAAGCATTGGCAATAGCTCGTTGCCATTCCAGGGGATGCAACGCGGACATGACGAAGATCATGACGGCGATATCCACCGTACCTGGTTCGACGCCCTCGGGCAACGACGATGCAGCCGATGCCGGCGCCGATGACGATGATGACGGATCATGAGAGTCGGTGTTTCCATTGTCGTTGTGCTTTTGAATAGCTACGGGAGGGGTGGTAACGTCCCAGACCGAAGAATGCAGTCTTCCCTTGCCATGTTCCGGGACGGGATACATCGAGTTGGCCTGCCGAAAGGGACGTGGCAGAACGATGCATCTCTTATTGTTAGCCGCCCGATGGCGAGGAAATGCCCTGCTCGAACTGGACCAACCTTGACGAGCTCGACGGCGGAAGGAGCGTAATCGCACGCATGGACGACCAGGTCCGGGTTCTCGTTCTTGGCCAGGAGCGGGAAGACGGTATTGCCAGCTCCCTATGATGATGTTGAGCAGCGAGTACTTCGGATGATTAGTATCGAGCCGGATCAAGTCTCGCGCAGACGACAATGACCATAGACTCACGCAACCGATCTCGACGACCAACTTTGGACCCGCCTGCTCGTTCCAAACCCGATCCCACAGCCCGAAAGACAGCACGAGGTCTCGACATCAGCTATCCGAAGTGACGCTCGTGGTAACGTCATGCCTGTGTATGGGCGATCAAGACTCACGTCGGCTTTGGCACACTCGAGCAATTCCGGGAATTCTAGTCGCAGCCAGTTTCGATCTTTGAAAAAGCTGTAATCGTGCATCGGCAACGGCATGATGGATCAGAATGACGGTAGCGGACGCACGATGCAAAAAGGCACGAGTGCAGCTCGAATCAGCGTTGCAGGGCATGAGACTCGTCTGGGGGTATTGTGAGAGAACGCACTTGGCCTTGTTGATATCGTAGAACCTGTTCCAGTACATCGAAGGCTTTTTGTTGTAAGCCCCTATACATAGGGTCAAGGCCAAATTGTCAGCACGATCGATCACAGCGTATACTGAACCTCTCGGGTCTCGACGTACATTTCATCTCATCGCTAACTTTACCCTCTCTCTGAATTCCCAAAGTCTGTTTCGCTTGAGCCTCCCATTCCGGCGGTGGCACGACGTGATCCCAAGCGTTGAAGCTGTAGACGTCATCAGGGTTGGTGAGATATCGTGATCCAAAGGGAACTCGTTTCAGTCGGTCGATCTCTTCCGGGTCGAGGGTCGAGTTGAGGGGTGCTGTCTCGTCGGTAGAGGTCGTCGTAGGCTGCGAGGTGACGGGAGGAGCTAGATCCACTGGAGCGGCCGGAGCGGTGGCTGGTTGAACGACATGGTCGTCTGCTTTTGATTCGGACATTCCTGTCAAGATGCAAGGTCTCGCTGAGCCCAGTGAGCCAATGATGATGATGATGATGATGATGAGATGATATAAAGCCAAGTAAAGTCAAAACACGACATTAAGCCTCGAGCGACAGAGATGAACGATCCCTCGTGATTTTCAAAAGTAGAAAGAGTTGAACGGAAGCATTTTTCGGAAGCAAACTGTAATCGCTGCTGCCGTCATCCCGGATGGACTCCCCTCCCCTTGCTCCCTTTTCAAGCATTTCCGACCTGGCACATGCAACACATGCAACACCAATCATGGATGAGAATCAAAAAGTGTCGAGGAGCCTGACGAGATCTCTTTGATCTCTTTGCCAGCACCGACGAGATCTTGCGAGGGTCGTCCTGCACGACGTTCGCTGTTGATCGCCCCCGATCTGTCAATCAGATTACGCCCCGACGGCGCTCGCTCGGCCACCGCGGGAAAGCGAAGCGATCCTTTGCTCCCCCCCTGGCCCCTCTCTAGGTTATTTACTCCGAATAGAAAGGGCATCGTCGTCGATCCATTCACGATTCACAAACAACGTGCACACCCAACAAGTCCCGACACACTACTACTATCACCCTATCTCTAGATCTGCATACCTCTTGATAACGCCAGATTCCCTGATCTCGGTGACCAGGTATTGGTATGCAGAACCTCGATAACCCGGCGCGGCATTCGTCGACGTCGACGTTCGACGACCCGCAGAACCATCTGTTCAACGCACACCACCAATATCTCTATCATCCTGGTCAACTGAAACACTCCTCGCCCGGTCTCTCGGGCAAGATACAGATGGATCCGCACCTTCTCCAGAGCCCTTCCTCTTCGTCGAGCACGATGCACAGCTCATATCCAGGTTCGGGGGTCCAACTACCTCCTCTCTTTTACCCTGATTTACCTCCCATACCGATCCCCGCTTCGATCTCAAAGCCGGGCGCGATCGAGTCTGCAGCCAGATTCGGATCCGGTTCATCGTCGCCTTGTGACGGTCCACCTGGATCTCGCTCGGCAGGTCCTGGGCGTACATACCCTCATCCTCGACCGAATCCACAACATCTGCAGTCGACCCGCCCTCGACCGCGCACGCAACCAAGAGGAGCAGCGGGGCCGGGTCCCAAGACCATAGAGAATCGATCGAGGAACGTCGCCACATCGAATGGGTACGACGACCGAAGTCAAGAACATAATCAGGACACGGGGCAGGCAGGAAGTCGGGTGGGGGCAGTGTCACCTAGGAACACTTCGGGTACAGTCTTGGCAGACGGTCTGGACGTCCGGGAGGTACGCTCGCTCTCTCCTTCATCGCTGGACATCGCGGTTTGACGACTGACGAGATCGACCTTTGGGCCTTGCGAGTTCAGATTCTGCAAACGTATCGAGCTCTTCGGGACCGACTACCCGAGGTCTTTCCGCGATCGGTATCGAGCCCCGTGAATGGTGTCACGAAATTCAAACAGCAACCTCGGCGGCCGCATACATCGCCGCAGCCGCAGTCGTCAGCTTCACAAGATCACGACATTAGTAAAGCACCCGTTGGCGAGAGGGAAGAGTTGAGGGAAATACTGCGCCTCGCGATGGACGGTTTCAAGCTCGTCGGATCGGTCTTTGCGAACCAAACGGCGAAACACGCACGAGAAGGTAAACGACCCGCCACAGAGCCCAGCGGTCGAAGGCATGGATCAGGGATGGATCCGTACTCCCAGAAGCGGGAACAGGAAGTTGGATATGGAGTCGAATCTGACGGTCGGACGTACGTGTGGGAAGGTCAGACCGCGGCGTCGAGTCCGGATCTGAGCAGCGCTCGTGAGACGAGTGCGGGCAACGGTCTCTTTCCCCCTCCTGCGCCTTCGATGGGGATACCGTCTTCCTCGGCCTCATCAACGCCGGTGGCTCACGTCGACCTGACGCCCAAGCTGGGCTCGACCGATCCGCCAAACCGAGTCCCATCGGGATCGTCTTCGATAGCAACCAGGATGGATAGCGATATACCGCCGTCTTCCCCCTTGCCAGACGGTACTGGGGATCGATCCAACTCGGTGGGCAACAACAATGGTCAGGCAGTGGCCAATCCCGTTTGCCTAGGATGTGGCGCGACTGAGACGCCGGAATGGCGGAGAGGACCAATGGGACCGCGGACGCTCTGCAACGCTTGTGGCTTGGTGTTTGCCAAGCTGGTGAGTATCGGGTCCGTCTCAAATTTTTCGGGCCGAGCCGGCTCTCAATGTGTTTCTCTGTCTATCGATCATACAGGTTCGAAAACGAGCGAGGGAAGCTGCAAAGGCTCAAGCGATTGCCAAAGGCTTGTTACCGCCTAAAAAGGCGAGATCGAGCAAAAAGGCAAAAACGCCCATAGACGTGCAAAATGCCAAGGTCTGAAGGGTCCTTCGGGATGGACGGTTGTATACCGACAAATGGAAATAGTTGGACCTGTATGTCAGGACAAGTCTTTGGGATGTGATGATGAATAACCAGGAACAGGAAAGAGATGTACAAAACGACTTCGTGATCATGCATCGGCGGGTTTATAAGGCTGCATGAGCATCTGCAAAACGAGAAGCCAAAGGAGATTAGCTCCGACAGGACGATCCGGAAACTCGCGCCGAGACTCACTTTGCTGAACTCTTTGAGCTTCTCGACACCTCGTACCTCTTCAGTCAATAGAGGCAATTGCACAATGTGGAAGCCGTCGTCGTACAACTCGTGAGCCTCATTCAGGTACTTCTGCTGCATCTTGTGTCGAACTCCACATTGTTCGCAATTGGAATCTACGAGATAATGGCGCGGATTGAGCAAGGTCATATATTTGTTGCACGGGGACAGTATCACGCTCACCCTTCTTGGGGAAGATCAATTGGTTGACGACAATGTTGTGGGTGTCGATCTCGTATTGCGTCAGCTCCTGGATCAATCGCTCGGTCTCATAGAGCGACAAGAACTCGGAGATGCAGACACAGATAAAGGTGGTCTTGTCCTGTCCATCAAAAGAATCATGATTTAGCAAGCCTGTTATCAACGAAGCTGGTTGATCTGCGGCTTACAGGGTCCTTGAACTGAGTGTTAACCTCGGTAATGATGGCTCTCATTGAATCGAGTTTCGCAAACATGTCCTCTTGAGCACCACCACCTAACATTGAGCTCATCTGACAGTGCAAATGACCAGGATCGATGTCAGCCGCATAAATCAATGTAACCGACGAAGCGCACTCACTTGCTGAATCATGGGACCAAACTTGCCGCCCAATGCGCTGAGCTTGCCAAGGGCCTTCTCAAGGACTGACGGGAACGAGAGGAATCGAAGCGTGTGGCCGGTAGGAGCGGTATCGAAGACGATGCACGAGAACTCCATCGACTGAACGTGCCTGCAGCAAGCGAACAAGGATCAGACAAGTTCACCCGATATGGGTTCGTGATCCTAATTTACTTCATGATTTCGGCGAAACCCATAGCCTCATCGACACCGGGAATGGCGAATGCTAGGTCCTGCATCATGCCGCCCATGCCACCCCCTTGCGAGTCAGCTGCGAGGCAAATGAGAATCTGTTGAGCCTACGTGATGAATCGACATTGGAAGCCGTGTGACTGACAAGCCTCGACCATTTCCTGGATACTAGAGTTGGGGTCAATCTCCATGGCCGAAAGGTTTGTGAACCCATTCACCAAGGTGGCGTCTTTGCCAAACTTTTGACCGAAGGCATCGGACAAGTTATGAGCAGGATCCGTAGACTAAGAGGATGGATCCAGACGTAGCTGGATTAGTAGCGAAGCGACGGACTGGGTCAAGGTACGTGCTCGCTCACGATCAAGAGGACCGATTCGCGGCATGCTGCAAGCTGGACAGCCAAGGAGCACGAGGTGGTCGTTTTACCTATATAGATGGATGAGTAGCAGAAACATGATGCTTCACTCCAAGCTTGACATACCGACACCACCCTTTCCACCTGTTAAAGGGCATGACCTAAGGGTCAGTCACTCATGGTGCGATGCCGAATGCGCCATGTTTGCTCACCACAGAAGATCCACTTCAAGCTCTTCTGATCGAGCACGTTCTGCAAGGTTGGGTCTAAAGTTTCGAAATCGTCCATGTTGTATCGTTGAGGAGAAGCTAGATACGGCTTGCAATACGGCAATGACCAAGGATGAAGGAGATGATGAGGCTCATAGCGACGACCGAGGTCCCCCCCCTCCCCCCTCCTTCTGCGGGAGCAGACAGCACGCGTGTTAGCGATTACGCCAGAATATGCCAGTCTGTCCGATTTGTCTACATGCCACATGATCAGGCATTGTGCGTGATACCGATGAAATACAGTTGATACAGTAATGTCGAGCTTAGAGCCGTGTCGGACAAGGCATTGACGTAAAGATCGTAAGACATGGGTTTCAGAAGCTTTCTACATGATACAGATCAGACGGCCTTGTAATCGATGGCAGATTCGTGCTTCTTGGCTTCGGCGACCTTTCGGACAGCCTTCATCAGGTCGTCTTGTACGATGTAGTCTCTGCAGCAATCCCGATTGAACTTCAGCTTCTTCTCTCTTTCAGCACTGCGTGGTGATCACTGACCTGTCTTCCCTGATAGCAAACATTCCTGCTTCTGTGCACACATTTCGGAGATCCGCTCCATTGAACGTATCCGAGAGCTGCAAGCAGATGCCCCACCGGATTTTGATTAGCACATGGAAACGACTTGCAGAGGGAAGTCTTTTTTACTTACCTTTACGACAGCTTCGTAATCGAACTCTCCACTCTTGTTAATGCTAGCAGCGTGGATCTTCAGAATCTCCAGACGGCCCTGTTCATTGGGCAAGGGGATCTCAATCTTCCTGTCCAGTCGACCGGGACGAAGCAAAGCCGGATCAAGAGTATCCGGTCGGTTGGTGGCCATGATGATCTTGGTCCTTCCTAACGTGTCGAAACCGTCCATCTGGTTCAGAAGCTAGAGGGAGAAACGATTGTTGTTAGTCAACACTGCTCGTCCCGGGAATTGACTGCTTCTCTAGCATACCTCCATTAGGGTTCGCTGAATCTCTCGATCCGCGCTAGTTCCCTCGCTGAATCGTCGACCTCCGATTGCATCGATCTCGTCCATGAAGATGACACAAGGCTCGTGCTCCTTAGCATATGCAAACATTTCTCTGATCATCCTGGCCGACTCTCCGATGTACTTGTCGACAATCTGTAACATCGCCAAGATATCCCCTTCCGTGAGTAAACGTGATCAGATTCCCGTATAGCAGCACAAATCTGTACTTACCGCACTACTGACGACCTTTAAGAAATTGGTATTGAGGGTTGCGGCGACCGCTCGCGCGAGCAGAGTCTTTCCAGTCCCCGGGGGACCATAAAGCAAGACTCCCTTTGGAGGACTGATACCCACTCGCTTTGTCCACGAAGAAGTATAGTTGCGTTAGCCAAATTTGATTCGGTCATGACGATCCGCATCCTCGAAGCTGGACGTACCTCGAATAGCTCGGGGTTCATGAGCGGTAACTCGATCACTTCTCTCAGTTCTCGAACCTGGTCATTCAACCCTCCAATCCCGGCAAACGACGCCGAACCTGGGTCCTCGAGAGACATGTTGTATACCTAGCATTCAGTGGTGCGTCAGACCTCAGGTAGCAAGAAACACTCCGCATCGAGACCTACCATTGGGTCTACCTCTCGTGGAAGGATGCGCATGATCGTCAAGGTGGTCATGTCAAGCGAGACACGGACGCCAGCCTTGAGCTATGATTCGGAATGTAGTGTCATCGGTTTACGATCACATGTGTCCGACTTTGGCGATGAAGACCATAGACGCACCTTTGCGACTGGAAGTGTTGGCCTGTATGACACGATATATCTTGGGCCAGAAGATGCCTTGACGATGACTAGAAGAAGCAATACGGTGATCAGCTTGACACTTATGCGCTACAGTAGAGCCTTCGGGCCTTTACTCACATCGCTCATCATCCAATTGCTTCAACACTTCCCCGATGATCTGTCCTACACTCTGGATGGCCTTGAGATCTTCTTCCGATTGGTCATACGCCTTCTGTTGATCACGGATGTTCAATCGGACTGAACAAGCATCGGGTTAATTAGCCGTGCGGCCGTGCTGTATAATCCAAGATGTAGCATACTCTTCTTGAGGTTCTCTCCGATCTGCTCGTGCTCCTTGATTTTCTGTCAAGGTCGGCTCAGGGTAAGTGGGTGGATCCTTGCTAGCTGCCAGAATTGAACTCACTGCTCGGTAGGCCTTGATTGCCTCGATCTTGGGAGCCTCAAGAGCACGAGCCGATTGCGCAGCGGCAGCGTTAGATGATTCGCCAGCGGACATGTTGTAAGTAGCGGCTAAGAGTTCTGCCTTTAGATCTGTTGGCTAGTAAGGTAGCTCGAAGTTCAAGTTGCCAGATATCAACATGATAGCTGAATTCGTCACGACCCTCTCGAGACACCTGCGTCAGCGTGAGGAGGTCGCCCAGACGATTGACCTGATACTCGACGCGTTCCGTTCGAGCCACCTCCCGTCCAGCAAGACCACTCACCCACCGCTCGTCGGCACCATGACGCATACAAGGAATGTCCTCCCACTACCTCGATAAACAATACGCACGAAGCAAGACCGAACGCTCATCAAACTAGGTCAAGGCTGGCTTGTAAATCCCATAACGTAGAAAGCCTGGCCGACAAACCTTGCAGCAACTCGCACCTCGTCATAATCGCGTCCCGAAAATGGCGGACATCAAGCCCATTACCGTGAGTGTTGTACTCTTGACATATAGCTGGAACAGGAGGAGTTGATCGAGAATGTGTATCCACCGGCTTGTTTCGCATTTCTAGTTTTCTGAGCACTTGCAGGTGAGTGATCGAAGCTGTTCAAGATGCTACAGGGTTGCAGACTAACATTCCTAATCGCGTCTTACCAGCTAACCGCTGTTGGTGTTCAACCCGAGGCGATCGCCCATGCTACCTGTACTTTGGAATCGGATCATTACATCTGCATGTACGTGACAATCGATTCGACAACTATACTCACTTGGTAGCTCAACAACATCTGCTATCATCAATGCCAGTCGAGAAAAGGTCAACGACCAGAACCAGGTTGTAATCGTGGATCTAGCAGACGCGAACAATGTCTTGCGAAGACCCAGTGAGTCACAATCGTAAACCATCTCCCTTACACCCCTGCCAATGACTGAATCCATCGCATGACGTATAGTCACGGCCGATTCGGCTATCATGCATCCTTCTCAAAAGATCATCGCGCTGAAGTGTACGTTTTCGGTAACGCATCGGGACATGACTCTAGTGGAATTGTGCAGCACTAATCTGCATTGTTGACTCTGATGCAGCCGGCCGAACACTTCAGACGTTCAACCTCGCCACCAAGCAAAAGTTGTCGTCTTACATGACCAACGAGGATGTTGTCTACTGGAAATGGATCAACGAAACCCAAATCGGTCTCGTGATGGATCGCAGCGTCGCTCACTGGGACGCCATGGGAGGTGGTTCAGCTCCTACCAAGGTCTTTGACCGACATGCTACCCTTGAAGGAGCACAAATCATCAACTACCGAGCATCTGGTGATGGTCAATGGCTCGTCTTGGTTGGAATTCTTCCCGACAATAACCCAGGTGCATTCCGAATCAAGGGAGCTATGCAGCTTTACTCGGTCGCCCGAGGTGTCTCACAACCTATCGAAGGTCATGCCGCGGCGTTCTCTACCATCAGGCTGGAGAACGCTCCTGAGGACACGAGTTTATTCTCATTCGCAGTGCGAACTGCGACTGGCGCCAAGGTAAGCTATTCACCGATTATAGCTGACAAATGAAGATCGCTCATTCATACTTGTTCTTTCCGTCTCCCAGCTTCACATCGTGGAGATCGATCACAACGCTGCGAACCCAGTCTTTCAGAAAAAGGCAACTGACGTCTTCTTCCCCGCCGAAGCCGTCAACGACTTCCCCGTGGCTATGCAGATTTCCAAGCGACACGGAATCATCTACCTCGTCACGAAGTACGGTTTCATCCACCTGTACGATCTAGAGACTGGCAAGTGCCTGTACATGAACCGAATCTCTGGCGACACCATATTCGCCACCGCCGAGTACGAGTTGACTGGAGGTATCATTGGAGTCAACAAGAAGGGTCAAGTCCTTAGCGTCAGCTTGGACGAAGGCAACGTCGTCCCTTACATCATGAGTGCGTCGCTTCTCTCTGCATTAGCTTTCCTAGAACCACTCAGCTGATAATATTCGTTTACTCAGACCAATTGAAGGACGGAAACCTCGCCATTCGTCTAGCTTCCAGGGCCAACCTGCCAGGAGCCGATGAGCTCTTTGTTCAGCAATTCCAGAACCTCTTCCAGCAAGGTCAATATAGCGAAGCTGCCAAGATCGCAGCCAATTCCCCTCGAGGCATCTTGCGAACGCCCGAAACTATCGAACGCTTCAAGCAGGTACCTGTCGCCCCTGGTACTGTCTCGCCTATTCTGCAATATTTCGGAATCTTGCTCAATGGTGGAGACCTCAACAAGCACGAGACCTTAGAGTTGGCCAAGCCTGTCTTGCTGCAAGGCAAGAAGGACTTGCTTGAACGATGGCTCAAGGAGAACAAGGTCAGAATTACACGTCAGACGCCCTTGATCGATGCGATCTGACTGTTCAATTTACAAACTTCGCAGCTCAATTGCAGTGAGGAACTCGGAGACTTGGTCAAGCAAAACGGGGACAACAACCTTGCACTCTCGATCTACCTTCGCGCTCATGTTCCCAACAAGGTCGTCGCCTGCTTCGCCGAGGCCGGTCAGTTCGACAAGATCCTGCTGTACTCCAAAAAGGTGGATTACCAGCCCGATTGGGCGGTCCTCCTTCGGCACATCGTCAGGGTCAACCCAGACAAATCGGCCGAGCTGGCTCAACAGCTCGTCAGCGATCCCTCTGGACCTCTTGTTGACGTCAATGCCGTACGTTGGAAGTCCTTTAACTAAGAAGGCAGTTTCACGAGGCTTAGATTCATTCCGGTTCAAACAGGTCGTCGACATCTTCATGTCGCAGAACCTCATCCAGCAGACCACTTCGTTCTTGTTGGAAGCGCTTAAGGAGAACAAGCCCGAGCAAGGTGGTTTACAGACTCGTCTGCTCGAAATGAACTTGATGCACGCTCCCCAGGTGGCGGACGCTATCCTCGGAAACGAGATGTTCACCAACTACGACCGACCTCGTATCGCCAATCTCTGTGAGAAGGCTGGTCTGATGCAACGTGTGAGCCTATTCTCCTTCCGCCCATCCTACCCGGGCAAGTGTGTTCATAGATTCTTCCGCAGGCTTTGGAACATTACGAAGATACAGAGGACATCAAACGTGTTGTCGTGCACAGCAACCTGTTCAACGCTGATGTAAGTTGTCCAAACAATTGCAGTTTTCGAGACAGCTTTCTGATATCGACTCCCTTCTCAGTGGCTTGTCGCTTACTTCGGGAAGCTAACCGTTGAGCAATCGTTGGCCTGCATGAACGAGATGTTGAGGGTCAACATGAGGCAGAACCTGCAAGTTGTGGTTCAGATCGCCACCAAGTACTCGGATCTTCTCGGACCCGTAAAGTTGATCGAGATGTTCGAGCAGTACAAGACCTTCGATGGTAAGCTGCCCTGCCCGGCTTGAATTGCTGCAAGGGGATGCTAACGGCGGTTTGTACAGGTCTGTACTACTATCTGGGTTCCGTCGTTAACCTCAGCGAAGATCCCGAGGTCAACTTCAAGTACATCCAGGCCGCCACCCGAACTGGCCAAATTCGAGAGGTTGAACGGATCTGCCGCGAGAGCAACCACTACAATCCGGAGAAGGTCAAGAATTTCCTCAAGGAAGCCAAGATGTCGGACCAGTTGCCCCTCATCATCGTTTGTGACCGTTTCAACATGGTTCACGATCTGGTACTGTACCTTTACCAGAACAACCTGACCAACTTTATCGAGGTCTACGTTCAACAAGTCAACTCTGCTCGAACCCCTCAGGTTGTTGGAGGATTGCTCGACGTGGATTGTGAAGAGACGACCATTAAAAACCTGCTGAATTCGGTCACCGGATCCTTCCCCATTGACGAACTCGTTGACGAGGTCGAGAAGCGAAACCGCCTCAAGTTGATCTTGCCCTGGTTGGAATCGCGAATTCAACAGGGTCAGACTGATCCCGCGATCTACAACGCTGTGGCCAAGATCGCCATTGACTCGAACAACAACCCTGAAGCTTTCCTTAAGGAGAACAACGTGAGTCTTGAAATGCAGTTCGTCTTGTACTTTGCCGCTCATCCTGCCGGTACACTTCTACAGATCTACGAACCCCTCGTTGTCGGAAAGTATTGCGAGAAGCGCGACCCGTACCTCGCCTACATTGCCTACGCCAAAGGTCTTTGCGATGACGAACTCATCCAGATCACCAACGAGAACCAGATGTACAAGCATCAAGCTCGATATCTCGTCAAGAGGCGGGAACTGGAGCTTTGGAACCAGGTCTTGGCTCCGGACAGCATGCACCGCCGTTCCCTGGTCGATCAAGTTGTTGCCGTTGCTGTGCCCGAGAGCACCAGTGCGGACGATGTGTCTGTCACGGTCAAGGCCTTCATGCAGAACGATCTGCCTGTTCAGCTTATCGAGCTCTTGGAGAAGATTATCATCGAGCCTTCTCCTTTCAGCGACAACAAGAGTCTGAAGAACTTGCTCTTCCTGACTGCCATCCGTTCGGACAAGGGCAAAGTTATGAGCTACATCAACAGGTTGGACGGATATGATATCGATGAAATCGCCAGGATCGCTACTGAAGCTGGTCTGCACGAGGAAGCTTTCACCATCTTTTCCAAGCACGAGAAGCACGCCGAGGCCATGAACGTTTTGGTTGACCACGTTGTCAGCATCGATCGTGGCTACGCCTACGCCAACAAGATCAACAAGCCTGAAGTTTGGAGCCGATTGGCCAAAGCTCAGCTTGATGGACTTCGAGTCAAGGAGGCCATTGGTAAGCCACAGAAAAGCTCAGGCGGACAGTATTTCTGGCGTTTGCTAACCCGTCATCTTCATGGCTTGAACAGATTCGTACATCAAGGCGGATGATCCTTCCAACTTTGAGGAAGTCATCGAGATTGCCAACCGGGCCGGCAAGCATGAAGATCTAGTGCGATTCCTGCAGATGGCGCGGAAGAGTGCTCGGGAGCCCAAGGTCGACACCGAGTTGGCCTACGCTTATGCCAAAACGGATCGATTGCACGACATGGAGGAGTTCTTGTCGATGACCAATGTCGCCGACATCCTGCAAGTGGGAGAAAAGTGTTTCAATGACGAGCTGTACCAAGCTGCCAAGCTCTTGTTCACCAGTATCTCCAATTGGGCGAGATTGGCTACGACCCTCATCTACTTGGGCGAGAACCAGCCTGCTGTGGATGCTGCCAGGAAGGCTGGAAACACACAGTTAGTATGCATTCCGCAAGCCACTCACACGTACACTGACAAAATAAAAACACCTTTGTCAATTTGCACTCTAGGGTGTGGAAGCAAGTCAATGCCGCTTGTGTTGACAAGCAGGAATTCCGCTTGGCCCAGATCTGTGGTCTTCATTTGATCGTATGTCATAACGGATCTATGGAACAGTTTCTTCGTTTTTAATCGGATCATATCTCAATCAGGTTCACGCCGAGGAGCTACAAGCGCTGCTTAAGCTGTACGAGAAGAACGGTTACTTCGACGAATTGATTTCGCTCTTGGAGTCTGGTCTGGGTAAGAGATTATCTCCAGCAGCAAGCACGAGGCAACATTACTGATAGCACAGTGTTCTCACAGGTTTGGAGCGAGCTCATATGGGAATGTTCAGTGGGTCGCGATCGGTATCTAGAGGTAGAGGTAATAATACTAAAGCACGACGATAACAGCCGAACTGAGCGTGCTCTATGCCAAATACCGACCGGAGAAGCGTGAGTCGGCATTGATCAAGTGCTACGTTTGACATGTCTAATGCTTTGCCTACAGTCATGGAACACTTGAAGCTCTTCTACGGTCGAATCAACATCCCTAAGGTCATCAAGGCCGCTGAGCAGGCCCACCTCTGGCCCGAACTTGTCTTCCTATACGTCAAATATGGTATGTCTTAACACGATAATTCCGGGGGGAAGAAACTTACTTTGTTTGTCAAATCAGACGAGTATGATAACGCCGCTTTGGCCATGATGGAACGTGCTGCTGACGCCTGGGAGCACAACCAGTTCAAGGAGGTTGTAGTCAAGGTGGCCAACGTGGAGATCTACTACAAGGTGGGTAGCGAGACAATCCTACTAGTACGCTTATGCCTGCTCACACGAACGGTCATTCTCGTCAGGCCTTGAGCTTCTACTTGCAGCAACAACCGACCTTGATCACCGACCTGCTTACGGTCCTGGCTTTGCGAATCGACCACACCCGGGTTGTCAAGATGTTCTCTAGCGAGGACAACGACAACGTGCCGCTCATCAAGTCGTACCTAATCGCTGTCCAACAGCGAAACATCGAGGCGGTCAACGATGCTTTTAACGATCTCCTGATTGAAGAGGAGGATTACAAGACTCTCCGGGATTCAATCGATAGCTTTGACAACTTCGACAATCTCAAGCTGGCGAGACGTTTGGAGAGGCACGACCTGCTGGAGTTCCGCCGGCTGGCAGCTCATCTATACAAGGTGCGCTCTTCTCGAGCAATCGTTAAAAGGCTTTATACTGATCCATCAACTACGACATCAGAAAAACGCCAAGTGGGAGGAATCCATCTCTTTGTCAAAGCAAGACAAGCTTTACAAGGATGCAATGGAGACCGCCGCGGTTTCAAATGAGACCGCGGTGGCCGAGGAGCTCTTGTCATACTTTGTCGACATTGGAAACAAGGACTGTTTTGCGGCCATGCTTTACGTTTGCTTTGACCTGCTGCGACCCGACGTTGTCGCGGAGCTAGTGAGTCCAAGAAGGCGGTAAAATTCCGTCTGATTATACGTTGACGCTCGCTTTGCCTGTACCAGTCTTGGAGGCACGGACTGAACGACTTTACCTTCCCGTATACGCTACAAAGTCAGCGAGACCAGCTGAACAAGGTGAGCCTCGCGTCAGGTGGTTACCCGTCACGCCCTACTAACGCGGCCCCACTTGTGTGCTAATCACAGCTGGTCGCGCTCGAGAAGGAGTTGAAAGAGTTGAAGACCAAGACCGTGACGAAGGAAGAGCAGGAAGACTCGCAGCCTATGATGGCCCCCGGCTTCGGATCAAGGTTGATGCTGACACAAGGTCAGACGGGTGGTATGGTCAACGGCGGGATGATGATGAACGGGGGAATGATGCCTCAGCCAACAGGGTTTTACTAGGTGCAAGATCGTCGCGAGTAAAAGGGCTTAGAGGTTAGACGATAACGACCCCAATGAGTTTTGATTTCCCCTGTTTTTCCGGTTTCTGTATTACGTGATATGCAAGTTGTGTCTACCTCGATCGTGGCTATTTGATTTCCTATACTGTCGATATACTTTCGTCTCACATCGTATCTGGTCATTACATTTCGTCGAGTATTCGTTATCGAGTCCCACTACTGGAGAGCTTCATATATCTTCAGCGCGTGCTTGATCGTGCTGACACTGTTTTCATCGTCGACCACTATTTCGACATCTTCGCTTGTTTCCGGGGCAAGACGTTGTTGCAATCCTTTTGTTAGATGAAGCTGAAACTTTTCGTACGTATTTCGGAACTCGATGACGCTGCTGATCAAGAGATCGATCTTGCTTTGTCTGTCGCCTTTACCTAAAGCCGAGAGTAGCTGTGTGCTGGCTGTGGGCTTGTGGTCGATCATCTTTGCGAAAAGCAGAGCGAGATAACCGCTCAGAAACGCCGCGCCAGCCTGTCATTTGAAGGAACACTTAGGATTAGCCGAGATACTACGTGTTACATCGAGCGACACTTACGTCGTCGGCCTTGTGCTTCTGCTGCGCAATGAACATTTGCACGAGGTGATTGAAGGCAGAGCTCTTGTTCGGGCAATGGCATCCCTTTACGCAATTACGGGAACCTCGACATGGCTTGCCGATCGCTATGAAGTTGAGGAAAGTCAGCATCAAACGATTCATACTATCGAATTTGAATTTACCCAAAGACAATATCGCCTGGCCATGCTCCAAGTCCTCTTGTACGAGATTGAAGAGACAGCCCAGAGCGAGATTCGTCATCTCGGCTTCGTCGACCGAATTCTGGTCGTTCCAATCTGTGACCGTAACATCGCTCGGTGTGGGCGATGCAGAGCCAGTCTCTGGCTTTAGACCCAAGAGTAGTCGAAGAAGTCCGATATACGGCGCTGTGCCTTTCAGGAAAGACGTCGACCATATTGGGCTTTGCTGAGTCAAGGCCAGAAGAATCTTGAGTACATAAGTCACCAACTCTATGAAGGGGACACATTCAACAACGATATCTTGACTCCCGCCCCAACGCGGCTCGGCTCACCTTCGTTCTGATTCCTTGAGAGCGGCTGCAACGGCTTGCCGAGGGAGAGCAATAGGAGCAAATCCGCGAGCAAGGGCGCTAGACCGGCATACGAGTCTTGCACAACAGTTTTGCAATCCGCGACCTCTGTTATGAGACTCTGAACAAGTCTGACGCAATCAAGAACAGCCAAAAAGTCTGGCTGCTGGTCTGCTGTGAACAGATCCTATGCACAGAAATCGAAAAGGATCAACGCGATTAATCGGTTCCGATGTTAGCATTTACCTACCAGTCCTTTGCCATAAAGTTCGATGCGATTAGGTACCGCGCAAAGTTCCTGTTGTATAGTCGATGCCATGACGATGACGATAGCTTCGGGAGAGCCGAAGTTCGCGATCTCGTTTTCGTGCTCCAATGCACTGCCAAGGATGGTTGCGAGAATCCCGCTGGCCATTCCCAGCGGAGTTCGCTGGCGACAAGGGTTGTTGCGTGAATCAGAAGACGCGCTAGCAATATCGCGACGGTGACCTACCTTTTCCTCGGTAATGCCCGGGGCCGTCAGAGTGATTCGCACAGACCTGAGAATCTCCATCTGTCATTCGCTCAGACCCGTTAGTTTCGCCGCTCATATCGCGACGTACACGTCCCGGTCATCCCGACTTACGCTGGGGCTCTTCTTCCTTCTGCCGGAAGCGTTTTGGATAAGACTTAGGCGCCTCTCTCTTATGCTATTGAGGAGGAATTCGCAGACCTCGCTTGCATGACTCGCAACGATGACCTCGAGGTCGCTTGTTGACCGCGATAGATGCGCCAGATACATCAGGATCACGAGATCGAGCGCCTGAATGTCGTACAAACGTAAGACATCCGTTATCGACTCTATTATCAACCAAGACCCCACCTACCTCGTCAGATTCGCCCTTGCCTGCAGCCGCAAAATCCTCGTAGATCGATTCCACCTGCCCGCAGATCCTGAGCCTTTCGAACCACGCCACGTCGGCGCACTTGCTCAGGATGTCGATGGCGCTATCCGCGTTACGTACCAGAAAGCCGAATCAGTGCATGCAAAAGTGAACGCGAACGCCACTCCAGACGTACCTGCTCCTCCTGGCAGATAGACTGGGATCTCGTAAACCGTCCCGCAGATAGCCTAGCTCGTCCATGAACCTCCGGTTCTCTCCTTTCGATCGAAGATCCGCCAAGCTAGGCGGGGCTTTAAGATCCTGCCCAACCGAACCGCATCAGGATTCATACTCTTCTCGCCCGCATGACGCTCAAGACCTACCCCTAGAGACCCCTGCGAATCGGGATCAAAGTCTTCCTCATCCTCCACATCTACCCCGAACCTCTTGTTGAGCTCGGCATAACTGTCTTCTTGTACCGGGACCGCTCGGTTCCCGAGGGGCTTGAGAATATTATGTGCTTCAGGCGATGAGAGCAAGAACCCCTTGACCTCGCTTTCCAACCCATCTGCAGTTGCGTCTGACGGCGGGTCGGAAAAGATCGTCTCCTTCTGCAAGGAAGACTTTGGCTGTTGTGTTTGTTTTTGCAATGACCTGTTCGGGCCGGTTGGTAACTCGAGATCGTCAGGAGTAGCTTGTCGTCTCCCATACGTCCGGATCGGCCGACCAGCCCCACTAGACGCCCCCGATGCAGATCCAGACAACCCAGCGAGCGTCGCGCTTGTACTCAACGAATGCCTCAACGTGGGTTTTCCCGACGGAGAGTCCGGTAACGAGCCCGTCCGAGCCAGTCCGGGTCCGGCTTGTCGGCGGGGTGGAGAAGGCGTCTTGAGATCTCTTCTTGATGGAGATTGGAAAGAGAAACTCCGTCCGATCCCCCGTGGCGTGGTAGGGCTCTCTTGAGCGGGGCTGTTTGGACCACTTCCGGGCAGCTTGGTATCAGGTCGCGCAGGGCTGGATAGTTCCCAAGCGTCGACGATGATGGGCAGGACGCGGTTGGACTCGTCCTCCTCTCTTCTGCCTCGCTGATTAGAGAAGAGATCGTCCGCTTCCCCAAGCGATTCCGTACGGGTCATCATCTTCCTCCTCCCCTTTCTCAGAGGTCCCGGTCGAGCGGCTCCAGCGCCAGACGATTCGATCGGCACGTTCGCGTTCGCGTTCACATTCCCCATACTCCCAATTTGATCGTCCGTCTTGCCCAGACCTAACAAGTCTGACTGACCACGCTGGCCTTCGCCCTGCTTCCTGCTCTCTGGGCTCGGACTGGGTTTACGTAAAAACAGATCCGTTAGGTCTCTCGGCGGGGTCCTCGGTGTATGTGCGGCTTGACGAGCTCGGAGGGAGGAAGCGCCTTCCAGGTCCGGCGGGGTGGAGAGGGGGACGAGGTCGTTGATCGGGATGGGCCGGAAGGTGTATGTCGAGGTCGACTTTGACGCGATGGGGATTGAAGCTGAAGTCGCGTTCGACCTTGGAGCTTCATTCGAGTTGTCGGTGACACGACCTCGTTTCACAGTCTGAGAAGCCGATTGCTCCCCTAAGTCCGCGATGGAAGGAGGTCGAGCTCGCTTGAGGCTAGGTCGCGACGAGGTTCCTGCTTCTCGGAGGTCGACCCTGTGCGCCCCAGACGTATGACCGTCGCTGACGTGTCCCACTACGCTGCTCATCGTGCGAGTAGTTCTGCTTTCGACCTGGATCGTCTGTCTATCACGACCAGAACTCGGCAGATCCGTCTCCCGAGCGTTGTATGTCAACGTGCTACCCAACATCTCCGTGTCCTCTTCGGGTAGTGACGAAGGTGGTGGTGAAGTGAGGGGCGACGTCGAAGGTCCCCTCTGTTCTCCTTTATCGAACTGATGGGGTTGTAGAGTCGGCTTGTTACGTCTTCCGTAAGTTTTGTGTGGTGGAAGTCGACGACTGTTGGTAAAGTCTGGGGAACGGGGTGTTTGCATGGCGAGGTGGGAATGTGTACACGGATATATATATGCGACCGCGGCTTGCTTCTCGGAGTAGTGTGGGAATGTAGACAAGACGCGACGATTAGAGAGGGAGAGAGGTCTTTGTTCTCTCTCCTGGCTGGTCTCGTGGTGGGTAATAGGGTGGATGTCCCTTTGTGTGGGTGGATGAATGAATGTATGATCGTCGGAAGGTCGAGAGAGGCCGGATGTCGATACGAGAGGAGGGAGAGGAGGGGAATGTGGTTTGTTTTGAATGTCGGGGTGATGACGTAAACGAGTGACGAGCTAGGAACGATCAGACCAGACAGCAGACAACCATATCAGACATCCATACATCAAGATTGCATCATTCGATCAACCTACAAGCTACAAGCTACAAGACGTGCAGGCAAAAAGAGTCAATTACCGTGGGAAAGATAGCACGATAGGATTCATCATGCCAAATCTCGCCGTCCGAGGGACCGTCAGGTCCACCATGACGCCGCCAATCCCAAAGGCTCAAGCCTGGATTCGGCAGTTCCCCGCGACCGCATCCCGACCTCTGCTCAACCTCTCTCAAGGCGTGCCCGGTGAAGCGCCGGAAAAGATCTTTACCGACAGGATCTCGGAACTCTCTCAAGACAGAGAGCCCGCCAATTATGGGTCCATTCAGGGAGACGACGGGTTGAGGGAAGCCGTCAAGGAGGAGATGGGAGATGTCTATCGGTGGAACGAAAAGGGATCGGGTGGAGTGGGCGTCGTCAAGGAGCAGATCGCCATTTCTGCAGGGTGTAATCAGGCTTTCTACTTGACGATGAGTGTGCTGTGTTCGGAAGGAGACGAAGTTCTAATTCCTTGTCCATGGGTAGGCATCTCGGATCCGGGGCGCATCGTGACACGACGGCAGAGAGACTGATGATACCTTGTTCGATGGCTTGCGCGACCCATGTTATAGTACTTCAACATGTTGATGACTTTTCAACTCCTTCGGCTCAAGCCCGTCCCCCTCCCACTCTCCCCATCGAACGGTTTCACGCCCAGTGTGGACCAAGCCAAGTCCCTGATCACACCTCGGACACGTGCGATCGCCCTGGTCAGCCCAAACAATCCATGTGGGACGATCTACCCCCCGGCCCTGCTGGACTCGTTCTGTGGATTGGCTAAAGAATCCGGCATCGCCCTCGTCGTCGATGAGACCTACCGAGACTTTGTCCCTCCGTCACCATCGCGAGCGCCCGGGGCGGGAGATAGAGGGAAACCTCACGACCTGTTCGACGAGCCCGATTGGGACGAGACGCTCGTCAGCCTCTTCAGCTTTAGTAAGAGTTACAAGATTCCCGGGTATCGGTTGGGGGGCATCGTGGCGAGTCGAACGGTCTTGGAGGCTTGCCGTACCGTGGCGGATTGTATTCAGGCGAGTCTTCGGAAAAAAAACGGGGTTAGTCTAGTCTAGGTCGACCGACTGATCTGACCTGTTCTTTCTACCTTTTGGTGACGATGTAGATCTGCCCAGCCAGGCTCCCACAACTCGCTCTCGCCGAACTCTTACCCGCCCTTCGACCTTCCCTAATATCCACCTCCAAAGCCCTCGCCTCCCGCCTCAAACGGTTCGAAGACGCCATCTCCATCGTCCCTGGCTGGCAGGTCGTCTCATCCGGCGGCTACTTTTCCTACGTAAAGTTCCCCGACGTGTACGGTCCCGACGTCACTTCGGAACGGGTCGCAGAGAGGTTGGCCATAGAGTGCGGGGTGTTGACGCTGCCCGGATGTTGGTTCATGCCCGAGAGGGAGGACGAAGGGTGGAAGAGCTTGGAGAGGATGGGCAGCGAGCTCATCAGTGACAGGTGGTTGAGGTGAGCCGACCAGTCTATATCGTGCTCCGTTGCGCAGGTTCTGTGAGCTTCAAGTGGGGGCTGGCTGACGATCGATCCGTTCGCAGATTCGCCATCGCCAACGTATCGGACGAGACCGTCGACAAGATCCCCGAGCGCCTGAAGCAGCTTAACGAGCTATACGCAGCGGGTTCTTAGAAAAGGTTCCGTTTTGCCTCCGCCCGAGGTTGTTCCTCCGCACACAAAAGAAGGGGTCGCTCGGTTTCGTAGCCTGTTGAAAATAGATTATCGAATGCTGGACTGTATCTGCAAGCAATTCTCCTGATTAATGCCACAACGAAGGATTCTGCGAAACGCTCGGGTGGTTCGGAACTTCGGGACCTCGCCAAGGACGATCGCCGCGAATCTCGCTTGGAGTCTGAACCCGCTCGACGGGCTCTGCCTCGATTCACTTTTTCGCCGCGGTTGCTCTTCCCCTACATTCGATCGAGTTCGATTGCACTGCGGAACGATGACCAACAATACCGGCATGCTTGTCTTACATCTATCGGTACACTCCACCACGAAAAGGGGGCAAACAAGTGTTCTACTATCGCGTCGATCACGATCCCTCTCTCGTCGATCATTCCCTCGGCACGCCGCCTGTCCCAAAGAGTTCCATACGGATGCGCGACAGGTCTGCCACACCGAGCGCCTTGAGCTGAGCCTCCATATCCAGCATGAACCGTTCAGGCCCGCAGACGTAGTATCTAGTATCGTCGCGGTCCAAGTAGAGGTCCGCTAGCTTGTCCAGAAGGTGTAGGTTCAATCGACCTGCATGGTCAAAGTCGATACCTTGTCGCTCGTCTGGAGTAGGCGACGAGACAAAGTTGGTGATCCGCATCGCCGGTTGCCCTTTTGCGATGTTACGCACGTGACCGGTAAAGGCCTGCCTCGAGGTGGTCTTGGAAGCGTTGATCCAAGAGATGGGTCGACCGGTGCCGCTCGACTCGCTCGTGATACCGTTCAGCATCGAGACCAGAGGCGTCAAACCCACGCCAGCCGAGATGAAGACCGTTGGCGCATCAGGCGCCGCAGAACCGTCAAGCACAAACTCGCCGAAAGGGTGAGACACCTGGATGATATCTCCCACTTGCTTTGCATCGTGCAAAACATTCGAGACGTAGCCTGGATGGGCCGTTGCGATAGCAGTGTCGAGACGTCCGAGGCCGGCCTCTTTCTTGACTGAGATGCGGTAATAAGACAGTCCGGGCGCATCGCTCAAGCTGTATTGGCGAGCTTGCTTGTATATGAGCGCCGGAATCGTCATCATGACCGAGATATATTGGCCTGGCCGAAAGCTTGGCAGCGGCTTGCCCTGATCTTCCACGGATTTGGGTTCGAGATAGAAGGAGGTGATCTCATCACTCTCCTTTTGCTTTCTCGTTATCACAAAGTCCCTCCAGTTCGTCCATCCATGAGCGCTCTTCATGAGAGCGTCCTCGATATCGATCATGATTTTGGCCAACTGCCAGTAAGCAGCCGCCCAAGCGTTCTTGACATCCTCAGTCAGCGCGGCTCCTAGGACCTCTCCCATCGCTTGGATGAGATAGGTGCCTACGATGCTATAGTGTTCCTCACGGATAAACAACGATGCATGTTTATGGGTGATCCTCTCGACCGCCGGGGAAAGCTTTCCCAAGTCGTCAACGTTTTTAGCGTATGCGCAGAGGGAACCAGCGAGCGCCCCTGCTTGGTGACCATTGACCTGGTTTGATGTGTTGAAGATGTTGTTCAACTCGGGGTGAGCCCGGAGCATGTTGGCGTAAAAGGTAGTAGTGATCTTCTTGCCATGAGCTTCCAGTACGGGGACTGTAGACTTGATGATGGCGACTTGTTCGGGGGTCAAGGACATGATGCAAGGGTGAGACAGTGACTGCGCGCTTAGCTCGCTCGACGGATGCAACGAGTCTCCTTCACCTCGCGGTTTCGAAATCTTCTACTATTTCTTCTATACCCACTATATAGGTCTGATTCAAAGGCAGCAGCAAGCGGTTCGTTCCACTCCGACAACACCGTCGATGTTCCGTTCCGAGCGAACGGCCGTCAAAGCACGTCCTCGGGTCTCGGATGACCTTGCGACTTCGCGTAGATTTCGTATTCGAGCGGACTGTTCCGATGACCACGTGAATGCGCGTTACGAGCGAGCTCTCATTCGCTGCTCTCGCCGCCCGGACAAGATCGCGGTGAGTCTGGGGCGACAGCTTGGAGGTACGACAGTATTCGTGCCATGGGCATAGACCAGGCCACGATAGTGAGAGTCATGCCTGCCGGAGAGACTCCATCTCGAACAACTGGGCTGGTATTTGCGAAGCGATCAGGCGGATTCTCGCGCGTGATGCGACACGAGCTGGATAGACTATGCGGCGGGGGGAGTCTTGGAGCACACGTGAAACCGAGCATTCTCTTCTGACAAAGATGTCAAGAAAACAAGTCTACCCTCGAATCCTAACAACAGCTCTCGTTGCCATGAGTTCCCATGGCGGTACTTTGAGATTAGCACGGGGGAAGGCTGCGGATGCTTGCCCTTATCTCGTTGTATCAGTTGCGAAGGAAAGCGGACCTCAACGTTCTTGCCTCGACGATAACCTTCCCAAACCTTATGGCAGAACATGAAGGTCGACGATTCTGCCGCCATCGCGCATACATGTAATATGATAACAAGCTCGGTGGCCACTATGCCAATATCTTGTTCAGTCGAATTTGAATGCAAGATAATGTCGCATCTGTCGAACACGGTTGGGCCAAGAGGCTGGGAAAGTGCTTGGCCGAAAAGCTGTTCGGAAATGGACAGGGTCTCGTTAGGAGATCCGGGCTGGGAAACCCGACTGGAATTTAGGGTGGCTGGACCGGACAATCTGGTGTTCGTTCGTGTCATCTCGTAAACACCCTCTTTTGGATGTCGTGAGAGAAGGATCCGAAGATTCGACGGTTCTGCGGCTCGACCGGCTGTGATTTTACCTCCAGATTACAACTCGACGTGGCTGAAAGTGGACAGACGCCCTTGCGCTCGTGGTGTTGCTGCTCAATGGATTTCTACTTGAAGTCTCTCTCACGCATGGCTGACATGTCACTGCCAGCCATTTGGGAACACCAAACATCTTGGGCCCGCAACGAGTTCGAAGCGGTGTGCTTGGCTCGGCCACTGATTTTCGTTTTGCTGACCTAACCTCGGGCATCGTTCGAGTTCGGTCGGACGATCCATCTTGGACCTGCATACTCAGAGATTTGTTGATGTGAACAGGCACTAGAATGACGAAACCAGTACAGATCTGTTGGCCCTTAAAACATGCGGCGATGGGGTACGTGAGCCGCGCTCAAACCATCTCCCATTCCGACGATGTCTCAAATGGCGCATCGAAGCGACATGGAAACTTCTCGGAACGGATGCTACCAGCACGATTGCTGTAACGCAGCAACAACATTCTTCTCAGCATTCGTTACCCAGTCTTTCTCCCTGACAATGGCCGTGGGACCCAGAACGCCCCACCCGTATCGGGCGTGGAAAGCCCCGGATGTAGCGCAGACATGGAATTCCTCGTCGGGTGCGCTTTCCTTGGCTAGCAAATAGCCTCCCAAACGGGGTTGGGATTGGCTCCGATTTGACCCAAATGTAGTTGTGTTCACGAATTGCGACATAGCCTATAGTTCCATGCTCTATGCGACTGACATAGCGTCGTTGTGCCATCAGTAAAAGACATTCCTGAGGCGCGAGTGACAAGGTATGGAGTAACCTGCAGGACCGGCCAACGAACGCCCTTGCGCACATATTCAGTTAATCCGGTACTCCGAGCTGCCCTGAAAGGCGTACTCGGGTGATCAAGAGAAAGAAGCACGGCTCGCTCTAAGGATTATACGCCCGCGTTCTCGGTCCAAGCGCGCGTCTGCCTCTGATGCTTATGCGCGTGGGAAATCGTCCTATGCAACTCGGAATTTTCGATCGTCGCCCAGACGGTTCGGAATCGAAAAGAAGAGACGACAGAGTTCCGGAGGTTGTCTTCCTTGGACATGGAGGTTGGTTGGGAACCGAGTGTACAGACCGGACGAGCATTCCGGCTGGATCGAAACCATTCGCGCCCGGTCATCTTCCCTTGAGCTGTCTGCGTGATATACATTCGAGACACCTGATCACGATTGACGAGACGAGGTGTGCCGGCAGGTAAATGAGTAGCTCACACGCCGCCGCGAGTCGACGGTCCCGACATGCAATCCATGTGGCCGATCGCATTCGGTGAATTATTCTCCGGTGACACCCTCATTTCCTTCGATCAATCACACGCGAACATCCGGTATCCGAAACATTCCTCGTTACCAAACAAAAAAAAAGGGCGACCGGGCGCGTGCACTGGGGAGGAATTGATGCCGGTAATCCTCTTCAACCGAGGATCTAGAAGTAATTCCACGGTGCGCGGGTGCCGGGAGCGTCGAGCAAGGGAGCAGCGCGGGGAACAGCAAGAGCACGCTGCGGGCTCATTTCGTCGCTGCTTTGGCTCCTCGACCGAGCCGAATGAAAACCGACTTCTCTTCGCCGTCCCATCGGAGGTATTATGGAGAAAGTGGGTCTCACCTTGCACCAGTTTGCATCACACTTCGGATGGAATCCCTTGGTCGCGGTTGCCTAGCATGCCTAGGGATTACGTCCGCGACCACCTTGCGGGCCGTGTTCAGTTCTTTCGGGAGACCAAGACGAGCTCTGCCTGGGTATATAGTCTAGTCCAAAGAAACAACTGCGCTGGTCCGTACTTGCTTCTTCCCGTCCCGGAAAAGGCTGTTCATCCGTCCCGCTTCGCGACGATTCTTCCTACCGTTATACTTCGTCATCCCGCTCACCAATACTTGGACACTCAAACCTGAACATCCAAACTTTCAGCTATCGTCATCGTCATCGCCAAACGACTCACCGACCATCCCCGATCAACATTCCCCCCCTGTCTGTCGTCGGACATTTGTCTGCGTGACGCGTAAACGTGAGTTGTGCCTGGAACCCAAGATGGATGACTGTGCAGCAAGGACAGAAGGCGAGAAGATGTTTCAGAGAGATCAAATCATCAATCCCTTCTTTCCCTCCTCGTAAATTGGCACATCGTTGACCGCATGCTGATCCACCGTATCTCTCCTCTGCGAACGATTTCATTTCGTCCGTCCCCCTTCTTCAATCAATACGGATCCCCCCCCCCCCCCCACCCCCCTCTTACACGTTTCCACATCTACGCCGCCATCAATCCTTTCGACCCATCACTCGGCCACGCTTCTCCGTGATCATGTTCGATCGCTACTCGACAACACATCCCCGTCGTCCCCCTCTCCCTCTCACTCTTGTGCATCCCCTCCGCTTCGGGCGATTCCTCAGATCACCGACCATCGAACCGGCTGAAAGTACAAGTACCTCGACCGGTTCAGTTCGATAGGAACGATATCCTCGCCCTCGTCGTGTTCCTCACTTCGTCTCGCCATTACCCTTCGACCCGACCGACCTGATCGACAATGATGGCTCCTTCATACCACCCTTACCCTACGACGCCCGTCGTCCATCAACCCTACTTTGTCAACGCTCCTCACGCATCGACCTCGTACCACATCTCATCACCTGCCGCTCCCATGATCCCATCAGCACCTTCGTTCGCCTCGGGACCTTCCAGTGGTTTCTCTCCAGTCTACTCGCCCAGCCCAGCGCAAAGTGCATACTTCGCTCATCCTCATCACGGATACCAAGGCTACCATCCCTCGCCATCATATCCTGCTGTGCATGAGCATGTCAAGTCGAACCCGGCAACTGGTTTGCCTACCGAGATGAGAGCTCTGCCTCACGCGGCCGAGTACACCAGCTTTGCGCCGACGACTTCCCCCGGCAGCGGTCGACGAGCCGAACTTCCCATTGGCAGGCGACAACGGGTTACGATGGCATGCACATATTGCAGGAGGAGGTGAGTCGACAATCAATCCCTCTCGAATCATTGCATCATGCTTACATCAGTCTTCTCTTGATCAGGAAAATCCGATGTGACGGAGGTTCGCCATGCACCAACTGCACTAGAGGTCACCGCTGCTGCGACTACACCCCTATCTCCGCTACCGAGTCTACCAAGGCCAGCCGTGCCCGAAAGATGGCTCAGGCGCTGAGAGAGTCTATGCCCGAGGATATGAGCCGACCCAGTACATGCTCGACTTCGTCCGGTTCTGCCGACCGCAAGCGAAGTGAGGGGGACTTCGCGTTTGGTCTAGAGAGCGCTCCGCCTCCTGGCGTGGGACCTTTCCACCAGGTATCACATGGTACCATGCATACCTCGGCTGTCAAGCCTTCGAGACACATCGGCAATTTCCAGCCTTTGACCCAGGAAACTCCTTCGGTCCTGATGCCCAGCGTGACTATCGCCCCTCCTTCCAAAAAGATCTCCGCCACCGATATGGGACACAATGTCGTGCCCTTGGTCTACCAGCCCATCCGATCGGACAGCTCTGGCTCGTCCACCTCGAGCGAGTACCCTCGGTCCGTTCGCCCTCAGCTGCATCACTCTCGCACCGGTTTCACCTCGATCGGACCCGTCTCGCCCCCTTACACCCCCTCGACCAACGACAAATATCCCTCGTCAGGACCCAGCATGGTTGACATCTCTGCGACACCCGACCTCATCACCCCGATGTCGGGTTTCAACTTTGACAACGGACCTATGATGTCTTACCCCCGGGCCTACCCCTCGCGAGACGAGACGGAAAGGTACCAAACCATGGCGCCTGCTTCTCATAGTCAGGGGTTCCTGCAACCCACGACTTTCGTACACGGGAACGGGTACCATGGCATGACCTCTTTTTCGGCACCCGTCTCTCCTAGTCATGGTGGCAACCTTCGTCGGACCATCAGTCAAGGACCGCACGTCTATGGCACGGCGATGCCGCCTTCCACCTATGCCTCTCAGATAAGCAACGGTGGACTGGTCGGCTTGGGGATCATGATGCCCACTGGAGAGCCTGACTTGTTCGACGGGCTCAAGCCGCAGGGGCAACCCGGCTCTGCCATACACTCGGGCATGTGATGGAATGAATGATGACCCGATAGTGAAAGCGATGTCTTGTCCCTTATAATCACGTAGACGACCCAGGTTTTACAGTAACGATAGGCCACGATAGATTGATAGAACCAGGATGATGAATATAACGATAATTTTGCCCATTCTTCCCTGACACTCGACCGCAAAAACCGTCCATATCGAAAGGGTACAAATCGAACCCAAGTCCCCTCACGCAGGGTCCTGCTCTTATGCAGCCGTCTGTCGGATCACCTCCTGTTGACCGACATTGAGAGAAAAGGCTGAGGAGAACGTCAACCTTCGAGCTGGTCCTTGCGCCAATCTGGGGGGAGGTACGACTACTGATTCGACAGGTAGCCCTGTTCCGTATGTTTTGTCTTGTGCGCAGTCATCCGCTAGAGTACTCGTCGGAGATGCGAACGCCTTGCTGATCGATTGAAACGATGACGATCCCTCCTGCGCAGCCGCGGAATGAGTGACGACAGCAGGTGTAACCGATCTCTCGAGGTCGACATCGACATCGATCGAACCGGAAGTTGCGGAGGACATGTGCGAGGCTTGTGAATCGGTCGTCGATTTTGTCGACGACCACCGGAACGCTCGCGACAATGACGAAAACGAGAACTTTTTCATAGGCTTCCGCACATGATGCGCAGGCGTGGTCGAATCGTTAATTGCAGCGGCGCTACGGAGGGAAGGCATCGATCGTTTCATAGGCGTTTCGCGTTCACCCGAGCTCGTGTGGAGCGGTTCAATTCGGCCTCGATCACCCTTCCCGGGCCCGTGCGATTCGGCAGCTCCGAAAATGTTCCGGAGGCTTTTGCGACGAAGTCTAGCGCCGACCGTAGCACGTGAAGACGCGCTTCCAGGTTCATGGACGTCGAAGTTGACTTTTTGGTTATGAGCAAGGGGGAAAGACCGGCCCAGGGAAGCTGTTGTCGTGATAGTTGATGGACAAGGTCTGTCTATGCCCATCGAAAGCATCACGTCTTGTCGGTTCGCAGGCGTGCTGTCAATCGCAACAGTCGGAGTCGTCCAACGAAGTGATTCACGTGAAACCGATCGACCAGATCCTTGAGATCTGAACAAGGCGTCGTCGGGCTTGTGGGCGATCTTTCGGTGCACTGCCTTCGGAGTGGTCGGGGTTTCGATATCCTCGGAGCTGGCGGAGGAAGTCGGGGTCGAGGCCGAAGATCCCTCTGTCTGAAACGTTATCTTGGTCGCAGAGCCGGGAGTATCGATCGGGCGCGTTAGAACTGAATCTGTGACGCCCGAAGGATCTTCACATTCCGCGAGTGTGACTCGGATGCCCTGGTGCTCTTGTCGAAGCGCTACGGGTGAATTGTCAAAGTCAAACGCCGGAAGCTCTGACTTTCTCGAAGACTCGAGGCCGATGGAAATGTCTCCGTCATCTGACGCGACCGAATCTGCCCCATAGCTTTGTCGCCACATTCCCGGTCCCGATGGTCGTACTATTGCCGAGGCAACGACGACCGTAGAGGTCGAAGAAGTAGGCGAGGTCGAACCCCCCTTTTCACCTTCCTGGTTGGGCTGAATCGTTATAGCCGCATGCTCTCGTTCGAGCGTCTTCAACCGAGACGTCGATACCGTGAGCGAGACCCGCCTGGCTGCCCTGACCTTGCTAGGCGGTCTAGGCGTTTCAAATGTGTCTTCGGGTTCGGATGTTTCAGGTAAGACGTGTACCTCGATAGACGTCGGTCTTCGCGTTTGAAGGTCTTTATCCGTAGACATGTCCGTATCCTTGTTCATGTCATTGTCGCTCTCGCTCTCGCTGTCGGCAGTGTCAAGGTAACTCTCCCTTCGACGAGCCGTCATGTACGCGTCCCCCTCGTCGCCGGGAAACCCCTCCTCTGTCAACCGGTCGTCCTGTTCTTCATAATCAAATAACAACCCCTTGTTCGCATCCAGCCCCTGGCTAGGGTTCTTGAGGATCAGAGAGGCGATACTGTCACGAGAGCTGTAGGTTGGGATCGTGGGGTCGTGTTGATGCAGGATGACGGAGATGTTGCCATCTGTTGGGACAAAGCCAGAGCAAGGACGCGTCATTTCCGTTAGCTCTCGAGTCTGGGACTCGAATATAGAACTAGCTGACCCACCTTCTTCAGGTGAGACCAAGCAGACAGAAGGAGGTAGCAGCTCTTGCCACTCCTTTTCTACCCGAACGTTCTCCTTGTCCATGCCCCTCGAAGTCCTCGGGCTCGAAGGACCCAACTCAAACAACCTCTTCACGTCTCCTTTCCCCCTGATGACCTGTCTGCGTTTCGGTGAAGGTGGACGGTTGATGTCCGCCGCAGGAGAGTTTAGGGAGATGATCTCCAGGGACGACCGTCGTCTGGGTAGAGAGATGAGCGGGTAACGAGAGATATAGGAGTGGGATGAACCGGTGAAATATGAGGGGGCAACTGTCTTGCGGGAGTGCTGAACGGCGACTCGAAGTTAGTCTTCAGCTTAGGTTTCGCTGGGGCCTTGAACGTGTTCTCAACTCACCCTGGGCACAGTAGGAAAATACGACCCCTCCTTCGACTCGACCTCCTGACCCGTCCTGCCCCCCTGCTCTTCTTCATCCTCTTCCTCTTCCTTGACGGTCCCTAAATCAGGTACCTTTGGGGACGAAATCTTCGCCCTCGTGAACTTGTTGCCCGCAACAAAAGGCCTGACGGGTTCTCCCATGGGAAGGCTCCAGAAGTCTTCCTCTTCCTCCTCCTCTTCGTCGTCATTGTCGTCGTCGTTACTGGGGTTGTTGTCTGGGTCGCTATTGTCCATGTCGCCATCAGGATCACCGATGTAAAAACTCTTCCTCCGAGCTGTACCTCCGATTTGATGGCCAATCATAGAGTCGGGACGTGAGTCGGACTTGAATTTTGGGTTGGAATTGGGAAGGATGACGGATTGGATCCTCTTGGAGATCTCTTGGGCGACCATCTGGTGGTATTGCGAGGTCGATTGAGCGGTCATCCGTTTTCTTGTCGAGATTGGTTTTTGCAACGGGGCTGAAGGTGAGCGTGCGTTCGTTGGTGAGGGAGCAAGATCGAGAGTCTTCAAGCTGTCGGTATCAGCGTCGATGTTAGTGGGCGTGTCGTTTACGTTGTCAAAGTCGTCAGAGTGGTCCGTTTTATCGGCGGCGGGGTCACTGTGCTTCGTCGTGGTGGAGTCGCTGTGCGATGCGTTGTTGTTCATCTCCTTGAGCGACCACAGCTTTCTCAGAAAAGTTGACGAGGACCGTTTCCTTGGTCGAGAGCCGTCCTCCTTTACGCTGTTTGTTGTTGTCGTCGTCGTTCTGATCATGTCGGCTGCTGGCATCGCGCAGTTCGATGGGTCGCGGTTCGGTGTCGTCGTGCGTCGCGGCGAGAGACAGGGTCCAGATTGGGGATGGAAGCTCTTCGAGCCTCGGTGGATCGGTGGATCGCTAAGACAGAGGCCAGAGGAAGTGATGTGACAAGGGAGCGTGAATGTTTTTGTAACTTGGATGATATGATCGGATGGTTGGATTTCGAACGACGAGTTGTAGCGGTAGTTGATAGTATGTAGCTATGTAGAACCTAGAAAGATCGATGATTTCAATGTTCGACCATCGTATTTGAGCTCTCTGATCTCCGAGGTCGATCGGTATTTGTTTTGATAATCAGGATCGCAAAGATCGGAGAGCGCACGGTTCGCGACGTCTCATCAATTTTGATTAGGTTTCATCAACAATTCGCGCGGCGTTCTGATCGCGTGCTGGCCTCACCCTTTCCTCGCCCTTTGGGTCTCGACGACCCTCCTTTGGAATGATGAACGACTCAAACGCCAACCGGCCCGCGTCAGACCGATCAGTTCTTTCTTATCCGAGCCCGGTCGTGCGTAGCGGTCGCCGAGGGTCGCAAGGGGTACAGCTGAAACGCCTTCGAATCGGTCAGTCAGTCGCCGATTGAGAAGCGCGTCGCCCCAGATTGCGCTTGCTTCTCACGGTGACGGCATCATGACGGCATGCATGTCTCTCTCTCTCGGAGAGGGATCCCCGTTCAGGACATTCTCGACAATATGACAATTGCATGCATCACAGCGTCGGTGCTTTACGTGCTTTAGTCAGTGATATACAAACATACGCACAAAGGTTACGGACAACCATACACCATGCTTCTCCTCGATGATCGGTAAATAACGTCCAGGGATCCAGGGAAAAAGGCTGCACAATATCGGTAGCGTTCGCGGAATAAGGGGCATCCAGACCGACGGACGGTTAGAGGAATGGCATACAGACCGGTCAGTCTAGCTTCGAATATGAGGTTTCGGTTCACGTATGACTGAATTCAACGGCTCACATTTCGAAAATCTCACTTGCCATACCATATGGGGACAGCCTCGAGATGATCCTCGATCCGGCTTGCCAGCCTCTAACAACGATAGACAGCCCGGCATAACCCCCTGGGCGAGTCGTCGAAATCAACCTCCTCCCCATCATCATCAGCCGCGACCACCTACCAATCAGTATCGCAACCATAATCACCACAATCACATCAACCACGGTCATACCAGACCTGCATACGCTTCGAGTATCCCTGAACCGGCACCTTATTCGGGAACGAGCACGGCGAATGCGAATGCGATCCCCTTGGGCGGGTCTGCCCATCCTTCGCCTCTAGCAGCCGGAGGGCCGGTAATCAAGAAACCTCCTCAGATCTCGCCTTACCGCGGAGGAGCCGGGGGGAGTGGGAGGGGAGGGACGCCGAGAGGTAGAGGAGCACCGAGAGGTGGAGGGTATGGAGGGAGAGGACGTGATGTTTGGACAGACAGGGATAGGGATAGGGACAGGGACAGGGATCAGCAGGAGCGGGATCGTGTTGAGCGAGAGAGAGAACGGGAACGTATCGAGCGAGACCGTATTGACCGGGAACGTGAAAGGGAAAGAGAGTGGGAGAGGACAAGAGAGGTGGATTCGAGGGATGGTTCATCAACTTACCGGACGGGGTATGCGGACAGGGATCGAGATCGAGAACGGGAAAGGGAAAGAGAACGAGAACGGGACAGAGAGAGGGATTATCGTGATGATCGACCTGGACCGCCTCAACAAGCGACCGTCCCCCCTCCTCTGCCCAACACTGGATCGCTTTCGCGATCTACCGGACCATCTCCATCGACCTCGAGACCGGTCGGTGTCGGAACCAACGCTGTCAATAGTAGCGGTGCGTCGATCCCAACCGGTCCAAGGGCTTCAGCGTACCAAACGGATGTGAAGACGATGGGGCGTGGATCTAGGTCCCCGAACGGAATGGATAGGCGGGATAGACATAATGAGTGGGAGAGAGAAAGAGAGGGAATCCCAGAGAGGCGAGAGAGGAGTCCCGAGAGAGGTCCGCTTGTTGGGCAAGCGGGCACAGGAAGGTAAGTGGGGATCGTACAGTTTGATATCACCGAGATCGATATCGTCTTATCGCAAGCTAAAATCACTCGGTATGCATCTCAGAGGACTGTATGGTAATATCGTCCGGGATTTTACGATACCTACTGCGACCGAGGGTCTTCCATCCTCGACCCACGCAACTCCACCCAAAGTTCCTCAAGCGATCTCAACACCGCCCAGTTACAGTCGGCCTTCCGGACCGCCTCTGGTCTCGAAACCGTTCGCTACGCCGATCTCGACCGCTGCAGCTGTCTCAGCCAATCATACTCCGCTTGCTGGTGTTCCCGGTCCGTCCTTGGGTGTTCCTACCGGTCCTCGTAGTGATCGCAACCGAGTACCCGAGAGAGGGGGTTACGCGGATCCTAAATCATTGTGGAACGGTGCGAGCGACGAGCGCGATGGAATCGCTTCTGGTTCTACACAGTGGAACACGGAAAGAGACGATAGAAACCGAGGTCGGGATCGTTGGGAGAGAGGGTCTGCGGCAGATGCGAATCACGCTTCGAGGTACTCGGATCGGGCTTCTGTTCGGTCGGCGCGATCACGTGAATCGTCTCGATCGAGAGCGAGGACGAGGTCCCACAGTCCGCAACTATACGGATCGTCCGTCGGAGGGAGTGTGGCGGGTGGCAGTGGGGCGCCTCCAGGGTATCGGCCGGGCGTACCTCCTAGTGGTCCCAGGGCGATGGCAGAGAATCTGAAGAGTCCTTCGGTCGAGCAGGATAATAGACCACGATTCAACATTGGAACGAATCAGGGTTCTGGGTACAGTCTGGTCACGCCGCGAGCGTCTTCGCCTCCCCATCGGACGGCTTCCTTCGTACCTCCTTCGGCAGGATCTTCAGCGTCAAGACGTTACGATGCTCGAAGCGTCGATGGGGTCTCGACATCGACCGCCGGTGGTAGTCTAGGTGTGGGAAACTGGGCTAGGAGGAGAGAGATGGATCGGTTAATGCAGGAGATGAGACAGGGTAGAGGCGTTGCAGGCAGTTCCATGTCGACGACGGCACCGCCTTCGGCTCCAGAGACTCCCAGAACAGCCGGCGACAGTGAGCATTTTTCAAGTCGCTACCATGCACCTGGACGGTCGAGAGGTTCCTCCCGAGCTAGATCCAGGTCTGTATCAGGGACACGCAATACTGGCAGAGACAACGGCTGGCCTGAACGACATCGTAGCGCGTCCTCTAGAGGATCGCCAGATCGGGTTCTGCGAGAAGGAACCGACATTCGAAGGTCATCGGCAGGCTCGTCGCCTCTCAAACCGAATCTCACAGAGGATCAACCGAATTCGAGAAGTCCCACCAAAACCCTCTACAGCCCGGAGAACAGGCGCACACTTAGTCCTGTCAAGCTTGACGACAGGCAGGATTCGAGCTCAAGCATTACGCAAGAACTACAGTTCAAGAATCAGTCTGAGAGGGGATCTTCTACCGCCGAATCTGGCAAGGTCACCGACAAGCCGGCCAACAGTCTGATCAAGCAGGAGGTCATCGCGCCTTCCACAGGCATACCTCTCGCTTTTGAGGGCTTGCCCAATGAAGACCGAGAGGTGCGAAGATCACCCTCCCATGTGCCTTCCACACCGTCTACACCATCGACGCCACCTTTGTCTCCTGCTCCAGATGAGGCTCTCAACGACCCCAAGAGTCCAATCTTTCAGACACAAAAAGAAGGACGGCGCGACTCGCAAGATTCCCTTGCGGTGGAGATGGAGGAAGAAGCCCAGACACACGCACAACCCATGTCATCAACCAATGCGCTGGGGCTACGCTCGCCGCCAGCGCGTCCAGAAACCTTTGATCATCCACCAACATCTCCCTTGACCGAGATCCAGCCTTCATCGCCTGTCAGAGAATCTGCCGACTTGATAGTCGAATCAGAGATTCCACTTATAGGAAGACCAGACAGCATTTCAAATGATGACCTGATCCCTCCAGGCCAGTCGGAAGGGATCCTCTTGACGCCAAAGCCGAACGCTGATACAGGGTCGATCTTAGACGGTACATTCAGGCCTGCCGAGAGAATTGCGGACAACACACCGCATACTCCAGAAGACGCGATCGAGAGCGAGCTAGAATCCGAAGAGTCGCTCGAGCCGTACGGCAAAGAGTTCATAGACTTTGACTTTGCGACTCATGCAGCTGCGAAAGATCTTCTGAAGACTCGGTACACCAATCGCATGGATGTGAACAACCCCGTCGAGAACGTGTTGGCGGAAAATAACTGGACACGAAACGATGACAATGTACGAGCCGCTCAAGCCGAACAGATTGATTCGTGGCAGATTGCTCGGCTCAAGGCCAACCATCCTTCCACATGGGTTCGACATATCGTTGCCGCGCGATGCATAAAAAACAAAGAAGACTACAAGCGATATGTGCAGGCTCTGCAGGAAGAGTGGAACCGACTCGATGAAGCCTGGCAGAAGCAACGGGTCCTTCTCGAAGAAGAGAACGAACAGTTGAGGAGGGTGTACGAGGCTACGCTACTCCCTCCCACGCCGGCGGTAGATAAGGACACCCGGCCTGCGCCTCGTAACCGAAGAAGAGGCGCGATCGACACGGAGCAACAAATGTTGGGCATTCACGACGGTGACGAGGCGGGTTTGGAGCGTATCCTGATGGCGATCCGTCAGGCAGAGGAAGCGGATCCTGTCGCTCGAGCCAGAAAGACCGAGGCCGTCATACCAGACATGGTTCTCGAGCCATCTGGCTACCGTTTGGATTACGACGATAATACGTCCCTCGTTCAGGACCCATTGGCGTTCTACGACATGAGTCACAAGACCGATATCGAGTGGACGGCAGAGGAGGATGCCGAATTCCGCAAACTATACGCCCAATTCCCCAAGCGATTCGGCGAGATTGCGGAGCGGATTCCAGGTCGGACCGCCAGCGAGTGCGTGCACCATTATTACCTAAGCAAGAAGGAAAAGGCATTCAAGGAGCCAGCTCGAGGAGGGGCCAAACAGTACAAGGAGGTACCCATATCCTCGATCGCCAATGGTAGGAATACCATCACGGCCCCGCGTTCCAGGATGGTCGGAATGGTCCGCGGCAATAAAGCTCTCATCGCTGAGACGACAGGGAGGGATCCTGCCGGCACATCAGTTCCGACACAGCTCTCCGCGAATCCTCGAAAGCAGCCGAAACGAAAATTGGACGAGGTAGACAAGACAGTCGCGTCGACGGGCTCTGCGGGGAAAGAAGATGTTCCCACGGCCCCACCTCCCAAAGTGCGGAAAAAGCCAGGTCCCAAACCGGGGCAGAAGCGTAATAAACCTGCAGCCTCAGCAGCGACAGCCCCTGCCACCGTGCCTTCACAGGTCGGAGAGTCCTCTACAGCAACCCCCGCCGTCAAGAAGCGAAGAACGGTCAAGCCCAAAGCGAAGAGGGGTGCTGATCTTACGCTGACTCCCGGTCAGGCGGCGACGGATGCGACTCAAGCTGGTGATCAACCGATCACACCTGGGACTGCATCGACGATCGGAGCCGAGTCTCTGCAACGCGACGTGAGTCTTGAAGAGGAGGAATCATTGCGTAAACCGGGATCGCGGGACTGAACATGTTTTCCTTTACACGCTACAGACGGACGGTCAACCTTACACGGCAGCCGGATCAGCTCTGACTTATCCAGAATCCATGTCATTCCGTCCCGGAATGTCGATCGGAGGGTGGTCAGGTCAGCCCGCTGCAGCTTCAGCCTTTGAGCACTCGGCGCCGTATCTACCTCCTATCAGAGATTTCATGTCCGTCTCGAGGAACGACTCGCCGACGTCCAACGAACACACCTACGCTCCACCCTCGATGCATTATCCTCCAGGTCCTTCGTCTCAGAAGCTCTCCTTCGGTTCGACTTTGCCGCCGGCACCGGCAATCTCGATCCAGCAAGACGGCAAGGAGTCTTCCGCCCCGCCGCAAGTCTTTCGAAGAAGCAACATCAACGACCTCTTGAACGCGAGCAGCGACGAGACGTCTCAAAGTATGACGACGTCCCGGTCCGTACCGCCGCCGGAAAGAGGGCCTGTTATGCCAAGCAATGTCTTGGCAAGCTCTGCGGTCCGGGGCTCCCCAGCTCGAGCGATCGACGGTTCCAACATGCCAGGATCGTTCGACCTGGGCTCCGGTCGCGGGTTCCCGCTCGCCAGTCCTGTGTATCCCTATCATCACAACCACCCCGCAAATCCAGAGTACCATTCGGACCGGACGCAAGATCCTGGAATGCGCGATCTCGTGGCACCGTCCATAGCCGAGCGTCTGGGATCAGAGCCAAGCCTCGGACGTAACCTTGATCGCCGATATGCGGATACGCGTCGGGGTTTCCCAAGCGCGTCCGACTTGTACCAGCATCACCAGCAGTAGCGGCTGCAGCACAGCAAAGTGAACAGTCTGCGAAACGTTGTATGGTCTCTTTAGCATCTAGTAATCCATGACAACCTGTTGTGCTCGTTGGGTTCAGAACCTAGACAAGATATTAGAAACGCAGGTCAGAAATGGGTCGGCGTTGCTAGGCAGCGGCTATGGACAAGGTCGCGAGGTCGTGTGATTGAGCCCGTGAGCGGCGGGATCTTTTCGACCAACTTTGGCGGGGTGGGGATGTGTGTTCCAAAATCGGTTCAGATCGGACCGTAGCCCCCCCCCCCTTTGGAACTTGGGACAGGTGTCAACAGCCAGCTGGCCAGGGGCGGGATGACAGGTGATCGACAAGAGGTTCAAGATTTGATGCCGTCGTAAAGGTCGTCGCACCGGGGCACCGTGAGGGGCAACAAAGTGAACGCTCTAAGCGAGGAGAGTCAGGTCCCGCAAATCGCGCGCTCGAATCCGCGTGTGTGTTCACATGCGCCGCAAATCCCCTCTTCGAACCTGGCTGTCTGGAGATCGGACCGATGGTCCCCACATCGAAAGGTCGTGCAATGCAAATGTCAGCTAGTCGGCCTCTCGTCAAGCCCGACGTCGAACGAGGTATATATTCCATCCACGACGAGATGAGGGCGAATCCATCGAGCCTCGTCGGTGATCTCTCCAAGTCACAACCACTCACGAGTCTTTTCCGCCAACATGACCTCCAACCAAGCTTGGGACACCGCATCAGTCGAGGAGAAGAAGCACGACGTCATCCACGATGAAGGTGATGCGGCTTCGCAAGCCAACGTCCTCGTCGTCACTCCCGAGGACGTGAGTCGATTGGCGTCGTTCACATACGTGAGGAGATCGAGCTGCAAACACTGACGCTACTGCTCTCTCGCGCTTTGGCCTTATCCAGGACAAACGTGTTTGCCGGCTCATCGACAAGAGATTACTACCCATTCTCATCTGGGTGAGTTGTACTATGTCCCCCCGAGAGCAGCATATACTTACCTCACTCGACGTTCAGGTCTACTTCTTGCAAATTCTGGATAAATACCTGCTCGGTCTCGGTGAGCCGTCTGAGTTGTCTTCTTGAAACACTGAAGACGCGAACGCTGACGATCTTGTGTCGCTAAATAGCCGCCGTCTGGGGTCTGAGAGAGGAAGCTGGTCTCCACGGGAATGAATACAGTACCATGGCATCCATGAACGCTATCGCCCAGCTCGTTTGGCTCGTGAGTGCAACCCCGTCTCCCTCGGTTTCGAGCGCTTGCTGACGACCAGAGTCCTTGTCACGCTCCTACAGCCCTTTTCATCCTACCTGTTGGTCCGTCTCCCGGCTAAATACTACATGGCTGGTTTGGTCTTCGGATGGGGTGGAGCGCTCTTGGGAATGGGGTTCTCGAAGAGCTACGCCTCGTTGTGCGCCACGAGATTCCTTCTCGGTCTCTTCGAGGCGGCCTGTCTGCCCCTTTTCGCCATGATCACCTCTCAGTGGTACAGGAGGCAGGAGCAGCCTCTGCGTGTGGCCACCTGGTAAGCGGGATTAGGTCAACCGCTATTGACTTGTTCCCTGCTGATTGTCAATAATCTCTAGGTATGGTACCAACGGTCTCGCTACCATGTTCGGTAGCTTGATGAGCTTCGGAATTGGGCACGTCAAGAGTCCTCACATCTCGAGTTGGCAGGTAAGTCTTGGACCGATTGTTTCGATCTGGAGGAAGTTACTGAAGGTGTTATCTGTAGCTGGTTTTCATTATTCCAGCATGTCTCACCATCTTGACCGCCCCAGTCATTCTATACGTCGTTCCCTCGAATATCGACGACGCCAAGTGGTTGACCGAGCACGACAGGGCCGTTGCTTACGAACGCGTCAGGTTCAACCAGACTGGAACGGGATCGAGCAAGTTCAAGGTGCCTCAACTGCTTGAAGCCCTCTGGGACCCTAAGACCTGGATCATGGTATGCACCTCGATCTTGCTCAATGCCGGAGCCAACGTCACCGGAACTGTGAGTCTGAACGCGTCTCGACGAGTATGGGCGCGCGCGATTCTGATCAGACCTTTCCTGGTTCAGTTCGGAGGACTTCTCGTCAAGGGTCTCGGTTTCGACAACTACAAGACGTCCCTCCTCAACATGCCCTTCGGTGCCGTCCAGCTCCTCGTCATTGTGCTCCTCGCTTGGATTGCCACGCGATTCAAGTTCAAGGGTGTCCCCCTCGCCGCCATCTGCGTGCCCGTACTCGTCGGCTGTATCATCCTTGTCACTAGCGGGCGAGCGAAAAGTGATGCGGCAAAGAACCTTGTTGGGTGAGTTCCGAGGGAACGGCGAGCTGGGCGAATCAATAACCAGATGTTTCGTCTTCGCGTGTACCCCATCGTATAGGTATTATCTACTTGGTAAATTCGCTTCGCTCGAGGGAACGGCGAGCTGGGCGAATTACTGACCAGATGTTTCGTCTTCATGTGTACCCCATCGTATAGGCTTCATCTTCGCTGGAAACCCTTGTAAGTATTCCTGAGGGTGAAGTGCGGACACAAAAAAAAACGAGAAAGTGAAGTGACTGACTCGAGAACGCGTTTTCACCGTATACAGTGATCGTGACCTGGTTGATCGCCAATACCGCTGGCTCCACCAAGAAGGCCGTTGTCACCGTCATGTACAACATTGGAAGCTCGGCCGGTAACATCATCGGACCCTTCCTCTTCCAAGCCAAGGAACAACCCTACTACAGGTACGTCCACGTAGATGCTACAGATTTCTTAAGGACTGGACGCTAACCCTCTTGTGTGTCGTGTGTCTCGCAGGACCGGCTTGAAGATCGTCATGGGAGTCTTTGCCGCTCTCTTCGCGCTCGTCATCTTGCAGATGTTCCTCCTCATCACGCTGAACAAGCTTAATGCCAAGAAGCGTGTCGAACTCGGCATGGAGGCCGTCATCGTCGATCGATCCATGATGACCAAGGCAGAAGAGGATGCTGCAGGCGCAGTCGAGCACGTCGAGCACAACGAGGAGGACGATGACATTACGGATATGAAGAACCCTCGGTTCGTGTATGTGCTTTAAAGGGATTGTATATAAGGTCGATCGAATTGGAGGACTGTCAGTGTAAGACTCAGGCTCGAAGTGATATTCATATATGCTCAAGAACTCGAAGTGCTTGTTACGCGAGATATGAAACACAGATCAGCAAAATATTGATTTTCGTCGCAACGTGCCAGGCCCCGCAAGTATCGTCGCCAGAAGCATGTCAAAGTCGTTGAATAAACATCGCTTACAACCGCATTACAATTGTTACATGCGCCCCGGAAAACAAAAAGACATCGAATTACAATTGATCCCGTACCAAGCGACAGTCTAAGTCTTAGTCCATCATAGAATTGGGCCCATCATCTCCCGTGATCAGGCTGCACGTCCGGAAGTAAAGGTCACTTTAAGCTGGGCACGGCCGAACGCAGGAAGACTCACGGATATTCTCTGACCAATGCGCATTCACCGCCTTGTTGTAGGTCGATCGCATAGGCCTGAAAGAGACCTTCTGCGGTGATGACCAAGACGTGTGACGAGTTGCTGCGACCCATATCACCAATTTCAGCTTTGGTCTGCGACATTCTAGCAGAAGTGCGAGGTAGTGGGCCCGGACTGGACTCACGGACTCATGGCAACAACGCTACGTCCACCCGCCCCTCCTCGTAGCTTGCAAAAGGCGAAATCCCGCCTAGGTTCCCAGACCTCTGTCACGCGGTTCGGCAGGTAACCCCCCATCCCTGCCACCAGATTCTTGCCCAGGTGGAAACTGCGTCGAGAAAAGCTAGCTCCTGCCGATTGCGCTGACGCATCTGCAAGACCACCTGGTCGACCGGTCCCGTTGCCCGTCGAGTTGGTCGCCGACAATGTAGGCGAAGATGGAGCTTCAGAAGCTGGGGGAGAGTGCGGTTTGACACCTCCGTGGGACTCCGTCCTGCTCAGATCGCCTGCGCGTCTCGTCCCGCTCCCAGACTTGGTCGTCGTCTCGAGCAAGTTGTACACGTGTACCGTTTCAGTGTCCGAACTGACGGCGAGCAGCGACCCCACGGCGTTAAAGTTCATGCTGAATACCCTGGCGCTCTTGGATCCTCTCCGATACTCCCCCAGCTTTTTGGCATCGGGTACGCTGAACACCCGGATGACGGTCCCCTTGTCGGAGGCCGTAGCCAGCATGGTCCCCTGAGAATTGATGGCCATTGCAGCAATGGGCGACTTGTGTGCCTGGATCATGTTAACGGCCGTCAAGGTGATCGTGTCAAAGATCAAGATTGAGCCGATCGAGCTGGATTGAGAGGGTGCCGGAGGTTGGTTCGAGAGGGGTGACGAGGCGGTGGGGATCGGGGCGGGGTAAGCGAGGTACGAGTTGTCATTCGATGGTGACAATGCGCAGATAGCTAATCACGGATGCGAGAGATCAATTTCTACCCTCCCACTTGAACGGAAGACGACACGTCGCTCGGCGCGACTCACCGCTCGAGTTCGGACCGGTATCTAGGGTATGAAGCAGTTTCATGGTTGAGATATCGTAAATGTATATCTCCAGTTCAAGTACGACGACCAGTCTCTTTCTGTTCATCCGTACGGCGAGGATGGCCGTTGGGAACAAGAGCTCGCAGATGGTGGATTGTCGCTACAAGATCAGGCAGTGGGAACGACGAGGGTTAGCGGTCATGGCATTTCACAAGATGTCCCTCCTGTCGGTTGCGCGATTGCAAGGATAAAGTCAGAAATGCGAGACACACCTTGGTATTGACGATCTGTAACCGCCTGGGACTCGCCGATGGCTTGTCACCCGCACTGACGAGCGCGACCAAAGAGGTGCAGAACAACATTTCCACGATGGCAGTCGCTCCTTCATCTGTAGCAACGAGGACCAGGGTCGGCGGAAGGAGATGGGAATATCACCAGGTGACGACATAGAGGCGCAAGTGTCAGTAAAAGCAGAGTCGCTTGAGAGGGCGAAGTCGAGGAAGTGATGAGAAGCCTATGGGATGGGAACAAGGGATGACCTACTCTTAGAGTACATCTTGCCATACGGATCGCAGTTGATGATACTGTACCCCTTCTTGGTACCTACCGACACGCAGCTGGATACGCAGCGTCAATACGATATCAGCAACCGTGTTTATGACGAGAAAACTCCCGGTGCGTCTCACCTAAAATCTTGATTAAAGTTGCATGACTATACATCGTGCCAAGCGTCAAACCAGCGAGTGTAAACACGAAGTTGTTCAGCGTCAGGGGGGGGGGGGGCCACAAGCGTATGTCGTGAACAGGCATGTACTGACCAGCAAGTCGGGATGTTGTTTAGATGCAGGCATCCTGATTTGGATCCCGGATGAACGATCGAAAGAAGTTCAGGTTCGAAATGCGTCCTGTAAGCTTCAGTTCAAAGGGCGATATGCAAACGCCGGGGGGAGGTCGGGTCACGCCGCGGTGATGTGGTGCCGGTGCGTCTGGTCTGGCAGTTCAAGGGATGGGTACCTCGACGAACGGAAGGGAATGAGATGTGATTGTTTGTTTGCTAGCTGCCAGGTTGTCAAGATGATTGACTGAATTGGGGAACAACCCGTTGGGATGATACATCTTGCTGCTGCTGTGTGGATGGGATGGGATGATGTGCTCGGTCCCTCTCTCGGTGCTGACCGGGGAAGTTGATCGATGACGAGTGACAACGATTATTTGATATTACGTCATCATCGTCGGGGGGGATGACGATTCCTCGTAGTTTGCATCCGCACAGGGGAGGGAGAGGGGGAGGGGGGAGGGGATCGGATGATCGAAAGTCTCGTTGAATCGAAGAGTTTGCACGATGTGAGGTCTGAACTCGAAATGACCTCGACAACGACATCGTCTACAGACTCAGAACGCAACTTGACACTCCAGTAATTACCACAACTAGGATCGAAACATGTCTGGCGCATCTCCCGCACCTGTAGGCTACTGGGAATACGGCTGGGAAAAGTGTAAACGTCAACCTCTCGTACCTCTAGGTAAGTCGAGCCTGTATCCGCAAACGCACACCCGCTATCACCAGAACATCCAGACTCACATAGCCTCGCATGGTCTGATCCCCAGGTGTGCTTGCTACCTGTGCGGCGCTCATCGGGGCCTCGGCCTCGCTGAGGAAGGGCAACCGGGAACAGTTCAACAAGTACTTGCGATTCCGAGTAGCGTGAGTCGTCCACCCTGCCTCGACTTCGTCTGATTCGATCGCTGAAGTCTTGCCGTCTCGCTACGATTTCTCTCGTGTCGCTTTGCATATGCAACCTGCAGAGCACAAGGTGTGACCGTCGTAGCCGCCGTCGCCGGAACGTACTTCCTGACCAACAAACCTCAACAAGTTCGGGACCGTCGCCAACAAGTCCTTACCAACCAGCTTCCCCCCGATCCAGATTCAATTATCAGCGCTGCTCCCGAATCGGGCCTGATCGCAGGCAAGACGACATCCTCCAAGGAACTCGCTACCTCGTCCCTTCAGACCCACGGAAAGGGACAGGGTGAACCCGCATCCCCGTCGACGTCGAAATCCGAATCGAACAGGTTCGAAAGAGCTCCCCGGATCTCGCAGACGATGCAACAGACCGAGAAGGCTCTCGAAGGTGGGGAAGGCGCCGTTAAGCCGAGGAGGGTGAGCGAGTTTGGAAAGCGGTTGGAAGAGGCCGAGAGGTTGCAGAGGGAGAGCGACAAGTAGGCGATCAGCCTGGGACGGGCGATTCAGGGACGTACGGGAATCGGAATGCGAAATTCGAGAGAAGTGAGAAGTGAAAGGTGCAAGGGGAAAGGACGAACATGGGTAGATTCGGGATCTAAATGTATCAAGTAAGAATATGAAACGCATATTAGCAGGCAGAGGGTCGACAACCTCGGAATCAACAACGGCAGTTTCCTGAAGCAGGGAATCCAGGGTTGACCTTTGCTCCTGTTCGTCGAGGAGTCAACGGTCCTGCCTCTGCTTCACCCGATAGCGGGGCGGAATTGAGGATACGGTCTGATACGACGGATCATTTCATCGCACGCGCTAGCCAGCAAGCCAAAAGCCAAAGGCGAGCCGACCTGCCACAACATCGCTCATCTTCTCCCACTCTCGCACTCCTTCCCCTCAAGCACCAGGCACGATATCCATTTCCTCTCTCTCACCTTTGGCTGAGAGGTATGTCTATCTACATTGTTGACGAGGTTATCAAGACCCCAGACTCATCGTTGTCACCAGGGGACCATGTCCACTCGATCACTGCTGTTGCGGCGGTGACGCCAAAGGCCTGTTTGAGGTTCTCGATATATACAGCACAAACACATCACACAGCACGCCTTCTCGGAACCCCGCAAATCCTTTCCGATGTTGAGGTCTAACGTCTTTGGAAGAGCGAGAGAGCTCGAGACGTGCCCAAGCAGTACAAAACCAAGAAGTTTCGCTATCATGTTTACGACCGCTAAGCTGGATACCCCTGTACTTCTCGGTTGACAGGCCTGCGTGCTCTATATGATGTTTTCAACGCATGCTCCCGGGTGTTCTCATAAGCGAAAAGATTCCAGGTTTCACGATCTCCTCGATGAAGAGATAATTAGATCTTCGGTCGTTGCGATAGGTACATGCAAAGCTGTACCTATATAACGGTCGCGTCAAGGTGACCTTCAGCAGATATCTTGAACGGATTGCATCATGCGTCAAGGCCCAAAGATGAGCGATTCTGATAATTCTAGGAAATCATCGTGCGCGCCCAGGGCAAGGCGCCCACGCCTTATCACTCAGACAGTTCTCCATCCTTCTCGATTATGTATTGACCGTTCGGTAACGATGTTGTCCTTTCCATCATGACCTCGTATCATGCCCCTCGGTTCGCGAATGTGTTTTTGCTGCTTGCAACAAGGTTACTGCAGCGACCAAAGATCACGGCCGATCCGACGTGTCTTCCCACTTTAGCCAGCGAGAACGTCGACAATCCCGAACAGGCTTTTCATTCGAGAACACATCAATCATTACGATCGTTACCAAACAACGACTAATCTGATATCGGAAGCAAAGCTCATTTCTTCACCGTGTGACCCAAGCTAGCTAAGACGCGAGATTTGGCACGAGAGTCGGGACAGGCTGAAACACAAGTTATTGAACCATCGTCACACCTCGAGCAAGAGAATGGACCGTTCACAAAGTTTGAAGTACACGCGGTTAGTCGTCGAAGACGAGGATTGTGTGAAACTGGAGTTGTTACCCCACGTTCAGTATGGCGTCTCAGGTCCTTTTCCGATGAAACGAGAATTCCAAGATACGCGCGCGCGTTCGTCAAGCGCATGGCTGTGGCTCAAACAGGAATCGCCGACATCTTCCTTTGCGTTGCTCCTAGTACTCCTCGACCTCCTTCCTGCGATGGGAACAGACCTCCTTTGCCTATCTCCTGTGATCCGTGTTTCACGTCACTTGTATCGAGCGCGCCCACAGGCTGTTGTCGAGTATAAGATGCGCAAGATGCCCCTCGCAATACATGTTCACTAATTAACAAGAATAATGAACAACAGCATTAACTCAAGATTGCAATTCTGCAAGGCAACTCCACTTACTACAGCTCTTCAGCACAAAGCAACTTGCGCGTACACTTCTACAGATATGGTCTCTCGAAAGTCGTTCGCGGCCCTTCTCTCGCTTCACATAGCACTGCTGGTCAGCGCCTCGCCTGTACAGCAGCACATCAAGCGAGAATTGGAAAACGGTACCATTCCCGAATCTCAAAGCACAACCAACTTGGATAGCAGCACGCCTCAGACAGATGCGGTCATTGCTAGCGTTCAAACTACACAGGATCCTGCCGCGACTGCCACGGGGGACACTTACCAAGACCCCAACTCTAGCCAGACCGCCACTGCTACGGCGGACGGGACCCCACAAATCACCTCCTCTTCTGTCGCACAAGCGGACTGGCGAGCTGTCGGATGTTACAAGGATTCGGGTGACAACCGAATCCTTTCAGGGGATCTGCACTGGAACAGCGCAGGGATGACTTACCCTGCCTGTTACGACGACTGCCAAAGTAAAAACAAGCTCGTTGCAGGATTGCAATACGGTAAGAAACGCCGAAGTCAATAGACCTTAGAAGTCCAAGCATGCTGACGGATCCCTTGAATGCAGGCCAAGAATGTTGGTGCGGCGACGAGATACCTTCGCTTAGCCTAAAAGCAGATGACCAGGAGTGCAATATGCCCTGTAGCGGCGCCGGAGGCGACATGTGTGGCGGCGAATGGCGCGTCACTGTCTGGGCTCATAAAGACGCGCCCGTCGCCTCGAATATGCCCGACGTCAACGTCACAGCGGAGGATCCTGGAACCGACTTCAACAGCCACGCATTGCTTGCCAACGATACTCAACCTGTAGACGCGACAGCAAGCGAAGCTACCTCGTGGACTGGTCAGCCTGGACCAGAGCCCACCCAAAGTGTCGTCACCGAGTCTGGGGTTCTGGTTACCATCACCCAGAACAGTGACGGTCAGCTTCAAGCGACTGCCCCTGCTGCGACTGGTACTATGGAAATGACCGGTTCAGCCTCTGGCACGGACACTGGCCTTGTTGCTTCGATCACCGAGACCAGTACGGATTCTGGCAGCGTGGCAACTGCTACCGAACCTCTGGCCACAGATTCTGCTGCTTCCCAATATCTACCTTCAGATGCCCCTACCTCCGTGGTCACTAGCACTGATGTTACCTCCATCACGGATGCCGCTGCTAATACCGTCGATCCCGCTGCAGCTGCTGTCGTTACCGAGACTGCCTCGGCCGCTACGGATACCACGTTCTCGGCCTTTACAACGCAAGTTACTAAGACCAACGACCAAGGGGAGACCGCCACTGCCGTGATGACCATCACCGACCCTGCCCAAGCCTCTAGCTTCAGCACTGCTACGACGACCACTGAGACGGGCCAGTCTAGCGTAGTCACCGCTCAGGTGACCACCATCCCGGGTACCACTGGGGTCACGACTAAACAAGTCCAGACCACCGTTTCTGGCGGTGAGACGGACATGGTCTACGTCTGGACCACGACCAAGACTGTGGATCAGGGTCCTCTCACTTCGACCATTGACTCTGCCGCGTCTACCGATCCCGGAGCTCCGGCTCCAGCTGCGACCAAGCGTGGCATGAGCGACGCTATCGAGAGCTTTGTCTCCAATTTCGCCTACGCCGACGGGGCGCAAGCCACCTCGAGCGCCTGAGCCGCAGACGTCCTACCAGCTTGGACTATGGACAGTCGATCATTTCAGGTCGCCCTTTTCAACCCACTTTGATTGCCATCATCATCACCCTTTGTACCAACCCAATACCTAGACACTCGTTTATCCATTACTTTGCATTTCAATAACAGGCAAAGACATCGCACTGTGTGGATGGCAACGATAAAACCGTATTGCATAATCATCAGACCGATCCCCCTGCTCCTCCTCTCATCCCCGTGCAATACAAAGTCGAGACCGCGGGGCGAGGCGAGACGATGGGAACCGGAACGCGATCACGTCCATCCAACGAGAATCACCGTCGAAAAAAAGAGCTCGTGCGCAGCAAAGAAGAGGAAATAAACAAGCTTGATAGGCGGGTTTCGTGACGCTCGTTTACTTCTTCTTGGCAGCGACTAGATAGGTGAGACAAGATCGTTGGACACATCAGTATGCGAAGTCAAAGCGAAACCCGGCGGCGTGGATACAACTCACCGGTCCTTCCGGATCGTCGACCAGTGGTACAGGTGTGCTGACCACGGACACGGAGCTGCCAGTAGTGTCGAAGACCCCTGTGGGCCCTGATCTTCTTCAGCTTCTCAATGTCGTCCCTCAACTTCTGGTCGACAATGTTGGAAACGACGTGAAGGTTCTTTCCGTCGGTGATATCCTTCCTCCTGTTCAAGAACCAGGTGGGGATCTTGAACTGGGCGGGGTTCTGCATGATGGTGACGATTCGCTCGAGCTCATCCGAGTTGAGCTCTCCGGCACTGACGAGTTGCAAACACTGTCGTCAGTCCCTCCTGCCTTCGGGGTGGAGCCGTGACAAGCTCGAGACTCACCGCTTGTTGAGGTCGACATCGGCCTTCTTGCAGACCAAGTTGGAGTATCGACGACCAACACCCTTGATCTCGGTCAAGGCGAACTAAACGAAACACCATCCCATCAAATCGAGTTCTGCCTGTATGCACCCGTTGGCGGGCGAAAGCCACGAGACCTACCATGATCTTCCTTCGTCCATCAACGTTGGTGTTGAGCAAACGAAGAATGTGCTACAAATACAAGGAATCGTTTTCGATCAGCTCAAAGCCCTCCGATTGTAGTAACCTTAGGTCGAGAGCGAAAATTCACCTGGAAAGAGATGTGGGCCTCAGGGGGAGCGAGAACAGAAGACCTGGAGAACGCGATAAGGCATGCCGATTGATCAGCGTTCCGAAATTGCGTGCAGATCCGCGCCTGGCTCTCCAGGTGAGAGGCAGGTTTTCACAGCGGGTCTGGGATCGTGGAACGTGCGTCTTGTTTCGTGTGGGTTGCGTGGTTGCGAGCGAGCGGGCGGAGCAGTAGGTTTTCAAGCGATCGCGACTTGTCGAATAGCGACGGACGGATGGGCATGCCGAGAATGCGAGAGTGACGGACAGCCGATGGAGACGACCAAATCGATATCTTGTACATGGCGGAAGTCGAGAGGCCGCTGGGCTGGAATGCGCCATATAACTGCGGCCAAAATTGCTCTCCTTGAACCTCCCCGTTTTGGTCAACCTTCGTCTCGCTTGACAGACGTTCTCGTCGACCGCTCCCGATTGTCGATAGATTCATCTTTACGACCTCTTCGTTATCCCCCTCGCTCTATCTCGAAATATCTTGTTGAATAGAGGTTTCTCCCATCTTGGTTGCAGAATTAACGATTGCCGACGCTGACCATCCGTTACTCCTGCTAGCCGAGTTCGACGATCCCGAAATCCGGTTCCTATGTCCATGCTCGCCGCAACCACGACCATGACGACACGACCACGATCCCAGTTGCCCCCACAGGATCCCTTTGCCCCTCCCTGGAGAAGCCGTACGTCGAACCCGCTGAAGAACTATATCGAGGTAGCACTCACATCTTGATGAAGGAGACTTGCTGGAGTGAAAGACTAGAAAGAGATCGGGGGGTGGGCCAGCGGGATGAGATCGTTCTGAATGTCGAGATCGATCTCTTGGGACCAACGAGGACGCTGGGCGAGATGCGAAGCGGTCGACGGGAAATCCAAGGCTGGCCCTGACTCCCTCGGTTGCCTTAAAACTTGACGTTGTGAGTTCTCGACGCGCGCTTCTGATTGTCACGAGAGCGAAGAACAACAAGCGCGTCCCTTCAAAGTAAACACCGAGAGGGAGAAGCGAGAAAGTCGAAGGAGGGCAGAGGCAGACACGACAATCACGTGATCACATCGACAGACCCTCGACCTCTCTCACCTTGGTGGACGTCGCCGCCACCCCTTGCTGCCCTAGCGATTCGCCATTCGCTTCTCGCTCTCACGCCGTACCGCTGCCCAGACCAACCCCCGCTCTCTGGCTTCGTCGACCTCGTCAGATCTGAACGACCTCAGTTCAAGTCGACGACCTGCCCCATTTTGACCCCTCGTCTAGTCACCCCTACCAGGTAGATCATCAACAACACCCGGCAAAAATGTACGCATACGGTCTCACCACCCTTCATCTCGCTCTCTTCGTCTGTCTGTTGCTATCAAAATCCGGGACCGTCTCCATGTCTATCTCGGGGAGGGAAAGTTTCGGACTCTGGAAAACATGATTCGATTTCACCTGGGAACGCTGTTCGACTGGCTGTCCCTGATGGCCTTTGCGTCGGAAAGGAGAGCGTTGCTAGTGGCAGAGAGAACTCGGGGAAGGGCCAGCGGCGAATGGAAGAGGAAAGCGTTTAGGGGCAGACTAGCGGGTCGTGCTTCCTAGAAGGACGACGATCGCAAACACATGGGAGACGGATTCGACACCGACCGACGGACACAGGAATAGCAACAGATAGACGAAGAGATCGAGAGAAGAGGAGCTCGTTTATGCGGTGGAAACGGGAAAGCTGATCCAGTTGATATTCACTTTTCTTCCCTTCTAACTGCTATTCTTGCGGGTGCTGGCGATCGAACTGTTATTGAAACTTGACACGACTAAAACACACCGACGTACTCGACAATGAACTCGGACGAATGAATACCTGATCTTCGATGGATTGCTGGTCGTGATGGATATGATGGATGGGAAATATGGGACGATTGCATCTGGGATGGACGAACGATCCGCATGAACTACGTCGGATGGGAATTGGACGAAACATCGGTGGACACGCTTGCTTTGACACGACACGACCATTTGGATCTCCAATACCTGATCGAAACGGACATGTCACCTTGTGCCTGAAAATACGGATGATTTCGCCAACCAATACATTACATATGACGACCATATGGTGGAAACTACGCTCGATGTCGTTGTTGGGGGGTTTGCAGGGTCAACGTTCCCAAGACCCGAAGGACCTACTGCAAGGGCAAGGAGTGCAAGAAGCACCAGGTTCGTCCTCGAATCATCTCTGGGCTCCAGCCTACCTACCGACCTTGTCAGCTCACGTACGAATGTATCGATTTGGCAGCCTCACAAGGTCACCCAGTACAAGAAGGGTAAAGACTCGTTGATGGCCCAGGGAAAGAGGCGATATGACCGAAAGCAATCCGGTTACGGAGGTCAGACCAAGCCCGTCTTCCACAAGAAGGCCAAGACCGTGAGTCTGATGGAGTCGAGACATGTCGCGACGGGAGCTCGAGAGACTGATGCGGCGTAACTCTCGGACGATGTGTGTAGACCAAGAAGGTCGTTCTTCGATTGGAGTGCTCTTCGTGCAAGGCCAAGAAGCAGCTCGTCCTCAAGCGATGCAAGCAGTAAGTCGAGCCTCGAACCTTATTCGCAGGGGATACCCGCTTACATCTTGCTATTTTATTCTATCCCTACACTTACAGCTTCGAGTTGGGCGGAGAGAAGAAGACCCGTGGTGCCGCCTTGACCTTCTAAACGTCTCGCCCTTGATAACAAAGCAAGGTAGCGTGGTGTTTGGGAGAGAGAGGGTTGTAGTAGATCTTTTCGGCGAGGGGGATTATGTGGACTATGCAAATCTTCCTTTCTACTCCAGTCTCTTGTGCTTTCGATGGGTGGTGCATGAACAGAGTCTAGCTTCCTGACCACATTGAGCAGTCTCGCATGCATGATGTACCAACGACCGACTACTTGTGGGCGCTGGGCCCGTGGTTTTGGATGTGAGGTGCGAAGCCTGAGGGTTCCTCGCGCTTTTTCCGCTGTCGCGTCCCATCCGATGACATCACTCCTCCCTTCCGATGCAAAGGGCACGAGGGAGACTCGCACTCTCGATCGATGCATGCATGCACGAAGTTGCAACCTTTCAACCTCGAATAAGCAAAGGTGTATACGGCTAGCTATCCTAGAGCACAAGCAATACATCTCACGACGATCTAGTTCAGCAAAGCATCATCTGGTTGTCGATCTCGACTCTCCTTCATAAGCAAACTCGCAAGACTTCGCAACGAAATGTCTCGACATCGATTCGTCAGAAATTTGGACCTGGATGGTGAGGCACTGGGATTTCAATTTAAGCATCCTTAAAACAGCCTGTTGATGGGGATCGAATGGTTGTTTGACTTGCTCGGTTGCAGCCGAGATGGCTTCCGACGATGAAGAGGATGTTGGAATGACTGAGGAGCAACAAGGTAATTGAATCAGCCTTCCTTGCCTTCTTTCTCGCCGCCGAAATGCTTACCCTTCTTGCACACATAGCTCAGATGGCACTTTCCTTATCAGTCGCCAAACCTCTCCTTGCCGACATGAAGCCCCCACTTACGGACGACGCCATCATGGAGAGCTTGTGGTACTATTACTTTGACGTGGACAAGACGGTGAATTATCTCAAGGCGCAGAGGGCAAAGGGTTAGTCGACGGAATTCTTTCTTTTCGTACGGTCTGAGTTCCGGCTCGGTTGGGGAGGGGTGCGGCAAGAGAAGGCCCCGTAAACCTTCTGACAGAGGGAAAAAGAAACGCCATGCAAGGGATATCATCTGAACGAAGGGTACGTGCCTTTCCCTTCAATATGGTCCGCAACTTTCTCCAGCTTACATCTGACGGTCCTTAGCTGACCTGGCTTACCTTTCCACATAACGTATAGGTATCGAGAGCCCTCGTCGTCCCGCAGGCAAGCGACCACCACAATCTAGTCCATCAAGTGCACCCGAACCGGGTCCTCCTTTGACCGCCCTACAAAAGCTGGCCTTATCGAGGAAGCAAGCTGCGGCAGGAAACACGGTCGAGCAGGTCGGCCAAGCTCCAATGCAAGCGAAGCGTGCAGGAGAAGAGATACCGTCTGCTGGCAAACCAATGAGCAAACTGGCTCAACTCGCTGCTGCTCGGCGCGCTGCGGCTGCGGGATCATCAGCGAATCACCCAGCGTCTCCGATAGCTCAGACGAAAGTCGAAGAGGTCACGAAATCAACCCCATCAATGCTCGAGCCGGAGACCGCAAAACCGCTCTCCAAACTGGCACAACGGGTCGCAGCTGCAAAAGCAGCCAAAGCAGAGGCTGATGCCAAAGCTGCAGCTGGACCCATGGAAAACCCGCCGCAAGGCGAGGTGCCCTCCTCCGACAGCGTCTCCAAAAGCCAGGATGGCGCTGGCATGCAAGTCGACGAACCGGAGGAGCAGCCATCCCCCCTGTTCTCCTTTCCCCACGCTCTCAAGGACAATCTCCCTCGGACGTCGTCGTATGCTCCTGGTTCGAATGCTACTGGGAACAAGACCGTCACCGAAACTTCGACAGGAAACACAGGCCCATCCGTGTTCTTTTCGTTATTGACGGCCAAGCCAAAAGACCCACTGGTGGCGCCAGATACCGCTCGCATCGACGGTTTTGCTACGGGCGGAGAACACAATCCATTCAGCGAGCCTAGCCCGGATGATCTCGTTCTCAAGGCTAGAGAGGGGACGAAGTTCTCTACAAGGCAATAGAGAGATATCGCGGGACGATTCAGCCATATCGAGCGTGCGGGAGAAGGAGGAGCTAAGAAGAATTTCCCCCACCGAGCTGGAGCCATAACGACATTAACGACGAATTGACTGTATTGACGATTTTCCTTTGCATTCCTTATTTCTTGGGCATCTTAAAATGTAACTGTAACAATAAATGACGGGATCGACAGCGGAAGCAGCAAAATCCAAAGTATCAAAACCAGCGGCTGCCACACCCGCCGCATCACCGAAACCTAAGACCAAGATTGCGCCTAGCAACAAGGCTGGAACCTCGACGCCCAAGACAGGAGTCAACAAGCCTCTGAATTCCAGCGGGTTATCGACCGACCTTGCGGCTCTGGGGATTGGCGACGATAGCGCGCCCGTCAGCCGAGATGACACGCCAGTGCCGGCGATGAGTATGAAGAGGGTCGAGTTGATCGAGAAGATTCAGAAGGAAGAGGCTGAGGGGAAGAAGGGTGTCAGCTTGGTCGTCGTCGGTAAGGTCACCGACCGGACTGTCAATCTTGGAAGCCATCACTGACACCACTCGATCTGTAGGCCATGTCGATGCCGGAAAATCCACTTTGATGGGACGACTGCTCTATGACCTTGGGCGCTTGTCGGAGAAGGAAAAGACTGCAAACGAGAGGGGTAGTCAGCGGGTCGGCAAATCGAGTTTCGCATATGCTTGGGGTCTGGACGCTTTAGGCGATGAGAGAGATCGGTAAGTGTCATGCGGCCGCGTGGGGGTGTCAGCTTTCTGATCATGCATACCGTTTCACCTCTCGCAGCGGAGTCACAATAGACATCGCCACGACCCACTTCGAGACCTCGAACCGGTCCTTTACCCTTCTCGACGCACCGGGGCATCAAGACTTCATTCCCAACATGATTTCCGGTACGAGTCAAGCCGACATGGCTTTGCTTGTTGTCGACGCTGCGCCTGGCGAATTTGAGGCTGGATTCGATCGAGGCGGTCAAACCCGAGAACACGCCTTGCTGGTCCGTAGTCTTGGTGTGCGCGAGTTGATCGTTGGAGTGAATAAGATGGATGCAGTAAGTATTTGGCAAGGTCCGGGATGTGACGCGAGCGATTCTAACGCTTTACACGTGCTCTAGGTGGACTGGTCGCAAGACCGCTTCGAGGAGATCCAAGAAGCACTCAAGCCATTTTTGCAATCGGCTGGATTCCTGCTCAACAGGCTTACTTTTGTCCCAGTCGCTGCTATGGAGGGCATCAACCTCGCCCAGAAAGAGAAATGTCCCGAACTCGATGCATGGTATTCTGGACCGACTCTTGTCGACATCCTTGGTAAGCCTCTTGTACATACTTGGGACACCAATGCAGCTTTCTAACTTCGTTTGCGATCCTATAGACAAGGTCGAGGTGCCCACTCGATCACTTGAGGCACCTCTGCGCTTCCCCATCTCAAACGTCTTCAAGGGACAGACTGCTGTCGCCTCGGGTGTCGGTGTCACCGGCCGTCTGTCTAGTGGTGTGGTGCAGGTCGGAGAACGTCTACGGGTTGTGCCTGGTGATGAGACAGGGGTCGTGCGAAGTAAGCCCTACACGTTAATGCCAACATGATTCGACCAACTGATCTCGTCACAAATGCTCAGCAATCGATCGCGACGACGAGAGCGTTCCCTATGCCTCGGCAGGCCAGAACGTGACCCTATACCTGGCACAAATTGACCCGATCCACCTCAACATCGGCTCAGTCCTGTGTCCGCTGGCGATCCCCGAACTCGTACCGCTGGCCACATCGTTCTCGGCCCAAATCTTGGTCTTTGACATTTCGCAACCGATCATCACCGGTACTCCTGTCGAGCTGTTCCATCACTCGAACAATGTACCGGCGACGATTACGAAACTGCTCAGCGTGATGGACAAGGGTTCTGCCGTCAAGAAGAATCCCAGGTGAGTCATTCCGAGCGGAAGCTGGCCCAATTAGTGGCACCGCTCTGAAGTCTTTTCGCTCGATCTCGCTACAGAGTGCTGCAAAAGGGGGTCCAAGCGCAAGTCGAAGTCACTCTACGGACGCCAGCACAGGCGACGGTCTTGAGGGCACCCGCCATCCCGCTCGAACCTGCGTCAGTGAACAAGGAGATGGGCAGGGTATTGCTTCGTCGTGGCGGCGAGACGGTCGCTGCCGGCGTAGTCCTCGAGATTCTCTCTTGAGAGCCGCGATTCCGAACAGGTTGATCTCCATTGCATAATGCTAGCGCGTGTCGTTCCCGTCATCTAATGTCATCTAATCATACGATAGTGTCTTTTCCTTTCGTAACTACGGTCGGTCTTGGCCGTCTGAGCAATCCGTGCCAGATCCCTCTTCTGAAAGGTTCGAGGGCGTATCGCGTGAATCCTGGCGCAAAGCCTATCGAAGCGGCAATCCGCAGTGGTAAGATTGCCTAGAAAGAAAGTAGCGAAGAAGACGTTAGCAGGGCGGACCTCGAAACGAGTGTGACCCTGACGTGCGTGATACTAACTTTGACGACGACATATGCCGCTACGGCGCTCGCCACTCCAGCTGCGGCGGACGACTGTTTAGCAGCAGCAGCGACCTGTAAAGCCTCCTGTTCGGAAGACATCCGATCCTCCTCTGCCACCACTTTACTCCCCCTTTCGTACCCGAACAGTCCATACCGCCTGGCGACCTTGTCCACTCGCTTTTGGCCTTCTTCGAGCCATTCCCGGATATAAGACCCCAGCCCGAGATCGTCCCCGTCTTCTTGTCGAGAAGCCCATTTGATGATGGTGCCCCCAACGCCGAACGCTTGGAACGCGAAGAACAAGGCTAGGAGCGGGAGGATGGCGGTGAGCTCGTGAAGGATGGCAAAAGAGATGGCTAGGGATGGAAGTGGGAGACCGGATTTGGTCGAGATGTCAGAGAGGCGAGGGATGTATCTAGCCAGGCGGGATGATGGAGGGGTGGGCGTTGGTGTCGAGGGGGGTAGATTGGTGACGAAACGTCTGGACCGAACGGGTAGCCGTAAAGGCAACGCTGGTCGTGGGACGTTTCGCCTGAGACCTGCCTTGAGCATCATGGTGTACGATGGAGAGATTGCACACTATGCGATGCGGTGAAAATGCAAGAGATGTCATAGGGAGGACGCACTCTACCTATGCTTGCTGCTTGCCCTCTCATCGCCAAAAGTGGAGGTCCCTTCGTTGGGTTTGTTGACAAACTCGGTTTCTTGTAATTCTTGTAGATTGCTACGTGCTACGATCTGTCCACCTCACACACTCATACAAGCGTACCCGTTGCAATATACTACTACCACATCCACATTATAAACCTGGAGAACACGTTCGGGTACGCTTACCATGCCCATCGCTGTCACGGAACCGACAATGTTGCCTACCGAGGAAATCTTGCGTACGGCTTTGGCCGAGCACGATGCTCAAGAGGGTGAAGCTGTGGACCGCTCGGAGGTCATCAGTAAAGCTTTCGTAGCTCTGGATTCTCCAGGAAATGTGAGTCGGGTCGTTGATAGAACTACGTATATTATATGCTCAGACGATTGCCTTTGCAGATTCCTTACTACCGTCCAGGCATCACGGCGCCATTAACCGTCTGTCGATTCCGATGTATGCTACAAGACACCGGATACCCCCTGGAGGTGTACATGCCCCCGGCCGAATCTGATGGCCTCGAGGGTGGTGACAGCGGGGCGAACAATCTATATGGCAACTCGGTCGACTGGTCGAGGTTGAAGGAGCGATGGGTCGGCTGGGGTGTCGAGTGAGTAATCGCTGTCGCAGCATGATTGGACTGCGGTTTGACAGAACGCTTTCGCAGAATTCCGGGAGAGCAACCCTGGATCAAGGCCGAACTGGAGGGGTCCTCGACCCTGATCAGCGGGTTTGAGGGCCTATCAGTCGATGCCCGATCGTCGCCAGTGGCACTGCCGACTAGCGTACATGGCAAATTTCCCGAAACCAGTGCCAAGGGAAGCTATACAGGAGCGCTCTTGAAGGTTAGCCTAGTCGTTTGTAAAAATTCATGATATGGGTTGAGCTGACAACTTGGATCTCCTTTGACGGGCAGGTGTATGATCCGGAAACGTCCTATCAAGCTGCCTCGACATATACCTTTACTGGTATCCTATCCACATCTTCTCTACCTACGATCGACGACCAGGACGAGATGGACGAGGGAGAGTCATCATCCACTTACGTGCCGACTTTGCACGTTCTCAGTTCGCCTTATCCGGTCTACCCTTTGCAGTCCGCCTCTATCGCGACCGAAGCTGATGCCGATCGAGAAGAAGTCCTCGATCAGCTCTCTGGGGCTTTCGGTGTGGACGACCGGTTATCAGCCGAATTCTTATTGCTCGCCTTGATCTCCTCGGTGACGACCCGGGTGTCGGGGGGCTTCCCGCTAGGATCGTTATCGCTCAACATTCTCCTTCCGAAAGGCCCCGATGCCGCCGACCCACAGGCGTTCAAGCGGATCGTGAATACCATCTCCACCGTCTCGCCGCTCGTATCGCCTGCCGAACTCTCGATCAACTTGATCTCCAAAGGCTCGTTCTACCCATCCATGGTCAATGCTGCCGGATCAACAGGTCTCCAATCAGGCGTGCTGCAACTAGCACCTTCGACCGTGGTCGTGATGAACGAAGATACTCTAGAAGGAGGTGACCTAAAAGATCGCGCTGTCGACAACCTCAAGGCGTTGATGAACGTCTTCAAGATGCAAAAGCTGCGATACAAGTATCCCTTTGTCGCAGAAGATTTCGGCATGGACGTGGATCTCGGCCTCGTCGTGGTCGGCCAGGGCAAAAGTTTCCTGCCAGTCAGTATGCGGAGAACATTCTCTTATCTTCTCGAGGTATTTGCTTATTCGCCGACTTTCTCCTCAGGTTGACCTTCACGTCCCAATCCTGTCTAGCCAACCCGTACCGGGAACGAAACCGATTGACGACAACAGGCTCAAGGCGATCAGACGATACATCTCGGAAGCTCGTGCGGCCGCCAAGTCGCTATCGATACCTGACGATGTAGCCGAACACATTCAGAGCGAGTTTGTGAGGTTACGAAAGAAGGCTACTGAGGAGGGGAAGACCGTAGGGGAGGAGGAGCTGAAGCGTTGGATGAAGATTGCCAGGTGAGTCCGAAAGCTTTGTGTACCGCAGGGGCGACTTTTTGTTTAACGGTTGTTTCTTATCCAGGTTACTAGCCCTTTCGCACCCTCATCGTGTTTTGACCAAGGGTATTTGGGAAAGGGTGCTGTCCATGGATGCGGAACGTCTAAGCAGATTGGAGACGCGATAGGGCCACTTGAGAGTGCACAGATACTTTACATGGCTGTGGTATCTTTATATCAGCATGTACACTATCAAACAACATGGTCGTCGCCCATTGCATCACAGTCGTGCATAGTACATGGCAGGCCGTCCTGCGGCATCGTTCATCGGATAGGCTCGGCAGTCAGTAGATCTGCGAGAAGGTCTCGGGTTAGCTCCGTTGAATTTAGCCTAGGCGCAGCGTTTCGTCTTACCATTAGCGGTGGCTTTGGCTTCACCCGTCAGCCCCTTTTCGTCGGTGTCGTTTGCCTTCAAGAAAGCTTCTACCTCGTCCATGACGCCCTCTTCGTCCTCGCCTCCCGGTGCGTCTTCGTCAGTGTCACCGATCGCATCGATCGCGAAATTTGGCCTATGCATGATGGCTTCTTGCGCTGCTCTTAGCATATCCGCCTCGTCCTTGCGCTTGTTGTCCATAGTTGACGATGTCGAGGGCGCTCTTATTCTCGAAGGCATCTGCGAAGCCGTGCTTGTCATTGTGGCCGAAGAGGCCGATGACGGACTGCGCAATCGTTGCACCTCTTGTTGAGCCGGGTTGAGCAGCGATTCTCTTGTTTGGACGTCCGACGTTATGTGCACGGGATCGCTCTTGCCGATAGCAGGCTTTCGCCACTCGGCGTGACGACCCAGTGCCGAACCGAGCCCGTCAGCAAAGCGGTTGAATCGAGACTTATTCTCGTTGGTCACGACCATGTTCACGAGTCCGCCGATCAGGGTGTCGGATTTCGCTTGCGTTACATGGTACTCGCCGGGTACGGCGTCTAGGCGGAATGACGCCGCCAGATCGGAATCAAAGAATCCCTCGAGCAGCTCATCGGCCAGAATGACCATCCTAAACGTTGCCAGGTCTGCGAAGTTCACTTAGTCTCTCGAAGCCTATGACATGTCTCCCTAGTCAAGCGTAACTTACTCAAGTAAGGAGCGTTGTGGGGGCTGCTAACGCTTTCGGCCCGCTTCCTGTTCTGTGTGGCGTTGTGATCATCTCCCGCTGTCGGCACTTCTTCGTCGGCATGATCAGGTTGCAAGCTCTCTTCCGGTGCCGTCGCATCACCAAAATCGAACGCGTTTAAGATGAACTTTGAGACCGCAGCCAAGTAGGCATCGCCTGGCTCATTCCGGAAGATGAACTATTTGACACAGGGGAGAAGCTGTTTAGCGGTGTGCAAGCGACTTTATGCTTACTAAACTCACGAGGAGAGATTCCGAAAGCTGAATGACTTCGTCTTTGGTCAGGAAACCGTCCTTGTTCTTGTCGTGCTATAGCCGCGTAGATGATTTAGCAGAGCCATTGGAGGCATCATTGAGCCTTGACGTACCAAGTGGAAGAACCACTCGATGGACTCCATCAGCCCCGCAAACATGACGGTGTCCAAACCGGCCACCACATCCTGATATTGATGATCTCGGTTAGTGCTGCCGCATAGGAATTATCAAGCTTGAGACACACCTGCAGCGAGAGGTACCCTTGATGAGAGGTGTCCCATGAAAAGTATAACCTCTCAACGAGTTCGTGCTCGGCGACCTTCTTCTCGGTCCGGTTGGAAAAGGCGTTTTGATAGACAATCTCGTCTCTGGCCCAAGAGCAAATGTCGCTCAAAAACAACTTGAACGTCTTGAGGTCGATCCTTGTCTCTAGCCGACCTGCCGAATCTTGAGCGCTACCTGGCGTGACGGGCGGTGTCGCTTTGGGCGATGGGTTGACCGACATCACAAGGGGCGAAGAGACGGCGGCGAAAAACTTGTCATAGATCGTTGTGACCTGCTCCTTGTTGAACCGACCTGTAAACTTGAGATTCCGTACAGCGGCGCGCTTGGAGAACATTTCGATCTCGTCCGCGATGATTGCGCGGAAACGTTTTCTTTCCGACTGGATCGTCTCTTCAGTGATGACGTTGAATTCCCGGAACGCCACGACGAGCAGTTCTTGGAAGTTGGTGATGGCTCGGACACGAGGATCCGAGTGATCAGGATGTGCCGAGTCGCCTAACGTCGCAAAGTAAGACCGCATTGCATTGATGAACATTCCGTCGTCCGTGATCTCCAGAAGCTCTTCGCCGTTGATCTTGAGCACGGCTGTGCAGAGCAAGGCGTCGAGTCAGCTTGAAACGATATTTGTTCGCATCCGATTCCCATGGTACTGAGCTCACCTAGGCCGATCTGGAAGATCACCTTGACGCCCATCGCCATGACGCAATCGACCACCCGGAAAGCAAAGATCAGGGGCATCGAATTGATATACAAGCTCAAGAACCACCTATCCGCCATATCAACGATGTATGAGCCTTGACACTGATACGTGAGGGCTCTTGAGTGCGGAGGACTCACGGTAATGAAGCCACCGAGATCTGCACATCGACGCTCTTGAAATGTTGATGGATCATTGGTAGACACCGACCTACCAAAGCCTCGAATACCCGTTGATCTAGTAATGTCCCCTCCATAGAAGGGCTAAAGATGCGAGGCCGGATCATCAACAACCGGGACGCGCTACGTGTCATCCCGCTTGAGGACAAGGTGGACTCACGTATAGTATCCCGGTACTATCCGATCGCATAGCACTTCCAACAACCAGAAGGCCTGTTCCTCGGACATGTAACTGTGTGGTAGTTGCCGATCCGTCAGTCATTGTCAGACCGCAAAGTATCACCTTGATGTTCCGGCTCACATCAGCAATCTGTATGAGAGGCCAACAGGCGACCAGATCAACTTCGGGCTCCAATCATCAAATCCGACCTTCCCACACACAATCACGCAACTCACCCGGCGACGACGATGTTCAATGCCTGACAATACCCCAACTCGGGATTCCTGAAACTGTACGCCACGAGCACTCTCCTCAATTTAGACAAGCCTTCTTCGGACTGATAAGCCTTGTACTCTGGTAAAGACCGGTTGAGGTCTTTTTCGATCTCGTCCGTTGCGGAAGTCGTCCGGTTGGCGTTCTCCGCCAAGAGTCTGGAATATGTCGATCGGTTTGCATAACGGAGGTCTATGATGTCGATGTGTGGTCAGCCGACGAGGCGGAGACGATCATGATGTCGAGCGGATTATATTGATGGACGAGAGACCTACATAGTGAACCGCTGAGCGTCTCCCACAATTCTCCTCGAAGCCTCGAAGGTAGACCGACTTGCAACAACCGCTGAAAAGGCGGATATCGCAAGACTACGATGCGTCACATAGCAGCGCAAGAGAATCGTGTCAACCAGTCTCTTCATCGACATCCCGAATCGATGAACAGACACTCACGGGTCAAGTTCCTCCCGTGGGTCACGAAATATTCTCTCCACAACTTGATCTTGCTCCTCTCTCGCAACTTTCTCGCATCTCCGGGATACCCAAACGTCTCTCCCAACCCTCGTTCGTAAGCTCCTTTCCCGTCTCCTCCTGGACCTCTGGCATCGGCCGCCGGCGCATTCGGGTTGGCATTCGTACTCTTCTCCCGACCACCTCCACCGAGGTCCGAACCGAGGTTTATCAGGTCCACCTTTTCCTCCGCCGGCGTGTTCATCCCCAACGGCTGATTGTTCAGAAACGCCGGTTGAGTCAACAAGTACTCGGAATAGAGGGTAGGAAGGAAAGGTTTGAGGAGTTTCATCTCGGAAAGCTGGGCTTTGAGGGCGTCCCGGAGGAGGATGGAAAAGTGTTCCGCCGTCGGGAGGAGGGAAGTGAGTTGGAGGATCTGCGTCGGTCACATGGATATGAAAGAGAAGACAAGGATGATCGTGAGTCGTTCTGGTCTTGACGGGACAGTATAGTACGGCTGGGTATGGCACGACTCACAATCCGCAGCCCGTGCCATGTCGCCAAGCTCAGCGCGAACACGCCCGCTCTCGAATTCAGCCTGTTACACGCATACCATTGCGCATCATCAACCATCAGCTCATCTTTTTCCCAAACAAACGCTCGACGACGGAAGTAGGGACGCACCGTTCGACCCTACGGATGGTATAGAGAGGGAGGGAGAACCGGGCGGACCGTTTGTCCAAAGACATGAAGCATAGGAAGGGAGGGAGAAGGTGTAGCTTGCCCGACTGTGCAGGGAACACGAGCAGAGGACTTTGTTTCAGTACAAACAGAAGCTAGCGTCGTGAAAATGCCGATGAGAAGACCCTGATAGCTCTGACTCACATACACCTCGTCTTTACCCTCCACGCTCAGGATCGCGCTGATCTCCATTCCCATGGTCCCGTTCATCATGCCTACCCCACCCGACTCCATCTTTTCCTTCATTGCCTGTTCATGCCTCGGATCCTTGACCAGTTTAGGGTCCGTGGCTGGGTCGTAAGAGGGAGAAGCCTGAGGCATGACCCAGAGGAGAGGGGGGACGTTGAAGAGCAGCCTGGTGAGGTCGTCACGGGTCGGCTCTTGGTAAGCTCGGAGGTGGAGCGGCAGCGACATGGCTGCGGAAGTTGAGTGTGCAGCTAGATTCGGATGGAGAAGTGATGTATGAGTAGGACTGTTGAGTAGGAGTCGGCAGCATGTAGTCTATAGTCTGTCAATGTGTGAGTTGTAGCTTGTAGGGGGAACTGCGAGGTTGATGGAGAGGGAGAGGGGACTAGCGCGCAGGCAGGCAGGCAGGTTGTCCTCGACGGCCCGGCCCGATGAGCAATCATGCATGAGCATGGATCATGGATGTTGAGCAACTCGTCCAACTCACTCCAACTCTCTCTACGACCATTACACTGCCGCCACTACACCTACACCATGTCGGTCTCCTTCAGATCATTCGTACACCCGCTAGAGATCCCACGGCAGGACGCGACCGTACAAGAACTGCTCGACGTCGAAGCAGGGGAACAATGGATATACGGTCAACATGGCGTAGGATTGTACGAAGGGTCAGTCTGAGCGTCTAGCCAGCCGGTCACCGTTCTTCGACTCCAAGGCTGACAAGGGTGGACATTCTGTGTGCTGTAGCAATTCCAAACTGCCGAACCACCAGATCCTCTCGGTTCAGCTGACGACCCATCGGATCCTCCTCCTCGCTACCTCTCCGCCCCCACCTACTGCCTCGACGAGCTCAAATCCGTCGGATCCACCGGCATTGAGCTCGAACCTTCAGGTCTCGTTGTCGGATATCAGGCAGACGGAATACTACATGGGTTTCATCAGGTCGAGCGCCAAGATCACGCTCTTTCTCGGAGAGAATCCGGACATCTGGGGGGATCGCGATAGGGGTACAAATGGAAATGGCGCGAATTCGGGTACATCCACGAATACACATTCGAACGGCACTGCCGCCGCCTCGAAGGAGGATTCGACCTGGACCTGCAACGTCTGCGGGTATTCCAACCCTACCCCGACTTCCCTCGCACGGAGTAACACCCTTGCTCACCAAACGCCTCGTTGTGGGCTCTGTGGTGTCGTCAAGGACCTCGTCAAAGCGCCTTCATCCTCTCGACCTTCCACTCCGACTATCGGCGTAACCCCAAGTCCGACTCCGAAGGTGATCACGACACCCCGGTCGGACTCCCCCAGGACGACCAACCACCCAGAGAACAACGTCGGTGGGGAAGGGTTCGAGATCCCCTGTCCTCGATGCACTTTTCTTAATCGACCCGAATTGAAACGGTGCGAAGTCTGTTCGGGCATCTTGGTCCCACGGGGCGCCACGACGCTCGTGCCCGATAACAAGATCGATGGGATCATCAGGACCGATTCTCCCGTGCCGACCTTACCTCTACCCGCCCCCATACCACAAACTACCGCTAAGACAGGTGGTCATCAGAACGAGATGGCGACCCTCAGGATATCGTTCAGAAAGGGAGGCGAGAAGGAGGTCTATAAACGGCTGCGTACGGTGTTGAGCGCCAAAGCTTGGGAGAGGGTAAGGACGAGAGGGAGGGGTGGAGGCGGACAAGGTGGGAGTGCGGGTGACGCTGGTCTCGGAGGTGGTGGTGAAGCGGCAGTTAGGTCTGGCTTCGGGATAGGTGAGTCACGAATAATCTCATTTGATACGGTATCCAGTGGATATCAGATGACTTTGAAATAATGGCTCCGTTTACATAGACGGCATCCTGCAAAATATCTCGCTCGAAAACAAGGCGCAACAGGGCAATGTCGAGGATGCCTTCAAGGACCTCGAGGCGCTCATGGTCCGAGCAGGAGAAATGGTCAAATTGGTGCAGACCCTCAATACCAAGTTGACTCAGCAACAGGCCAACAGCAGTACAGGTGCCAACGGTACAGGGAACGGCCAGGCAGAGGACGAGGCGACGCAGACGTTCTTGAGGTCTTCCCTCGTACAACTTGGGTTGCCCGCACCGGCCATCACCTCGGACATGGTGGCTGACGAACGCAAGTACCTCGAGGGGCTCGCCAAGGAGCTAGGGGGGTTGTTGACCGGCAAGACGGGTGGGAGGGAGGATGACGGCTTGATGGTAGGGAAGAACGGAAAGGGGTTGGTCGGCATGGACGAGGCGTGGGGAATATGGAATCGGGCGCGCGGTGTCTGTGAGTGGGAATTCAGGGTCACAAACCTCCTCGACGGGCACGAATGCTGATGTGGATTGCGACACAGCGCTGGTCTCTCCTTCGGACTTTCAAAAAGCTATACCGTTGCTGGCAACGCATACCCGACCCAAGGTCGAGCTGATGACTTTTCCCAGCGGTCTATCCGTTCTGCACACCCCTTTCTATCACCCGAAGATTTTCAGTAATCGACTCGCAAGCCAGCTCACGCCGACCGATTCGGACGAGGTGGAAAAGGCAATGTCGACGGTCGAAATCGCCTTGACGGAAGGCCTGTCCGTAGGGCTCGCCAAAGAATTGGTGCATCTGGTGGAATCACAGTTTGGGCAGGTCGTCAGGGACGAACAGGCACAAGAGCAGGGTGGAGGGGAGAGGTGGTATAGGAATCTCATCAATGATACCCAGATGTGTGACATATAATCGAGGTAGAAGGAACGGGCTGGAAATGCTCTGCGACGTTGTAACCGGCATCCTCGGCGATGACATGATACCAACAGGATCACTTGTTGCGTGATCAAACCGTAGTCACTACTGTCTTAGCATCGTCCGTATCGCTGATGGTGCTCTGGTTCCCGATATCAAGATCACTCGCCCCGTCATCTATCCCGTCTCCGCTAATGCCGCCCTTGTCGCCCTTGTCGCCCTCATCGGATCCAGCCAAGCTGACTGTATCATCGCCGTCTTTCCCATCTGCCTCGCCGGATTTAGGGCCAGCTACGGTAGGTTCCATTGAGCCAACAGGTTGCATCGAGGTTGGGGAACCGGCCACTGATGACGCTGGTGTCCCGGCAGGAGAAACCCCCACGCTGCTGCCGTTCGCAGGAGAGCTTGCGGGCGAAGAAGGCGTAGAGATCGATGCCGAAGAAGAGGACTCGGGGGCGTTGTAGATCACAGGCGGTCTGGTTGAAGAGAGTTCCTTCGATTTTCGATATATTTCCAATCTATCTCTAGCGTACCAACTGGCCAGAGCTTTCCGTCTAGCTAAGTTGTCAGGATCGATGTATTGATCAACTGGAACCTGGAGTCGCTCGGTGTAGACTGCTCCATCCGGGGCATGATCTATCTCCACAGGCTTTTCACCCAATGCTCTGTCGACAGCCGAATTTGGGCCCATACCAAGGTAGCCCATGAGTGGCTTTCCCACATTCGCGCGGATCTCTGCTTCAGTGATTTCAGACGAGGCCGTTTCGTCCGTTGGGTAAAGTGTTTGCACCGTGGTCTGTTCGAAAGACGTGATCCCTTCGCTACGCGCTCGCTCGAGCAAGGCATCTTTCCAAACGGCATGTACCCTGTCGATACCTTCAGACTCTTCTGACAGGGAAAGTCGCCTGTCCCTGTCTGACACGGAATTCCGCCGTCCAGTGGACAACTCCAGACGGGCCTGACGCAATCCCTCCACCATCTTCAGATCGCGTGCCAGGCGCTTTGCAGCTTGGGCGAGCCTTTTTTCGCGCTCCTCGATCGATTCATCTGGCTGAAGGCTTTGTTCTTTCTGTGATATGGATCCCGATCTCCCCGGAGCGATGTGATCTTTCGGATCCTCCAACATCCAAGCATCATCGCCGTGCAAGCTGTCAAGCCACGTTTCAATCCCTGCCTTTGTGGCTTCCCCTTTTCCCATTGTCGCTTTAGCTTGCTTCGCAGCGAGATCAAGCTCAGCTAGGCCCTTTTCCAACCTCTCCCTCTCTTCCTTCTGTCTCGCCTCGATTTCCTCTTGTTCCCGTTTGATCAAGGCATCGCGGAGTATTCTCTCCTGGTCGCTGTCCAGCCCGTCTGGGAGCGGCACCGCACCTAGCCCCCTGCTATCAACGCGTTTCGCTATTCGGTCGATCTCAACCGCCTCCTCGCGTGCTTTGTGAGCGTCGAGGGTGGTGCGCAACTCGTCACCGAGTGTCTTCTTCAACGAGTCGCGGAACTTGTCTAGGATCTTCTGTTGATGCGGAGACAAGTCTTCCAGCTTGGTCGGTCTTGTCGCGCTCTTCTCGCTACCGACCGGTCGGAGCCGTTCGAAGTCGTCCGTCTCATCCTTGCTAGGAGGAGATGGTTCAACTGTGGCTTGTTCTACTACAGGCGAAATTGCTTTCGACTTGATTGGGGAGGTGCTGGAAACGCCGTTGCCCACGGGCTCGTCCGAAACAATCTGATCGCCGAGCTTGCTCATTTTGGCGGATTAGTGCCTGCAAGGGCGAGTCATAGCGTTGAACATAGCAGGGCAGATACATTAGCATTGCAGAGTTGATAGATACATAGAAGTAGACCTTGTATGTTCAAATGAGCATCCTGCGCAAGGTAGAGAAAGGAAAGCGATCTGTTTCGGACACGGTGAAACGTTTCACCCTTGAGGTGCGATGAAGCAAATATGCGTTATGACATTAGCTTTTGCTCATCCTCGTACAATCTGCGTCCGTGTACGTATTCTGCATCCGGATCAACGGTCCCAAATCTCGAGGTGACGAAAGTTGAAAGTGCTCTCGATGTTCAATGTCATACCAAGTAACAAAGCCGAGTGAAGCCTTGATCTATGAGCCATTCGTCCGGGATTAGCGGCATCACTAGTTGCCCTTCCTCGTAGCCAGCACTCCACCCGGCCTCATAACCTACGGGCGATCTACGTGAAGCCCACGATGTCCTCATACTCCGAGTCGTCGAGTTACGGAGCACGCCGATCATTTGACATTCCACACGAGGGGCACTTGCACAGGAGCAGCTCGTCTACGACTATCCACGATAGTCCTTCCCGGAAGTATGGAGGAGTAATAGGACAGCTCGCTACCTATGGAACCTTGAATGGACCGAGGGTCAAGCACGCGCTAGACTCCGACCTGGACCTGGCGGGGTAAGCTCGACCCTTTCATGATCGCTCGAGCTGGCACCTGACCGATTGGATTCTGGCAGGCTCGTCGATGGAGAGCGGCTTGGGGACACATTCGAGGGCTTGCCGGTGGAAGAGGAGCAGATAAAGAAGTTTCCAAAAAAGGTAGGTCAGCGCCTTTGTCAACATCGCGTTTTTTTGGTTCTGGGAACTGATATACAACAATGTGTGCTACAGCTGAGACCCTATTATGAGAACATGTCCCGAATAAGAGATCACTATCAGGAAGTCGATGAACTATTGTCCTCGGCTCTTCCTTCCACCATCGCAGAAGCTTTCCGGCCCAATCAGATCACCGTTCGAGTGGAAGACGATGCAGACTACACTTTCCCACAAAGGGGTCGTGGACACAGCGCGCCTGTGATCATCGTCCAGAAACACTCAGGATCCGTCTCAGAGGTAAAAACAAAGCGAGGGAATAGTCGAGATCGAAGTCGGAGTCGCGCTCGGTCGGAACGGATAGAACCGATCGACCTGGCCGAGGATGAACCCTTACTGCCGGCATCGCAAGAGCGGGAAGAGAAGCGGGAGAAGAGGAACTCGCTGGCGCTCAACGTCAACTTTGGCGTCAACATCATCCTGCTCCTCGCCAAGGGGCTCGCAGTCCTCTCATCATCTTCGGTCTCATTGGTCGCCTCTTTCGTCGATGCCTTCCTGGATTTCATCTCAACCCTGATCATCTTCGTCTCGAACGTCGCTATGGGACACAAAGGCGACCGACACAAGTATCCCGCTGGGAAGAAACGCTTCGAACCTCTGGGAGTATTAATCTTCAGCGTGACTATGATAGCGTCGTTCGTGCAAGTGAGCCAGCAAGCAGCAAGGTCCCCGTTTGCCGTTCTTCTCAACATGACCGTCTGTACAGGTCTTTATCGAGTCATTCCAGAGGGTGTTGGCCGCGCGAAAAGGCGACGTCGAGGTGGCAGAACTCAGTTGGTTTGGTATAGGGTGAGTAGGTCATTTGTTTTCTGGTATCGACCTTGGCTGACATGATTCGATCCCCAGGACCATGGTAGCTACGATCGTCATTAAAGGGATCATGTGAGTCACTATCGTGGTCGATTCATCTATCGAAGAACGAATGCTGACCTTCTTGATGCGATCAGCTGGTTCTGGTGCTCAAGCATGCCCTCCACAGCCATTAGAGCTCTAGCACAGGATGCAGAGAACGATGGTGAGCGTACGACGGATGTAAATTTGAACGTTCCGAGCTGATGTTATCATGGCTAGTCTTCTTCAACATTATGTCTCTAGGATTTCCATGGCTTGGCGGGCTTCTCAAGTGGAATCTCCTTGACCCGATCGGCGGAATGGTGTTGTCCTCTTACATCATTTGGCAATGGTGTCTCACGCTTCATGAAAATTTCACAAATCGTAAGCAGAGATGGATCGATTCGGCAACCAAGCAAGAAGCTGACGTAACCGATGGACATAGTGTCGGGAAAGGCCGCAGATGGCGGCGAAGTGACCAGGATTCTGTATCTAGTATCCCGATTCAAGCCCGTCCTGCAGATCTCGTACTGCGAAATCTATCATATCGGTGACGAGTTGATCGCGGAAGTGGATGTCGTACTACCGCAAACTTCCACGTTGCACTACGCACATGATGCAACGGAGACTCTGCAGTGAGTACAGGCGATTGTTCCGTTAGTCCGTAGCTAACAACCGTGCATATACGCAGGGGTTTGATCGAGAGCTTGGAGGGTGTCGCTCGCGCATACGTACATGCGGACTACTCGAGCGAGAATCCGTGAGTCTCGCTGGAGGCACAGCGCCTTAGGGTTCGCGTTCGGGTTTTGATCGTTTCTCTTTATTACGTCTCTTGCTAGTGCTCAACACAAAGTCGCGAGCAGTGAGGTCAAGAAGACGAAACCGGAGAATGGCGTACGCCGAATGTCGACGGTGGAAGAAACCAGATAGATATGACTTTATTGTATTGTAACGAGGGTATCGGAATCTCTGTTAGATAGTTGGCATAGATACGTAGGCGATATTATATTGTTTAGGGACCCCGACAGATCCGCCCTCGACCTCCCATGGTCAGCTATCCAGATCGATCGACCCTGTTAGCGCGCCGAAGCGGCACTCTCAGCGGTCGATGAGCCTGGCCTCGAACTGCTTTCCAAGTCACTCTACAGCTACATCTGAACCCATCCGTCTGAGGCTACGTTCAGACCCGCGCAATCCTAGATACCGAGACAGCCACGATTTCAGACATGGTACGTACTACTGGCCTTCGAACTGAATCATCACAGCTTATCGAAAGCGGATCGATAGCCACCAAAAACTCGACAGGCCACCGGTAGTCTCCCGGTCGGGACGTTGAAGAGAAAAGCCGACGACGTGGACGAGGAGGACGACCCGGATTTCCGAGCTCTCTCTAGCAAGCAAAGAAGGAATATCGACGATGCTTATGACAAGGCAGCGGGTGGCAGCAAGAAGCGGAAGATGGCAGGTGGAGATGCTGGAGGTGGATTCGTCACCGATGATACCGAGGCGGGAGGGTTCCTGCCAGACGACAGCGAAATGGGAGGAGGCGGATTCGTAGACGACATGATGATGGGAGGAGGCTTCATGACGGAAAACGCCGAGGAGCCTATCGCCCAGCCAACTTCGCACCTATATGACGTTGACGGGATCACCCTGTCCGCCTTGCCAGACGTGATGAACTCGCTAGGATTGGTCTGGGATGAAGACGTCCAGGCGGCTTTCGAGGGCGTGTGCGCTCAGACGACTACAAATGGAGAGGTCTATGCGACTAGACGAGACTTTCGGGCGGTCTGTGCTGCCCTGATGGAGCCGGAGCAGGAAGACGGAGATGCGAGGATGAGCGAGGATGATGACGAGGACGAGGATGCGTATGCGGAGGGCAATGCCGAAGACGCAGAGATGGCGGACAGCGATGCGTCCTCGCCGCTCTCTGAAGCAGACGGCGAGTTTGGTACCCCGAACGCTAAAGGCAAAGGCAGAGCAAAGGCAGGCGGCAAAGGCAAGAAGACGAAGAGCAGCAATCAGGATCTACGGATGGATCCGGCCGCTGCGCAGGTGAAGCTCTCGAGAGAGCAAAAAGAATGGATCACCCAGATGTGGAACACCATGTTCGAGAACATACAACCTTCCATCATTGCTCAACACGGACCGCGGGTACTCGGAAAGGAGCAGGTTCGACGTTGGGCTGAGATGCTGGACCAAAACTGGAGTGACGCGGAGGTGGGCAAGACGATGAAGCTCGTAATGTTACCGAGAGCGGTGGCTGACTATCGGCCTCCGCTTTGACTCCAGCTCACCGAGATGATCGAGGTCTTTTCGACTGTACCGGGCAAGCGGGGATTGTCCTATGACGACTTTACCACTGTGCTTTTGCGAGCAGGTTTGGTGCAGTTTTGAACGCACACGCTATATATGTGCTGCAAATCCCGTTCCCCCTTCGGGCTCGGGCAGACCAAACCGAGATCGCTGTCATCATCACCGTCAGCACAGGAATGCTGTCCGCTCGTCAACTCCCAGAAGGAGCGGATCTGACCAGTCTCCTGTCGATCTTCAGCTTCGTCGGCCTGAATCCCCTGGGAAGGGGTCGACAACGCTAATGAAATTCTCTGGATCAACTTTGCAACCCGATTCTCGTCCAACAGGATTCTTTTCATGTATAGATTTGAAGTCGATCCACTTGATTACCGGGCAGACCTTTGAGAGTAGCCGCTTGTACCTTTCTCATAACCCTGTATGCCAGTATCGCATTGTATCCATACGTGTCTCGATCATCTTTCAGGGTCGTGCGTCATTAATACGTCGTCATGCAGTCAAATGGCCTCAGTTGGGGTCCTGCAACACTACCAAAAGATATTTCTCGTCTGATTCAGTAGAAAAGGACTGTCAGTGCTCAGCATCAAAGAAGGGCAGTTTAGCTTTAGCCTTGCCTGGAGATATAATCAATTCGTGCTTCTTCGTCCGCATACGCAAGAACTTGAGCGAGTCCTACATGTTGAAATGCCTTAGTACTGTTAACATTGCCATCGAGGTCGCAATTCGACTCACTCCTTCCTCCAGCTCCTCTATACCCTTGATGACGCTCTCGATCATCTTCACCACTACCCTCGCGTACGTCTTGCCCTTGTCACCTTCGAAAGCCGGACCGCTCTGTCGCAGGACACCTCCAGCCCTCGTCATGACCATGATCCCCATGACATTCTTGTAACCCGAGAGTCGAGATAGTGTGGCATCGATCTCTGCTGTTGCGCTGGAACCGGTTGCTTCGGACTGGAGGGGAAGGCGGAATATGTTGTATTAGAAGCGTCCTCGACCGGAGCCGCCAGACTTGCCATATCTGCCTTCACAGTTCTGATGGTAACGGTGGTGAGGAATGATGAGTCTATTAGATCTATTGACGTCGCCCTTCGCGGCTATGAAAACTCCAGTTTGCTTGTAAGGCATCAATGAAGGCATCGAAGGATCAGTCAGTTATCGGACATGGGCGACGGTTCAAGTAGCATCTACGCCCCGCCGGCCCTAGGCAAAAAAAGGGGGGGCCAGTAACTTAGTTAGTAATTAGTAGTAGTTAGTTATACCTTGCCTTTCCTACTTGCTGTTTGCTGTTCATATAACATACCCAGCCACCCAAGGGCGACACAACGAGACCAGATGCTATGGAAAGGATCAATCTTCTCGCCGTCATCCTGGTGACCTCGACGGTGAGCGGAGGATCCAACCTGGTCTTTCGCTACCCACCGAATCCGAGACCCGCCGAACGGTTATCAAGACCGGTCTATGGCAAGAAAGGCACCCAAGATGGAGGATTCTCCATCGCGCCGAGGACCGAGAAGCAAACCGGAGCGACTGGGATGGAGACCGGATTGTCGCAGGAAGCCGATTGGGCGTACAGAAATAAAGCGGGAGAGGCATATGACAGCGATGACAGCCTGGACGACCAGCTCGAGAGCGCCTTGTGGCAGCCACTACATGTCACAGGCGGGGAAGTTGAGCCAGTTCGGCAGAGAAGACCCGCTCCCCGACGTCCTGGACGTCCCGACTCTGATTCGGGACCTCCTGCCAACCTAAATCCGTTGGCTGCAGGCACGACATCCCAGGTGACCCAGACGGACAGCAGTGCTAGCGGAGGGTCGACATACAGCGCCTCGGATTGGGAGAACATCCTTGGGTACGATCGAGACTTTTTGAACTCTCTCTTGACGCCATCAAGGTCGGGATGCAACAAGAGATTCGAGCTCGTCATCGATGACATAGCCTTTATCGGACATCCCGTGTGCGCAGACGAGAATGGTAAATGGGCGTTGCCGTACGAGGAGGACGAGGCGGAAAAAGAACCGGAACGAGGGCGAGGTCGGGAGATCGATCGGCCAGGATCGCGGAATATGCGAAGATTCGGTCAGACCCCTCAAGAACTGACACCCGTCACGGAAGGGGTGCCTTCTGACTCGATATCCGAACGATCGGTAGCGACGACCTACAAATCAGATGATGAAGATGCTCCTCCCAAACCGCTCAGTAAAGATGAGAGCAAGAAACATTCTGGATTGTCCTTTTTCCACTTGGTTCTCGCCCTCGACAAGCCAGATCCGCAATTGGATTTCGATATGCCGGGAGTCATATATGAGCTCCTGTATAGCGAGGTGGCGTTCAAGTGGACGGCTGCCGCCTTTGCTGAACAAGTCCGGTGCGATTGGGTCGGCCAGGAATGCCTCAAGCTGAGCAAGATACGGGAACATTGTATTCAGCAGCGTGAGTCGATCTGGCGGTTGATGACGGAACGTAAGCCAATTCCTGAATTTATCTGAACGCCCAGTCATCCCTCTCAAGAAAGCGCAAGCAGAAGCTTTCGCGGTTTCACCTCTCGCCAAAAACCTTCGCGAGCTTCACGATGGCATTCGGGCGATGGCTCCTATCCAACTTACCGTTGGCGAGATTCCGATCGATGTGGCCATGCCTGTCAGTCAACCGCGAGTTGCAGAGGAATGGACGCGCTGGGACGACGACGATGCCCCTTCCGAGGCGTCATCGTTGGATACCGACGTGTACCTGCCAGAAAGTGATGATCTAGAATCAGATCTTGAGGATGGCGAGGACGAGGTAGTCGTCCGGCCTACGCTCAAGGCAGATCCCGCGTTCGACTTCAAGCCATGGAAGACCCTGCTTCCCTTGGAGATGATACATAATTTGCGGGAGGCACCCGCAGATCTTGATGAAGAAGCTCTTTTGCGGTATCAGCAAATCAGCGAAAATCCAGCCGAAGTTTCAGAGTTTGTAAGCCGCTTTCTGCAAAGTCTCGATCCGACAATACCGTAAGTCAAGCTGGGGCCAATGAATCAGACTCCAATCATTGACGAGATATCGATCTGATAGCCTGTATGATATCGCTGCCTACCTGGAGATGGATCTTCACACGGAGGTCTACCCACTCGCCCGATACCTCATTCATATACGCAAGGTCAAGCTCATTGACGTTGTGCGGAAAAGCCTCCGCAACGTCTTCATGCCAGAATCTACAGTTGGAAAATCGTAAGACTGCATCATTCGAAATAGCTTCATCTTGAAACTCAAGACGCGTCTTTTGCAGAATACCCATCATCTGTGCGGAATGGGCCAAGGAGTTTCCTACCATGCCATCGTGGCCCGCTTTCATCGGGCAAATCTCGGCTTCCCCGCAGCCGTATCGCAAGCTCATCCCTCAAACCGATGGAGAGATCAGGTTGGCCGATCGCGAAGAATATACCAGGGCGCTATACTGGTTAATATCCCATGGGCTAGTCATACAAGCTCACGACCACGTCAAGATTGTGGCAACTAAGGAGACGAAAGAGAAAGCTCACCGGGAGCTAGAAGAAGAGCGCAAGGCTAGACACGTCTCGCGGGAACTCAGGCTGCGGAGGCGTGCATCCTTGCCAGAGAGCCTACTTCATCATCGCACCAAATCGGACGACGACCTCGCAGCAGCTCGAGGTGATGCGTCGTCATCCGACAGTGGGGAAATTTCGGAAGAGGACTTTGACGAGAACGAGCTGAGGGAAGACTTTCTCAACGACGGTCAAGAATCTTTCATACATCGTCCGAGCAAGCCTTCCTCGGCGGAGGATCGATGTCTCCGGATCATCATGCGCGACAAGGAGCCAGAATGGCAAAGAAGATTCGCACAGTGAGTCCAACCATTATCGTTTGTCGCTTCTAGAGCAGAAAACTCATTTCAGGATTGATAGATGTTTGACGTGCTTCGATGGCAAAATGACACTGGACGCAGTACAGTACGAGACGGGGTTGAGGCGTAATCATCTGCGCGATCTCTTGACAATATTCAAGGAAGACGTGAGTCCGGCATAGAGGCGCAGCATGCAAATCTCTAGCTCATCCTCGGCAACTTCAACAGCTGGTCGTCTTTCTTCATCCGTGACGCACTGGTGATTGTGGAAGCCACACTCACGATGTTGTATCAGATGTGGGTGCAAGTTGTATATGATCAAGGCGACCGAGCTCAGCTCTGTGCTACATCGCTCTGTTGTACAGCTACCACATTGTTCTCCCCGTACCCAAGTTGTTCCCGCCACCATTTCCAATCGTTCCAGACGCCACTTCTCTTGTGTATCATCATCAAACCCAGCTGAGCAGGCAGCCACCACAAGCTAACGAAAAAGAGCTTTCTTGCTGTCTTTTCGTTGCGGAACCTCATGAAGTTGATCGCTCGGTAGGTGAATACCAGATTGGCAGGCAATGACGTGGCCAAAAACGCCCATGTTACAGCCCCGGTGACGGGCGGTAACACCGAGCAGACGGGGAAGAGCAAAAGCAAAGTATGCCGAAGCGACACTAATGCGTTCTTGCGTGGATCGATGGCGCTCAACATGCGATACCCACCCAAGGCGTATGATTTCCGGATGAGGTGGGAGAGCGAATTGAAATGCGGGAACTGCCATGAGAAGAGGAAGAGGAAGAGCATGTAGGCTGTCAGGGGGTTGGGCGTGGTGAGGAGTGTCGACCCGGTGGCGTCAGAGGTGATCGGCTTGACGTGATCCTTGCCGCTCGTCCTCTTGTCCGCAAATCCAGACTCGAGCACATAGGCATCCTGCGGGTACACCCAGTACCCATCCTCGTTACTATGCGATTCGTCTTGCCAACCCATCATCTTCCCGAACCAGGCCGGCCACCAGATCTGCATCGGCATCTCTCTCGAGAACCCTAATCCCGCACCGGTGGCAGCCCAGCCCATCAAAGGCGGCAGCCCTCCAACAATCGATCCGACCCATGTGTTCAGGATCGTGAAACGCTTCAATGGCGTGTAGATGGCAGAGTATAGCACCAGATTGCCCACGCCCAACGCGGCTGTAGTGCCGTTGCAGCCGAAATACAGCACCGTCGTTCCGATCACGGTGCACGAGACCGCAAAGAGGAACGCATGGACCGGCGAGATGGCTCGGACGACTAACGGTCTATTTCGCGTTCGTGGGGTTTGGGCGTCCATAGGCGATTCAAGGATCTGATTATACGTATTCGCGGCGGCGCTGACCAGATACGTTCCCGTCGTGAGAGATAGGAGCAGCGGTACCGACAGGGGCAAGGGGGAGAGGGCCAGCCCTGTCGTCCCCGTCAGGGTCACCAGGACGGACAGGTTGTGCTTGGCTAGCTGTTTGTATATTGCGACGAGCCGCCGTGGGTTCAGCTTTGCGACCGGTTTATAAAGTGATCGATCGGCCGTGTGATACGGTGGTGGGGGTGGTATCGACAGACTAGCCATGCCGGGCAGGTGTTCTAGGGTCGACCTGGGAGGCCTGGCTGCCGCTCGGAATCCCATCTCATCGACGCTTTCTGACTCTCTGACACCGTCATGTGCTCGGCCTTTCCCTTTCCATCTTGTCGATACGCCTGGCAGGATACTGCCTGATAAATTGCCATCCATTGGATCCGTCAAACGATTGGTGTGGGCCGTGAAATACGTCAACGGCAGAGCCGACGTGGATGTCGAATGACTTCGAAACGGCCGTAGTTTCAGCCGATTTGGACATCGATATGACCCTCGAAAGCAAGACTGTGCCGGTATAAGGCGTAAAGAGGTGGAGCCGAAACAACTGAGGCATAGCCCAGATTTTTCAGAAGGTCCGTTTCGGTGCGGTACAGGCAGACATAGCAACTCACCTCATTGTTTCGGTAGCGGCTGCACTATCGCTTTCCTTCTGCGGATCGCGTATAGGTATGATGAGTACACTATCGCCCCCAATGCGTGTGAGTTCGCGAGTTCCGTAGCTTGTGACTATGTGTAATTGGCACTATCAGCTATTAGCTATTGGGTATCGAAGATGGTTGTCCAGAACTGCAACATCATCGACTGTGTACGATTGTGAGTCTCACTTCGATCCTTGTGCTGCAACAACCCCGTAACCCAACCGGGCGGCGTCCGATTTTACGAAAGGACGCTCTTTTATTTCCACCCCGAATCTGGACCGTTTCACATTCGATCGGTCATCACATCGGAATCGTCGTCATATTCGGTACAACTGCGTGTATCAATTCACGAGCCTCGATCTCCTATATCCCAACCGTTGGCAAAAAGCACCCCTGATGTGGGTGCTCTCGAAATGATACAGCTGGAGCGGCGTAGACTAAACGCCTTGATCTGGGCAGGCTTGTCAATCTTTTAGACGGTTGATGTACGCCCACGCGACCACGCCCACTACAGCGATCGAAACGGCCATCGGCGCAAGCTGCAAATAGGTCAAACGTTTGATCAGCGGTGTCTCTTCAATCCTCGAAAGGCACAGCACGACTCACGCGAGCCACCGCAATACCATTCTGTACATCGCTGGGATTTACAGGCACTTCAGCCACCTTCACCTTGCTCTTGTCCTTGTCAGATTTTTCAGACTCCGACTTTGGTCCCTCGTGAGCGGTCTCGTCGCTCTCCGTACAGGTGCTCTCACCGTGAGATGTCGTCCTCGAGTCGTCGTCACCGTCCCCGTCAACCGCTCGATCCACGGTTGCCGCGCCGGCATCGGGAACTGCTGAGTTTGTCTTTCTCGACGAGTTCTTCTCCGGCCCGCTCGATTTTCGGCGGGATTCCCCTCGTTTACGCCCGGTGATCGTCCCTGCTCGTCGATTGCGGGCCGCCTTGGCTCTGAGAGCGCCCAATGCTCCCTCTGCTGCGGTCGAGTTGGTCGTCCGAGGGGTAGACGAGCCATTGCCCTTGGATCCGGTACCCATACGGGTCGACGGTTCACCCGCAGCTGCCTTTAACGCCCTGATGGCGGGATCTAGCCGACTCGAAGATTCTCTTCGAATCCGAACTTGATCTGACGTAAAAGACGGGGACCGTGGAGAGACGGAATGGCTCCGATCAGGCAGTCGCATAAGGAGAGACTCGTCCTTGGCTCGATCGAGACCAGAACCGATCCAATCGTCATCCGATCCCTTGCCAGATAGATCGTTCTCTTCCTCGTCTCCCGAGTCGTCGTCCGTCCCAGATTCACCGCTGAGTCGAGCATTCATCAGACGTTCTTCTTCCTCCTCCTGCGCCCTTCGGCTCGCCTCCTCCCATTCTCGAACGACTCCCCGGAGCCTCTCTCTCTCGAGTTCGTACCCCTCGCGCTCTTTCCTCCAACCTTCCTCAAACTTGCTCCTCCAGGTTTCCCATCGATCCTCAGCCGAACGTCCCGCTTGCCCAGCTGCTTCTGCGACTCGCGTGGCCATATCTCGCTCTAGAGCAACGATCTTATCCTCGAGCGCTTTGACGGTCGATGATGCGTCATCGTGTTGTTGCTGCAGGTCCCGCGATACTCTCAAGGATGTCTCGAGGTCAGCCGAGAGGCTGCGGGATAGCTCTAAAGCTTGCTCGAGATCCTCTGACAGAGAATCTAGTCGTGCAGCAAGAGCATTGTTACGGGCGATGATCTCCTCGTTCGAAACCCTCTCTTTGTCTTTCGAGGCGGTTGAAGATAACGAACGATTAGACGATGACCGGTTCATGAAGGAGGACCGTCGACTTGAAGGTGACGCGTCATCTCCGTTATGATCCGAGTCTCTTGATCGGTGACCCTTGCTACCCTGAGCTTCGCTATCGCGGTCGTCCTCATCATCTTCGTGAGAGCGGGCCTGAGCCTGATTCTGCAGGATAGTTTCAAACTCCAGCTTGCTCGCTTCCATTTGTTGGCGAAGACCTAGCACCTCCGTCTTGATCGCTTCGTGCTCGGCTAGAAGTGTTTCCAGAGATCGGATCCTGTCCTTGTGGCTGACAAGGATAACTTGAGTGCTACTGAGCTGGGCTTGTAAGGCCGCGATGGTGGCAGTAGGATCTCCTACGACGTGATCAGGCACACCAGGCACGTATACGGGCTGCGGCTCCTGAGGCTGAAATTGAGGTGGGATATGCTTGGTGGCGTGACCGTTCTCGTTTGGAGGCTAGAGATCATGGTACAATCAGTACAGACTACTCGCAAGGGAGAAGCAAACCAGTCGTGGGTATCTTACGAGGCCTCCACTCAACGTGTCTTGGATGTCTGTCATGGCCGATGTTAGGTTCTGCAGCTCAGCCCCAGTCTCCTTGCTCTTTTCAAGCTCCGCCTGTTATCCATATTCGGGGTATCAATGTCCCGCTCATCATGTCTGAGCGTACTCTCCGCTCACCTGAAGCTTCGCCAGTACATGATCAAAGTTCAGACCGATTCCTTTACCACCAGCGCTCATCATGGCCATGGGTAACGTTCCATTCATAGGGGGCACAGCGCCAGTCCCCTTGCGAGTCGGACCAACGGCTTTGGCCTGGTCGTAGGGGAAATAATTGGCGAGTTCACTAAGGGTCAAGGTTCTGAGTATTTAGTAAACCCCCCCGGCGAAAGCTAGCGCAAGAACGCTTACCGAGCACTCCATCCTGCATCGTCCACGTTCCATACAACATAGGCTTTGGCAGACACCTTGTAGTGCTGTACCGTCTTGTTGTCTTCGCTAACAATGTCGATACCGAATTCCTGACATCAAGCGATAAGCAATCGTCGGCTGCAGTACGCAAGGCTAATCAAACATACCACGATATCTTCGCTCTTCAGCTCGTATGGCTCGCTCTCCATGCCTTCGTTGCTAAGTCGCTCGCCATTAACAAAGGTACCGTTGGACGACTTGACGTCTCGGATGTACATCTAGGTCACATAGGGTTCAGCCAGGGCTCCGGCCTTACGAGCCCGCATGGTTTCGCAACTTACTCGACCTGACCCGTCCGATCCTTGCTCGGACCATACCTCGGCATGCATCCGACTGAGTACCTTGGAGTCAAAGAATCCGTTTCTCTCGGTAGGCGTGCTTTTGATGTTGGTCTGACGACCGATTTTGATCTACATAGGGGACGTGATCGAGCGAGCCCAGGGAGGAGGAGAGCGGCGAAAGATCCGAGTGCGGAGTTACCAGTGAAACGTCATAGTAGACCAAAGAGCAGAAAGCAGGAATGTCTTGTTTCAGTAAACGCGAACCCATGATCACATTCAGATTCTTCGCCCGGACCTCCCCCCAGTTCAAGGGACCCGCTATCGTACAGTCGTGCGGAGAGGGACTGCTGTCGTACAGTAGAGGAACTTTCGGACTCACCCTTTCAGCTGGATTCCTACCCGTAATGGGAGGCAAGTGGATCATCTTGGTTGCGAACGTCTCGTTCAACGGCCAAAGGTGCAAGGACGGGAAAGGTCCTCCCCAAGGCATCTCTTCTCCGTGACCACCTTGACCGTATCCACTCGGAGATTCCGTCCGCCGGGGTGGCTCAGCGTACCCGTTGATGGCATTCATGGCACTCTTGAGGTTCGGAGGGGGGCGTGTCTGCGTCGATGGAGGAGCGGGACGGAATGGCGAGGGTGAGGATTGACCCTGAGAGGCATAGCTCTGCCCCGGTCGGCCATCTCGATCCCTCCTGATACTGTTCCCGGATTCCCCGATCTCGGTGGGCCTTCCTCCCTGACCCCTGCCGTTGATGCTGCCACTCCCATTTGATTCGGGATTGCGACCCGCACCGGTGTTGTGATGCATGTCCTCTCCGGCGTGACCATAGTCACCGGGGTAGCCCCCGTTGTTGCCACCACCATTGCGAATCGTCCCTGTACTAGTGTTGGACAGGGTACGTTCGAGACCCATACTGCCTTGTGGCATGGTTGAGCGATGTCAAATGAAGGGGGGTCTGTCGCTTATACGCAAGTCCTCCTTGTCGTGTTACAGATGGTACCGAAACGAGGTCGGCTGAGTCCTGACGTCGGGGTAGTTACAGGCTGCCGGTTGCGACCGTTTCAATCTATCTGTCTAATTGGTGAGGTCGTGCGAATAGTCTCAATCGATGGATGGCATCACTACTATCTTCCTTTGATTTCGTTTCGAATAGCCGGACTCCTTGATCGCGAGAACGTCTTCTTTGTGTCGTCAGGTCTGGTACTTGCAACGCGATGAGGCCGAATGCCGTATCCGAGACTGTGCCTAGATCTCGGTGTATATGATTGTAGTGGAAAAAGGCTGTGGGTGTGGTTTCAAGGTCGTAACAAAGGATCAATAGTGGTCAGGGGATGGACGAGCACGAAAGCGTTTCTTTGCCTAAGCAAGATCCAGATTCGTGGCTAAGGACACGCGTGATCGTGATCGTGATCAAGGGCACGACTGGCAAGGAGGACACAAGCTTGTGCTGCACCGTCGATCACCGTAGTGGTACATTGCGTCGAAGAGTCGGATATTTAGGGTATGGTATCTGATAGTCTAGCGATGCGGTCGATTGTTACAGTATTTGTTACGGTAGAAATACACGGCGTTTTTTGCTACCCAGACTGTCTCGCGATGGAGCCTCCGGATGGTGATACTGTAGGGACATTCCCCATCATCGCAGTCTCTTGAAGGAGGAGGATCGCTGACGGAGTACATTCATTCCATTATGCAATTGTGAGCGATGTGCGACATTCTCTGATCCGAAATCGGTCTCACAACCGAGACTCACGCCGAGGAAGACGACCACAAAGTCGAACGTATATTCCCCCACTTCCAAGTAGTTTTGGATGAGCTCTGAACAGCCCGTCAAGCCCAGGTAGTTTCGAGTATAAGATCCACGGTTCAGGATTCATAGAAACGGTAATGAGATATGATCGAGACAACAGAGGGGAGAGGCGCCCAGGCGTCCAGGACGGTCAGCTGAAAGTCTCGGCTGAAGCCGCATTTCCCATAGACGCACTTCTAAACTCCTTGTTCGGCACCTGTTCCAAGGCAACGCTGTGAAGCATGAAAGAGGATTGCAGAAGTACATAAGTATGTGATCATCTATGCCGTCAGACTCGATATCTCTCCGCTGGACTGCAAGCAAGGCTGTCGGCACTCACGTCAGACCTGTATTCCGCTTGATTCCCGCTAACAGTGCTGTGATGAGGATGGCATCGAACCCGACGTGGAACAGCTTGCCGAACAGCGTCATCCTACTTGGTGGCAACCGCTGTTCTTGGCAGGAGATTTAGTGGATTATAGATGGGTGTGTCCTGTCGTGCACACGAGTGAGAGCTCGTCGAGCCCGGGAGCCTTTCCGAAATGGCAGATGTACGAGGTTGTGCGATACGATGGACCGGCCCATGCCGTCATCCAGCCTGCGGAACCTTTTCACGTGATCCAACTGACGTGAGGCCTAGGGGAGAGCGTCGCATCGCAATTGACCTCCTTCAACATTTCTGGGCGATACAGGATATACAGGATTTATCCATTGGCAGTCTCTACGACGTCTAGTACACGAAAGCAACAGCTTGAGCTTTGATCTAGATCTATACAGGCATGCTTCAACTATTCCGGCGATAGCCAGATCCCTAGACGACCACCAGCAGCTCTGGCCGACATGCTGCTCGGACGAGCCTTTGCCTCGGGCGGAGGACCGACGAGGGTGTTGAGCATCATCGCTCGTTATCCCCGAGCTAGAGCTAGACAGCAGCTTGGGACGAGCAAGCGATCAGCACACGCTTTGATCGTCCCGAGCAGAGGTTACGCTGCTGCAGCAGCCCTCGAGAAGGAGCTGGATCAGCCGCATAAGGAGGAGCCGAGTACGGGGAAAGTGGATCCCGCATGGACGCGGACAGGAGAGGACGACGCCGCTTTGCACTCGTCTGGCTCGACTCTGATGGATGGGGCGGTGATTAATTCCAGCAGAACATCGAGAATCAGGCGTCGCGCTGGTCAGGCAATCTCGAAACTTGCTGCTACAGCAGCCCAGAAGCCATCTCCAGCTACCCCTCAAGCTGATACCTTCTTCTTGAACCTTACCAACAAAGGCAAAGGGAGGGAGCGTAGTCACAAAAGCTTGCCGGAAGTACAGCGTAAAAACGAACAGCGTCGTCTCAGGCAAGCCCAACGAGGTCTACCTCCCGCTCGGCGGTCTCTGAGGTACCGCACCGTCCTGCTCTCCGATATCGAGGATGCCGAGAGGAGGTTCTCTCAGTTCACACACGGGTTGGACGAAGAGATTGCTGCCTGGCAGGAGAAGAAAAAGGCGTTACAGGAGGTCAAGAACGGGCAAGCCGTTTTGGAAAAGTGGTTGCGACAGAATCCGCATCCCCGAACGATCTATGCCGATACCCTACGAGCGCATCTCAACCATCTGCTATACCTTTCAGCACGTGCAGGTTCATCTTCGAGTTACAACAAGTTTTCGAGTCTATTCGGAGGATATGCGCTCGAGCTCGACAGTCGGACACATCTGACGAGACTACTCATGCTCGATCGAAGACCGTATGTTAGTCTGTCCAGGATAACGGACATTTGGAAGGATTGGAAACAGAGCTTGCACGCGTCCGGAGAGTTGACGGAAGGCACGACGCCGGAAATGTTTTGGCCAGCCGACGGAACGGTGTTGGCCAACCAGACGATCTGGATGTTAGCCAAACGGGGTCAATGGCGGACGGTCGGCCCGGCCTATCGCGAGATGTTGCGAAATACAAGCTTTGCGAGCTCGACCTCGTCGAACGCTTTTCCGGCCGAGTACTTTACGCCATCGAATCTTCTCTCTGGCATATACCCCGCTTTCCATCAAAGTCGAGCGGACAAGGTCACTTATCAGAGCTTGATACGAGCGCTGGGATTCCATGGCAACGTCGTCGCGGCGTTGAATGTCATGGGGGACATGCTACGCGACGAACGGGGATACACGGCCGACATCTCGGATTATGTCGCTGTGATGCAGGGATTCGCGCGGTTCGGAAACTCGCTCGAGCCCGAGGAAGCGCATCGGCGACAAGCCAGACGATTGTCCTTTCAAACGGAATCCGATTTGACCGACGATCTGCTCGAATTCTTTCCGCCTTTGATCTTTCCCGGTCTTTTGCCTTTAGTGCACGTGCCCGAACGAGGAAACGCTGCCTCGGACACAACGACGCCCTTAGGGAATCGTCAAGCCCACAGATCGGGTGGTTTGAAAAAGCTGACCGAGATTTGGGGGAGCAAGATTGATGGATGGATCGAAACCCCGAACGGAGCTCAGCCACGACGCGAGAGGGTACCAGGGATGGATCTCTCCATTCTTACCAAGGTGTTTCGAGCTATGCTGGGTACCTCGCCCGTGACTGGACGAGCGTCCACATCGAGCTCGTCCCGCTATTACGCCAGATCTCGTCGGATCCCGCTCGCTCCTACCCCCAGGGCCACGTTCATCATCTTGATGGCCTTCGCTAGATGCAGTGATGGCGATCCCGAGGTCCTCAGGAGCGTCTGGGCTGATCTAGAAGACAAGTTTGGACCTGCAAGCGAGGAGGGTTGGGTGGGATGGCATGTTGACAAGCGATTGAAACGAATCGTCGGGGAGATTATCAAGGTCGGAACATGATGACACATCACGAATACATCAGTGAAGGTTCCTGGGTTTCTCCGTGTAATAGTACTAAGGATAAGCACATCGTGATACGAAACAGTATATCGGCACTTTGCTAGTACCGCCGAGAGGCTCTATCCCACTTTCTTTGCTTACGTAACGCGCGTAGATTTCGCTTCAACCACGGACAATCTGTGATCTGTGTGTGTGTGTGCATCTGTAGAACGAGATTAATCATCATCGAGTCCACTCTATCCTTTCGCCTTGAAATGGTCGCCGTTGCACCTCATCACATTAATAGAGAGCATTAATAGGGATTCTACAATCTTACATTCGTACTCGATCAATACTATCGATGGCGATAGCGATCCGCAACGGATCGTGCTTCGACCGGGCCTAACTAGTCGAGCTGAAGTCATCAAACGATCTGGGACCTCTTAGAACAACAAGCAACATCTTTCTATGACCTGAGCCCTCGCGTTCCGACATTATGTCCAGGAAAGAAGTGGTCGGCCTCACCGCTGGACAACTCAATGGACCGATTCGGGGAAATTCTAACACACCACACACGGGTAACCTGCGACCTGCTGCGTCAGCCGAAGATCCAACTAGGCTAAGAAAGAAGCGAAGGCGGAATAGGACCCATGAGATATCGGCTGCCAGCCCAGAATGTCTTCCTGACTCACAGGACAGTAATAATGCAGATCCGGAGGTAGTGCCGGATTCCCAGTGGGCCTGTCATTCAGGTAGCTTGTTATTTCCGCAGGATTCGCTCCCCATGGGCATTGCGACTGCGGATGCGGATGAGAATGACCGGGTGGTCAGTTCTCAATCGCAAGAACTGAAAGACGAGGAGGATCTTTTGCATTTCGAGGCGCAAGTCATTGATATGCCGCCATCCACCCGTAGAAAGCTTAGCCCAATAGTCACCTACGAATCAGATAGCGATCACACTGTGACGAGGCGGTCCAGCGTGAGTATACTTCTTAGGTCGCCATATATGCTGCCGCAGTCCATACTGACTTTCGCCCCATGCAGGTTGAAGCTGAGATCAAGTTCGAAGACTTTCATTTCGATGTCGACGTCAAAGTCGAGGCACCGGAAGATAGCGAGTCGCGTGAAGATGTTAACGATCTCAGCACAGTGTCACAAGACTCTGGGCGGGTTTTGCAAACGACTGGCGATGGGACTGGCAGCCAGATTACCAAGGGACCCTCGCAGACAATCCATGATATTGACGAACAGCCAGCTCGAGCCGCCTGCAAGCCAATGACGGGGACAGGCGTATGCGGCTCAGAAGGTGACTTGGAGGCGCCATCCGTCGCTGCTCCGCGACGGGATGTCGCTGCCGAGATCGCAAGCCGACTGGCCGCTATTGAGGAAGAGGAGCGCCACAAAGCTGCTCTTCTAACCACTGAAATGGAAACGTTGTCCGAGTCCGATGAAGACGAGCTCATGGATCTGGCAGATCTACCGAAAGTGTATGCCCCCCCTCGCAGATCGACTCGAGTCTTCCGTGTGCCGGAGCCCAAGAAAGTGCAATCTAGACCGATCGCTATTCCTGTCGCTCCTGGCCTGCAAGGTGCCGATCGATTTCAAGCAAAGCTCGCTCAGAGAGCTCTGGCCAGGAAATACCTAGATGAACACGACGATTTACCAGATGATGGAAGCGGTCTAGTCAGATCTGCGGACGCTCAAACACCATTACAAAAGGAGATATCCGAAATTGAAGCTCTGATAAATGGCACTCCTGCCACGACAGCCAAAGACGTTCCGGAGCCGGTGCCCCCAACCTTTTTCGAAGGATGCAGAAGCAAAGACTCCGTCATCCGGAATCACTTGTTCGAGCATTTTGGTTGTATGGATGAAGATCTAGTCAGCTTCGATAGCTGGCAACGCTTTCTTAGGAAAGCGGTCACGAAATTTGGTGACGAGGGCAAAACGGTTACTCCCGAAAGTCTTGTCCTCATGTCACGTATGAGTGCAGACTTGTCAGAAGGATATATTGTCATCGCCAGTCACTATATCGCCAACGCCACCAGGCATCTCAATCCAGCTCAAACACAATTGGCCGTATATGCGATATCGGAACACATCGTTGAATCGTCAGAGGACTTCGAAACTCACCTCGTGGCCGTCTTCAGCCGAACTCAGGATTTTCTACGACGATTGTCTTTAAATGTTTTGCGAGTCAGTCCGCATTTGCAGGAGTATGAGGTCGGTCACCATGTCGTCTGTATCAGACAGGGTTAGCAGCTACTGACATCTGTCATCAGGATGATCCTCGCTTCGAGCGGCTGCTCATTGAGGCAGAAAAGCGTAACTTATTGCTTTACGAACTCCTTGACGAGTGTACAAAAACAAACGATCTTCAGATCAGTCGACACCTTCGGATGTTAGCTGTCTATTGGGGAAACACGGGCGAAATCTTGACTTCGTTGGCCTCAGCCACAACGAACGCGGAAATCTCCCCACGGCAAGCAGCTCTCGCCTGGTTGGGACGAGTGGATACTGTCTTGAAAGTCCTGGCAAACGAGATAGGTAAGCAAGCGGTCTCAACATTGGAGGAAGGGTCAACCATTTAATCTTGGCACTTGCAGCACCGAAGGCCAATGACCCTTACAATCGTCGCAAAGCTAGGGATAGGGAACGGCTCGACATGTTGAGAACTCAGATCAAACGGCGAGGCCAAACGTTCCTTCAGCAAATCCACCTTACCCAACCGAGGCGATTGCTCGGTCGCAAGGGCCAGAACTTGGAAGAAACCGCTATCGAAGCCTTTTTCTTGCCCCCCACGAAAGCTGCTACGACGACCGAACCCTCCGGCTCGCTTATGCGACCGAAACCAAAACCGAGATGGATAACGAAAATGACGCTGCGAGAAGACCATCATCACAGTCATCACAACCACCATGCGACCCCACCGATGTTGAGCCAGCTAGAGCCGAGATCCAAGATACATTTATCTACAGACTCCAGCCTCGAACCGCACCTCTGTGACGACAACTTTCATAATACGACCTCCACTGCGTCCCCGCAGACGACCTCCCACGACAGCATTCGACGGCAACGACATGACAAGATGGATTACGCTGCATCGAATTCCCAGTTAACTTTGCCAGACGGGTCCAATTTTATGTATAAAAAATGAGACAACCACCACAACTGATATAGAGCTGTCTGTAGTAATGAATTGCATTGCCTCGTACATAACATGTAATCAAGCCTCTGATTCCAGGGATGTGCAACGAGTCATATTACGATCAAATCATTTCGAGAACAAGCTACAGCATAAGGACCTCTAGGGTCACGCGAACGGATACACGGGGAATATACTACCGAAATTAAACAATGAACCGACCACAACATGTAAACAGACCGATACTACACGGGATATAAGAGAAAATGGTGATCACAAGCTCGAGTGTCCATCAAGGATCAGAAAAAGGCCCGCTCTCCACTTCGAAGAGGGTCCGTGCCACGCTTTCCCCTTCTGTCCGCCGACATCCCCCACTGGTTGGGGATCCGCGATTGGTCATCTGCTCCAGTTCCCAATCGACTTGGTAGCCGTGGTTGCCTAGATCGTAGCAAGAACCTGGTAGTCCCATCGGACTGTCCAATAGTCGATGCTCGGCCTTGAATTGCAGTTTCACGTTGCCAATCGGGGTCTCATGGGGGATTCCCGCAGCATTACGAGATGGCGTGGTCAATTGACCAATGACATTGGTCCGTGGCGTGAAGCCCGCAGTTCGGTGACGCGACATGGGGTTCATGGGCGTGGCAAAGCTATCGCTATTGACTGACGAGGCGTATGAGGGACCGATGGGTGAACGTGGCAAACGTTCTAAGTGACCTAGGACGTCCGCAGCCGAGGCGTTGGAGCGGTCCAGACGTGGAGATTGGCTCAAGAGGTCTCCAGGTCCGGGCAGGCTGACCGTTTTTGCAAACTTCTGGGGTTTGCGGTCAATGATGGGAGAAAGGGTGTGACCGCCTTGAGTGTTGCTCGTAAAGTTGGTCTCGAGAGGCGTCGTCTTGGGCCGTTGAGCCTTCGCTGGAGGAGCGGGTATGACGAAAGCCCCGTCAAGCTGGGGCGCGGGCTGTAGACCGATCGAGTAGGGCTTGCGGATGGTTTCGGGAACGACAGGGTCAGAGCTGAGACCATCGCCATCCTGCCGAATTCTCACGGCGTCGTCCGAATCGGAGCCATCGTGCATCTGACTCGTCCGTCGATCGAGACTATGTGTCCGGCTGATGGTAGCGGGATAGGGCGAAGAGGAGACTGGCGAAGATGCCGACGGGGTCAACTGGGGCATCATCATGGAGGACGACAGCAAATGAGCTCGATGCAAGGGATTGCTGCTGTGAGGCCTATTCGGGGTAGTGTAGTCGTCGGCATTGAACTTTCCCTGGGGACCAGCACCATTGTGAGCGAGTCGAGCGGCCATGGGCACGGGAGGTGCACCCGTCGGGATGCTGGCGTGCTGGAGCGTCTCCTCGGGGGATCCTCGATCAATGAGCATTCCCGTCTGAAGATTGACCATCCTAGGCGAACCGGTCAAGCGCCGCAGGTTGGCAATCTGCTCTCGCGTCAAACCTGACTCTTCCTCCGGTTCAACTATACCCCCTTGACCGTTGATGGCCGAATTGCGCCTGAAACCGGCTGCCGACCCAGGTCGAGATCCGGGCTGCATGGGAGTCGCCCATGTGTTGGCCTTTTCCAGTCGAGGTCGCTTGTAATTGCCGCTGCTCAAGGGCGCATCGATTGGCAAAGGCGAGCACTGCAGACCGTGAGGGCCTTGGAAGTGCGGCTGAGCGAGCATAATCGGAGTTGCGCGCATGATGGGCGTGGCCATTTCGACGCTATGGGTTCGTCGGATGTCGATATCTCCGACAGCTTTTCGCTTCTTGCTTTTGACAGCGGACGATCCGAGATCGGAATCATGAGCGGCGACCTGCCTTGCCTTTTGTTGCTTCTTGAACCCGCCGTCCTTGAACTGAAACTCGAGCTTGGGGTCGACCATCCAGACCGAGCCTTTCCCGCCTTTTTCCTCGGCGTTTCGTTCGCCCTTGACAAAACAGTCGTTTAAACTGAGGTTGTGCCGGATCGAATTCATCCAACCGCTCTCGCCCGGTTTGAAGTACGGATAAGCGGCCGAGATCCACGCATAGATCTGATTTAGCGCCAGTCGTTTTCGCGAGGAAGATAGGATCGCCTGTCCGATCAAGGCCGCATACGACCACGAGGGTTTCTCTGCCGATCGAGGCGGAGGCGGAAGCCCTTCTGGCACGTATGGCTTGTCCTTTTCCGTATTCGCGGACTTGGTATTAGGTCCGCCGGGAGGTTTTCGCGTGGCATCCCTTGTCTTGACATCGCTCTTGGCTTTCTTCCCAGCGGTTGCCGTCGCAGCTTTTCCACTCTTGGTGGTCAAGAGAGCCGTTTGTTTCAAGGTCCCGGCCGACTTGGCATCTTTGCCCTTACCCCGTCGTGTCGGGGAACCCTGAGCGACCCTGGCGGTAGCCCTCGGGTTGTCTCCCTCGACAACCGAGTCCCCCTCGTCTTCATCCTCGTCGTCCTCGTCTTCTTCCTCATCTGCATCCTCCTCGTTCTCGTCACCATCATCTTCATCCGCAGCACTATCACTCTCATCATCGACCTCCATATCCTTTGGCTGCTGTTTGGCCCGTCGACTCGAGGGCGGTGGGGGCCTAACGGCGAGTGACCTTTTCTTCATCTTGGTGCTAGCGACACTGGCCTGATAGCTCGACTCGCTAAACGGCGTTAACGAACGCGAAACCATCGTCCCCGTCGGCGAGACCGCTCGAGCACCAGACAGTGCTAATTGCGAAGAAGACAGTTGAAGCGATTGATGTTGCTGCTGATGTTGATGGCCGTGATGATGCTGCTGCTTGCCGTACTGCATCTGTTGATGCTGAAGGTACCCCGACCTCCCCGCCTTGTCCGTCGGAGAGGCCGTAGAACGATCGTCCTCGTCCTCTTCCTCTTCTTCCTCGTCAAAGGCCTCGGCTACGCTCATCCGATGTCCAAACGCCGACGTAGACCTGGTTAGCCCTACCGGTCGTCCGCCATGGCTACTTCCCGCGCTCTCAAGTCCCGAGCTGAACGCGTTCGAGCCAGACTGAGGCAAGAGATCTTCCATATGTACCGTTTGCTGGTTCCTCGGGACACTCAACAAGGTCTGTCCGTCCACCGAGAACGGGTCCTGATTCTTGTACAGGAAGTTGGTCTGGATCCCACTGGCTCCAGCGTTGTCGAGATGATTATCTCCGCTGGCGTTACTGCTGTTCACCATCATCAACATCGGTTGACCCGTCCCCGAGCTATATCTCGCCAAGGGCGTATCCATCGGTTGCGTCGTGTGCGGTCTGATCGGGTACGTCATCCCAGCCCCGAGCATGGAATGTTGATCACCATATTGTAGTCCACTCCCGCTACCGGTGTTATCTGTATTGTCGTCCATCATCCCGGCACTGGCCTGCCCACTCCAAGATCCTTGCCTGATCAATTGACCGGGCCTCAGCAACCCAGCAGCGGCAGCGGCGGCATTGACGTTGCCGTTCCTGTTCCCTGTGGATCCCCCGGCGAGATGATATCCGCCTCCCATCATCATGAGCGATCCGTGCGAATGTGTCTGCGGGGTCTTCATCGTCTGTGCTCGAAGGGGGATCGGCCTGACCAGTCGAGTGGTCGTGGAGGATTTCGACGCGCCCTGGTTAGTGTCCCCGTCGATCAACTGTCCTCCCTGTTGTTGCTGGTCATCCCCCATCGAATTCGTCGGATGTGACGAGGTCGATGCCGACGCCGAAGTCGACATCATGCGCGTCGCGAAAATTTGAGATGGCTGGTAATTCGGGTTGAACAATGTCGACCCGTCCACGAGCTGGTATTGCTGTTGATAGAGATTGGAGTTGTGATTGTGATGAGTAGGGGTAGCGACGGTCGCGCTCGAGTGTTGAGAATACGACGTCAATGTCGATGTGGATCGAGCGCGACCTGATCGACCGGCTCTCGAAGGGGAAGGGGGCGAGAGTCTGCTCCGCATCGTCAGCCGAACGTCCTTTGTGTCTCGCTGGTATTCTGGACACTCACTCTTGCATCTCCTCGAGTCCTAGATCTACAAACTCGCTCTCCTCCGGGGTCCTTTGAACCTCGTCAATCCCAATCTCCGCGTCGTCTCGTTCGTCTTGCTGACTGATCACCTCGATCAAAATCGATTGCCCAACGTCAGAGGACCTTCGGACGTTCTTCGAATGCGGATACGAGTACGAATGCGGATGTGCGTCAAAGTAGGTGGGCTGGATGGGTCGTTGAAAGCTTGCCAGCATGGATGACTCGGAGAATAGCTAGAATAGAGACACCAAGAACGAGTCGACTGCAGGGGTCGCTTCCTCGCGCGGGTAGGCCGCCTGCGATTGAAAATGTGATCAGTAATTCTGCTCGATAACGAATCAACCTAAGTACACAGGACTCACCAAGAGGTATCCCTAAGGTCCTTCTTCTAAGTTGTTCTCAGTTGTACGTTCGTCTCTGCTTGCTGATTGCTGGAAGATGGTCGGTCTGTACAGGGGGGAACCTGACAGCGCCGAGCGAGGTCGTTTTTGCGAGAGCGATCGATGGCAAAGGATGGATACAGGGACAAGACTATCAGGCAAGAAAAGTGGGTTTGAATAGGAGGTGGAAAGCTAGGTATGGACTTGAGGGATGTGACGAGTCTGATGGATGCTAGATGCATGGATGGGAAAAGGAGTGTGAGAGCGAGGTGGAGGGGGACGAGGGAGAGAGAGAAGGCCTCTGGCGCGCAAGAGACGCGTCGCGGCAGAAACGGGCACAGGGCAAGGGCAGTCAGTCGTCAGGGGGCGGCCGGAGAGAGAGGACGCGATGACCCAATACCGTCCCCTGTCCTCTGCCCGCAGGTACCAGAGTCACTTCACTGCAAGATCCACTCCAATTTCTGTCATGTTCGTCATCTTGAGCTGCATATTCCCAGCCAGTTTCCGACCGGTCGAAACCGGTGCAAAAATCTGAGATGCAGAGTGAACCGAGCAACCGACGACGGCTTTGACGCGCGCGCATGGCGGAACGACGAAGCGGGGCGCCGTGTAACGATCGAAAGGCTGACATGGCTTAGATCTCGCTAAGGTAGAACACGGATCTCACCTGTCAAGATCCATAGAGAATCCCAGATCCCACTTTTGTGAGACCCTCCCGCACTCTCCATCAGATTCGCGAGGTGGGCTGTAGATGCTCTCAGTCGCGTTTCATCATGTGCGGGTCCAATTGCCCCTGACCCCTGAACACGTCTCTCGAGAGAATCCGCTGAAATAAAAAAAATGACGTCACGCGTTCTCGATCGCCGGTGACCGGGCTCGCAGATCACTGCACGTGGAACAATATGTACGGCATGCATTGCGTAATCAGTCACGGCATCATTCCCCTCACTTTGTAAACAACCTCATCTCGACCTCCCATTTCCTGGAATTCGGGTTTCTCATCCTTTTTGTCGACCTACTTCGCTACTTCTTTCCATCTCCGTTACCAGTAGTGGCTAGAGACACCCATCAACCGAACTATCCGACATTCAGATTCCTCATGGCTTCTCCCACTGGTAACGTCATCTCGGAGGAAGACTACCTCATCTTCCCTACCCACCCCAAATTCTCGTTCGAACCCGCCGAGAAACCGGTAGAATTCGATCGATGGGTTTGTTCCGGTATCTGGGTGCCCATCGAGGGAGAGGTCGGTCATCTCAGCCGTACTTCTAGCCACCCAATGATACAATGGCTAATATCAAACCTATGTTGTCGCCGTGTATACAGGGAGCCGAGGCCAAGCCCGAACTCGACGCTTTCGACACCCCCACGGTGGACCTCTTGCCTGTCCACCAGGCCCTGACCGAGGGAGCTGTCCCTATCCTCCCTCGAGCCGATGCTTGGAAGATCTCGAGGGAAGACGGCTGGGTCGAACCTTTGGGGACTAGGAAGGGAGTCTGGACCAGGTGAGCTTGGCATGCGGGGTGTTCCTCTGGACAAGGCAAGTGATGTTGACCTTGATGCTTCGTTTGAATGGGTTTCCGGGGGTCCTTTGGGTGTGGAAAAACAGCGAGAACAATCCGTTCAAGCGAAGTGGGTGGTCTTGCAGTTTTCAGACTGCTCAAAGACGGGACCTGACTAACCTCCGCTTCTTCTTCGTAGCCCTGAACGCCTTCAACCAGTTTCTCAAATCCCGCGAGACGGCCATCTTCACCCAACACCTCGTTTTCATTCAGAATTTCCGTGACCACACGGGTCTCTTCAAGCCCACGCACCCAGTCCCTCACCTCCCCAGTGGGTTCGAAGCCTGGGGCGAAGCGAGGAACAAAAAGCGAATCAGCGAATGGGAAGAGGATTGCTGGTTCGTCAGGGATATGGAAGGGTGTCTGAAGGCGTTTTGGGAAGGGCCGATGAGTAGACCTGGAGGAGATCGATTGCGTGTTACGGTCTATGACATGTTCGGTGAGTCTCCTCAAGATGCTCGAGGCTCAAGGAGTCTTGCTAATCATCAAGCTCGTCGTGACGAGGTAGAGATCGTTCGGTCGTTTTTGCTCTACATGAAACACTACGACGTTTACCCGGCGGCCGAAGAGCCTTACCTCGCCTATGAACTTGAAAAATGCTGCAATCTCTCCCGCGAGGTTCAAGACAAGATGTATGTCACGTCGATCTTGTACGGCTCGATCTGGGCGAGAGCCGATGGGTGGTCTGGGCTGGGCAAGACGATCTGGGCTCCCGAGATTGATGACGAGTTGGATGAAGATGAAGCGAGAAAGGTTGTCGATTATTCGGCCATCGTGGTGGATGAAGAGGCGGTTCTGGAAGGCATGGACGAGGTGATCGTCCAGGACGTCAAAGAGGGTGGGGGCGGGGATGGAGACGTCATCAACAGGGATGAAGAAGCGGAAAAACGAGACGCCGGTGGAAGATCCGAAGAGGAACATCGCGAAACGTTGGAAGCGTGGAACCAGGCTAGCGCACGTGAGTAGATCTTTCGAAGCTGGAATGCCTTATCTCTATGCTCATACGGCTGTACGAACCTTACACACGTTTCAGTGGAGACTGCGCCGTTCGCCTCGTTGCCTCGAGAGACAGGCGAGTGTTTTGCTATTTCCATTCCCTGCGCTGCCAACCCTGTCGAACAGCCGAGCTCATCGCGCGTGCATCCTCTATCTCTTTATCTTCTTCTTATCGCACCTTTTATAAACAGCCTTGAACACCTTGCAAGAGATGACCGGCCGCCAGGTGGATCCGAGCGATTATGTCGTGATTGCCAAACGTTCGGGTATCTTTCCGATCGTTTCGTTCACGCATGCGACGTCGTCCTCGGCGGACTCGGTAGTGCAGTCGGACTCGCCCGAGATCCGGGTCGGACTATCTCGCCTCGCGGTCGATAAGCGACCGGAAGGTTTCGCTCGACTCGATCTCGTCGACGTCGATGTCGATGGCGGACAAGAAGGGTCGTTCAAGGCGAGCGTCCTGGTCGATATGAGCGAGAACAAGGTGGTGGACTGGGACAGGTTGACGCAGGGTGCGAAAGGTTTGAAGATTCGAGGAACTTTGATCGGCGTCAAGCGCGAGGAAGGCGAGACGATCTGGTTCTTGGCCAAGATCAAGGGGGTCGAACCGGGTCTTTGAGATACGAAATCTCGGTTGACACCGCGGACTTGATGTCTGCATGTCTGTAAACATGGCCTGTACCACTAGGGCAGGTGGCTGTTCCTTATGCTCTGCGATTATCTACGATACCCTGATACACCCTGGCAATATCCTGCTCAACGTCGTTTCAATCCCCGCGTCCGACTGTGGCGGAAGCTCCTGTTCCGAAGATCTCGCGAGCAAGGGCAAGGGCGTCCGAGACATACGAGACTCTGGCTCCAAATACTACTGCCCTTCCCGTCTCTTCCTGTACCTTCGCTCGTATCACGCAAGTGGGTTGCTTTGGCAATATGGTGTCATTTGACAACTAGTGACCGGATCCATCCCTATCCTACACCGACACTGTACACTATACGGTCGACCCAGGCGTCTCGCTACCTACACCGAAAGCCCCTTCGACCGCGCAATGTCTTCTCTGAGCATCGACGATAGCCGATCAACCTCATCAAGACGGATTTACACGGACAACCTTTCACATCTCTTCTGAGCTTCTGACCGACACACAAGGAGAACCGGTATCGAACTCTAAACTCGCGTTACATCAGGGTGGACGGAATCTCGCTCTCGCTTGAGCAGCACCTTGGCGGAACTGGCGGGGAGGAAGGGAGATGTCGATGCTTGATATGGCAGCAAGGAGTCCGACAGATCGATCCGGTCATGGCCGTATCAAGGCTGTATCCCAGGACCGCCCGAGGGACGCTATACAACAGAGAGTCCAGACGCAGGGTCAAAAGTCACAGAACGCTTGTCTGGGTGAAGAAGAGAAAGATGATGATGGAGCAGTAGATACCGATACTGAGGATGAAGGCGAGGAGGAAGATGATGATGAAGGCGACGGGGAGGACGACTCGGACGACGATTCGTCGACGAGATCGTTTCCAGTCGCCAAAACGCCGATGAACAGCTTGGTTAGCCTCGTTGAAGAGAAAGACGACCCAGGCCACAAGGACGCCGAATGGTACAGCAAAGGGAAGCAACCGGAACAACTCGCCTCTGTTAGGGAAGTGGAAGAGGAGGACTACATGGACATCGAGGATGCATGGACCAGGGGACATGGATATCAACAAAAACCAAGTCGATCTGCAAGACGCCCATCTTATCCTCCTGCCGACATCTCGTCCGTACCTCGTATGCCCTACTCACCGGCGACTAGCGGAGCGTTCGAGGTACCCCGAGGCAGTCTAGGAGGCTCTTCGACAGGCTTGTCGGCTGGTACGGCGTCCACTGCGGGAAGGACAATGTCGAGCTTGCACAGTCAGGCCGCGCTCTTGTTTTCCCGCCGTAACAAGAAGGGAACGAGCCGGACGAATAAAGATCTGGGCAACCTTTTCGATCTGACTTCGAATCGGTCTCATCACTCCCGACGTCCGAAGAACGGTCTACCCACGCCTGAGCCCCTTCGATTTCTCCGACCGAACGAGAACAATGACGGTTCGGATCGCATCGATCTAGATCGCGATGTAGAGCGCAATGCCGACCCGTTCTCCGATATAGGAGCTATCCCGAAAGACTTCCAAGATCCTTCCGTAGGGCTTGGCACCCATTCACAGGACAGCTCTGATAACAAATCGTACACGGAACCAGCCCCTTCAGCTGTGCTCGAGGCGAGCGGACAAAAGGAGAGAGATCAGCGACGTTTGGAACAGCTCGGGTATAGTCAGGATCTCGGTAGGGATTACGGATTTTGGGCAAGCTTTTCAGTCGGGTTCTGTAACATCGGTGGACTGCAAGGATCGTTATTCGGAATCTTCACGACGTTTAGTTATGGGGGACCGCAGTGAGTCGGCAGTAGTGACATTACATCATGTCTGTCGCCACTAAGTCGTGCGTATCCTCCGCAGAATGATTTTGATAATGTGGCCAATCGCCGGTTTGGCTCTGCTGTTCATGACCCTGGCTATGGGAGAGTTGGCCTCGGCATATCCTGTCGCGGGCGCCATGGCAAGCTGGGCATGGACCTGTGCGAGAAAAGGAATTGGAGGGGAACGTGCCTGGGGATGGGTCATGGGCGGGCTCGTGATGGGGTATCACGTCGGTGTGGTGGGTTGCCGTGGTCGACGAAATTCGGAGGACTGCTAGGCCAATCCCACCTGTTCCGTTTTCTACAGATGTGTTTGATCAGCTGGCAGTCCGCCAAGCTAGTCAACGAGACCATTCACTTGGCTATCCAGGATTATGTCCTTCGAGACTGGGTCACGGCGCTGTTCAGTATGGTAAGCGAATTGTCGTGGTTATCTTTATAACGCCCACATTGATAGCTTCCTCGCCGATCTCAGGCTCTGATGGCCGTGTTTGGCTTTATCGGTACATCAAAGTGGGGTCGCAGTCCTCGCTTCTGGGTCATATCCTGTAGGTCAAATAGGAAAGCTACGCGAAGGTCCGGGATAGCTAACACGAAAACATGGCAGGCCTATACATTTTGTCTGTGTGGGCCGTGTTGTGCATCTCGCTCTTGGCGACCCGCGACAAGACACCAGCCTCCCAAGTGATTTATGGCGCACCGTTTAGAAGCAACTCTGGATGGAACAGCAAGCCTTACATCTATCTGGTAGGCGCTATCTTGTCCACTATCGCGACAGGCTCGGTAAGTATCTGGCAAAAAAGTCAAAACGTTCGATCTGGAGGCTGACAATGTCGGCCCATCGAACAGGATGCATGTGCCCAGTGAGCTTTGACGACTTCCTTAGATTTGCGACTTCTTAGGCTGACTTATCAGAATTTCAGCTTAGCAGAGGAAACGCGTAACCCTGCTCGGACTGTACCGCTGGCCATGGTGACGTCCGTCATAGCGGTGAGTTTAGTTGGGAATGCTATTGTCAGGTTTCTTTACTGACAGACCGGTATCAGTCTTATGTCGTTGGCTATGTTGTCAGTATAAAATGTGGGCGCATTCTCTCAGACCCTCCGCTAACCGCTCGATCTCACAGTGTATTCTCGTGATCTTACTTTCGATACATCCGTCTTGGGTTCACGACATCGCTCGGCACCAATTCCCGACCGTAAGAATTATACGAACATATCACTTAGTCCATGCCGGCTGACATTGCCAAACCATTCATGAAATCAGGGACAGATACTGAAGAGGACGCTTGGGCTCGGTCCTGCCATCGTCATATTATCTCTTTGCGTCGTTGCACTGTGTCTTCAAGCCACTGCACAATTACAGGCTTCCTCCCGATTCGTGTGGGCTCTAGCCCGGGACCAGGCTATCCCATTTAGCAAATATTTCTACGCGCTGAATAAACACCGGCTACCCGTCGCCGCAACGTGGCTCGTCCTCGCCATGGCTTTGCCCATGGCAGCAGTCATCTGGACCGCGCCGCATATCACAAGCTCTGTCTTGAGTACTGCAGCCGGGACATTCTGCATGGTCTCCTATGTAAGCTATCATGCAACTCCTGCATTTCCGCAACCCGTTCTGATGCCATACCCGCTCCCCGTCAGTCGGCACCGACGTTGTTGTACTTGCTGTCCAGAAACGACCTTGCTCACGAATACCGCTCTAGTTGGAGTTTGCGATGGTTAAGGTAGGCCATTTCGTCCAGGCGAGCCATCCCGGAACAAATTCTGACTTTCAATCGATTCTAGTAAACCCGTCGGCTGTCTGGCGGTGTTCAGTGCAGCAACAGTCATCACTGCAATGGCTTTCCCTACGGGTTATCCTGTCACTGCTGGTGAATCTAGTCGCGCCACTCCCATACTGCATCCTATGGACTGACTTCATCTTGTCCCGATTCGCAGAGACCTTGAGCTGGAGCCCCATCACCACGGCATCAGCTCTAATCCTCTCGTATGTGACATGGAAACTTTACGGTGAATTTTATCTGCGATAGCAAAAGCGTAGATCGAATCGTGCTGATTGTGCCCACTGTTTGCAGGGGAATCTCATTATTCGGGTCCGATCCGAAGCATCACCAAATGGACTGCTGGAGCCGAAATCGACTTGCGCTCTGCTCTTCAAAACCCCAGTGCATCCAGTCCTGGGCAGACGCCAGACAGCAGACGATTTCCCGGTCAGACCGAGTCGGAATTCTTCTCGCCGACCACGGTGCAGCTCGAAATGACAACATATCAAGAAGCAGATCACGAAGCTCGGAGCAATATACAAACTTCGATCTCAAGTCCGCAGGTTCGAGGGTGACGACCTCGATGAGAGGCAAAATTCATTCACGTTGTAGACGATTTCCAAGGCTAGTTGTAAATTAGGTTCAAAGGCAGATTCGAGGGCAGAACCGAAACCGGTTGTATAGCAAAGGCAACGAAATGAAAGCGGAGTACCATGCTTTATACTGCTTGCGAGAATCGGTTCATCGTGATACATGGTCTGGGTCGTGAAATTATGCGTCCTCGGCCGCTTCGTACAAATCGTTCTTCTTGATGATAACCTGCCATTGAAGTGAACAGTAAGCGTTTGCACAGAGACTCTTCTCGCTTGGCTTTCATGCCGCTTACAATGCCTTCCAATGTCGAAGCGTAAGGGAAGTACTCGTTCGTACCAAACTCTGCCCGCTCGCCAACAGCGATTCGGACAGGGGTTTGATGGGTTTGGAACTGAAGACAGGGCATGTCAGCCTTCTTATCATGCGGAGCAGCAAGATTGGACAAAGACTTACTCCGCTAATACCCATACGTTGACCTGCCAATCCGACAGTATTTACTGCCTGACCCACTCGAACGGTGATGGCCTTTTCTTGCAACTCTTCGTCGACGGTGATCAAGAACTGGGGGTACATAGCTGTGACCAGCCAGTACATCATCCAGTGTGTCTTGTCAAGTACGACTGTCAAGGTCACAGATTCAGTAACGACGCATTTCGGGCTGTTGTCGAAAGAGGCTCACATGACTTGGACTCTGTGAATGCTACGAGAAGCGAAAGAAGACCACTGATGGCCGAAGGAGACAGGATCTGTCTATCATTGTAGAAGGGGTTGACACCGATGGTTCCTTTGCCCATGTGCACGAGGCCCTGTACGAGGAATAGGTCTATCAGCTTTTCGCCCCAACACAGCAACACAAACCCGCCTTAGTCTTACCTGCGCTACCCTGACCATGAAGAGACAGTTGGGTTCCTTGGCATAGTAGCCTGCGAGACTGCGCAGCATCTGTGCCAATCGAGCGTTGTTGGTACCGGCACCCACCAGACCCATGGCGAGGATAGCATTGACTGCTACGTCCAGATCGTTGTCGTGCGAGTACCTTGAGAGGGAGTCGAGAATGGGAAGTTGCGGGTTTGATGCGGAAACCAAAGCGAGAGCCAAAGGAACGGCCTTTCGTACAACAGGGTCTCCGTAGGTCATCTAATCCAAAGGTTGGGCTGGGTTAGCGCCTCTAACCAAGATGTATATGGACACGGTTGCGATACGCACCAGGTGGTTGAATTGTCTTAGCGACATGTCCGCTCCGACATCCTCCCCCATTGCCACAAGAGCGATTCCGATGACAGCGAAAGCCTGGTAGGTCATGTCGGCAGGTGTTTCATCCTTCTTTTCCTTCTTCTCCGTCTCGGCGGCTGTCGTCTCTTCCGAGTCTTCTGACTCCTCGGTAGTCTCGGCCTTCTCGTCGGCCTTGGGCTTGGACGCATGGTCACTGCAGTGGTGCAACATAGTTTGAATTTTCAAAACGTTTCCGGTGGCGGCGTAAGAGCACATGTCGACCATGATCTCGGCCTGTTTGCCGATAGGGTGTTCGATTGTCTTCAACAGCTCAATCGTAGCTTCTGATGCTTCTTGTCGACCTATGTCATAATGCTGGTCAGAAGTGGTTGAGCACAGGTGGCTTCTATCCTACTCACCAAGGTAGATGAGACCCAATGCCAAAGCGATGAATCTAGCCCATTTATCGCTCAAGGTGCTCTCCAAACGCTCCATCAGCGACTGCACAATCGTGATAGCGATGTCGCCGTTGGCAGACCCAACAAAGACGAAACCAAGCGCAAGAGCAGCGTTGGCTGCGATCTCCATCGAAGTGTTTTCATCGGCTACATATGGCAAGAGCTTATCGGCGATGTCCTGTCGACAAGACCCGACGCATGCAAGAGCGATACTGACGGATGACCATCGATCGTCAGCGTTTTGCTACAAATAACAGTCTGCCGTATCCGTCGGGACTCACCCGTTAATGGCAGCCACCTTGAGCTCGGTCGATTTGTTGTCGACGTGGTCCTCGAGTAAAGCATAAGCCACGTCGAGCTCCGTTCGAATTCCGCTGTGCAAGATTCCGGTAGCCAACAGTGCGCCAGCCTTGATGTGCTCTTCGGACGAGTACGAGTACTTGTCGACCTGACTGATTCCGAGCTCGGTATCCCACAGCATGCTCATTCCCAAGGAAGCGGTCGCGCTCATCATTCCGTAGTCCTTGTTTTTGTAAATGAAGCTCTGACCCTCCTCGACGTCGACGATGAGCTTGTCGTTTCCGTACCCAGCGTTGACGAAAGCGTTGACAAAGGTTCCTGCCAAGTTTGCCCGTGCAGAATCGATAGATGGAGGTGCGCCTGAGAATCGATCGTATGAATGAGCCTCAAGTAAGCGGCCCACTGTTCTATCGCTGACACTCACGACCAGTCTCTAAGTGACTCTTGTAGATATCCTCCAAGCTCTTGGGTTCGCTCACATCCAGCTGCTTGCCGAACCTCTTGAAATGTTCCGTCAACCTCAAGTTACCGAGACACTCCAGAACGTCGTCGTCCAAGGTAGGAGGCGCCGTCTCTTCACTTTGCATCTCGGACTCGTCCTGTTGCTCGTCCTCAGGGGGTGTCCATGAATCGGGATCGGAACAGTGAACCCATGCGATGGGGATCTGAGAACGGGCGAGGAAAAAGGCGAGCTGTTTCTTCATCGAGCTATAATCATATCGAGAAGATCGAGTTGCTCAGCCTGTATGTCAATTGCGAGTCGAAACTGGCCACGGAGAACTCACGCGTTCATTGGAGATTCGAAATACTTCCTGATCAACTTTCGGTCCCTTAAACGGACGGCCAAGGCCAAAGCATGTGTCCATCGTTCGTGACGAGCGTAAATTCCAGCCGCAGTCCTCAAGAAAGCTCGGTCATCAGGAGCAACAAGAAGAGGTACGCAGCTAGATGATGAGGATCGACACCACAATTAGTCGCCTATAACTGGAAATACGAATGTTCTGTCCCTGGTCGTAATCGCTCACCTAACCATGTATTGACACACCCGGTTATAGATCGCATCTCCCTCCTTGCCGATCAAAAAGCTGTTCTCCTCGAGGCTCTCAATGCTCTCCAATTCGAGCAACAAGTCGACAGCATCCGCCTCGGCATTGTGCGCCAGGAAGAAGGGTACCAAGTCGAGCGCGAGGGCCAACAACTGCTCCCTCGTCTTCAAGTCCCTCTTGACCTTTTGCTGTGCCGTCGTCGCTGCAGGGATCGAGAGCGTTCCACCAGTGACCACCTTGTCAGCATCGTCCACAGCCATCGCATCGGCCGATTTCGGTGTGGGCTTGACGGGTTCCTGCTCGGGCTCGACAATCCCGGCAGCACCGTTGATGACTAGGCTATATTCCTCCCCAATTTCGGCGGCCAAGTGTCGGACGTATTCGTTGCCCCAGTCGCCAGGCTTTTCTTTAGAACCAGAGTAGATTCGGTAGTGCAAGGTGTCTCGTTGACCGTTATCCGAGTACGTCATCGCTAGCACCGACACGATCGAGAAGGCCAGAGCCTGGCGTATCGATGAAGACAAGGTCAGTTTATGGGCGATTCGTATATGGAAAGATCGACGTGTCCTGGTTCTCACCCTCTCGTTTTCCAACTTGCTTTCGTCGAAACCCTCAAACGTAGAGATCAACTCTTGGTAGAACGGTCGCAGGAACTTGAGAGGCTTCGGAACGGCAGTCATAGAGGATGTCGAAGTCTTGATGAGGGTTCGAAGAGATTCTAGGGCAGACATGTAGAGGGTAGTATCGGATTCCTGATCGAGGCGAGCGGGATCAGCTTCGCCCAGAACAAGTCAAACGTAACGGTAAAGAGCAGCCTGGAACTGACTTTTAATCGCTCGACGAGCATCTCGAGCTCATTCTTTAGGCCGATATCCTCATCAGACTATTACAGACAACGCCATGACAGAACATGAATGGCAACACAGACAGAAACGTTGTCAGCTCTCCAGGATGCGAACATCGTCTCTGACTGAGTTCCCTCTGCTCACCATCTCCTCCTCTTTGGTCTCCTTCTTCCCATCCACCTGCTTTCCCTTGGGGTCAAATGTCTTCTCCTTGTTCTCCTTGCCGGCAGGATCTTGCGATGGCACGGCGATATCCTCTGCCACACGCTTGTCCACGCCGTCGGGTCGTTGGTTGTCGGCCATGACGCAAGGTAGCTGTCTAGCTTGTCGCAAAGGGGTCTATGTAAACGTCTCGGATAGTGATGATCTAGCCCGAGTCTATGATTCTAGGGGACAGGAGATCGATTTGGGGTTTGTAAGGGTGTTTTGTGGCGAGAGATTGCTGCTCGACCGAGTTGTGGTATGTGGCCTGAAGATGTGTGGTATGTGACGAAGGTGACGATCCAACCTTGTCGACACCCCGCGAGAGCTGACGAAGCGTGGCTCTCGCTGAACGACGAGCACGATCCGCGGTGCACATGCGAAGCACTACGCCTTCGAGGATGACAAGTCAAGGTTCCCTTGCGATGAAACGCTCCATATGAAACTCGTCGCGCCAGGTCACTAGCCAAGAATACAATGCCCGGAAGGCGGATCAACGCAGTGAGCTATCCTGTGATCCTATCATTACAGATTTGTGCGTAGTCAAGTAGTTAATATGTCAAAGTTTGCATTGATGGACGCAAATTGGTCTAATCTTAGGCTGACAATGCACCAGAGATTGCTTGTCTGGAAGGTGGACGTGTGACATCTACTCTTGTAGCTTGTATCTAATGCTTGAATCGCAACATTTTTACCGCCACATGGACCCATCCATACTGCTAAAAAGTTTTCGAAAGCGCAAGGCATCGTTCTCATCCGTACACTTACCGATCTCATGCAAGAGGTCGCCTCAACACTTGTCCGGGACCGACAGGTCATCAGGAACGGAATATCCCATCCGACATGCGTTTCAAGGTATACAACATGAACCTCTGGACAGGCGAATAAATCGAGTGTTCGTGGGCGCAATTTCCTCATATAGCGGCAATCCCGGAAGGTCCTAGCCCGCTAGAGCTTTCCCTTAGGCAATGAAACCCTTCTCAGCGTAAAGTTCCCACCAGCGCTGGCCCGGCGCACATCTCTTGCCTCGAGTTCGCTTTCATTCGCGTTGTTTAGAAGTGAGACTGGCGTATGTCGTTGCCCTAATGAAATGGCTTTCCCTGGTGATATCTGGGAGGAACAGTTCGCCAGACAGCTTCAGGTCTTTGTATCTTCGGAACCCTCGCCATCATACGAGGACAAACGAAATGATCGAAGAGGCAGAATGACATGGCAGACAAAGACGCGCATCGCAAAGCTTGTCCTCTCTCACATCGCGATACAGATGAAAGATGAAAGATTGATGCAGAATAATCATGTTATATCCATCCAGCAAGAAACGACGGATGCAGAGGAAGGCAGAGCCTTCTGCCACTACGAGAGCATACGAAAGGTGGCAGCTTTCCCCACGCTTCCTTGGTCCGCCGGTTTCATGCTCCCACCCGAGATCTTTACCAGTCTCGTTTAGTAAATCTGTAAACGCGAAAAACGAGGATGCGTGAGTTAGCCTCGCCTTTCCCAAATACAACAGCGGCGACAAGGAGCGCCAGTGACTCGCCTTTTTCTTCTCGTCCACCGAGATGCCTCCGGGTCCAAGGTTGACCAGGAGCAAAAGACCTCCAACGATCGCTGAAAACCAGGCCGATATAATCCTGTCAGTTACCCTTGTTACCGACTATAGCCCATTCCCCCGATGCACACTCACATAGCGTCTGGAAGAAATCGTATCGCTTGAAGTCAAGGGAAGGGTTCGAAGGGTGCAGAGACCACCAGTTGTTGACGAAGACGTTGGCGACGCTTAGCACGGTGACGAGCAGGCTGGCGCTCCACTTGGCCTTGAAACCGACGGCAACCATGATGCAAGCGGCCAGACCCAGGAGGGAGACGATGGCTCGGAAGAGGGTGAATTTGCCCTGGAAGGCGAATCCGATGAAGAGGAAGATTAAGAGGACTCTTCCGGCGAGCTGGAAGCTGAGTAGTTTCGCGAAGTCGGTAACGTCAGTTTCCCTTTGCTGCATGAGCTAGATTGAAGACCAGATCATATTCGGGACTAACTATTTCCTTCGATCGGTCTCGCTCATACTAGGCAACCCAGCAAACAGCTTCTTCTTGGTCTGCAGCGAGTCGGACAGCACCATCAAGAGACCGCCGATAACAGAGAGGTTTCGGAGGAAGAAGGACATGTCGAAGATTAAACCGTATCCAAGACCTGTAAGTCAACGATACGGAAGCAGGGGAGATGGTTTAGCGAACAAGGTAATTTGACGAGGGGTCCCATAGGGTGAGATGGCGTACCCTGGACGACTACTACGCTGAGAAGAGCTCCGACGGCGTATTCTGGGTATTTCTTGGCGATCACGCAGTAAGATCCCGCGATCATGGCCTAGCAAGACGTTCCGGGATTTGAGCAGGTCAGCTATGCTGATATTGGTGTTCGAGCAGCCTAGCGATTGCTATCAACCTACGAGCACGTTGAAGAGGAGGAACATGTGCGAGAAGCCCCAGTAGAAGTGTCGGTGTCTATGAGAAGAGCAGCCACATTTCGTTATCAGCTCGAAAGGTCTACGCTGCAATTCAGTAGAGGGCGACCTACTTTTGCAAGTACCACAGCTGATCGCTCCACTGGGTCAAGATACGGAGCGCGTCCTCAATGAACGTCACTACGATGAGGAATCTAGCGAGTGCCGGGATATACGGCTTGACAGGTTGAGTATAGGCTTCCATCATGTCCTCCATCCGGCTACTGAACCTCTTGACCCGGCTCATGAAGTCGCTTTGACCCTGGTCAAAACCGGAGCCAACTCCGCCTGCACCTGATCGTCGGCCGACTGGATCGGGCATGTAGGTTTGCATCGGGGTAGGACGATACCCGGGGATTTGATTCGGATTGATATGAACCCGTTGCTGAGCCATGATGGTGGTCTGACGAATGGGCTAGGTCGAAGGCGCGAGGTGTGATAGTCCAAGCGGTATGCTCTGAGCGAATAAATCGTCGGTCGACAACCGAGGCAGAAGGTATATTATGGGAAGAGGGACGAGGAGACTGCGAGAAGACTGATCAAAGGTCAGATCGACCTACAAAGGGGCTGACGATGATGCGAGAGTTGGCAAAAGGGAGAAGGTGAAGTGCTTGGAATGCTCCGTCTGGTGTGTGACGTGTGGTCGACCTACGGTCGGAAGCGATTCCTCGACGATGCCGTCATCGATGGTTCCCCCCCCCCCCCTTTGATGTCAGGCTGGGCCCTCTCCAAACAGAAGCGCGCAAGCAAAGGTGGTTGCCTCGCCGTGGCATCATCATCATGCATCATGCAAGCATCATCATCGTTCCATCACATCGATCTCGAGACCGTTCACACTTACAGATCAGCTCTCAACCCAAAGACTCGTCCGTCGTCCGTGTCAAAATGGGCTACTCTTCCTACTACTTCTACGGGCTCGGGATCAGCTGGATCTCAATCTTTATCATCGTCGGACTCTACCTCTTGTTCACAGGCAAGTCCCTACCTCCCCTCGATCGCGATGGTACATAGTAGGAGCGGGGTAGCTTATCCGATCCGTTACTATCTTCTGTAGGTCAAGGGGAAACGTTCAACATCGGCAGGTACTTGGAAGAGACATCACCATACTTCTGGGCGTTGCTCGGTATTGCGCTATGCGTAGGGTTCAGTGTCATGGGAGCAGGACTGTCAGTATCGCCATCCATAGATACCGAGAGGTCATTATTAATGCTTGCTCGAATGATGCTTGCTCATGGTGGAACAGGGGAATCTACTTGACGGGATCGTCATTACTGGGAGCGGGTGTACGAGCACCGAGGATCAGGACCAAGAACTTGATCTCGTTAGTTGTATCACAATCGACCTGCCCGATTCATCGTGCTCGAAGCTCAGCGTCTCCCTACTCGTTGTTTGAAACAGTATCATTTTCTGTGAAGTCGTGGCCATCTATGGTGAGCATCCCATTCATTTTCGAGTATCGATCTCGAAACAAGCTCATACGTAAGACGTCGTCCACTTGGCCAGGTATCATCATCGCTATCGTATACTCTTCCAAGATCCAGGGAGCCAGCCTAGAGACACTCCATAACACCGCCAACACATATACCGCCGCCGCCCTCTTCTTTGGAGGATTGACCGTCGGTACGTCACCGCCTCCACTTTCATTCGGTGGGCTTCAACCGCTGAAACTCGCTTTCTTCTTTCGATGGTAGGTCTATGCAACCTGATGTGCGGTATCGCTGTCGGAACGACGGGAGCGACATGCGCCGTCAGCGATGCGCAAAACCCGGAACTGTTCGTCAAGGTTCTCATCGTCGAGGTAAGTCGGCAACGCCCGATGCCAGGCTGGGTATGAGCATTGGCTCTGGCGAAAGGGGATTGATCCGATATTGCTTCCTGGCTCCATTGGCACCAAATAGATCTTTGGGTCGGTTTTGGGTCTTTTCGGATTGATCGGTACGTCTCGCCTTTGGTCAGATGTTTCTGCAAAAGTTGCTGATGGTGACACTCTAATCGAACGCGGGTCATTTCAGTCGGACTGCTGGTGGTGAGTGATCGAACGCTGTTATTTGTATGTAACACTGAAGTCAGGTGCTAACTGTAATGTATGTGATCCGCTGAACAGTCAGGAAAAGCCGAAGAATTCGCTTAAAGAGTCGATGCGCAGAACACGTGCGACCTTCACTTTCGCACTCGACTATCAAGGCCAAAGAGCGTAGGGACAACTCGTGGCCGGGTCTACATCGGTACGGTCTTGTATGTCTTCGGCTGCGATGTTCCCGGTTCTCGCCCCATGCTCGCCGGAATTGATCGTGTTGAAGAAGAAGATAGTGAGGGTGACGAGGTGCCAAGGGCTCGTGCGGACTGTTTCTCCTTTCGATACCACTTATGACATGATAATTAGATGTACCAGTCAAATCTGCGAAGGTTCTCACATCCAGGGACGAGAGTCGTTGCACCTACGTCATGTCATGTGGCTGTGGCCGTTGTCTCGAGGTTACGCTCGGCGAGGTCCAATGTATGGGAAACTCTGATATGCGCTCTGTTTGCCGCCGCTACATTCGATCGCCTAGGCAGAATTCCAGAAGTCAGGCGTTAGTTATTCTCCAGCCACAATCTCGCCCCGATCCCTGCTTGGCCGAAACGTGCTCTCTTCGATATCGAAGTCCTTGCGTTTTGGAGCATTGTCGGCCTGTTAGGTAACCCCTGAACGCTGAGCACTGTTTGAGGGTGACCCGATCTTGAAATAGAGCGTACCATCTGACCCTAGGAATGGGGCGTTGATTGTTAGCCATAAAGACGCAAAGCAATTATGAGAATAGACACGAGGAAACAAGTCGATCAGGAGCAAGATCATTCCAGAACAAGCTGCAGATGATGCGAGTTCATCGTCTTAATAGGTTTCATCGGCATCGGCTTCAAGAACGGGACTATAAGCATTTCGGTTGAAAGTGACATTAGGTTGTTTCAACGACTAGCAAAATTATCTTCATTGGTTATGCATGTCCCTCGAGGCCCAACTATCACTTGATGCAAAGCCCGCTATGAACTGTGAGCGAATCGCAACGTCGTAAAACACACTTCGTCGTAAGTTTCGGTCGCTTCGGCCATCGGCGCATTTGCTTCCGACTATCGGGAGTTTATGTACCCGGGAATCCGGCTATCGCGATCCAGGTGAGATCATCATATGCAGCTTGCAACTTGCAACTCGCATTTCATCATCACATCTTCGGCTTGATCGATAATCGATAAGTTATCGAGCTTACAAGACAGAACTCCTGGTATAGAACACCTCAGAATCACATTAATCCTGATGCCTGACGCACAGACCACCAAATTCTTTCAGAACCGCGTCGAGACCGCATTGCGAGAGCACTCGACCCGGAGCAACCAATTTGGCAAGAATATCTGGGACCACTTGCACTTTGCCAGTTGCCAATTGGAGGAAGAACCTGGGAGTCAAGGATCTGCTAAACCTCGTCGGAAAGCTACGGTCATCGTCGAAGCTACGGTGAGGGAAGGTGAGTTACTGAATGTCAAAACAGCATTTGTAGATTCTCGCTGATACGGCCATTTGCCTTTGTTTTCGCTAGATTGGCTGGTAAGTGAATTATTTTCGCCGTACTGAAAGTCGTATCTTCTTATGCTTATGACTGAATTATATCCTGGATCGCCCTAGAATCCAGTCGGGGTACTACATGGAGCTGCGACCGCCTACCTCGTCGACATGTGAGCCTGTACTCCCTTTGTTACTGCTCAGATGGCCATCTGATCGCCGCATCGTTTCGTCCTTTTCAGCTGCACATCGCTGCCTCTCATGGCGCTAAGCACGGACGACTTCTGGGCGGGATTAGGAGGTCTAAGCCAAAATATGAATATCCTGTATCACGCCCCTGCCCCGTTGTAAGTTCGGGCTATCTGTGAGTCTCGGCCTATTGTGAGCTGACTGCGATCTCGCCGGGGACAGAGGTACCAAGCTCAAGATCATCTCCGAGACACTCAACGTGGGCCGTTCGGTAGCCAACATGCGATGCCAGGTGAGCTTGGCCGCTCTGAACAGCAGAAATCACACCCATCTAATCGATCATCGAGACTTTGCAGATTGTCGATGCTTCCACCGGCAAGCTCATCGCTTCGGGAACCCACAGCAAGGTCGCCAAGAACCCAATGGCCGCAAAGCTCTAAGAAGAGGTTTCGAGGGTATAGTTGTATAAGGACATTTGCAATGCATGACACGAACAGAAGCGCCTTAGGGGCTCATGTATTTGTCTTCTGCTTCTTCGAGTCTGCCTCGGCCTCGTCCGCCGATGCCTCATCGCTACTGCTCCCATAGTCAGTCGCTAGACCGATACGTTTTCGTTTAGGTGCCTCATTGGCCGCCGCGAAACCAATACGGACCGGCAAGGGTTTCGCAGGTGTTACGGTCGCAACAGTCTGTACTGGGGGCGTTGAAGGAGGAGAGACGGGTGGTTCGACAGACTCGATCGGCTTGGCTGGTGATTCGGACGTAGGGGAGGGAGAGGCCGGTATCGGAGGCTTGGCTGTTGAGTCCTTCTTCTTGACTACAACCCCCCTCAATAGACCTTTGACTCCTTTTTTGGCTGGTGCTGCAGGTTTTGCGGTGGGCTTGCTAGCAGATGATGAGCTCGTCGGCTGAGAAGGAGAGGTAGAGGGGCCCGGCATTGCGTTCTGCGTCTGTACCTGTCTCATCCTTTTCAAGTCGACTCTGTCAGTCCTGTACCACACTTGCGGCCATGGCGAGGCATCATCACTCACTTGAACGCCGCCAGCTCTTCCATTTCCTGCCGCTTGATCGAACGTTCCTTTTCCTTCTGCTCATCGGCGGCGTCTCGCAAGAAAGCAATCTCATCTGCTTCTAATCCTCTCCATTGGTTCGCCATCCTCATCTTGTCGTCCCATTCTTCCTTCTTGATCTCCTTCTGGGAGGATAGTTTCTGCCGGTACCAAGATGGGTTCAACCCGCTGTTCTAGTCCGAGGGGTAAAAGAACCTTACCTCGAACAAGGATCGGGGATCATACTCCTGCTCCTCTGGCATAGGTGGGGGTTCCTGACCCAACCTTGGTGTTCCGCAAGATCTTTCAGCTCTTACCTCTACCGCGATCAGCCAAATCGACTTACCTCTCGTAAGCTGCCTTCCATTCATCCTCCTTGGCCTTTTTGGCATCGTCCAGCTCGTCTTGGGTGACGAATCGGGAGCCGACCGTTCCGGAGGTTGTCAAGGAGGTGATGTGACCTAGTTCCATAGTTATTGCTGTGCTTCGACCTACTTGAGCTTAAGTCGACACCTTGCCTGCTAGTGAATAGATAACGTTGTACAACCATCCTAGAGTAGGAAACATCCCTATCTGCTAGCTGCTCGGATGTCGTACATCGTACCCTTACTTCTGCGGAAGCAAATTCTATATTGCCCCCCCTCGTCCCTACGATGAACAGCCACGAAAAGCGCTTGCGGACGGCTTTAGGGATTGATGACATGCAGTTACGGTTTTATTCTGATTCGGCTACTGTACAGGATCTGGACATCATAGAAATACTTCGAACAACGGACCGGCGGAGAAAGTATATGATATACATGCACGAGAAAGCTATCTGATCTCAATGTGCGATACATCGTAATTGTGACACGGACATATCCCAAGGCCATAATCGTCAACCAATGCAAGCTCAACGCTCTGTGGGAGCAGGTCCTGTCGAGTGCGGCAAACTGACCGTGCTGCGTGTCCTGTTGCCCGTATCTTCTGTCCCATGTCCAGTGCTTGTCGGTACTCCCAGCTGACTTCTCGTGTTTGTGGCGGAGAAGCTCCCGAGCCACCTTGAGTTCCAGGCAATCTCGAGAGTATAACGGCTGCCAGTGCGACTATGCGCCGAACTCAAATGGCCGTCTCCTCTCTCAGGTTCTTCCAAGGGCGAAAAGCCCTGCTTCCGGAAGCCGATACAAAACTCTTGCAGTTCATCTGCCCGGGCCCTGTAGTCCTCTCGCAAGTAAGGCACTCGAAGAGCTGCTTCAAGAAGGTTCGACAGCTCCAACCTCTGCTGCAGCATGTGAAGGTCAGCGCGTTCGCAACCTTTCAACGAGAGATGCTGAGCTACGTGTGAGGTTTTCACAAATTGCGAGAAAGTAAGTAGCCATATCTTGTGCCCGACTGGGTCCTGGCTCAAGATATCAGACAGCTGCCAGGCCATGCGTGCGAACAATGAGATCTCATAGGCTCTCGCCATGTACTGGATCAAAAATTCCCATCGCTGGGCCGCGGTTGATTGACTTGAAAATCTGCGCCAACTCCTTGATTTCGATTCCTGTGCGTGGGCTGAGATGATTCTTGTGGTCGATAGCCACATCTTGCCGTACATGCCACACGGGTCAGACCCATCGAGAGGATCAGATACGAGTTTCTCGACCTGCTTCGTCGCGCTTCCCCAGTCCTCACTGCTAACGGGAGGCTTATCAATCGAAGCTTGCAGCGCGTTGCTCTCGATAGCGAAACAGGTTCTAGTGTAATTCATTTGTATGGTGAACCGATGGGTAGACTGGTCAGGCAGCAGTATGCTTGTATGGTTTGCGTATCAGTCGGTTCCGGTGACAAGCGTTCCCTCGAACCCGTTTCCATCTGGCCTGGTATATATAGGCCTCGCAACAAGCACTTCCGGCTCTACTTCCTTTCATACTCTAGATTCAACATCAGGCGACTACCCTGAGAACATCCAGTCATCTTGGGTCATCAGGAGGGGGAGCGAGGGTTTATCAAAGGTACACCCAACACTATCGCGTGGGATGAGAGCGACGCGACATCACGCACCGATGGCGAGTCTGTGGTGTCGTCATTTATATCAAGGATCTCAACAGTATGTGAGACGTAGAAACGTAACAGCGTCCGAGATACCGTACTTGAATCTCGTCCGCAATAGTTCCGTGCGCCCTCCAATGGCTGAATTCAATTGCGATGTCGCATTCCCAGTTCTCGTACTTGTCAGAGGCGTTCACTTAGTCACGCTCTATGAAATGATGGTCATGAATGTCATATTACACAATCTTATAGCGCAATCTCTGGGTCCATACCATCCTTTCAAATATAAATCGTAATCGATGGTGTTAATCACACATCAACTTGTATCATCTTGCCCCACCGATTGCCTCCATAGACTCTGTGGCTTATCACGCTATCATCGCGCTGCAAGCTCATAACCAAATCTTTCGTGATTATAGCACGTAACTTTGAGCGCTCTGAACCTTGTCCAGAAATGGCAATGAATTCGGACTTAAGCCTCTGTCATAGCAGTCCGACACGTTGAGGATACGTATATGCTATTATGGAGGAGATGTGTGACTTTTACAGTTACAAAACGCTCTAAGCCAAGAATAAATAAACCCCGCTGGGTCACCCAGATTTGTTATACAAGATCGCCGCTTATAGATTACTTCAACGCCATCTGAATATATCATTCGAGGCTACTTTTCCAGAATGCAGTACGAGAGGCAGCCCGATGATGCGCTCGTCCGTTCTTGATACACTCTGTTCCGCTTATCGATGGTTGAAAGCCTCGCTCGCATTGTACCACTGCACGTAACTGAACGTCATTAGCCTTTGTGTTGCATTGCCTGACCACCAGTGTTCAGCCTCACCTCGACATCTTCCCTCCACACACGCTACTTCTGCCACTCCTGGAATCTCGCCACAGTCACGGCTAGACGGGCTGTCTGGGCAAGCGCCACAATTTTCCAGATCGGAGCCGATGTCGATGCACTAGGAAGACGAGAATGAGTGCGAGCGGTCAATAAGATTTGAGACAGCGACTACTCACATGGAAACCCTTCAACGATCCGCGTCGGAGACAGGCGGTATAGCCTTCCTTACAATGGTGAGCGTTAAAAGCCGCCGCACCAATGGCAGGATCAATCCAACGTCTACGCCTCGCCGGGTCGCTCGTCGTCGCAGCGTACGTGACTTCGAACTCAGGAGAGTCCACCTCGGCCGACTCTCTTCGAATGACTTGCATATTGCGACGCCTATTCGGTTGGTCTGTCACCAGGGCCGTAAAATAGTCTAGTGGAACAGCCTTTCTCTACATCAGTCGATAGGGTCTTTTCGTGATCATTCGGTTACTCACAGCCCTTCCCCATAGCAAATTTGTTGCTGAAAGATCAACAGGTCAAACCTGGTTGGTAGGAGATGCGAACGATTCTGGCTTACCTCGATCCGCAAGTGACGGCAGCCCGTCCGCCAACCTGATTCCCTCTGATTCTGCTCGAGTAAACCTGTAAGCCGGATTTGTTCAATGCGCATCGACCGGACTTACTGAGTGCACTCTTTGGCAGACCCCGTGGGCCAGTTGAGGGTTGTGATGATCGTGTAACCGTTACAGGTCTGTCCATACGTAATCCTGAGGCATTGTACATCATATCAGTAACTGGGATTAGCCCGATGAACCTTCCAGACTTACATTGTTGACAGTTGCGATCTGCCCTGCAAAAAGGACGGTATGAAGAACAGCCTTCCCTCGGTTTGCAATTTAGTTTCCATCTCAGTCCAGTTCAGTGAGTTGGCACAGGCTTGCGCTCCTGCGTAGACCTCTACAAGGGTGGCGGATGGCAACGCAACGATCGACGATATCAAGGGTATCGTCACGGTTGGTGCCAGTGTGTCCGCAAGTGATGATATGGTATCCAGAACGTAATCGACTCCAAGCGCGTCCGTGAGGATCCCAACGACATTGTCTGGCGTTTGAAGGGACTCAGTTTAGCTATCGTAGTGTATGAATTCATCGATTGAAAGCTTACATCGTCTCTGCGGGACAAGGCCCAGCCTTGTTTACAGCGAAGGTGAGCTCTCGTCGCGATCGCATGTCGTACGAAGCGCTCACAAAGGCAAACCTAAGCATGCCACAGTCCCGGTTCCTAAGGGATCTAGTGCAACTCTGAAGGTCTCATCATCAGCATCAAGGCTTGCACTTTGTGTCTCTTCGATCGAGAATTACTTGGAGCAAACGTATGATTGCGCGGTCACCTGGTCAACGATCTTCAATACTACCTGATAGTCAGACCGGCAATCTAGAGCAGAAGCCATCGATCAATCTCGTTTGCAAATAGACTGCCCGAAAAGGAAGCTCACATTTTGAAGACCAGCTTGCTCCCAGATTCAATTTCGATAAGAGCGATTGTAACAACGAGGCGCCCAGCGCAGGAATTTGAAACGATTTGGCACAGGCCACAGGATCGCTCTCGTCCGTGCCGATCTACTCAGGCGTGGAGTAAGGGGTTCGTGTCAGACTCGGTCGCTGTGCGCCACCTGATAAGTCCCTTGCAAGACTCACTTGGTAAGAAGTCGTCCTTAGCGAAGCTTTACCGAGAAGGGACAACTGTCTAGGAGCTAGTGACAGATCGAAGTAATAGCGACCGCTCGAGATAGGTCTACAAGTAAGCCGAAAGGTCGGAAGCCAATAACGTTGACCGTCATTAGAAGATATACCGGTCCCTCCGTTTATCCTTGCTTACCCAGATTGATCGCAGTTGATCGTGAATTTTCGGCTTCCAGTCCCGGCAACGAAAGGCGACGACCTGACGAAGCCAGCTGTGTAAACCTTGTGATACGGTTCTGACCTGTAACCGGAGGCTCACGATGCGCAGTCCAATTGTCGTCTTCCGGACTCGCTCACCAGATCGACCGAAAGGTAATAAGCTGAGGAACAAACTGCTTGCAAGGTCTTTAGTCGCGAACACTCCCTTAGACCGTGTCAGTCAACCGTGCGATGCTCACGTGCTGCGTTGTACGAGAATCCCGGACGGAAATTGCCCTGCGACAGTTGAAGCTGATCGCCAGCCGCCTGATCGAAAGTTAGGCTAGCTAAGCAATCGCCAACACTAGCTGTAACGAAGATAGGCAACCATCCGAGAGCACTCGCGAGAAGAAGCGCTAGAGTCGGGTGCATAATTGCGCAACTTCGTTGCCGGAAAACCGTATCGCATACGTTTCGTCTACATAGCCTTGCAGCTGCACGCTATATAACATTGTGCTTGAGCTGAAAACGTCGCTCCGACTGTAACCTGACGACGAGTCGTGAGATGTGGAACTTTTGGCGTTTCACGAGATGACGCGTGCCAGGGAGAGACATTCGTACGCATCGGGTGGTGACGGTGGCTTTTCTGAGACGTTCACGGGAGAAAAAAGGTCATCTCAGCTTCCTATCAACCGGGGAAGCTGCTGGGATCAGACCTCGTGGAGGTGGCCGAGCACACGCGGACCTTAATCCGAAGCCCCCTCAGCCGAAGCCTTCGTTTGGGTGTCACATCCAGGTCACATCGGAATGTTTGTTCCGAGATCCCACGAGGTCGGGCACAAGGGAACCTGTCTACCGATATATCTACGGGGCCGCAAGCCACATCGAAGCTTTCAGTTCCTCTGTAACCGCGCCACGGGTTCGAAAGGATGAAGCCATATTATACGTCGTTGTCACACAAGGGAAGGTCTCAAATGGGCAGGCGGGGTCGTAAATTGAGGGTACAAATACATCATATATTGTTGAGTGTCCGTAAAGATCGTGGCGACCGTATCGATCCTACGCCCTCGGCGCAGGTGTGATCACAGCTCGCTTGTAATAGGCCTCCGCAGAAGGTTGACCGGCTCCACAAGCAGAAGTGGCGGGCAAAGACAAGTCGTGAGCCGAGTAGATGGGCGGGTATGAACAGCCAGAGACCGTAGCGAATGCAGGTACCGCAGCATAGGTGGTCGTAGGAGCCATGGCCGAGCTGACGTTGCTGGGAAGAGCGCTGTACGAGGGAGCGAGCGATGGAGGCGAAAGAGGAGGTCCGGTCCGTGTGTACTGGTACAGCCTGGACATGTCGGTCGCCACAAAGCTGGGTTCCATCGACGTCAAAGGCCAGGGGTACTCGACCGAGGCGGACGCGGGGACCTCTCCGGCACCGACACCGCCCGTCATAAAGGGCTGGTACCCGGTGAAAGTGACCTGAGGCACCTTGTTGGCAACACGTTGGCAGTGGCCTTCAGCCTCTCTAGGGTCGTCGGGGATCCAGCCCATCTGAAGACCGAGCTTGTACGACCAGAAGGGTGCGGGGTTCTCGTATCGGCTGGTCGACCCAATGTTCCAGGTCCAGAAAAAGTTGCTCTGCAAGGCATCGACACCTGCGAGATAGGTGTTCTTCAAGGCGGCGATGACGGTCGAGTTCCACTGTTCAGGTCGCATCCACTCTTCACAGCTTCCATAGACGATGCCGTCAGGGTTGTCTTTGTGGGTTCCTTCCCATCGAGTTCCACCGTCGACTTCGTTGACCCATTGACCGCAGCTGTCGAGAGTCATCAAGTTAGCTCGGAAGTCCCATGAGCAGATAGAGAATGACAATGGGTCTACGCACTCGTTCCAAGCCAAAGACCATTCACCAGTGTTGTACAATCCGAATCGGTTGGTGGTGTTTCGAGTGGAGTCGTACCACCATTCGCATCCCTTGTTGGCGATTTCCATGACGGGTCGGGTGTCCTGAGGCATCTGGAAGACGGTGTACTGGTGGACGTCCAACATCATCCTGTCGGGACCGGTACCATCTCCTCCCTGGGCGAAACCGTACCACTTGTCGGCACCCTCGAACCCTTCAAAGACCGAGAGAATGGGACCGTTACCTTCACCGACGCCGGTGAGGTTTCGGAATCGTTCGTGCATGTGCAAGTAGCTGCAAGTCCATGGGAAAATCAGCGAGAAGCGCCAGACAAGTGCTTATGCGATTACTCACAAGGATCCAAGGTTGCCGTGCGAGACATCTGCGACCCTGGGCTCGTTGAGGATACCAAACATGGGCACGACATCCTTCCATTCGGGCTGCATGATGAATTCGAGCAAGGCCTGGATGGTGTCGAGCGACCTCTGCAAGTTGGCGAGACCCATCGTACCCTTCATCCAATTGGCAACACCAAGATGTCCGCTGTGATTCCACCCGTTCTGCGATCCGGCGGCAGCGTGGAGGTCCAAATTGACTCGCAGACCGTACTTGCGGCACCATCCGAGCGCCTGAACGATGTACTTCCAAGCGACGCCCTGGAGGAAAGGCTCGCCCGGTTGCGTCTCGAGCGCCCAGAAACCGATGGGAATCCTGACCCAGGTCAAACCGGCCGCGGCCATGTTCATGAAATCGACCTCGGTTATGAACGTCTCGTAATGCCTCGTCATGGCCTCTTCGACCTTGTCACCCATGTTTCGGGTCAAGGTGTACTCGTCGACCGATTTTCCGGCGGGTCCGGTAGGGAAGTCCTCGTACAGACCGGGAACAATGAAGGGCTCCGTAACAAACCACCCTCCGACGTTGACACCGTGGATGATCTGGTCCCAGTCCCACGTCTGGTTCAGAGGTCGGGTCCAATTGTTGGGTTGAGCGTCGTTCAAGAGCGGGTTCGTCGGGTCGTAAGCCCAGGTGCCGCCATGTCGGTTGACATAGGTGATCTCGGTACCGTTGGTCAGCTTGACGAGGGAACCGTTTCCACCTCGGATGGGGCCCGTCGGTGTGGGTTCGGCAGCGGCAGACGACGAGGTCGAGGTGGGCACCATCCTCGTCGTCGTGGATCCTCCGATGACCTCGACGATAGGGACGTGAGTGTCCGACTTGTTCAGCTTGTTGTTCAGGCCGACACCGAGTCCGACGCCCAACCCGATGACGACGACACCAGCGACGATTCCAATGATCCACCACTTTTTCTTTTTCCCTCCGGCAGCTCCGGCTCCTCCCATCCATCTAGGTTTCTCGGCAAGGGCTTCTTCACCCTGGGGGTCGGTCCTCCATCCGAGATTCGGGACGCTGTCGTTGGCATCGGCGGCAGACGCACCAGCCGCAAGACCGGCTCCGGCAGCCAAAGGCGAAGCTCCCAGGACGGACGTTCGACGCTGGTCTTCTGCAGTGAGCTATAGAGTCGAGTCAAGAACAACGAGCTCGTCGTATCAGCGATCTCGCTTTTCTGCCCCGCAACGTTCGCTCTCATCGCAGACTCACACCACTGGCATAACTTCCCCGCTTGTCGATCTCTCCAGCAGCGAACCCCTTGCCGCTGTCGAAACTGGTATACGAATCGTGACGACTGTTCCTCCCCATACTCATGAAACTGGGAGCGGGCGCCATGAACGAGTCCCTCGGCGCGCCCATACCGGCGGGAGGTGAGAAGGGTGGACGGTATAACGGGTCTTGAGCCGAGGGGGAGGAAAAGGTGTTGCTGTTGAAACCTGGCGAGTCCATACGAGGGGTTTCAGGGCCGCCGCTACGGGTTTGGGAAGAGGCGAAATGGCAGATCGAGTGAAACGGTGAAAGGAAAGGCAGGAGCATACGAACGAGGTCAGTTTGAGAGTCCTTTACACGATTGCCAAACAGGACGATACGAGGTATCACTCACAGTGCAGGCGACTCGAGGCCAGAGGTATCCCTCGTGGGAAGCTCGACGTAATCCGGCTCGGGAGCCTGAGCGTTGGGATTGGGCGAAGGCATCGTTCGGTCGAATGAAAGGGTGCTGTCGTTCGATCAAATCAATATGTGATTGTGTGATGGGTAGTCCAGGAGGGAATTTGGTCTCCCAGACGATCGTCAGAGTGAGATTGCCGAGGTTGGCTTTGTAGTAGGATCAGGGAAAGGCGAGATCAAGCTAGTCGTTGGCTGTAAAAGGTGAAAGGATGTTGTCGTTCTCGTATTATCCTAGCTCTCGAGATTCAGCTGCAGAGGTTGTCGTTTCAGTCGAAAGAAATCAAAGAATCAAGCTCGTCCCGAGTTTAATGCAGAGTGCTACTTGTCGTTGTGTGTCGTCGTTGTTAAAGTAGTAGGTTGTCAATGGATCAATGGGCGAATGGCGAGGTCGAGTCTGCGTGTATTGTTGTGATCGTGTTGCTGATGTCGACCTGTCTTGGCGTGTCCCGATCGAGGCGATGTGTTCGTCGCGACGGCAGGGGCGGTCCGTATTCGTGTATATACCAAGCGATCGTAAGAGATAGATAGAGAGGCCAGAGGCTATATGACGGAAGGAAGAGTCCGTGTGCTGTGTGGGTGAGGAGAGGGGGAGACGGTCGTGGTAGAGAGTAGTATATGATCGAATTCGTTCTGGGCAAGGGCGGCGAGGGCGGAGGTTGGCTTTTTTTCCCGCTCGGTAAACAAAACAGCGCGGGAATGCTGGGCACAAAACCGGAGGCACATCAAACACAAACGTCACACATCGTCCACAGCGCCCATATGCCACCCTCACGCATGGCATCCCACCACCACCGAGAGCGAGCCGGCGTTGGTGAGCGAAGAGAAAGAGAGGCGGTGCTGAGGCCGCGCAATGATGACACGGGAGTCTACTAGGAACCACTCTCATCACACCGCCTCATACCGGTACACACCGGACGAAATCAAGCCCAACCACCCAACCACCCAGCCCGGCCCCAGAGGCCAGAGGCTGCTACGCTTGTTCGTGCTATACGAGCGGAGCGGCGCCAACATGCTGCAGAGCGTAGGCTATGATTTTGACCGGTGCATCGAAAAGAACCAGACTGCAAATACACGAAGATCCTGATCGACATCGAACATCATGCGCCTTGTTCTTCTTCCTCCCCACGGCCCAATCCGTACCCCACATGTTGCCTTTCTACGAGACTTCGAGACCTTCCATCTATCTCGGTCCTGAGACAGAAGAAATATCGCCCTTCGTTCTCGTTTCGATCGATCCATCACGAATCTGCGATCATCACGATTCCACCGAAAAGAAAAGCAGAACACAGCCCCGTCCCGCGCGCTAGTGAACCGAGGGCCGGGGGCGGGGGGACCGAAGACTCCTTGGCAAAGAAACCCTAACCGCGCCGGCCGGCCGAGGTTTCAGCGGCTGCGTGGTTTGCATCACCTGTCTGAACTTCGAGTGTTCAAGGATGTTCTACCGCGCTATAATCTTTCATCCTGTCTGGCAGGGGTTGCAATGTGAACGGTGTCAGGAGAGACATGCAGCTGTCGAGGTCGAGGGGGACACGACGGTTCAGTGACGGCGATGCATGCTATCAGGACCCAGTCAATGTGTAAGGCATATACGGGCTGGCCATCTATCTCATGGCATGTGCCACTCGATTGCTGGTTAGAGCAATGCAACCCGCAGGCGTTCGAGCGCACGATTATCTTCAGGTCGAACCACCATCCCGATCGCGTCGTTAGCTTCTGTCTGGATGTCTGTGACACTCATGCTAGCAAGTCTGTGCATTACTCGCCATATCGCTATCCTTGTGAATAGCTCGACGAACGCAAGGGCGACGCACGTCTAAAAGCATGCCGGCAATAAGTACGGCACAGCTGACGTAAAGGCGTCGATCGCGTTGAATCGGTTTTACTGGCTAGAGCGATCCAAAAACTTTTGCGCTTACTGGTCTCGCGTCTCGTGCGCTTTCCTTTTGAATCGTCGTCCGCTTCTACTCGTTGGAACGATTCGCGGGTGAAGCCGAACGAGAGCCCTTCCTGCCTCTCGCTGTGTGCACGTCGCCCCCTCACCATCGCCTAGCAACAGCATCTGTCTCTCTCTCTGTCTGTGTGTGTGGGCTCTGAGCGTGTTGGCTCAGCGGCCGGCACCGTGGAGGACCCGCCTCTCTCTCGAAGTTGACCTCCTACTCCTTCAAACGAGACGACCTACTTCGCAGACCTCCCGTCTCTCTTTCGTTCAGCCACCACCAACCCCCCACCCACCTACATACAGATAGACTTTTAGAGGACGATCGAGATGGCCCCCGTGAGTTTCGGGAGCTGGTCGAAGCAGGACGACATGGAGAAGGACAGATGGGATAGGATGGGAGAGGGGGAAGAGCAAGAGAGTTCGAGATGGAGGTTTCGCAAGGAAAAGGAGGTGTTCGTCGATGCAATAGGGCAATATAGGAGGAATTCGCACAAAGACGACAGTGGACAAGAACACGACGGAACATGTTAACTCGACGAGCCAGGAATGAAGGAATGAAGGGACCGGTCAGAAACAGGGACCTTAGTCACCGACAACATCGATCAGATAGCATGATCGTGAACACCACAGACTCTGTATGCAGATTGCTCGACATCGGATCGATTTCGACAATTACGAAGTCGAAATTTCGACTGTTATTAGCTGCACTCTGCAAGGAGAAGGATCTCGTTCGACGACCATCTGGACGAGACAAGGGCCTGATCTACCAACTCGGCCTGCGCCAACATCGACAGCACGAAGAAGACGGATCAGGGGACTACAAACACGACACGACATCAACTCTGTCTATTGCCCTATTGCTCAGCACGACGAACTCCTTTTAACTGCGTCCTCCATTTCATCTCTTCTTCCCGATACCCTTCTTTCATCCGTCCCATCTCTACCCTCCTACCTGTGGATACTCTGCTATAACAAGCTCATCTTACTGACGAGAACTCTATCTGGTCTCGCTTGTCCAGGCTCAAGCCCCCTCTACCTTCAAGCGTTTCGTCGAGGTCGGACGTGTCGTTTTGGTCAACGACGGACCTTCGGCCGGCAAGCTCGCCGTCATCGCCGAGATCATCGACCACAACAGGGTGAGTTCCGGTTGCGGCATCAACTCTGTGGTTCTTCGTGGAACGTTGGAGCTAACTCTGTTCGATCCTACAGGCCTTGATTGACGGACCCAACTCTTCGGTTCCCCGACAAGCCATCGCTTACCGACACCTCATCCTCACCCCCTACACCATCCCCGCCCTCCCCCGTGCTGCCGGTACCGGTGTCATCAGGAAGGCTTTCGAAAAGTCTCAGGTCGGAGACAAGTGGCAGGCTTCGTCGTGGGCCAAGAAGCTCGCCGCTCGGGACGCCAGGAAGAAGAGCACCGACTTCGAGAGGTTCGAGGTCGGTCTCCTGAAGAGGCAGAGGAGGGATCTCGTGAGTTCATGCAGATCGGATGAGTCAGCGACGATGAAGCCGTACTGACAATATGATTTCCGTCTGATAGGTCCGCAAGGCTTACGCCAAGGAGAAGAAGGCTTCCGCTTAAACGCGAGATGTCGTGGATTTTCTTTTTGGCCGTACCGAGTTGTGATGGAGAAGGGATGCACTGTACGAGAGACGACCGGGATGGAGAGGGAGAAGGAGCAGGGAGATGAGACGCTGTCAAGGGACGTTTTGCAGGCGTCTGTTATCCTACTCTTCGCCCTCTTGTTTTTTCTTTGCGGCGGTTCCTATGACCGTTTGCGGGATGGCTGGGGGAATACCATAACAATCAATATGTTTCCCCTCTCGATTTGCTGCCATGACGTGGTTTCAATATTGGTCGTTGGTCGCGTTGTTGTCCATCGTCACTGAGTTGGCGGAATTGGCGGTGAACATTCCGAGACAATCGCTTTCGCGCTTGTGCGATTTGTGTTTCAGGCACAACACTATTGCCAGAGCTTTGGATCGGGAGAAGGTATCGCCGCCTGACTAACAAGGGGCTAGCAGATCTGCTGAGCTGACTCAAGACATGCAAGACATCTCTCTCCTTGCTCACAGTCGGCATCGCTACAGTCTACGGCCTGCAGACTCATCGCACGGGTGAGCACAGAGTCGCAGCGCCAATTTTCTCTATAAATTCCTCGAAGGTCGATATAATTCTCCCATTACAATGGTAATCACACCGAGGAGTCCTGCGGTCACACACTGAGAAAGTAACAGATATGGCTTCTCAGCCCTCTGATGACGCAACGTGATGGCCGGCATCAGAGCCGGCAGCAGCCTGGGAACAGAAGAACTGAAGTGAGGGGGAGACGTAGAAAGGGTTCTCAATTGTCTGGGGGTTCTTGTCGCTTGTGGTTGGGTTCTAGATCGAGACGGTAAGGGTAGACGAAAAATCGATCCAGCTTTCTGAGAAAGTGGACTTCCCCTATATCATGCGATGCTTGCAGAGGTCCTGAAAGTGAGTCCGGGCCTATAGAAACGATCTAGCCAGATTCGCAGGCGAGATGTACATTTACATCTTCAGCGTAATCGTGAACGATCGTGGTGATACAGGGCGCCCGGAATGACCTTGTCAGTCTGGGATCTGGGATGATCCTTGGCTTAAGATGATCATTCTGTTGTGACAACAGGCACTAGACTGGTTTTCTCCGTCTCAACAAAGCCAAACCCAAATGCTAATGTTATTGCTACACGATGATGTCCGTCTATCCGCGTTAATACAACTCTTCATCAATGCTGAACCCTCTAACAAGTTGCGTTTCTCACATCCCAGCGCCCTGTTTCCTCATCCTCTCCTCCCGTTCCTTTTCGAACGCATCCCAAGCCTCCCGATTATCCACCCATCGTTCTTGTACGTCCATCACCCCGCTAAGACCTGTCAGACCCTGAAGATCATGGCCCATCCCTGCGCTTTGTTGGGCTGAGACGGCGTCTGAGGGGTCGACGATGATCTCATCCTCATCTCCGTCTTCGTCTTCGTCTATCGGTCGCACACGAGCTCCTTTGGGAGGGATGTAAGCGTATCCGATTGCCTTGTCCAATAGTCGTAAAAGCTGGAGCATCGACCGCTTATCCTAAGTACCGTCACGGCAACACGCCAGAACATCAGTCTCATCGTCCTATCGTCTTGACTAATACCGCCGTGTTCAAGGATGTGACTCACCTCGACGGCCAGCGTCTCGAACCCTACCAACCCGTAATCCTCGACGAGCTCGCAGATGACCTTGTTCAGCTTGACGTACTTCTCTCCCGCCCGGTCGTTCTTGAGCGATCCGGCGAGGTATTCGAGGTCTTGTACTTCGGTATAGTATTCCAAGTTGAACGCTATGGTCGAGTCGACACCACACAGCGGAGTCAGGAGAATGATTTCGGCAAAAGGTTGACTTGTGAACTCACGCAGGTCTCCATACTTGGTGACGAGGTCCATCTTGCTCAACACGTTCACGTGCGGAAGTTCCAGCTGGAGCATGGCCCGTAGAGCGAGGAGGAGGACCGAGATGTACTTCGAAGCGTCGGTAATGTAATGAGCGTCAGAGAGGTGGACGGCTACTATCTGCGAAGAACGAGGAGCAGAGTTGCAGATGACGAGATCGAAGTCAGATGAAAAGTCCATACAGCGAGTGATGAGTGAGGACGGCCGACGCACCCGGTAATCCATCTTGGTCAACCTCGTGACGATCCTCTTCAGACTTTCGTGATTCGTCCACAACTCCACCTGCCCCGGCGTATCTATCACGAAATACGCCGGTCCCCTGCCTTCTCCTCTATTCCTCTCGATGAGCTTCTCGAACCCTTCTTGTAACCAGTCAAAGTTGGCTTCGAGGTATTCCATGGCATAGAGCATGGCTCCGTTCGGACCGAGCTGGTTGTCGTGCATGATCTCTTCCAGCGAGATGAGGTCGTTCAGGTTGAGGGCGCAGGGGTAAGGAGGGTTGGGAACGGCCGGATCGAGGTTGATGATCGCTACAGGTCGATCGAGCGCCGTGAGGAACTGCATCGATTTCGTTCAGCATCAACGTCAAGCTTCAAGTCGAGGACCTTACAAGGGTTAAGTTCCAGCGTCGACTTACCTGATGCATGCCATGGCAGTAGGTCGTCTTGCCCGCTCCTGGAGGTCCCGTCACGAGCTGAGCAAAGGCTGCCATCGTCCAGTCTCCTATCGGTGCTTCGTTTGGTTATGATTGGGACGGTCAATGTACTCTATTTCTTTGTTCCAGCTTGAATCCGTTGTTGGGCGTCTGATTGTGAGACCGATGTTGAGATCCTGGTAGCCGTTGGCAATCTTTCTCTGGTCGATCGTCAACATTTCGAGGCTCAAGGGAACGGCGAGGACCGACAAGCCGGTCCACACGGACATCGAGGTATAACCGTGGATTCTACCCATGAACAAGGTCCAGGTTTCTTCAGGCCATTACCGAAGCCCTGGGTTTCACCGATGCATCGTCGGAGAGCAATACGTGTTCGAGCCTGAAGGCGATAGCAACATGGCAACGTAAAAAGAAAAGGATTGCAAAAAGTAACCCAGTGACCAAATCGTAAGACTGCTGTGTGAGTTGCTTTCCCCCCAGACTTTTGTTCGTAATCAATTGTTTGAGTTACTACTTATACCTTCAGAATGTGGCATGAGTACCAACATTCCTACTCAACGTCTGGGCAGTTGCTCAAGGGTGACTGATGACAGATCGACCCTGATCTCATGGCATGTTCAGCTAGCTGCTGATGCCTACATGCCTTGACAACAAGCCATGTAGCCACCCTCTTTTCAATTTTGCGCGCAACGGTCGCGTCGAGGGATGAATCACGACGCGTAATTTGAGCACAACGCGCCCACAATTGACGAACTCTGAAGAGGTAGACCTTGGTTGCTGCTGATCTGGCCACCTGCATTCGCACCTAGCCAGCTAATCATTCACCTGACTAGTTAACGAGGCGGACCGCTCCCGATCCGATGTCTTCACCCCCATCTTCACCTCAAGCCATACGGGCCGAACCGGACTCTCCACCGGCTCAACACGACAGCCTATCCATATTCACCCCCGTCAAACGAAATCCGGGGAACCCCCTCTTCCTCCCTTCACCCAGCTCGACGGCGAGTCCTTCACCGGCCAAACGACCCAGACTAGATTTCGGTCGAGACCGGAGCAGTGCAGAAGCTGGACCGTCCAGGTCTCGAGGTGTTCCTGCCTCTGCTCGTCCCCGCGATAGCAATGGCGATCGTGGTCGGAACGATCGTCCACTTGCTCAAGAAGCCCCGGAAGACATCCTCGCTCTCTTTGACGACTCTGACGACGATCGCTCAGACCATGGTCTCAACCGTGCGAATCTGACTATCCAGCATGGAACGGAAGAAGGCGGGCTGAACGGGAACGCCATGGATCCTTATTCCATGGGGAACGGAGCCGGGACTTTGATGGGCAGAGATCTCGGCATGGACAGGGCTGGGTCGGACAATGAAGCCGACGATAGAAAAGGAGGAGAGAAGAAAAGAAGGGTGATGCCCAAGATGGACCACGACAGGTGAGCATCCCGATACATCTCGTCCATGCGCTTCTTGGAGATCTGATCGAGTTTCGGAATTGAACTATACTCTACCAGGTTGCTGGACAAGAACGGGTTTCCGGCATTGATAAAAGAAGCTAAGCGGTTTAAAATCAAGGGCAAGGGTCACGAGGCGAGTCCCTTCCCTCCTCTGCCTTGATGACTATAACTGGAGAGCTCTAGCTGATCTTTAATCCTTCCTCACCTCTTTCCTGCTACAACCTCGACCTCGATCTCGGCCGCGTACTGTAACGCAGGCCACGGACCTGTCGAACCTGCTCGAGATGTACCGTCTGTGGGCGCACAAGATGTACCCAAAGATGACGTTTGGAGATACGGTCACCAAGGTCGAATCGCTCTGTCACAGTCGGTTGATGAGCGTGAGTCGGCCATTCTCCGATGACTGCTCGAGATATTTCCAGAGGTACGGATTGTTGATGCGGGTGTAACGAATGTAGAGCACGCTCAGTCGGTATAGGGAAGAGGCTAAACGGGAAGCCGAGGAGAGAGATCGACCGCCAGCAATCCCGCTCGAGTTGAATGCCAATGAAGATGAAGACGGGTCGAGGGAACGGGCGGTTGGTCGACCAGCCGAAGAGGATCACGAGGACGAGGGTCGGGCTTCCTCGCCCTCGATCCCACGGGATCTGCAGGACAATCCCTTCCTCTCACCACGGTCTAGAGCGAGGATGGCCCTCGATCGAGCGAGGCATCTGGGGTTAGATGTGGGATCATCTGGCGAGCGACCGGGCTCGCCGCCAAACGAAGAGGAGGAGGACGAGGAGATGGACTTGGACGCCGTGATCGCCGCCGCCGAGGCTGAAGCTCAGGGTCTGGCAGGACAGGGAGGAGAATCGTCGGCTTCGAAAGGAAAGGGTAGAGAAGAGCCAGTCGATGCTGGGCACGATATCCCGCCCGAATTCGAGGACGACGAGGAAGACTGGGCGGCGCTGGATGGTATGTAATGTGACGATGTATGCGGGTAAAGTCCTTTCCGCGATTCCATACAACTGTTTCGTAGCATATAATATAAAAAATTCTACGTAAATGTGGTCTGTGCAGAACGCTGCGTCTCGGTTGGCACACTTCAAATCAAGGCAATCTTGGTCCGCTTGACGCCACCCCGCCAATTCCTCAAACCTCCTGCCTTTTTCGTTGCTTGACCCCGTTGCAGTCTCGAATAGGCGGTCAACAAGTGAGCGGGCAAGAGGGGCAACGTTGGCGGAGCTTTCCAAGGTTCAGGCGGGGGCGATTTAGCTCTCGGCTTTGCCGGGGTCGTCTTTGACGTCGAGTCCTGTTCCATCTTGGCTTCCGGGGTAGAGACCATGTTTTCCGCCTGGTTTGGCTCATCGTCCGTCGCGTCCACCGGCTTCTCATCCCTCTTGCCATCCACCTGCATCGGCTCGGCCTGACCTGTCTGTTCCTCTTCCATCGCATCCGGCCGACTTGCTTCAGATGCCGCTAGCAGATCGATCCTCTTGACTCCAGCGGCGGCGTCCCTGATCTCGAGCGCGGCGACGCAGAGCGAGCGGACGGATTCGAAAGCCAAGAAACCTAGGACGTCCATGACGTCTTCGTTCGGTTTCAGGTCGAGGTACGCCGTCGTATTCAGAAAGTCTCGAAACCGTTTGGCTGTAGGATCGGCCCGATATAAGCCAGAAAGACGCAAGCTGATTCCAGCCGGACGAGACGAACCTTTTCGGTAAGTGAATGATGCCTGTCGACATTCAGAGTAGAACACGTATTGTTCTTTGGACATTCGTCTTGTTACCGAGTCCGCTTCCTATCAAACGTCCACCAGCTCGACAATCAGCTTGACGTCGCCAGAATCCCGGGCACAATCTGCGACTTGCCCTCAGTCGCTGCAAGCTATCTTCGTATGCCTCGAGCTCATCGTCATCCTCTTCCTCGTCGGGTGCCGCACCGTTCTGTCTTCCCGGCAAGTTCTTGAGGACCTCGGCGAACGGAGTCAGGGGTTCCCATGGCAACTTGATGACTTCCTTCCGAGGCGCCTTTTTCTCTACCAGACGTCATACACCGGGTTCAGCCGTGAGCTCATTCTCGCTATGTAAAGACGATGATGAAGCGAAGTCTCACCGACGAGATCATCCTCCAGATCCTCAATCTCCACATCCGCACCTCCCTTTGTCGCGCTGCTTTCCTCCTTTCTCGCCGTCTTTCTCACTTCCTTCCAAGACAAGTACGTTCTGAGCCTGTTCACTCGAGCCCGATCGTCACGGATAAGGTAGATGACGTCCTCGATTGTCAGATACCGGGCGTTCCGCAGATAAGAGATTGTCCGTGCTCGAGTGGCCTGAGATATTTCGGAGCGGGTCGAGCGTAGGTGAGAGCGAGTCGGAAGGGTTCTACCAGGAATTGGCGGCTTACGAGCTCGATCATCTGACTGCGCACCATATCCTCTATCAGGTGCACCGACTCCTCGGCTGGACTTTGGATCTCTCCAAAGACATACACCTGTCACTCATGACACCATAAACGATCAGCTCGCCGATCAGTGGATCATCGGCGTCCGGCCCGGGCATGAACTCACCATCTGGGCGATCTCGGCCTGATACTTGTGCTCTACCGGACCCCCTCCCCCTGTCACTTCTCCTGCCGCACCAGCTTTCATACCGGCCTTCTTCTTGCCACCTTGCCCATCGTTATCCTCCCCGCCCGAACCTTCTTCCTCTTTGTGGTTGTTGTTGTTGTTATCATCCCCATTCAGAGACCCGGCCGAGAGTCGTCGTTTACGAGCTCCTCGTTTGGAGGGAGATGGCTTGGGAGCGCCGGGGCGTTGGGTTTGCAGAAAGGCAGACATGGAGAGACTCGTGATACGATTGTCAATCTGGTATTCGAGCTGGGCTACAGGTTGTGTAGCTGTATGGCTGTAGCTATCCAGAGGGGTTCCAATGGAGTTGACGATGTGATCGATGCAAGTGGGTTGCTGCTGCTCGATCCTCGCTTGTTTCCACCTCGAACACGCGATGAATGGCCCGGCCCGAACAGCGTTTCATGTCGATCGCAGTAGATGACTCGAACCAGTATCAGGCAGGACGTTGGGCTTATTCGAAGGTATTGAACACCCGGACAGATCATGAGGATTGTACAACAAATGAGGTGAGAAGGGTAGTAGAGGGTTGTACAACACAGGTCGACATTCGTTTTCAAGTATACAAACGCAAGAGCCATCGTCCATGATCTGAAGCGCAAGCCTTGGAGCCGTGACGCTTTCAATTCAACATGATCTCACACTTTCAAGCCTTCCAACTCCAATCGTAGGTAGAGAAGTTGACGGTCTGGGTAGTAGCGGCACCGTTGACCTTGTCGCGCTTCGACCCGGGATGAACCGAATTGGTCGGTGCGGCCGGGTTGGCGGCGACCGAGGTGATCGTCACCGAACCTTCGGGGAAGATGCCCTCACTACCAGGATGGTTCCACATGGTAGGATCATCCGACAACCCAGTAGGCTTGACTTGTCCCTCGGGTCCTTCGGGTCCGTGGGGACTATCAGGACCATCGGGACCCCCGTGATCATCGTGACGACGGATATGGGTGGGAGGCTGAACGGGAGGATGCGTGGACGCTCCACCCACAGTGACGGTGTGAATACCGTGCTTATCGGTGTAGGTCCTGGTGACACGGCCATTGTCATCCTGACCTCCCCTTCGTGCCACATGTCGCTCGCTTTCGATAACAGGCTTTCGCACCTCGAGGGAAGACCTCTTGCCAGGTTTGCCCATCTGTACGCCCACCTGGTCGGACGTGTCTGGGACGGCGGTAGGGTTCACGACCACGGTCTTGGTGACGTCTGTAGACCAGACAAAGGTGCTAGTCTTGTCATTCACTGTCGTCGTGTCGACGCCGATCATGGCGTAACTGTGGACAGTAGTCACCGCACTGGCAGGCGGGTTGGCTTCCGCTACCGGAGCCGCGAAGGCGGAGGTGGTGAGGGCCAAGAGGGTCGTCAAAACCGAGATGAGAGTTGAGTGTTGCATGATATGGTTGTAAATCACTAGAATGGAAGTTTTGTTTGACTAAAGTAGATATACTGGAGAGACTTGCGTAGACATGAGGAGTATAGGGTGAGGAATCCTACAGTCGACCCTGGTATATATAGACGGCTCGAGCTCGCCGCCTCGGCCCTGATTCCCTTGCTGATAGTCGTACCAGTCTCCCGAGTTCCCCTTGTCAGACAAAGGGAAAGACTCGAGTGTAAAGGGAGAAAAGGGGGGGAACAGGAAAACGAGTTACAAGTCTGTTGATCATGATATCACGATACCTTTGACGGGTTTCATGGCTCGTCATCGATGAAACATGCAAAACAAAAGAGAGACGGTGATGATGCCGGCACAATCTCGGCATTGTTTCGGAAGCAAATTTGTCCGAAATCAAGAAAGTTGGGCGAACATCTGGGTCGTGCTCTGCTCAAAAGGTCGCCTCGCGCCTCGTCGTCCTCGATCGGTCACTCGAGAGAGAGAGACATCACTCGTCATAGAAGCTCATCGGTGTCTATAGCTATAGCTACCTACCAATCGACCATGTCTGTGACCGCTCGTCGATTAGCTCGGTTCGCCACGGCTCTGCCCCGAACGGCAACCACCCCGGCCGCCTCGTGTCGACTACTTCGGATGGCATCGCCCTCGATCAGCTCATCAGCTCGACCGATAGCAATCGTCAGCTCCAGCAGGTCGTCATTGATATCTAGGAGAGGCTATGCTGCGTCGGCGGCTGTGGTCAAGGAAGTTGAAGACGGAACCGAGGCGCCCAAATGGCCAGAGAGGGTCCTGCCCGAGATCACCGCCAAGGATATCCAACGATTGAGTCGACAGCGGAACATCGGAATGTGAGCTGTTTCGGTATCACGGGCTCTCCAAGAACTGTGTAGCTGATCGACCACGGTCTCAATTTCCTCCGCGCCAGCTCGGCACATATTGATTCGGGAAAGACGACTCTGACTGAACGAGTCCTGTTCTACACCGGTCGTATCCGTGACATCCATGAAGTCCGAGGAAGGGACGCCGTCGGAGCCAAGATGGATTCCATGGAACTTGAGCGAGAGAAGGGAATCACCATCCAGTCAGCAGCCACCTTTTGCGACTGGAAGGCCAATGTGCCTCCTGGTGAAAAGGCCTCGGGTGGTCAGAACGAAGAGGCCTGGAAGAAGCGGGACAAGGAGAGTTATGCCATCAACATCATTGATACCCCTGGACACGTGGATTTCACCATCGAGGTGGAGAGGGCACTGAGGGTGTTGGACGGAGCGGTGTTGGTCTTGTGCGCTGTCAGCGGTGTGCAGGCAAGTCTTCAGGATGGAAAATTTGGCAGTCGGACAGTCGGATAGGGGTCGCTTATCATAGCTACAATATGCAGTCGCAAACGATCACTGTCGACCGGCAGATGAAGCGATACAACGTTCCTCGAGTCTGTTTCATCAACAAGATGGACCGGTGAGTGTCGGGCCTGCACTCCCTCGTCTCGCCTGCCAGACTGACGATCGACCGCACGTAGAGCCGGTTCCAACCCGTTCCGCGTCATCAACCAGCTCCGAACCAAGTTGAGGATGAACGCTGCGGCTGTCCAAGTGCCAATCGGTAGCGAGGACAACTTGAAGGGGGTCGTTGACCTGGTCAGGATGAAGGCCATCTACAACGAGGGTGTCAAGGGGTGAGTAGTGGCGTGAATGTGAAGGACGATACGATACGAATCGACACTGACGTCTCGGCTTGGGCGCAGTGTCGACGTGAGGGAAACGGACGAGATCCCAGCTAATATCAAGGACCTCGTCGATGAGAAGCGAGCCGAGCTGATCGAACATATTGCCGAGGGCGACGACACATTCGCTGACCTCTTCTTGAACGAGATGCCCATCAGCGAATTCGACATCGCCTCGGCCATTCGTCGAGCTACCGTCGCGCTCAAGTTCACCCCGGTCTTTGTTGGATCAGCTTACAAGAACACGGGTGTGCAACCTCTTTTGGATGGAGTGTGCTCTTACCTCCCGGACCCGTCCGAGGTTCCCGCTCAGGCTCTGGATACCACTCTTCCCTCCAACGCCCCGCCTGTTCCCCTGGCACCGGCTACCGTCGCCCCGCTCGTCGGATTGGCCTTCAAGCTCGAAGAAGGTCGATACGGTCAATTGACCTACTTGAGGGTGTACCAGGGTACCTTGAAGCGAGGCGGCTTGATCTTCAACGCCAGGACCGGGAAGAAGGTCAAGGTCCCCCGATTGGTGAGGATGCACAGTGACGAGATGGAAGACGTCGAGAGCATCGGTGCGGGCGAGATTTGTGCGATGTTTGGTGTCGAGTGTTCCTCTGGGGATACCTTTACGGATGGGACGTCCAACTTTTCGATGGTGAGTCCGTGGGACGATTTGAAGGTCTCGATTGTTATGAGTGGCTGAACGGATGATGACCATTTCATGGCAGACGTCGATGTACGTGCCGGAGCCCGTCATCTCGCTCTCGATCCGACCCGAAGGGAACGAGACCCCCAACTTCTCTCGAGCTCTGAACCGATTCCAAAAGGAAGACCCCACTTTCAGAGTCCATGTCGATTCCGAATCTCAGGAGACGATCATCTCGGGAATGGGAGAGTTGCACTTGGACATTTACGTCGAGCGAATGAAGCGTGAATACAATGTCGCCTGTGTGACTGGAAAGCCCCGAGTGGCCTTCAGGGAGACTATCACCGAACCCGCCAAGTTTGACTACATTCACAAGAAGCAGAGTGGAGGTGCCGGTCAGTTCGGAAAGGTCAAGGGATCGATCGAACCTATGGAGCCAGATGAGGACACGGGCAAGGACACTGCGTTCGAGAACCGGATCATTGGAGGAAACATTCCCAACCAGTACATCCCTGCCATCGAAAAGGTGAGCCGTGTGACACTTGTCGTGTTCTGACTGCTTTAACTCATTTGTTCGCTCTGTCAACGCTTCAGGGATTCAACGAGGCTCTTGGTCGTGGATTCCTTACCGGCCACTCGATCAACGGTTGTCGATTCATCTTGGAGGACGGAGCTGCGCACGTACAAGATTCCTCCGAACTAGCTTTCAGGCTCGCCGCTCTGGGTGCCTTTAGGGAGGCTTTCAACAAGGCCAAGCCGGTTATCCTGGAGCCCATTATGGCAGTTGAGGTCGTCGCGCCGGTAGAATTCCAAGGTAAGCATCTCGATATCTGCGCCGTTAGGTCTGATCTAACGCTAAATCTTTCCTCTGGCATCAATCGCAGGTACCGTCATTGGAGCTCTCAATCAGAGGCGTGGTACCATTGTCGACACCGAGGTTCGAGACGACGAGTTCACTCTGACCGCCGAGGTCGCGCTGAACGACATGTTTGGATATTCGAGTCAACTGCGAGGAATGACCCAGGGCAAGGGTGAGTCGTGGTAAGATATTCAGCATCACATCATGACATTGACTGACCGTCCCGTCTACAGGTGAATTTACGATGGAGTACAAGACGCACGCCCCTGTCCTTCCCAACATCCAAAAAGAAATGGTCGAGGCATACCGAAAGAAGCAGTTGAGCAAGTAAGCTCATTACTAGAAGACTTGAGATCCATCTTTTGTATCGCACGGCGCATCCCGAGGCTAGAATCCTCATCATCCACCTCTCTTGACGACCTCATGAACGCCTCGCTTTGATTGTATTTCCGGGACTAGCATAGGCGTGTTATCAGGATATCTCATGCATGTTATCTTGCGTCTTGGTGTTATCTCGTTACAACTCGACACTGCTCGTCATGACTCTTCATTATGCCTTCTCTCGCTTAGCTTCTTTGTGCGAGTCTACATCTTCGTCTGCTTTGCGTTTAACCCCAGCGCTAGTTGTTGAATCCGTCGACCCTTCGCGCAGCTGTGATACCGCATTTGTCAAACGATCCGCTGCTTGCAAAATGGCCGCGGAGGGTTTCACTTCTGTTTCGTCTGTAGCTAATTTGGTCGGCATCGCCGGACTCGGGTTGCCTGCGGGTGTTCCCCCCCTGATCGACCTAGGCGAGTTCTTGACGGCTAGATTATTACTCCCAGGTTGTGGCGTATTCCCTCGACTTCGAGCTGGACTGTTTGCTCGCAGCCCGAGGTTCTTGCCGTCAGCATTCGCAATGACACGATTGGCGACAGCGGTAGCGACTGCATCGGATCTACACGTTGCATGTGATATCTGGAAGCGGTCCGACAGGTCGAGTTCAGATCTATCATCTACGCATCTCATGTCTAAATAAGCACACGGCACAAAACGTACCTGTCCATCGGCCTCGATAGCATTTTTCCAAATCCATTCTTCCTCATCCTCGTTGTACTCGCTCACAAACTTTTCTTTACAGATCGGACACGGCAGCGCAGCTCTTGCGGGATCGGATGGGACGGGAATCCAGGAGTTCTGCAACTCGGCTCGCTGCCTAGCTACAAACGCAGCGTCCACTTTGGGTGCCATGCCGAGCCCGGGCTTGTTGCTCGTGCTCGGACCGGACGAACTGGCTCCATCAGCAGAGATGACGTTTGACGTAACATCTTTGATCCAGAACTCGGCCCTGGGCAGCCACCGACGGTTCGCACCGCGGCCTTCATTCTCCTTTTCCTTGCGGTTACGTCGAAAGTGCCAATCCAGATGAGCTTGAAGACGGTCCTTTCCGGCGGGACCGGCGGGGAATCGAGCAGCGCATTGCGAACACCTGTTGGGCAGGTGTGCTGTCGGCTGAAAGTCGTAAACCCTGGAACACGAAGGGAAAATCGCAAGTCAGTTACCTTCACGGCACATCATACATTGAGGAGCCAACTTACTTGTTCAAGTCGTTCAGACTCAGTCCCACATTCATGCTTAATACCATCTCTTCATACTCTTTCAACCCATCTGCCTCGTCCGGCACATCCCCCTGCTCACTCCCGTTGTTCTTGAAGGCCGAACTCGCTACACTCCCGACGCTCCCTTCCCTGACGACAGCCGCTCTTTGTAGCACGGGCGTCGTCTGAACCGGAGTGGAAGCGCTGGACCCAATCACGCCCGCAAATGTCAAGTCTCTCAACAGGTTTCCGAAATCCATCTTGGGCGGTGGGACGGTTTGACGTGCGATCGGGACCGAACCGGTGCGCACATGACCAGCTTGGAAACCGTTCGTGGGCGTATTACCACCCGCCATGTAAGGGCTGTTGTTACTAGCGACGTTTACAATAGGCACATTGGGGTAGACCTCGCCGAGAGGTCGACCCGGAGGACGGGACTGTACGTCCGGAGCGAAGGAAGGCTGAGGGGTCCCACGGTCTTCAGCTCGAATCTTGTCTAGTTGAAGTTGGATTTCGTGGATTTCGTTCGGCTGGACGTTGCCCATGTTCAGCAACCTCTCGATCTGCGTCAGGCAAAGGAGCGTTCAATCACGGATTGACGAACGTTAGCAATATGAAAAATGAGAACAACTTTTGTGGACAGGAGACGAACTTGTTCCAGCACACCGACATGCACCCTCGCTTCTGCATCTTCCGGGTTCCTAGCCAAAGCGGCCCTCTTGCTGCGCAGCGCGTCGGCCAGCGAAATGACCACCCTCTCCCTGGCCGGGTCCACCCGTGTCGCAAAGATCTCTGCCTCGATCTGATGCCTCACATCCGGTCCGAACAGCTCGACTCCGCCGACCCCGCCGTGCTTCCAAGTACGCAGCATCTCTGCCATCTTGGTCCTGGTAGCTCCATCGACTGCTCTGTAGGCGTTGATAAATGTCTGGGCGATGAAGCGGGGAAAAACGTGGGTCGTGTAGGGTTGACCGACGTTCTTGGAGATCGAGTCCAAGAGGTAGAGGAGGGGGAGTTTACACGTCGGTAAAGCCTTGCGTTCACGAGGTTGTCAGATAGCGACACGTTAGCCGAGTGTGAAAGCGGGACAACAGCATCAAGGTTCTTTGTCAACTCACCGATCCGATGGCCCTCTCGAGCTCCTCACCGACCGCGGTCATCCCATTCCAATCGTTCCGATCCCTCCGCTCCATAGCCTGGATGCTCAAGTTCTGGATGATAGGCCTCGAGTTGAAGGTCAACGTGCTCAACTGTTGACGGTACCATTCTCGAAACGGATCTTGGTGGTAGGCCGACTGATAGTTCGGCGCCGAGGAATGGGTATAGGGTGAAGCTTGAGCGTAGGGTTGAGAGTGGGGTTGTTGAGCTTGAGCTTGAGCATAGGGGTAGGAAGGTTGTTGTTGCTGCATTTGTGGATGACCGTACATCGGTGCACTTCCGTAATTTTGATAAGCCATGATCACCCTGTGCCATATGGGACGTAGGTATATATGAGAGTAGGGTAGGTCAGCACGTCTGTATCCAAGCGAAACCGTCTGTATCGACAAACGAAATCCTGCACAACCCTTGATACCGTGGTGGTCGAGACTCACCTCGCACCGATGTCGACCGATCTATGTTCTAAACGCTAGATATCAGACTGCCGCACAAGCTCAGAGAACGTCACAGTGTGAAGTGATGATGTGCAACACAACAATGTACGCAGCCCCGAGTCTCTATCGCTCTGAAAATGAGAGGAACAAGATGTATCGGGAACAGGTGGAAGGAGCACAAGGGGCAATATTGATAACGAGTCACCGGTCGGTCTGACTGTCTGCCGGTGAGAGAAGCGATGTGCGGTCTCGATTCGGCTCGTCTCGTATGTAGTCGCAAGGTCTGATTCGATAGGATGATGGATTTGAAGGTGTAGAGAGTGGGGAGAGAGGGATGTGCGATGAGGGTGAGGTCGGCTGTACTATCCTTTATCCTCCCGACAGACTTGGGGGTTTGGTACTTTTGTCACGCGCCCTCCCTTATATCTGGAATTAAATGAAGCTTCAGCCATTTTTCCCTTTGAACTCCTGAAATCTCGGCTGAGGCGGCGAAACGTCATGAGAAAGAGAGAGCTCGCACTGGTCATGCTGGTCACAAGGTCAAGGGTGCTCGCCCTTATTGTTCTCCGACACAAACGTTTAGCCACACAACCATCCCAGCTGTATCTAGTATCGGAACAGCACCAAAACGGCAAAGAACACAAACGAGAAGAGCCAAAAAGAGCAGTCTTCTCCGTCCAGAAGGATACCCTTGTCAGAAAGCCTTAACGAACAAGCACACGGAGAGAAAGGATGCCCAAGGTGAGTCGTACCGATCGAGGCATAGGTGAGGTTGCTGGGGAGGCATGAAAGCTTACTATATATCAACGTTGGATGTCCTGGACTATAGAACAAGGGAAAGGTCAGCAAGACAGCCAAGATCATATCTCGTATGGACGGAGCGTGAACTGATTCTCGCTCTTCCCGCTTTTGCCTCGATCCTTCACATATCACACCAATCGGATATATACCCTCTTGGATTCCACGAATATAGGGTGGAAAGAACAGGAGAAGAGGCAAGAACGAGAACGATGATGAGAAGCGAGAATTGGTATTCAAGGAGGATGGTCAAGGTTCGTCCCCCTCCACCCTCCGCCTCTGCTCCTTCTCCGGCCCTCGATCAAGACTGACCCTTCGATCTTGCCCTGGTTCACCGATCGTCCGACCCGGTACACAGAGTACGCACAGGTCCTCAAGATGCTCGGAAACGGTCGTGTTGAAGCCCAGTGTTTCGATGGGACCAAGCGACTCGCCCACATCCGTGGCAAGATGAGGAAGAAGGTCTGGATCAACCAGGGGGACATTGTCCTGCTCTCTCTGCGGGACTTTCAGGATGACAAGGCGGATGTGATCGTCAAGTACACTCCTGACGAGGTACGTGGCGAGAGAGCGATACAGCATCGTTCTTGAACGTGCAGCCTGACTGACTGCTCTTGTTTCGGCTCCCGTCTCTCATCGCAGGCACGTAATCTGAAACAATACGGTGAATTGCCGGATACTGTCAAGGTCAACGAGAACGAGACTGCCTATGGCGAGGAATCAGGGGACGACGTCTTGTTCGAGGAGGACGAGATCGACGACATTTAGAGAGCGGGGGGGAGTTTGGAAGTGGCCCACGGCAAGAGAGTTGGAGGCGGATGGGGGAAGAGCAGAGAAGATTTCCTTTTCTTTGTTTTGTTTTGTTGGACGACTTGTTTGCAGATTCGATTCGATAATTCATCATTTGAACCCTTCCTTGCGCGGTCGTATCCTTGATGATCAGTTGTCGTTCTGCTAGCATTCGAGCAGGAGGCCTACACCCATGGGTGACACAAGCTCAGGTGGCCGTACCTTCCCTTAACGAGCCGGAACTTCGCCCCTCATTTCCACTGGCTTCGGACGAGGGCGTCGTGTATAACGTTCCAGACGGTTTGTCCCCCTTTGCCAAACGTGTCTACGAAACCCCGCGGTTTTGTAGCTGTCCTCGAAGCGAACGGTAATGTTCCTTGAATCGCCGATGCAGATCTCGTCACGTACCTTCCGTACCAAAGCAACATCCACTTGAATCACTCATTGCGCTAATCTCCAGTACAAGGGATGAGAACCTTGAGGAGAAGTTGAACGGATGGGTCCTTCGAGTGAGCATAGAACGGTCTCGACGTGCCCATTTTGTGTTCTCATATTTGCAAAGAAGCCAGATTCGTCTACAAACCAGATATTACATCATTCGGGAACAAAACAAGACTGGAGACCAAAGGGTATATGTATGTCATCTCTGCGTGTATATGTAGCGACTACAAGGATGTCGGTTGGGTCCGGTTACAAGAAGTGGAAAACAAGGGAGCGTATACGTGTGCAGCTGCTGATTTCGGTGTTACAGTTCATAAAGGAGTGGGGTGGATGGGCGTGGCGTATGATCGAGCCGCTCGGTTCGCCCAGACTTGAATGACAGCTAGAATCGAGTCTAGTCGTCGAAGCTGGCGAGGACGAACATGGCGACAAAGAAGAGGAACATGAAGAGGATGGGTCCGAAGACGGCCGCGCTGATAGCAAAGGCGGTTCGGCATTCTCCTGAGTGTCGCAAGGTGTCGCAAGGTGTCAGACAAGAAGAAAGAGAACGAATTCATGATCAGCGATGTGGAACTAGAATCGATCATGCTGTTATGATGCAGGAAGAGGGATATGAGAGTCCAAACTCACGTCGCCTGATATCCTTAGGGGTGTCGACAACAACGACCCTGATCCTGGCCGGAGCACTCCTCTCGAACCCAGCCCAAGCCTCGTCCTGGACCTTGGCCCATTCCTCGACGTGGACGGCGTGAGGGCTGTTGATCCTCTGACCGATGACGGGTGCGGCACTAGGCACGGGGACTTCGAAAGCGAGTCGATCGGTTGAGAGGTCCATCAAAGATGGGAAGTAGCGGTGGACCATAGCGATGGTTTCCTATAGATCAAGAGTATCACACGACACACAAGTCAGTTATTGACTGGCTTCCACGTCGACGTGATGATTTAGGCAACACCCGCGACTCACCTGCCTGTTCATGCCCCTCAGACCGACAACATGCTCAGTCTTTCCCTTGCGAGGGAACAACGGAGCATATGTGTAGATGACGCTGTCTGCACCCTCAGCGGTCGAGTTTGTGAGACCGGCTTCCACGTCGCCGACATGATCGTAGACGTCGTCGCTGGGTATCTGTTCGTACTTAGGAGGGCTACCCATGGTTGCTGTAAGTGGGAGAATTGGTCGTGTGGTCTGTGCGAACAGTGAGGGTATAAGAGTCGAATGGGCGGAAGAGATGTTCAAGTCGATGAATGGTTGTATTTGATGAATGATATACCGTTCGATAGCGTTGTGGCGAAACCGCCAAGGCCAGTGGCAGTACCTCGGAAGCAGATATTAGATTCCGGAAGCCGGCTCCACAAAGGAAAGTGCGGGGGACGATGTCACGTGACTTAGGTGTTCTGGGGCTTGCTAGATTGTTTCATCTCGGGCTCTCGAGATTATTGATTGTTATGATGAGTCCCTTTGACATAGCTAAGCCGTCATACTTGAGCAACATGCTCTTGAATAGATGGGTAGCGCATCGTAATATGCAGGTCTTCTTTCCTCTGTGAAGCCATGGTGGTCCGGAACGGGAAGGTCAACTACAGGAAGTGCAGCGTCGTCCCCACTCATGTTTAAGTTTGACTCGACCGTTAACTTGCCATGAGGGGATTAACAACGCTGACACTTGGCACAATTTCTATTCTGCTGTATCCACACGGTACTGATTGAGTTGTCAGCAGTGCGGTGTTTACTCGAGCTTCTTGTTTGTATGTCCGCAAAAAGACAGTCGCCCCTTAGATATAGACCTTGGCCGCACAATCTTCTGGCATGCTTTCCTGAGCACATAATTACGGCAGCAATCGACAAGTGTGGAACTTGTAGTGCACAGTCAGATCTTGGCCCGTAAAGCAAATTTCGCTTTGCCCGCATATTGACCGTTGTCGCTGGCCTAGCTGTCTGTCTAGATTGTTGTCTTGGGTTCTCCCTTCGAGCCTAGAGTCACGCAATACACCTGCTAATACGGCGCTGCTGGTGGATCGCTCAATAGTACAATGCGCAGCGTTTGTTTCTCTCACCCCAATCCTCCTGGACAGTCTATGTGCCAATGAGCTCTGTCGGGTACCCGAGTGAATCAATCGCATTGCAATGCCGGGTATCTGCCTTACATCCTCCGGGATTAGGAAGTCCCACTCCCTGTCCACTTGAGCTCGTATAGAAAATAACTGAACCCCTCGGGCGGTCCGATGTCCTTGTGCGTCAGCGCGAATCCTTGATGACCCTGCATATAGCGTCGACGGAAATGAGGCTGTCCGAATGTGGCACTAGGGTACATGGGAGCAAGGTTTGATGGACATCGCAGTCAGTACGAACAACGAGAGGGTGAACACGAAACTGACACTTACTAAAGAAACATTGATCCTTCTCGTTTCCGTAATACGCTGATCGACCCCAATCGAATTGACGAATTCAGTTTTCAGAAAGCGCATAAACACGCGATTTAGCCTTCGGGCAGGCTTACCGACAAGCTTCCCGGATCTCTTCGTTGCAGTTCTTGACATCTTCTTCGGCCGGATTCTGCAAACACCGTTCGATGTGAGCTTATCCGGATCTGGTTGATGATGACAGCTGGAGCCGCTTACCCAGACGTCTCCTTTACTCGTCAACATGGCATCCATGGTCCCCTGTGTCGAAGTATACATCCGCAGGTGAGACATGTCAGCGTCTCATTTCATCTACTCGTCGAGCGGACGATACTGTCCAGCAGTCTCGCAGACTGACCTTGTCTATCACGACGTCGAACGATTCGTCCTCGAACTTGAGATCCCGGATGTCCATCTCGAGCCATGTCATGCCCGGTCGTTTCTCGGCATGCTTCCCGATCATCTGTTCGATCAGGGTCGCCGAGTACTAAAAGATCAAATGCAGCCAGTTCCACCCAACAACCGAGGGAATCTTGATCAGCTTACAGACGGGAGGACGAGGCGGGAAATTACACCCCCAGCGTGACTCACATCGATATTAACGATCCCGTGGTATCCAGCATCATACATCTCCTCCCCCAATGTACTGTTTCCACACCCCAGCATGAGGATTCTTGTCTCCTTGCCCTTGGGCATATACGGTTCTAGGATCGGGATCAGATAAGACGGCTTGAGGAACCAGTCGAACGTCGTCTCGGCGCCTTCTCTAGATAGGGATTTCGAAGCTTTTGATGAGCTGAGATTCAACGAACAGGTGTCCGGTTGCGATCCAGCTCACGCGGCATATCGTTCTTCCCTGGATTAACTTGAAGAGATCAGCTTGGCTAGCTTGGCTGAATACGTCAATGAAGAGTGTACTGGTAGCCTCTGCCGCTCACCAGTATTCACGAGTGCCATAGGCTGTGTTGCTAGCGGGTAGCGTCGAGGTTGACATCGTGTAGGCTTGAGGATGTCGACGAGAGCAATGCTTGACAGAGAGAAGTGGCAGATGGCAGTGCTATCGATCAAGGATCAAGGATCAAGGATCATCGATCTAGGATGTCGAGGAGCAAGGGAGGACATGTGCAATTAGCGAGCATGATCGACGACCTTTTGCGTGTTTACGATTTCAATTCAAGTTTCGACCTCCACCTTGCGATTTACGACCTCCGACCTCGAAGGCTACGCTAGGATCGCACTTGGCTTGTATAGTTGCAGTAGTAGCTATATTATTATTGCTATAGCTGCCAACCTCGCATCGACTACAGTCAGACGTAACAAACACTGAGTGACACTTAGACAGGCTTAGATAGAGATCAATGCTCGCCTGTTACCGAGTAGCCTCGAGATGTCCATGGCAACTCAGATCGCTCTCGTTCCGAGTCGATCGCAAGCGATACACGACATCGACATCGGAAGATACGAGCGGCGAATCCGGAGTTTCGCAACAAGGTTTTGGTGATGTTGCAGGAGACTTGCAGCGGAGAAGAAGAAGGGCAGACCAGAAGCGGCGGCAGCATGGTGCGAGTTTCGTGGATCATACGGTGATTACGGTTCGCGGAGGTGAGGCGTGAACGTACTAGAGAGCGATATTCCCAAGGCTTATCGTTAGGGAAACACAGGAATCGGCGGGTCAGGCGCAGCGGCCTTTGTTCCAGTAAAGTCTACATCTGTTGGACCACCTTCAGGCGGGAACGGTGGGATGGGCGGTAACGTTTATTTCACGACATCGCCACACGTTACCAGCCTGGTCAGCGTACCTAAACGGATCCGAGCTGCCAACGGGGCCAATGGATCGGGTTCATATCGACATGGACGTAATGGGGTGGATACGATTGTCCAGCTTCCTGTGGGGACCGTGATCAAGGAGATGCACCGGGAGACCGAGGAGGAACGGTTGAGGCGGGACGAATTGGCTCTAGGGTTGGACGAAGAGACGTTATTGTTGGAACGAAGGGCAAGGCTGTTCGTCAAACACCCGACTGGAGAGATCATGGACGATGATTACGACGAGGCCGAGAGGACCCTGTTCAAGGAAGGCAGGCTGACCATGCCTACGAGGGAAGGGATTTTACCTAAACGACGGCCCGAGACGTACACCCCGCTCGACTTGGATGTGGAGAAGCCGCTCGAAAAGCCCGTGCTCGTCTCGGCCGGAGGACTGGGGGGACTTGGCAACCCGCACTTTTACAACTCCGCCAGTCCGCATCGAGCACCGAGATTAGCTTCGAGAGGACTTGCACCGCCGATCATCACGCTCGCCCTCGAGCTCAAATTGCTGGCCGACGTCGGTTTGGTTGGGTTCCCCAACGCTGGCAAAAGCACCATCCTACGTGCCTTGACGGGGAGGAGGGCAGAGGTGGCCGGGTACCAATTTACTACCTTGAACCCCCAGGTCGGAGTTGTCCGGGTCATGGATGATGGGACATGGCAGGGCGGATTAGCTGAGGGCGAGGTGGTGGAAGAGACGTGGAAAGAACGACAAGCCGAAGCCGAGGGGATCGAGTCTGCTCAACCCCGCGTATCGAGAATTGATAAGGGGGTCGAGGTCGTCAGGTTCACCATGTCTGACAATCCGGGTCTCTTGCCTCAAGCTTCGGAAAACTACGGCTTAGGTCATTCATTCCTGCGATCGATCGAAAGGTCATTGGCGCTCGTCTACGTGTTGGATCTGACGAGACCGAACCCGGAGCAAGATCTCATGGCGCTTCGGCACGAGCTCGAGGCTTACAAACCGGGTTTGTCCAGGAAAGGTCGACTGGTAATACTGAACAAGGCGGACGAGGTGGACGAAGAACAAGGTAAAGAGAGGAGGGCTGCCGTGGAGACCGCTCTGGAACGGTTGAAGGAGGAGAAAGAGACTTTGGATCTCGTCACCGTCAGTGGAAAGTACAACTTGGGGTTGAAAAAGGTGGTACAACGACTTGGGCGGTACGTGACCGAGGCGCGAGAGGCGGAAGAACAGGAGGACGAGAGGGACGTACAAGTGCAGAGCTCAGCCGATGCAGCTACGTCGAAAAGTTTACCCGAGCCTGCATCACCCGCCGAATCTGCCTTTGACCCTCTGAACCCGGACGTCGAGGTCTCATCCGAAGGTATCCCTCTCAACCCTTCGCCCTTGCCAAACGAGATCCTCTCCCCGCCTCGGGCGGACCTGTCCTCAGAGACTCTTGCCAGGCTGCACAAGCTTGCAGCGATCGCTCCACCCGAAAGCGGGTCCGAGGAAGAGACCCGTTTGTTGGATGGATTGTCTCATCTCGTTGGGCTCATGGATCAGGTCAAGTCTGTTCAGCTGGACAGCCATCGCGACAATGTTGAAGCGAATGACAAACTCGACAAAGAAGCCATCAGGGGTTTGCTGACCAGGGGGACTCGGGCAGTACCAGAGGACGTGTTTGACGGAGTAGACCGGGAGCGGACAGCGAGGGAAGAGGTCTCGGGTGAGACGGTAGTCGGGAAGGATCTGCTCCAATGGACCTATCCTCGGCGGTCTTTCTGATCACGTGAGATGTTGTAATCAGAGATCGCAGACTATATCCCATCACCTTTATCACCATATCTGGATTGGGCAAGTCAGGCATGATCAGGCAAGTCACCGTACCACCGCATTGCCTTCGGTGATCGGTGATCGAGCGCGTCGCTTCCGATCGAAACGCGTCATTAAACGCGAACATCGCGTCATCGTCATCATTCCCCCGTGATCCCGATCGATCGAGGGCACTAGCACTTGCGCACTTGCCCGATCTCGATTCCAGCTGGGGCAACCACCCTGCGGACCTTCAGCCGGTTCCGTTGTTTGTCTTGTTGCTTTGTTGTGATGATGACGTTCTTTTCGAGGTCACGGGACTAGCGGAACTACGAGTGACCTTGACCAGATCGGTCATCGGTGATGTCATGCCCCTGGATGACGAGCCTCGATCGGTTGCGACATGTCACTCCCGCACCCAGCCATCTCCATGCATACCTCGACCGCTGGACGAGTATATAGTCGGAGCTCGAACTCGGTCGACCTTGAAATTCCCCTCGACTAACTCCCATTCACATAACACATCAACACGCGCTCTGCCTCCTCTACCCACTTCCAATACTAAACAACAACCCATTCACAAACATGTCTGACGATGCCCGAGGACCTCAGCAGGGAGCTGTAAGTCGATCCCGTCCCTTTCGCTCACCACGCTGTCCTCTCGCTGACCTTCGAAACACCATTCCCCTCTGCCATCTCGCAGTCCAACCCTGAGACCCACCTTACCAAGGACGGCAAGCCTGACCAGCGCTTCAAGGAGAACGGCGGTGGTCAGCAGAACGTTGGCACCGAGTACATCGAGGAGGGAGATGGTACCTCCCGATTGGCTACCGAGAAAGGTCAATCGAGCACCGACCAGTACAAGTCAGTCTTTTGTTTTGCTGACACTCTACTATCGTTCTTACAGCTAATTACTAAACCCCCCATCGCACTTGTATCTTAGGCCTTCCGAGCACGGTGGAAAGACCAAGGACGGCAAGGACGACAAGAGGATGTCGTCGGACCACGGGTTCGGATCAGCCGAGGGTGCTGATCCCCATGAGGCGGGTGCCAAAGGCGGGAGTGCGAGCTACGAGAACGGTGGATTGACTCAGTAGACGTACGGAGAGGATGGCAACGTGAAGGAGATTAGCCCGCGGGGCAATGTATAAAGTAACACTACAGTGGAAATCAATCGAGATATTTTTCGACGTGACTACTTCCATTCGCACGCATCCATGGGCATGGACCAATCCGTTCTCATTCACCCAAGATACACAGATAACTCAAGCTAAAGCGTAGTCAGCGCAAATCAAAACCACCACCATGAACTATTTCGTCGAGCATATGGTGGGAAGCGCAGAATAATGAGTGGACTGAATGTGCGAGTACGAAAGTACATCGTCGGTGAGATATCTCGCTTGCCAGAAGCGAGACCGCGGCAATACTATCAAACAATCCTGCCTCTTTCGAAACGGGTCTCTCTAGCTCTCTATCTATCCTGACATGGTCCGTTCAGAAATGATCACGGCATCGGAATTGCGTTGTTCACAAAGCCAAAGCTCGGCTGGACCACCTTCGAGCGACCGAAGCCTGAGCCCTGTTGACGGTGTAGCACTCGGTAGTCTGCGGAGCGTACGAGAGGCCGAGAGGCAAGTTTTAGTGCCAAAACTTTCCAGGTGGAGAGTGAAGACTGACCTGAGTCTCGCACTGGCTCTGGAACGCTCCGACTTCGCCATTCGGCAACTTGTTGGAAGCGTTGTAACAGGCGTTCTACAGGGGTATCATCTTTAGCTTCTTAATATCACGACTTGGTTCCCTCTTAAACAAGCGGAGCTCACCCTCTGCTCGTTACAGCTCTCCTCAAGGGCGTCATACAGGTAGTTGTACGTCCTACCGCCGGAAGAGTATTGGTTTCCTACCTCTGCAACGATAACACCAGATTGGCGTCAGCCATCCGGGAATGTCAGACAGCCAGGTGCTGCGGGGATATGTAAGGTAAAACATACGAGTGACAGCGCCGATTGGGGCCCCGATGCTTCCAGTGAACTTTTGGAGGTCGCCCTCAGCGCTTCCGGTAGGAGCAGGCGCAGGGACAGCAGGACCTTCAGGCTCGGATGCGGACTCGGTAGGAGTAGGGGCGGAGATGGAGGTGGGAACGGGGAGGTCAACAGGAGGGACACTGGAGCTTGGGCTGGTGCCGGCGTGTCAGAAGAAAATCAGTTATTGAAATCCTGGTCGCATTCGCGACTTGACTCACAGCGCAATCGAGGAGGTAGCGGTCTCGTTGGGCAACTCTTCCGTGAAGCTGGGCATCGTCTCGATCGGGGCATCTTCGGACTCTTCAGGAAGAGCGGGTACGACGACATCCGTAGGGGTAGGGGCATCCGACGAAGCGCTGGTGGTCGGCTCCATTACTTCGGGTTGTTCAGAAGCAGAGGGAGCAGGAACCTGAACCGCTTCGGTCGAGGTCGCAGCGGCGGTGCTGGGAACAGGAGCTTCGGCAGCGGCGGTAGAGGTAGCAGCAACGTCAGTGGGCTCAGCGCCTTGTTCGGTAGTCACTGGCTCGACCACGGCAGAAGAGGCGGGAGGTTCGGGAGCAGCAGGAGCTCCTGGAGACGAAGCTGCACCACCCGAGTCTCCCTTGCTATACACAAGAAAGGTAACGTGTTCAGACAATGAGAACACCTATGCCAAATATCCCGTGTTCGCCCGACTCACACGATCCCGCCCTGATAAACAGCGATACCCGGGTACTTGAAACTAGGTCCGTCCGTAGTCAACTCCACGAAGTCGGCGTACATGTCCGGGAATTTGCCCGTAGGAGCGGGAACGGTCGTTCCGCTCGATTCGAGGTCGACCTGGAAGGCCATGGGATAGAACTGTTGTCCGCTGAAGGGGGCGAGGAGTTCGTGCTTGACCATGTAGGACCCCGAGGGGAGGTCGGTGGGGAGGTTGAACGTATACAACGGGTTCTTTGTCAAAAGAGAGAGGGGCCAGGTCGAAGTGGCCGTGTCGTAGTTTTCCTCGATGATCTGCGGTGCATCCGAATGATACAGTCAGAAAGGGGATCAGGGCTAGGAAACTCCGTTGACCCACCTTGAACCACGAAAGAGAAGCGGCATCGGCACCCTCACAAGTCGCACCGCAGTCCTACCCATGCCAGTCATGTAACGTGATCAACCTCTTTCCTTACCCATGCCCCTAAGCCCCTGGAAGACCGGACTTACCGCCATATAGACGGCTTGTCCACCGATATGCGAGTCGGGCCACTGCTGCCAGTCGAGCGTGACAGAGTCTCCGCCCTTGGCAGGGATCGTCTGAGTAGGGGTGGTCGCTTCGAACTTTTCCGCGTTGGCACCCTCGTTGATGATGATACATTTCTGGGTCCAGCTGTGGGCGCGTCAAGATTCAGGGTCGGACTGATCTCCCAACTCCCATAAAACACGTCCTCGACTCACTCGAGACAGGGTCCGTTCCCATCGTTCTTCCTGGTGTAACTAGGAGGCCTGGTCGCATCGGGGTAATAAGGATCCGCGTTGAAGTCCCAACCACGGTACTCTTTACCAGCGACGTTGACGGATTTGACCCAGCTGTGGGCGGTGGTCAAGGGTAGGAGAGCGGCCAGCGCGGTAGTGGAGAGAAGCAAGTTCTTGAGAGAGGACATGATGAGGGAGCGATGGTAATGTCGATGGCGGACGGGCAAAGGAAGGTGATGGGGGCACGTCGAGTGCTATCAATAAGGAGACGAAGGATTGCTGTCGAAGCTTGTGAACAGAGTTGGGATCGAAGGATCACGAGTAAATGGCTCACCTAGCTATCGACGGGGTGGAGCCCTTTATATCGACCGATACAGGGCCTCGCCATGCTGTCATCCCTTTCGGGGAAACATGTCCAGACGATACTACGTTGTCGCAAGGTCGGTCGTCTGGCTTGGCACAAATCGCGCGTTCCGGACGATGAAACTGAAACGCGGTCGTCAGAACGACTCGTCTTGATCAGACGGCGACGCCTGGTGAGTGATCGCGATGAAACAGTGGACAGTAAGTGAAACGGGATGGACGTGACGCATTTTAGGGTTTCGCCGGTCGCTAAGAATCGAAAGGACCGTCCGCCACCGGGCCGCTATCATCAAAGGGATCGATCGATCCTGTCGATCTTCTAGCGTTGGAAGGGGAACGTGACGCAAAGGGAGTTTCCTCCCTCCTCCCCGTTTGTTCCGGACGATGAAACTCAAAGGGAGGTAGGGGAAAGGACCGATCGCGGAGGACTACACGCGCGCGTGTGGCTTCGGTAAACCCTATCACCCCACGCGAGAGCTGATCGCCGAAGAGATCGGGGAGAACGGCTCGACCATTATTATCAACGATTTGAGAGACCATCATAATAATCTCCTGGGTCAGCTAGTTCCGGAATGAAGGATCGAAGGTCGGTCATGTCAGTACCATCTCCATGTCGGCTTTCCGAGTATCCGGTGTCACGTCAAAGTAGACAAGGTGGAACTGAAAAAGACGTGTACCCCCGGTGTGATGATGAAAAGGGCGTGCGGTGATTGGCTCCTCTTCTCCTCCGGTTCCCCCCGGGGGTGGTGTGGTTGAGCGATATTCTCTTATCGGGCAACGTGCATTCGGGGTTATCCACCGTATGTGCGAGGGCCGTGAGGGTGTCTGTATCGCTGTATCTTTTGTTCCTTGGAATCGTGTGCCTCTTGTCTTCGCAGACTTTCTGACATCTGACATCTCTGCATCTAGCAAGACCATCGCCAGTCAGAATCACAGGGTGACAGGATCGTCCTCTCTCAAAACGAAAAAAAGTCGATCATCCAATCGTTCGGCATATCCCATTCCCGCCGGTACCCATCTCTCGTTCGTTCTTTTCTCTTTCTAGTGCCGGGGTTCGACATTATCGGACGTCGACTAGTCAATTCCGGGGGAATCGTTGGTCTGACGAGCGATCAACGGTCACATCGGATCATCGAGAGAGGTCTTGTGACCTAGAAGCTTGAGTTCCAGAGATAAACACCTACCACAGGATTGGGCAGCTACAAAGACTGTCGAACAGCATCGCCGTTTCCTCTTTTGCCACTTGCTGTCCTCTTAAGAGCTCAAACTGCGTAAAAGAGACGAAAGCATCTCTTTCGTGAACCCTCTTGCAGCTTGACAATCCTTTCAACAGACGACCTGTACGAAAACTAAGCGATCAAAAGAAGAGACCTCTGTGGCAAACTCGCCCATCATGGTCATTCACTCCTCATCCGCCATGTTGAACGACGACGATACCTGGGCATGCACCGATTCTACAGACCACTCCTCTTCTCTCGGGGTCCAACAAGCTACCTCGGTTGGCATGGAGACCAACTTTGAGAACCACGACTCTACCGACCCGTCTTTCCCGGCACGACAGGGATTGTACAACCCTGAAGAGGAGAGGGACGCCTGCGGGGTCGGTTTCATCGTCCATATCAAGGGAAAAGGGAACCACAAGATCGTCAGCGATGCTCGGGGATTGCTGTGTAACATGACCCATCGAGGTGCTAGTAAGTGATTTGAAGCGAGGCAAGACACGGAAAATACAGCAGGCTGATTGTGGCGGTGTTGAATCTGCCTGCATTACAGCCGGTGCTGATTCAAGAGATGGAGATGGAGCCGGAGGGATGTACGGAATCCCTCACAGAATGTTTATCCGAGAAACCCCTCATTGTTTCCTCCCCCGACTGCCTTCCAACGGGACCTATGCTACGGGGAACGTCTTTTTCTCCAAGACCGCCCACGGCGAGCAACGTCAGAAGCTCGAACAGATCGCCGATGAGCTCGGTATGCGGGTCCTCGGATGGAGAGAGGTACCTACGGACGGGTCCATCTTGGGTCCCAGTTCAAAGAGCAGAGAACCCAAGATCTTGCAGCCTTTCGTCGTCATGAAGGAGCACTACGGGACGGGAGACCATTGCGAGGAAGGACCGTTTGATGTGATGAAGTTCAACCGGCAGTTGTTCTTGCTCCGAAAGATGTGTACGACCGCCATGTGAGTCGGGTCCCTGCCTTGTGATACGGCGCCAAGCACTGACCAAAGCACGCACATCACTCTTGCAGTGGCCTTTCCAAGTCGTTCTACATCTGTTCGTTGGCCACCACCACGATCGTTTACAAGGGGCAACTCTCCCCCGTCCAAGTTTACGAGTACTTTCACGATCTCAACCACGCCCTATTCGAATCCCATTTCGCCCTCGTACACTCGCGTTTCTCGACCAACACCTTTCCAAGCTGGTCTCGTGCTCAGCCGAAGCGTCTTGCCGCTCACAACGGAGAGATCAACACGGTCCGCGGGAACAAAAACTGGATGCGAGCTCGAGAGGGTGTGCTCAAGTCGGAAAAGTTTGGCGACGAGCTCGAAAAGCTCTACCCGATCATCGAGGAAGGAGGGTCCGACTCAGCTGCATTTGACAACGTGCTCGAGCTATTCGTAGTCAACGGGGTTCTGACTCTGCCCGAAGCCGTCATGCTGATGGTGCCCGAGGCGTGGCAGAACAACGACCTCATGGAGGCCGATAAAAAGGCCTTTTACAATTGGGCTGCTTGCCTTCAAGAGCCCTGGGACGGACCCGCCCTGTTCACATTCTCGGACGGGAGGTACTGCGGCGCCAACTTGGACAGAAACGGTCTCCGACCCTGCCGGTACATCGTTACCAACGAGGACATCATGATCTGCGCTTCGGAAGTCGGTGCAATCTACCTCGACCCGGCTACTGTCATCATGAAGGGTCGGCTCAAGCCCGGTAGGATGTTGCTTGTCGACACCAAGGAAGGCCGAATCGTCGACGACAAGGAGCTCAAGATGACCACAGCCAAGAAGCATCCGTTCGCCGCTTGGGCTGAGGATCAGCTCCTGCAGCTACCCGAGATCATGGCCAAGGTCGCTCGACAGCATTCGCTCAAGGTCGTGCTGGACGAGACCGAGCTCGCCAACGATCCTCGACTCTTGGCCTTTGGTTACAGTTTCGAGCAGCTCAACCTGCTCATGCTACCCATGGTCAAGGACGGCAAAGAGGCCCTAGGATCGATGGGTAACGATACCGCATTGGCTTGCGTATCGACTGTGCCTCAGATGATATACGACTACTTCCGTCAGCTCTTTGCGCAGGTCACCAACCCTCCGATCGATCCGATCAGGGAGAGCATTGTCATGTCGCTTCAAACCTTTGTTGGTCCGGAGGGCAACTTGCTCGAGATCAAGAACACACAGATGCATCGACTGCAGCTCGACTCTCCGGTTCTCACCATCGAAGAGATGAATGCTATCAAGCACATGAAGACGGCCCATTCTGATTGGCCTTCGATTACCCTGGACATCACGTTCAACAAGGGAGAAGGACTCCCTGGCTTCCGTAATGCCCTGAACCGAGTCAGTCAGGAGGCGCTCAACGCCGTTGACGCTGGTTTCAAAGTCATCATCCTCTCGGACCGAAACGTCGGGCCCACTCGAGTCCCACTTTCCGACATGCTCGCTCTTGGAGGTGTCCAGCATTTCTTGATCAGTCACAAAAAACGAAGCAAGGTCGCATTAGTCGTCGAGTCCGGTGCAGCGAGAGACGTGCATAGCATCTGTTGTCTCGTTGGGTACGGCGCGGACGCGGTGAACCCTTGGTTGATGCTCGAGACCATTCACAAAGTCGAGCGGGAAGGGCTCGCCAAGGAAGGCCAGACTGCCAACGAGCTCATCGACAACTACCGCAAGGCTATGGACAATGGTATGCTGAAAGTGTTTTCGAAGATGGGAATCTCGACCCTGGCATCGTACAAGGGCGCCCAGATTTTTGAAGCTCTCGGTCTGCATCATGAAGTTATTAGTCAGTGTTTCGCTGGAACGGCTTCTCGAGTCGAGGGTGCGACGTTCGAGATCCTGGCCATGGACGCATTTGCCACTCATGAACGTGGATACCCCTCGGGTCGTCAGACGATCACCGTCGCTGGTATGCCAGAGACGGGCGAGTATCACTGGCGTGACGGAGGCGAAGCGCATATCAATGACCCTACCGGAATGGCCAACTTGCAAGACGCAGTCCGACAAAAGAACCAGAGCGCTTACGATGCTTATTCGCGAAACGCGCACGAGCAGATCAAGAGGACGACGCTGCGAGGTCTTTTGGACTTTGCCTACGAAAAGGCTACTCCGATTCCGATCGAGCAGGTCGAGCCTTGGAACGAGATCGTTCGTCGATTCGCCACAGGAGCTATGAGCTACGGATCTATCAGTATGGAATCGCACGCGACTCTTGCTGTCGCTATGAACCGACTCGGAGGGAAGAGCAACACGGGTGAAGGTGGGGAGGATTCAGAGAGGTCGAACCCGATTCCAGGGCCGGGTTACAACGCCCCTCGAGAACCCTACTCGCACGCCATGGATCTTAAACCTGTCACAGACTCAAGACGTTCCGCCATCAAACAGGTCGCGTCCGGTCGTTTCGGAGTCACCAGCAATTACTTGGCCGACGCCGATGAAATTCAGATCAAGATGGCTCAAGGTGCCAAGCCTGGAGAGGGTGGAGAGCTCCCTGGACATAAAGTTTCCATCTCTATCGCACGTACACGGCACTCGACGCCCGGCGTCGGTCTCATTTCGGTAAGCCAAGGACCTTCAGATCTCGTGCATTGTGAAACGCCTCTGTGCCTGTTTGCTCAGCACAATATTATTTGTATAGCCGCCTCCCCATCACGATATTTACAGTATCGAGGATCTGAAACAACTCATTTACGATTTGAAGGCCGCAAACCCCCGTGGGCGCATCTCGGTCAAGCTCGTATCCGAGGTCGGAGTTGGTGTTGTAGCTTCCGGAGTCGCCAAAGCTAAAGCGGAGCATATTCTCATCGCCGGTCACGATGGTGGTACTGGAGCATCGCGCTGGACCGGTATCAAGCACGCCGGTCTTCCTTGGGAGTTGGGTGTGTCCGAGGCTCATCAGACTCTTGTCTTGAACAATCTTCGAGGCAGGGTCACTATCCAAACCGATGGTAACCTGAAGACCGGTCGAGATGTCGCATTGGCCTGTTTGTTAGGTGCCGAAGGTGAGAAAGCGATGCGTGTATAGCCTGAAGGAGCCATCTGAGCTGATTTGACTATTGCAACCCATAGAGTGGGGATTTGCAACCGCGCCTCTGATTGCGCTCGGATGTATCATGATGCGAAAGTGCCACCTCGGAACCTGCCCTGTCGGTATCGCGACTCAGACGCCAGAATTGAGAGCCAAATTCGCTGGTCAGCCCGAGCACGTCGTCAATTTCTGCTTCTACGTTGCCAATGAACTGCGAGAGATCATGGCCAAGCTCGGGTTGAGATCGATCGAAGAGATGGTCGGACGATCGGACCTCCTCAAAGTCGACGAGTCTCTGCGAACTCCAAAGACCGCACACCTCGACCTCTCCCCGATGCTCAAGCCAGCGTTCGAGATGCGTCCTGGCGCCCCCACCCACAGAATGAAGCCGCAGGATCACAAGATGTACAAGCGTCTTGACAACAAGTTTATCGACGAGGCCGAGCCTGCTATCGAGAGCGGCATCCCTGTTTCGATCGACTGTGAGGTGACCAACACCGACCGAGCCCTCGGAACCACTCTGTCCTACCGAGTCTCCAAGAAGCATGGTGAAGCTGGTTTGCCGCGCGACACGATTCATATCAACATGAAGGGTTCTGCTGGACAATCGCTGGGTGCGTTCTTGGCACCTGGTATCACCATTGAACTGGAAGGCGAAGCAAACGACGGAGTGAGTTCCCATGTTGGATGCCTGATAAAGTAGGATAGGTTCTGACGTTTCAGTGGTTCCCGCTCTCAGGTCGGCAAAGGTCTATCCGGCGGAAGACTCATCATCTACCCTCCCCACGAGTCTCCCTTCAAGGCTGAAGAGAACATCATCATCGGTAACGTCGCCCTCTACGGAGCTAGCTCTGGTCACGCCTATATCAACGGTATCGCTGCCGAGCGATTCGCAGTCAGAAACAGTGGATGTCTCGCTGTAGTCGAGGGAACCGGTGACGTGAGTTGCCGAAAAGGGATTCAGGATGTTGACAGGACATCTAGGCTGATGCGCGCTTCTACCTTGTTCTCCCTTTGCAACAGCATGGTCTGGAATACATGACCGGCGGTCGAGTCGTCGTACTTGGAAAGACAGGACGAAACTTTGCAGCTGGAATGAGCGGAGGAATCGCTTACGTCTTGGATCTCGCGCACGACTTTGGCTCGAAAGTCAACCACGAGATGGTTGAACTTGGAAAAGTCACTGACCCGAAGGAAATCAGCGAGTTGAGGGAATTGATCGAACAGCACCGACACTTTACCGGCAGCGAGGTCGCCGACAGGGTGTTGAAAACTTTCAACCGCATGTTGAGCTACTTTGTCCGAGTTATGCCTCTGGATTACAAGAGGGTTCTCGAGGAAGAGGCTGCGCGCGCTGCCGAGGAAAAGGCGAGACAGAATGCCATTGACCTCGTACCTTCGCAAGCGCAAGTCGACATCTCCAGGTCTACAAGCCCTGTCAAGCATCACGAACCTTCGGTGGGCGACGTCGAAGATGCCATGGTCGACACGGAGACTGCAGTCGCTCGGGGCGCCAAGTTGGACAAGGTCCGCGGATTCATGAAGTACAAGCGGATGGGCGAGGCTTACAGACCCGCGCGCAAGAGGACTAAGGATTGGAAGGAGGTCTCTTCGCGACTCAAGCCCCAGGAGCTACAGGTGCAGGCGGCAAGGTGCATGGATTGTGGTGTACCGTTCTGCCAGTCCAACTCGGGCTGCCCCATCTCCAACTTGATTCCGTCTTGGAACGAACTCGTTTTCAGGGACGACTGGCACTCGGCTTGGCTTCGTCTGAAAGCTACGAACAACATGGTGAGCACCTCGAATTCCCGCGTTTTCTCACGGCTGTTACTGACTTGTATTCGTTCCCGTGGACAGAGTTGGGCTACCGGCCGAGTCTGTCCTGCGCCTTGTCAGTCAGCGTGTGTCGCCGGGATCAACGGCGCTCCCGTCGAGATCAAGAGTATCGAGTGTGCCATTATCGACCGCGCCTATGAGGAAGGCTGGGTCCAACCGGAGCCTCCTCAGAACAGGACGGGCAAGAAGATTGCCGTCATTGGATCTGGACCCGCTGGTCTTTCATGTGCGGAACAGCTCAACAAGGCCGGTCATCTGGTCACCGTGTACGAGCGATCAGTAAGTTTCGCAATCGAATGCCCTCACAGAACAAAACCGAGATCCTGATGCGTTCTTATTTCGTATGTAGGATGCTATTGGAGGGCTCCTGTACTACGGCATTCCCAACATGAAGCTCGAGAAGCGATTCGTCGACCGACACGTCCAGATGCTGCGTGACGAGGGTATCAATTTCGTCACCAACGCGAACGTTGGGGTCAATGTCGACATCAATCAGCTCAAAGAGGAAAACGACGCCGTGGTTCTCGCCATCGGCTCGACCGTCGGACGAGACCTGAGGCTCCCTGGCAGGGAGAGCGAAGGAATCTACCAAGCCATGGACTTTTTGACCAAGAACACTAGCGAGCTTACCAAGAACGACCAAGAGCTCAAGGACAGCAGCAGATACATCGATGCCAAAGGACTCGACGTCATTGTCATCGGAGGAGGGGACACCGGTAACGACGTTCTGGGTACCTCGGTCCGTCAGGGCGCCAGGTCGATCGTAAACTTTGAGTTGCTCCCCGAACCTCCTGCGACCCGTGCTGCCAACAACCCTTGGCCGACCTTCGCCAGGATCAAGCGTACCGACTATGGTCACGCCGAAGTCATCGCTCACTGGGGCAACGACCCGAGGGAGTACTGCATCTCGACGACCGATTTCGTAAAGGACGAAGAGACTGGCAAACTCAAGGGTGTCAACACCGTCAAGGTCGAGTGGACCCAAAAGGGCGGTCAGTGGTCGATGGAGAAGATTCCCGGATCCGAAAAGGTTGGTGTACAGCGTGACGTGTGGATTCCGTATACACACTCACTCTTCCCCTTTTTGCATGACAGTTCTTCCCGGCCCAGCTCGTCTTGCTCGCCCTGGGTTTCGTCTCGCCCGATCAGAGTCTCCTCGCTCAGCTCAAGCTGAAGGCCGACCCGAGATCCAACATCCAAACTCCGGAGGGCGTGAGTATCGAGTCGTAGGCAGCTGTAGTATCGTCTGCTGACCGACTATCGCTTTCCACCTTCGTAGTCTTATGCCAGCAGTGTCGACGGTGTCTGGGCGTGCGGAGATGCTCGTCGAGGTCAATCCTTGGTCGTCTGGGCGATCAACGAGGGTCGACAGTGTGCTCGAGAGATCGACTTGTTCCTCGAACACGACACTCGATTGGCCGCTACCGGCGGAATCATCAAACGCAGCTGGGTGCCCCCTCCCATCTCCACTGACGGCACGGCTAGCGGCAGCGGCAGTGAAAGTGGGGATGCCGGCTCGGTCGACTCTGGCTTCGATTCGACCGTTGCGAGCGAGGTCTTGGTTTAAGTTTTTCATTCTCAAAAGAGGTATATATTTCTGGTGGTCTTGTACGTGTGTCCGTCATATAGGTGTTGTGTAGACTTCCATTTAACTGTGTTATTGTATGTACGAGTATTTACGATGCAGCTAGCGAGCAATCTTCCCTGCGGCTGTCTCTCGGTCTGTCTTTCCATCGATACAACGTGTCCCATCGAAACAGCTTTTACAGGCCGAATGCTTTCGTCTGCACGATCTCGCTATGAATGACTTTCTCGAATGGGAGACTCTTGTCAAGCCTATAAGATGATTCAGAGCAAGCGTAGATGCTGTTATTTCTCCATCTTGATCTCAGGTGGCATACGGAGATCAGGTATGTCGAGCTGTCTATATCGACCATTCGTTCTATCGATCAAGTCAACTCTCAATTGATCTTCGGCATCACTGCGACAGATACGCCGATAAGCGACAGCAATCCATAAAACCAAAATCGCTAGATAGCAGGATCCGGCTTCAGAAAGGGCGGTCATTAGAATCACGACGATGTCCAGTGTTGAGGGCAATTACGGATTCCCTGGGTTCGAGCGAGGAACCGTCAACAAGTGTAGGAGTTACAGGAAGGTATATATCATATACAGAAGGGTTGCGGAAGCCTAGCCAACTGCTGACCTGTACTACTATACAGTCCAGCTTTGCCTCCTCTGGCGGGTTTGCCACTCTTTTAGCTTCCGACGCCCATTTCTCGTAAGCGGGTCATCGCCCGCTGACGGAAGCAAATAATTATCAATGAGGGAGATGCCCGAACCTTTTGCGGTTATTGCATTCGAGGGATGATCGACTTGTTCAACTCTTCAATCCGCAACCCGTCTGACTTATCCAGCTAACACAGACAACATCCTCGAGTGAGGTTCTACATCACATCATGTAAGCATCTTCGTTATGACTTCTGTTACCGGAGATCTAGCCTGACCCAGCCAGACATACCCTTGCTGCAGGTCGTCCCGTCTAATCTTTCGCAATCTCCCAAACACGGTCGAACTCCCGACTTTCAAGGCCCACCTCGCTCAGCCATCGCAACTCTCAGACGCCACACTTACCGATGTCAAGCTTGTATCCAAACGCCGGTTCGCTTTCGTTGGATACAAGACCGAGGACGAAGCAAAACGGGCTAAGGAATGGTTCGATGGAACTTTTCTGGGGAGTGGCAAGATCAAGGTCGATTTCGTAGATGACGAGGTGAGTCTCGTGCCTGAGATCAAGACTTTCTGAGAGCGGTATACATTGCTGACTAGATGAATCTGCACGCCAGACCCTTGCTAAAAAGCAGGGCAAATCCGCTTCGTTCAAGAGCAACCTGCCCCCTGCATCCGAAGCCACTAAGGCAGCACCGAAAAAGACTAGCAAAGCGCTGGCCGAGTTCATGTCTGTCATGAAGGGTTCGGATGCCAATGCTATCCCTGTTCCCGTTCCTGAGGCATCTTCATCGACGTCAGCACAAGATCAACAGGAACGAAAGGGCAAGACAGACGAGAAGAGCGGGGTCGTTGGCGTAGAAGAGGTCGCCAAGGACGAGGATGTGGAATTGGACGATGCAGAATGGTTGAAGCGGAGACAAGCCGCGGTACCTTCGACGACAAACGCTGAAGGTTCAGAAACCGATGCCGCATCACCGGTCGCATCAGGATCCAAGATCTCTCCGGAAGAATCCCTAATCTTACAGACCCACCGACTCTTCCTCCGAAACCTCTCTTTCCACACGACTTCGACATCTCTGCGGGAATACCTCGAACCGTACGGCTCCATCTCCGAGATCCACATTCCTATGAGCAAAACGACACAACAACCTCTAGGAACGGCGTTTGTGAAGTTTGAGAATGGGCAGGATGCCGTCAAGGTCTGGAAAGAGGTTGACGGGAGGACGGTGATGGGAAGGTTGATCCACGTCTTGCCTGGAAGGGGGAAACCGGGTGAGGTGGTCGTCATCGGTTCGACGGGTTCGGGAGTCGCTGGCACCGAGACCGTGGTCGAGGGCGAGGGTGCTAGTGCAGGTGGGCATGCGAACGAAGGGGGTCTCTTTGGCAAAGTTCTCGGGAAGGAAGACGGCAAGAACGTCAAGTCCGAGGTAGACAAGCGGAGGAAAGAGGAGAGCAACCGCGGTCTCAACTGGGCGACGTTGTACATGAACAGCGACGCCGTGGCTTCGTCCGTGGCCAACCGGATGGGCATCAAGAAGGCGGAGATCTTGAACTCAGAGTCCCTCTTACCCGAGGAGAGTAACGAGGGGGAAGACGGAAGGGGTAAAGAGGTCAACAGCGCGGTCAAGTTGGCTTTGGCCGAGACCAGCGTGATCAACGAGACGAAAAAGTATTTCGAGAAACACGGTGTCGTCCTGACCCGTCTCGAAGGGACCGCCGACGTCCAGGGAGGCAAGCGGGTCTCGACGCCTCGGTCGAAGACGACCTTGCTGGTCAAGAACATTCCGTACGGAACGACCCTAGATGTCCTTCGCGCCCTGTTCGAGCCGTTCGGGACGCTCAAGCGGACTCTGATGCCGCCCGCTGGGACGTTGGCTGTCGTCGAGTATGAACAGGCCGACGATGCGTTCAAGGCGTTCAAGGGGGTCAGCTACAAACGGTTGGGTAATGCGGTCATCTATCTTGAAAAGGCTCCCGAGGGGCTGATGAGGGACGTTGATGACATGGAGGTGGAGGACGATACACCTGCATCGGGAGGAAAGGAGGCGGACGAGGTCTTGAAGCGTGTCGCAGCTGTGTCAAATACTGCCGAGAACAAGGAGGATGGGAACACGGGTGAGACAACGAACGAAGCTGGATCGACGCTCTATGTCAAGAACTTGAGCTTCAACACGACGACCGAACGACTCGAATCAGTCTTTTCCTCCCTCCCGTCATTCGTCTTTGCGCGAGTCTCGACGAAACCAGACCCAAAGAACGCCGGGGCGAGATTGAGCATGGGTTTCGGTTTCCTCGGATTCAAGACGAGGGACGCGGCGACCAAGGCGTTGAAGGGTCTCAAGGGGTACAAGTTGGACGGACACGAACTGGAGGTCAAGTTTGCGCAGAGGGATCGGGAGGGAGAAGAGTTGGACGCCAAGAAGGGTGGGAACGCGGGAGAAGGCAAGAAGGGAAAGACGACCAAGATGATCGTCAAGAACGTACCGTTTGAAGCGAGCAAGAAGGATATCCGGGACTTGTTCAGGTGCGTTTCGACGTTGCGGTGCGAGCGTTGATACGAATGAACAATACACTAACCTCTGTTGCTTGTCCACCAAACAGCGCCTATGGTACCCTGAAATCGTGCAGGATCCCGAAAAAGCACAACTCGGGTGGTCGAGGGTTCGCCTTTTTGGACTTTACCACTCGGACCGAGGCCGAAGCTGCCATGGAGGCCTTGAAGCATACGCATTTGCTCGGCCGACACTTGGTTCTCGAATGGGCAGCAGAGGAGGAGTTTGCAGGGCAGGAAGTGGAGAGGTTGAGGGAAAAGGCCAAGCGGGAATACGTCAAGGACGGCGAGGGTCTGCCCAGCAAGAAACGCAAGTTGGGCCTGAAGGATGGTAATGCTATCGGGCAAGCCGAGGAGGAGTGAAATGGGCGCTTCTACACGATTCAGCGGGTTGTAGCACGATACTGTACAGTACGAAGGAGCGTCTGATAGATTACGATATCGCTGTGCCAGGTCGATGTGTTGTACCGATGAAACGAGACCACGATCAACCTGACATCTTGCCATCCCATGAATATGCTTCCGCGAGAGACTGGGCGGGCCGAAAGCTCGAACGGGGAACGTCATCGCGAGCGAGCGACCCTTTCTTGGCGAGATTCGACGATGAATACAAGGTCACATCGACCTTCAAAAGCAACGTCCACACATCGTTATCCTTGCAGATAAGCTTCTTAGGACAGAGTCTCACTTCCATCTCGTATCGTGAGTCTCCGGTCGAACGCTACACGGACGATCTTGCCGGTGACTCACCCGAATCCACCGGCTGTCCCGCTTCAGCACAGCAACAAGCAAACGTTCCAAGATGAAGGGGTTTATGAAGGCGGTCAACCGGTGAGTGCTCTTTCTTCGTTGTTTGAGAAGCTGAGAAGCTGTGGACTCTGAAGGAAGCTGAAAGGGGCCGACACGACGGTACAGCACGCCGCACCAGCTTACTAGCCGGATAGGCATGACCAAGAGTGGGTCCAATTTCGGCCGTGTTGAGCTCTCCCAGCACCTACCCAACTGAACCTGCTCATTTCGCTACTCTAGAGTCCAGCGACCCAGAGTTTGACGACTTTAACCGGAAATTCACCGCCATCGAAGCCGGGACGGAAAAGATCCTCAAAGACTCTGGCACCTTCCGAGATGCCGTCCAGACGCTCTTGTACTCGGGCTCGTCGTTTTCGAACTCGTTCAACACTCTTTTCGCCCCGCTCGGTGCCGAGTACAACCTCGGGGCCAAGTTTCCCAACTCGGAGGTGACGATCCAGAATATCGGGAGTTACCAGGCGTTGATGGAGGAACTGCGGGGTGAGTCCGGGTCGGGTCTCCTTTGAGGTTACTGCTGCGGAATCGCGGGGAATCAGGCTGATTCGATCCGTCTGCACTACCACCAGAGACCCTGAATCCCGAGCTCGAACTGATCGACTCGAGGGTGATCGTACCTTGCAAGGAGCTCCAGGATATCTGCAAGCGGATCCGAAAGACGATCGTCAAGCGGGACCACAAGGTAATCGATTGTTCAGACGCGAGCACATGGGGACACGAATGACCAACAAAGCTTATCCACCGATCGTGCCCATGACTAGTTGGTCGACTTCGACCGTCATAACAATTCGCTCAACAAACTCAGGGAGAAGAAGGAAAAGAGCTTGAGCGACGAGAAGAACCTCTTCAAGGTGAGTTTTCTGGTTGTGCAGAGTTGTCGCATAGCATTGTAGCTGACATTCAATCCATACGGAATGGTACTGTGAAGGTCGAGCAAGATTTCGAGATTGCAAGCAACGAATATGAACATTGGAACACCCTCGTCAAGCAGGAACTGCCCCACTTTTTCCAGCTCTCGACCTCGTTCATCGAGCCCATCTTCCACAGTTTCTACTATATGCAGTACGTCCCTTTCCCAGTGCCTCTGACCCATCGCCATCTGGTTGACCCTTTGTCTACGTTTGCTAGACTCAACTGTTTCTACTTGATGCAAGAAAAATTGCAATCGTTCGCCGATGGCAAGTACGATCTCTCGAGGACCGACGTAGAGAACGTCTACTTCGAGCAACGTGGAGATGCGGCCGAGCATCTGGAAGAGTTGACCATCACCAAGCGGATGGTCTCGACTGGTAGGTTTATGTTGCAGAGAGACAGTGTTCAGACGTGGACTGAACATCCCTTTGTTTCGCAGCCAAACTCATGGCAGACCGTCGGGTCGCCTCTGGTAGCAGCTATGGAGGCAAACCTGGAATCGGAAGAACCTCTTCGATCTCGTCGTCCATCAAGTCTCCCAGCCTCGCTCGACAGCCTTCAACAAGCAAATACGGTTTGCCGCCTCCCGTCCCGGCGCCCATGGTCGCGGCGCCTCCTCCTTACACTACGGGAGAGAAGAGCGGTGCCGGGCTCACCTCGGCCGGCTCGATCAAGAAGGCACCTCCCCCACCCCCGCCGATGAAGCGAGCGGCATCCAACGTACCGCCCGCCGAGTATTGCGTCGCCTTGTTCGATTTCGCTGCTCAGGTAGGCGCAATGCCAGGTGTCCAGTAGTGTATTACTTTCGATCATAGCTGAACTCTCATTTCAAACCCGTTGTTTCTTTCCTTCAGGCTGAAGGCGATCTCAGCTTCTCCGTTGGAGACAGGATTCAGATCATCGAACGTAGCGAATCTCAGGATGACTGGTGGACAGGAAAGGTTCATGGTCAGACAGGTTCCTTCCCCGGAAGCTACACCCAGCTCGAATAAGGCCCGTGTAGAAACGGACAAGGATGACCGTAAGCGAGCTTCTGACATTTGGGGCATAATCTCGATCGTCGGCGTTCCGAGCTCTCTACGCGGCTTGATGTGGATTTCTTGTTTCACTTTGCAATCTTGTAGATGTTAATATTAAATTTCGATGAGGACGCGCTATCGATGATGGCCTGAAGGCGATTTTGATTTTGGTACCACTCCGATGCGCCGCAAGAGTCGAGCCTCGAGCAAAACGAGGTACAGAGGTTACGGTATTTGCTTGAGAGATGCGTGTCGTCTTGCTATCGATACAGATCCATAACCATTACACTTCGAGGGATCAGACAGACTCTTGCTGTGCCTCCAGATCGATTCGTTCCGTTCCAGCGGATCCATCTCATGCTGGAGTTTCGGTCTCTCTGGCCACTCTGGCCTTTTCCTTTTCGTCCCTCTGCCCCTTCCACTTTTTGATCTCGGTCTCGGTCGCGATGATGCCCTGCCTGCGTCCGTACATTCGATAGTAAGGACGACCTCTAATTAACTTTAAAGGTGACACAGAATCGAGAGCCACAACTGTTTACCTTGCGAGCTCGTTCCTCGCTTGACGTCGGACATCGTTCTCCGACTCTCGTTGTTCTGATTCGAACCGCAAGAGGTATTTCTCTGCGCCAAAGACCAAGCCGGCTACTGTTGACGAGGAGATAATGAACGCTTTGAGACCGATCGCTTGTCGTCTATAGTCAAGAACAGACCCAGGTTAAATGCACATCTTGGCTAGGTTCGTCATCAAGCGGGCTGCTTACCTGAATCCTGGCCATGTGAGATGTCCGAGTGTGACAAAGAGAGATGTATACAAGGTATACTTGATCATTCCCTGTAGTGAACTCGGCCGTCAGCAACCGAGCGGACAGATCGCCGTGCCGGAGAGACTCACCTCGATGGCACCTTTCTTTTGAAGCTCATAAGCTCGCTCTTGATGCTCGAGCCGCCGGCCTCGGTCTCCGGCTACGGGTGCTGGAGAAGACATGTCACAGATTCTTCGGGTTATATGTATCGATACGTTCGGTTGATATCTCTGTATATAGACAGTCAGGGTGGCCGCAGAGTAGGTAAGATGGTATTGTTGGTGCAGGTTATAGAGTATTATTGCATCGGCTAGCGGCGTAGGTGTGACTGACTGACTGACTGATCGTCGACAGGGGGGATGGCGGAAGCAAAGACGGAGAATCGTCGAAGTTGGTGAGATGGGCCTGATGAGCGATGCATGAGCAATTTATCTAGCAACGTCAACTCGACCTTTCTTTACAGCAATCTAAACGACCTGACACCAAGATTCAGGCTCATACTACTAGAACCAGAACCCAAGGCTAAAACATGGCACAGAACGAAGAATATCGACGGAGCGATGGAAGGGGCGCGACGACAATGAGGAAGCTCGGGATAGAAATTGGCGGGTTAAGCAAGAGCGATGGCAGTGCGAGGTTTGGGTTCGGTAAGTCCACGACTTGGTCGTAACAGTCAGCTATGTTTGTTCTGACAATGTTACTTCTTTCCGGATCGCCCTGACAGGTGCCGAACAAGTAATTGCGGGATTTCACGGTCCCTCCGAGGCAGATCGTAGAGACGAATTGATCGATCGAGCTGCATTGCGAATATCGCATCGACCACTAGAGAGCATCCCAGGTCAGTTTCATCCGTCTTCGTATTGCTTTTATCATAGCTGCTGACCAACATTTTTTATCACATCCCGCTTAGGCGTCTCTTCGAAAGCAATCGCGGCCTCGCTCGAGAGCATATACCTCCCCCTTCTCAACGTTCATGCCTTTCCCAAAGCCTCGCTGCAACTCACTCTCCAATCCAACACATCGGGGTCATCTTCCCTCAATCACTCTTCCATGGCTGCTCGTGCGACCTGCATCAACGCCGCGACGCTAGCAATTATGGACGGAGGAAGCGTCGACCTCCTCGGTGTCCCCGTAGCTTGTGCGATCGCGGTCGTCCCCTCGCGGCCAAGATCGAAACGATACGACTTCGACGCTTCGTATGTGACCCTAGATGGTACGACCCCGAACGAAGATGTCGAGGACGAGGAAGATGAGGGGGGAGTGACGATGATCCTGGATCCGACATTGGAGGAAGAAAAGATCGCCAAGAGCAGATTCGTCTTTGCCTGGGCTTTCGGAGCCGGGCTCGGCCGGAAAGGCTTGGGATCGGAAAATGTGTATCTCGAAAGCGAGGGAGCTTTCGATAATGTTCAGGTGAGCGATTTCCCTGTGGAAACGTTAGTTCGCCCATTCCTGACTGTTGCGGGTCATACTTAGTTTCAAAACGCCTACAATGCTTCGAGAATAGCTTGCGAGCAGATCCTCCGGGAGATTCGGGACAAGGCGAGCGAAGGACGATAGATTGACGGGCCATAGCATGACGATTCGGATTCCATACATGCATCGACAAATCACGGTGCCTCGAGATCTATCCACTTGGGAAGAGGCAGACGAGCTTCCTTCGCCTTCAGCCCAAAGGCACGATGATGAACCCTGTACAACGGAACGCGGCGGCGACCTCTTCCGACTCATTAACCAGTCCAAACAAGAGAATCCGTAATGGGACCCGTGAGGCCATTTGTAGGGGTTTAACCATAAACATGGGTTTGTACCTATGATTAATGTTATTTGATTGTCCAGTAAGATCAATGTACGAGACAGAATCGAGAGATGCTGCTTGTCCGCGATCAGAGTTACAACAAGCAGATGCAGCAGAGACGAGGCGGTGTGTCGTCACATGAGATAGAGATAAATCTTGTCGTAGCGTAGAAAACGCGGGAAGCCATTCAAAAATCAGATACAACGGGCGCGAGTACGTCAAAAAAGCGTGATCTAAGGATGATGAGATTGTTCGTCCGAAACAGATATTCTATGATATATAAACGTTCTTGAGAAATCCATCCATCAGCGCGCAAGGGAGAGATCAAGCGCTCAACCTCCTCTCCCAATCGGCCTTGTCTTTGGTCTCGTCCATCTTCGAGAACCCAAGCGCTTTCAGGAGCCGCTTGAAGCTCCGCTTCTTCCCTAACTTGCGGTCGGTACCATACTTCCCCGGACAGGCCTCGGACTGCGTGTGCGTGGCGTCCGAGCGGGAACTGCCGTGATGATCTTCGCTGCCAGAGGCGTTCGAGTGGATGGGCGAGAGTCGTTCTGGGTCGGCTAGCTGATTTTCGCCAATTCCACTACCGTCCTGGATGGGTTTTTTGGGAGGGGTTGTAGGAACCATGACAAAATCTTGCGCGGTCGCAAAGGACGAGATGGAAGCGATCGATTCCTTGCTGACGGAACGCGAAGCAAGACCCGGACGCAATCTGTCCTTGTCGTTTTGGTCAGCAGCCGATTGGGGAGGCGGAACGTTCTCCCTCTCTCCGTCCTGCGGTTCCTCGACGATCTGTACGGCTGCCAACTTGTCCCTCAGGGCACCAAATGAGCCAAACGACCCGATCGAATTCAGACTGTTGCTGGACGTCTTGCGTTTGAGGCTCGTGAACGAAGGCGATCGGGAGAGCGCTGGGGATGTCGGTCGACTGCTAGCGTTCGCAGGGACTGGGAGGAGGACGCCTTGTTTCTTTAATGCGGATCGGGAAAACTTGGGAGCATTGGTAGTTGGCGAGCTGAACCCTTCGGAATCGGCATCCGAACCCGAGGGGGACGCGGCTCTACTACCATGAGCAAACTTGGCGTGAGGAGGTGACAACGGTGGAGACAGAGGGGGAGTGACATCCCCCCAAAGTCCCTTGCTAGGAGTAGCAGGTGGACGAAACGACGCTCTGTTCCCGTTACCCGAGACGATCGACGAGGACGAGACGCTACGGATCGATTCGGGCCTTTGTTCGTAGGCTGCTGCAGCTGCGACGTCACCGGTACTGGGTGACCGAATGCTAGTCGGCCTGGAGGACGATCGATGGCCGTTCCTGCTCGACGCTCGACTGTTCGGACGAGAGACATCTGCAGGAGGCAAGACGATGGGTGGAGCGAGTACGGGTCGTTCGATAGCTTCGACCCGGAACGTCTTGGTCCCCTTGGCCGCCGCCTCGGGGCTCGTCGGTGGGGACAATAATCCGTTCGAGAGTCGGGCCATGAACGATGTCCTCTTCTTGTTCCTTCTCGTAACGCTCCCCTCGGAAGACAAGGCCGCTACCGAATCCGAGTGTTCCGCCTCGTCGTCCGTGACCTCTTGCCTCAACGGGCTGCTCCTCTTGACCGGCGAACTCGGGCTCGAACTCCTCGACCCGTTTCCTCGTGCGAAATGCGGTCGAGGAGGTTGCAATTCAGCCAACGGGGGGCTCGGTGCGGATTTCGGAGTGGTCGAGGGAAAATCTCTCTGCAGACGTTCGTGCAAGGGCGCTTCGTACGTGGGGGAAGTCGGCGACGAGGAAGAGGAAGGATACTCGAGCTGCATGTCGTAGGCTCCCGTATCGGCGTCGGGAGGAGCGGTGATGGCGAACGGCGCCGAGCTGATGATGTACGATTCGGCAGCGAGACGGGTCTTGAACGTCTTCCATTGGGGTGCGGGGTGGCCCTGTCAGATGAAACGCAACGATAGACAGTACGATCAGCACATGTCATCTTCGCCTAGATCCTTTCAATCTCACAATCAAACAATGAAAACTCACCTTGATCTGCTCTTCGGCCTCTGCCCACGTCTCGTAGATCCCCTTTTGATGGCCCACCGCGACGGCGTAGAACATTTTCCTCTTGCTCGGCCCGTCCTGGCCATAACTCGACGACCTGCTCGAGCTGGACACTCCCGGACGAGATGAAGATGATGGACCCGCCAGAGCGCCGTCAGACGAAAACGAGGAAGGACCTGCGTACGAGCTCGTCCTCCTCTGCACGCTGAAGCCGGTGTTTCTCCCGCTTCCCAGCGTCCGCAAGTTGCTGTTCACCACCTTGATCCCCGGCGACGAAGGAGACGACGACGACGACGAAGCCATGGGAGGTCCGGTGAGGGTGCTCATGTTGTAAGCCGAACGGATCGACGAAGACCCGAGGTCTGCGTACGGCTTCTTGGCTGCCAGAGGGAGGGGACGGGGAGCGTATTCGGACGTAAAGGGTGAGGAGAGCAATGTCGGTGGGATGGGGGTGGTACTAGTGGTCGATGTCATGGTGATGGAGGATGTCCTTCAAGGTGTACGAGGATGCCGAATGTGCGAGCCGTGTGCTGTGTGTGCTGTGTGTGTGTTTTGCTAGCGTACTATCCTTTTGGCTGTGTCTCGCTTATCTTCGTGTTTCAAGTCCGGAACCGAGACTTTTTCCCCTGCCTTCTAGCTTTTAAGAGACTATTCTGGGTGCGTCTTTGAAGGAACTTGTTGATCAGGATCAAACAGTTTCAAAGCAAGTCGTCGAAAGTCTAGAGGATCAAAAAGGATATGCGACCGAGTTCACTGAAGAGGCCAGAGGAACCGCTGGTCAGAAAGAGGGTCGTCGTGTGCGGAATGTACTGGATGATCAGTCGATCCAAAAGGGGAAACCCCAGGCGAGGAGAGAAGAGGTTCCCGCTGGAGCGATGCGGAGACTCCAGGGTTGAGAGGTCAGTCGCTTGCGAAGGGCGATGCGATGTCGAGGGGAGGGTCGTTGTCGTTATCGTGTGGCAGCCACAAGGTAGAACCGAGAGCGAGCGATATTCCGTGCAAGCGAGAGCGAAGGGGAAGGGGGGGCAGATTATGAAAGTGTTTCGAGGGTGAAAAAGAGGGTGAAGACCAGGGAATCGTATTTGGGGAGTCGACAGCCGCGACAGCCGCGACCGACCTACAGACTACAAACTGCAAAGCTGCAAAAGTTTCCCCGATGGCTCCTGTACGTTGCACCTTGCACCTGGACATTCGGTGGAATGAGTCTAAATTCAGGTCCGGGACGGCGTACGCGCCTACGGACTAGCCCGAAAGAAAAATAGTCAGCCAAAAAAAAAGGGTTTTAAGTTCAAGGTCCACGGGCTCGGCGGGGGCAAGAGCAGAAGCAGGAGCAGGAGCAAAGCGATCGATGAATTGCAATGGATCAGCAAATTCAAGTCTTTTGGTCTTGGTCTTTTTCCCAAACCGACAAACAAAACAGGTCGTCGCGTCGACAAGCAATGGTATAGTCAGCAAGTCGTGAGCGAGCAAGGTATTCAGAAAAGGAGGTCCTAGACCATGCAAGCTGTTAACGACGATAAACCTCGAATCACTCACTCCGTTTGGGTGATTTCGACTCCTGCTGCCTTTCCAACGTTCCGAACCCCTCTTTCTCTGAATTGCCCTGCTCCTGAGCTCCTGACGGCAACGACCGCTCGAAAAGAAGACGACACTCTCGGCTCCCCTGCTACTGCCGCCGCTGCCGCTGCCGCCCTCGTTTCGCTTTCCCAGGTCCCGAAACTCGGCCTTCCCCCCCCCTCGTTTTTGTTTCCTCGCTCCCCGGCCCCGCCCTGCGCCCTGCCCAGATCTCGCGCGACACGATCCCCCGTCTGGTCTCACTTATGGTGAAAACCACGCGGCAGCCCCGAGGGAACACCCGTGGATCGGATCAAGAAGGATGCCGGAAGCAAAGGGATGCAAGGATACGAAACAATTCAAAACGTTGAATCTCGAGGTCGATCGTGGTGTCGGGTTCGAGATGAAACGGATCTTTCATCGCTTCCGTCACTACCCGGCGTGTGCAGTTGATGGTGTCGCCGCCAACCTTTTCGGCTTGCCAAAGCTATCACAGCCGAGTACAGCTCCCAGCACCGCCTCGACTCTGTCGGGGTTTTTAAGAGCATCACACGAGCCGGACGAGATGCGCTCGGAGCTCGGAATAGCTTTCGTCCCAACTCGTTCGTCATCGCTCCCTCCATCCTTATTTTCACCCCGTTGTCACATCGCATCGTCGTGGGAGTGACGAAGGACGTGACCGTGATCTTTGTCGTACATCGTCGTGGCTCTTCGAATGTGATCGGTGGAGCGACCGATTGGGGGGGGAACGACGCCTTTTGCGTCTACATGATGTCCGGGCGCCCGGCGGTTCGTACTGCTCGTCTGACCCATGGCGATTCGTCATCCTGCTCTATCACTGTCATCTCACTTGCGGCGACCTGCGACGTTCGACGTCGGTGTGACCGATGTTTCATGCTAACGATCGAGCTGTGGGGCTCAATACATAAGAGCAAGCTCGATGGCCATTACTCTTCGTGACACAGTTCACAGTATATTGCGGACCGCTCGAGGGTGCTGCCGCCATCATCATGGCCGCATTCGAGGGAAACAATCGTGTTGGTCAAAAGGGATGTTGCACACCGTCAAGACGCGACTATAATGCGCATAGGGTGCCGCTGTTCGTTTCAATCGAATCTGCAGGGGGGAACAACAGACTCGAGGCGGGATTGTCCTATATATGTATATTCCTGTCAATAGATGATGCCTTTCGTTGCGATGATTTGAGCAGAGCGATCTACATGTATATGTTATCGCACCCTTATGTGCGTCATTTCACGATCGACCCGATTGCTATCAGCGAATGTCGATCAACCGAGAGCGCGAAAAGGCCGAGACCTTGTGATCTAGCCGTGTCATATGATAGTGCCTGCCCATGGGTACTCTTGTAAAGGTCGAAATCACTACTTTGCCTCAACGATCAAGGTCATCCGTCCAGGTCGGAGATAAATTTGACGTACGGGCGCGGGACGCTCGATGCGCTTGCAGCGAACGCGCTTTCTAGGTGAGCCGGCCCTGAATCGAGGGAAAGAGATCGTGTGCGGATGCAACTGACCGACTCGAGCGACCCCCTCTGCTCAGACCAGAGACTCGTCGATGACCTGAACTCACCCTGGTTTGGGCAGAGCGTTGCCGTTGCCCTCTCTCTCTCTCTGCGCGCCCTCGGCCGGTGAGTGGGAGTGTGCAGCGACGATTCTCTCACAGAGGTTCAAGCAATTCAAGCTGTACGACTCCTCGAGTCCTCCGACGAACCCCTGGCCCTCCCGCCTGTTCCCCTTTGCACCGCCATCATCTCTCTCTGTGCGTCCATTTCGATATACTCTTGCTCTACACGAAACACGCATCCTGACAATTCCGGTCGACCCCTGCATCTCTCTCATCACAGAACGAAACCAGACGAGGCAAAGAAGATCCGACAAAATGGTGAGTGTCCGGGTCACGACCAAGGCTGGGAAGGGACGATCAAGAATACGGCGAAGAGCACAAGTTTGGAGAAGAGAAGAGGCCAGAAGAGGGCTCGAAGGGACATGGGTTATGAAAGAGGAAGGTGACAGCGCCTGGAGCTAAAGGCGATTAAGTTGGACCGAGCCAGGCGTATTACCGACAGAAATACCAAAGACAAGCGGTCGAACAGACCTTTCCAGGGCAATCCCTGTATAATGGAACGCGAACAAGGGCGAATACGATGAAGGATACGGCGATATGAAGGATCACACAAGGAACGTACGGAGACTGACAAATTTGTCTTTGATATGATCAGGCTGAGAAGACCGCCCCCACCAACCCCATGAAGGACCTCCACATCGAGAAGTTGGTCATCAGTGCGTACTGGATCGCTGCTGACCTCTCGCCGAAAAGACACGTGCTGACGACCCCGACCCCACAGACATCGCTGTCGGAGAGTCTGGAGACAGGCTCACCCGAGCCTCCAAGGTGTTGGAGCAGCTTACCGGTCAATCGCCCGTCACCTCCAAGGCCCGATACACCGTCCGATCCTTCTCGATTCGACGAAACGAGAAGATCGCCTGTCACGTCACCATCCGAGGACCCAAGGCCGAGGAGGTTTTGGAGCGTGCTTTGAAGGTCAAGGAGTACGAGTTGAAGAAGCGAAACTTCAGCGAGACTGGTAACTTCGGATTCGGTATTGACGAGGTACGTCTCCGGGTCGTGAATGCGAGCGCTTGTCCCGTCTCTAATCAGTTGATCCTCTAAATAATGTACACAGCACATCGACTTGGGTATCAAGTACGACCCTGGTATCGGTATCTTCGGTATGGACTTCTACGTCGTCATGGGCCGACCCGGTATGCGAGTTGCCCGAAGGAAGTACAAGCACGGACGAATCGGTGCCCAGCACAAGGTCAAGAAGGAGGACAGCGTTTCGTGGTTCAAGCAGAGGTTCGACGGAATCGTCGGTCGAGTGAGTCACACGTCATCATTCACGTCGGTTGGCAAGTACGCCTGGCTAAACGTTTATCGGCTGACTTTGTGCTGCAGTAAACACCCAATCCGACGACACCCCGCCATTGGAGCACGGAGCACGGAAGACTTGACCGGCAGCCACGTCGCGCAAAAGAGATCTCCACCCTTTTCCCTCGCTACGCCCTTTTACGCTTTTGTACCTTTGGGCTCCAATTGGTTACTCTCAACCCGATTGGCACGTCAACCTTTTCCCAGCCTTATGATGACATGTCGATTTCCCTCCCCAAGCTCTTCTATACGCGCGCTCCACCCATCCTAGACCCCGGATCACTGGGTTGTCAGGCGGTTGACTAGGAAAGAGAAAGAACGGTCACTGGCGAGACGCTCGTCCTTCGGTACCTCGAAGTTATTCCCTAGATCTCGTTCTCGAGGTCGAGGGTTATCAACGAGGCGCCGAAGAATGGAGAGGTTGTCCTTCCCACACCGGTCCTTCACTTTCATTGCGTGTTCGAAGGATATCTGCGGATATGAGAACCGATGAGTGGAGGTCGTTGAGCGAGGAGAGTGCGAAAGAGTCGGCTCCGTTGGCTGCGAAGCGGTCCATCTGGCGTTGAAGGTAGGTAGGTTTCCGAGTTCAGGCTGGTCGAGTCATTTTTCGCTTCGTAATCGTTGTGGAGTGTGTGGGAAGCTGCTTTGTTCTGTGTCGGGCATCCTGCTGCACTCACATGAAACCCGTATCTTGACCCGAAAGGTGAGTTGGAGCGATTGAAGGCCTTGGGTGCGTGCTCATCGCTATGTCAAGACCACCCGAGTCCCGGTTCTATAAATTGATTTTTCAAGGGGCTTCATTAACCCGGCGATTGATTCTATTTTCTTCAAAATACACTGAGCTGCATTCTGACATATGTGCGTCGTGGTTTGCACGTTTCGATTGACCTGATTTCACCCAACACAGCGGGCGTTTTCTGAAGTTCTCTGATCTGAGAGAAGAGTGTTTTGTGCCTCCTGGATGTGATCGTACAATGTAGTCGATGATGGGCGCTATCTATTGTCCATCTACATGCTTTCTAATTGATTCTAGTGGGATACAATGTTGTTGTGTGACGATCGGGGTTGCGGTTGTGATAGTGTCTATGGTGTTGTTGTGCGTGTAACGTGTCAGACGGTTTTCTATCTGTTGACGCCGCTAGACTTGTTGGTTTCCATCCTGGCCTGTGCGGATCCCTTGACGGCGAGCGCATCAGCATGCTGGATTTCGCGGTTGAATTCTCTTGGAACCCAGAGACCCAGCAGGTCCATGCCATCATACAACCGTGTCAAGGCGACCGCCTCGACTTGAATCATTGAGAGAAGGGTGATCGTTCTGGCATCTGGAATACCACCTTGCCTCGCTCGGGACAATAAGCGCAGAGTCTCTGTGGCGTCCGTCACGAAAATGACCCGTTTATATCCTTCCTCCGCCTGCAGCTTCTGACCGAATGAGCTGGTCAAGAGGGTCTTCGTCATGCGAATGGCCCAGAGATATGTTGCCAGTTCGGCCTCTTCGGAATTTCGCATGGTAGTACCTAGCGAGATACTATACGATGTGGGCGTCGGGGTCTTGATGACAATCCCGCCGCCTGCGTATTTTTGCATCTTTTTGCCTGGCTTTGAATTCTGGCCCATCTGGGAATCGCGGAAGGACCCATCCGAGTAGATGATAAGCTTGGGATCGGCGTGATTCACAGCGTGGTGGAACGTCCGGTAGGCCTGCTTGCGTGATCGTTCCTTGTCTACGAATGGCTGCCCCTTGAGCGATGCCCAATGGTCAAAGTGCCAGGTCGTTCGTCTTTGGTCTTCGAGCAGATTGACCTGCCCGATAGCTACGTCTTGGTAGATGAGCTGTTGTTTGAGATCGGGAGGAAGCCATCCCACCCCAGAAGTCCGATGAAAGTCGTCTCGGTAAGCAAGCAGCTCGACGGATTGTTCTTGAGCATGGCGTGCCATCTCTTCTTCCACTGTAAGGCGAGACAATTGTAGTGCGGGCTTAGCGGGGATCTCAAAATAAGGAATCCTGACTGCGCTTACGGGCATCTCCAAAATCCTTTCGATTCCTCTGCAATTCAGCAAAGAGCGTGTGAATTTCCTTTGCCAGATCGAGGCTGTCGACTTCAGGAGTGGGTTCCGGTTGTATCGCTGCGACGGACGAACATGTCATGAAGAATTAGTCGGATGCGGTAAGGGTGGATGACAAGGGTTCACGGACCCGTTGTAGTTGTTGTCTTGATATCAACAACATCGGAGCTGCTTGCTGGTGCCGGTGCTTTCTGCAGCCAGCGCCATGCGGACTGCAGAGAATCTAGACGGGGAGGGGGGAAAGTCAGCTACGGAGATCTTTGCAGAAAACCCGTTAAGACGCCTTACTCAAGATGCCGCTGAACACTGATGGTCGAGTGAAAGAGCAAATAAACTTTCAGTAAGGTTTCGACCTCGAAAATTATAGATCAGGGTGTACGTACGACCGGGCTTACCAGCGACAACCGGTATAGCCTCCTTGACTTTGTCAGGAATCGCGTCTGCTGGTGCCGCTGGCTTGGTACCCGTTACTGTAATGACATCCTTCAAACGCTGGACTTGCGATCGTCCCAACTCGGACGCCAGTTCTTTCTCGACGACCTTGATAGGCGGCTCAGCGGGTTCTGCTGCTGCTTGCGCCTGTGCGAGACTTTCTGCCGCGGCAGCGACAAGCGGTGTGACCTCCTCGGTTTGTGTCATCGCGGATGTCTTTTTCAATGGCGTATAGCGGGTTTGACGCAAGACTTGCACGGCCGGCTGGGTGTCATCCTTGTCGCTCGTCATGGTCAACGATCCGGCAACTAGATGAGGAGTCGGGCCATCCAGAATGACCTCTTGTTCGACTCTGCCAAGCGCGTTTAATGCTTGTACTAAGTACAAAGCGCAATCAGCGTTGTGACGAAGAAATAGGCGACACTCTGGTCAAACTCACGTCGAGCAGTCGCGGCCTGCTGAGCCTCTTTGGCCAGCTTGATCCGCCTCTCTCGTTTTGCGACAGCCTCATAGCCTCGAGGTGTAGTGGCCCCTGTCCCGGACCCAATAGTGTTGTTGTCGACACGCGGCTGCCCTCGGTGCAACCGATGAATTTCTTCGGCGTCTTCCACAGCCTGAGAGATCATTTCCACCTGTTCGGGGGGAACATCGGAAGAAGATTTCACCTCCACCGCTTGGTCCGCTGATGTAGTAGCATAATCGACAGGGCTACTGGAGGTCTTTTTGCTACGCCTGGTCACAGCTCTTTTGACTCGAGCTGTTTTTCGGACCACACGTGTGGAGCGTGTCGAAGCCCCGACCCTAGACGCTAGTTTCTTGGCCTTCCTGCTGGCAGCTTTAGATACAGGTGGAGTTCTTTCGCTCTCATCTATAGGCTCCTGTACCGTATCGACGGGATCTGACGAAGGATCCTCCTGCTGTTGCGGACCCGATGAGAAAGGAGTCGACTCGACCGCGACGCTAGACCCTGTTTGTACAGGCTTGCCACCGGGGCCGTAGATGACGCTAAAGTTGAAGCCGGCTGCGCGTAATGCCTCCGTATTCTCGGTAAGCCAGCCTTCTACGCTGGCTCGAGCTTTAGGCTTAATCTCCTTGTTCACCGTCTCGATGGCGATTCGCAGATTAAGTTCCGCGCTGCGTTTTGTGGACTTCCCCCGGACTTTGGTATTCACGTCTCCCTTGAATACTGCACAAGCAAGCCTTATCGGCTTAATGCTTGCACGTGAAACATGCACTTTCAAGAGTGTCACAACCTGAGCTGCAAGAGGGGCTATTGGGTCCCCTGAATCGGTCATCTCCGCCAAAACAGTTTGTACGTAGTCCCTGATCGCGACGTAACCTCGCGGGCCGCGCCGAGGTGGGGGGGGTTGCACCGCTGTCACAGCGACTAAAATTTGCGGTTCGTTGACGGCTGAAGACGCCTTCGAGACGGACTTGCTCGTGACATCCCCGGAATCAGACGTCGATGCCCGGAAGTCATCGTCCGAGCCCCATTCTGATGAGCCACTAACTTGCCGCTCCTCCAGGGTGATAGCCATCGATTCCTGTTCTATTGGCACCATCTGCAGATGCAGATCCGGTAACGCTTTCTTCGAGCTGGCCTTTGCCACTGACGATTCCTTCTCTGATGCAGCCGCCTTTTTGCTCTTTGCCTCCGCCAGCTGCCTTTCTTGCACGGCTGACAGTTTCTGCTCGATGGCTGACATGCTATCAGTGAACGACATCGGAACGTTCACTGCTTCCTTGGCATCGGACAAATTTTGCAGACGCCAAATTGCAAATTCCGACTCGTTGAAGGTGATCACTTTCTGATCGGTCTTGACGGTATCTTCGATCCGTTTGGCTATCCAGACCAGGGAGATCCGCATACGATCTGAGGTATCACGACCCAGAGGGACTTTGCTCGGAGTTTCTACGAAGCCGACCAACCATCCAAGTCCTGTGGCGACCGTGACATCACACCGGACCTTCCTATCGACTAGCTTGAGGGCCGAGGTGAGATCATCCATGACTTCAAGCCATTCATCAGATATAGCTACTGTTCTCCGTCTCAAGAGGATATCTGGCAGTTTTTTGGGCATACCCCAGATGCTATTGCAACGTGAGCGGAAGAGATCGTCGTCATTCGGGCCTGCGGAGCTTTTCAGAGCAGCAGGTGTTGCAGCGTCGGCAGAGGTCGCAGAAGTTGCGTTGGCTACGGAGCTGACATCGGACGTCGTTGAGGTGGCTAGAAACAGGAATAGAAAGGTCGTCAGTTCACAAGCCCTTTGCCAGATTTGCGTCTATTGCGTGTAACGGTCACATACTAGAAGCCGGTTTCACCTTTGCTTTGACAGTTCGTCCTTTCAGATTGCTGCGCGAGTCACTCAAATACCGTCTAGGAGCTATCAAAGGAACTAGATTGAGCGCCTACAACGAAATGGGCAGCTGAATCTCTCATACACGACTCACCTAGATGATAGACCTGAAATGACCGGGGTTCAAAGACCGAGCTCGATTGACGAGCTCGCCCCGACGGAATGGCCACCCTTCCATTTCGCCAGAGCACAGGAACCGACATGTAGGTCGTATAAGCCGTTCCTTGTCGACCGAGTTTGGAATTTGATGTCGTTGTAAAGGTTATTCGTGGGGATGTATAACAACTAACGTCTACAATTATTTCCCGAGACAACAAGATCGAGCTCGACGTCAATCGCGTAAAGCGAGGGTTATTAGCGTACTGGGGTATTACTCGCGGCTCGTGTTGAACCGCGGATACGCAAATGCCCTCACCGCATCTACCCTTTTCCCTCCCCCCGTAACATCCCGACCAACCATTCGCATCCACACAGAAGTACCAGGCATATCAACCCCCGTCATCATTCACTTCTGCGTTCACTCTCACATAGATACACACCTAGTCGCCAGTTGCATCTTGTTGGCATAATGTTCCGACCTATCGCTCAAAACGCCGTCCGAATCGCCGCCCGGGGAACCCGTTCGGCCGCTACCCTCCAGACCGAGGGCGTCAAGGGTCAGGACTTCAAGGCTCTCCGAAACGGAGTCAAGGAGCACGCTCACGGTGGGTGTCTACCTGGACAAGCTTGCAAGAGAGGGTTCTGTCGATCAACGACTACGACGTAGCCAAATACCGCCGAGAGGGACATGCCGCTAGCAGCCAGGCATCGCTCGGGCGTCCACACGATGTTGACATGAGATTGTGCGCATCTTGTAGGTACCACCGACCTCTGGAGGAAGATCAGCTTCTACGTCTGCATTCCCGGTAAGTCGTATAGTCTATTCGTAGCAACGAGATCCCAAGGTACCTCATGACTGACCTCGACCACTTCACGCAATTTCAGGTATCGTCGTTGTACGTTTGGCATGGGAATGAAGCGGAACTGCCTCCGACAACGTGAACGCGGAATTTACGAATATCTCCTTGTCCTTATAGGGTGCCCTCTGGGTCAAGCAGGTCGAGGATGAACACGCTGCCCACCTCGAGCACATGAAGTCAGTCCTGAAACCTTTTATTTCATGTGTGATTATGCGCTGACCTTTTCGCTCTGATTGCGTTTGGCTTCGATGATAATGATAATGTTTCGGAACAACCTGAACCTGTCTCCTGTCGACATCACTCAGGCACGACAACGACGGCGAGATGCCCGAGCGAACTGTCTGTAAGTTAAGAATAATGCACTTGTGCCGGTCTCGCCAGTATCGTCGTCAGGTGACCTTGACTGACCACCTTCGCTTCGCTGCTATTCTGTCACCTAGACCCTTACATGAACATCCGCAACAAGGTAAGCTCTCGATACTTCATTGCACGACGTAGTTCATGAAGGGGGACTGACAAGAGAATCTTGCTCTTGCTAGCCCTTCCCGTGAGTACTGCACAACCGCGATTAGCCTGGCTTTTATCTTCTAGCGAGCGCACGGCATCGAGATCTTTGGCCTCAAAGAACGACACTGACACTGACGTTTTCCCTGGATCTTTACCTTTCATCTTGGCCATGCTGTAGTTGGGGTGAACGTGAGTCGTGTTACCTCTCACTTCTGCTGCCAGGCCGCTTGCTGAACCATTTCATATGTTTCTCCTCATCTCAGAGGCCTTGTTCTTCAACGTAAGACCGTCTTAGAATTTGCCTTAGCATATCATCGAGCTCGCATCTGATTTCAAGCCGTTCTCCTTCCGCAGCCCAAGGTCAACATCCCCTCGGAGGCTCCCTGATCTGGTTGACATAACTAGGCACGAGATGTATAGCCGAAACGGATGTATACCGAGATTGCAATTGAGATTGATAGGACGCAGCAAAGTCGAGGTACCTCATCATGGCGACTCTGTCACGTCGTAACGTCTTAGCGAGGGCTCAATGACGAAGTTGGGTCCTCGTCCAAATTACCGCTGCGGCTCAATCGAGGTAATCGCGCGGGAAGACGTACAGCCGAAAAGTCAATCTTACAGATCGGGTGCAGTCAGAGTCCTGCCCGGGAAGATCAGTCCCATGGATAGTCTCGGCCGCAACGGTTTTCTCCGCGAGCACGTCAGAGTCAGATGTCCTTGAACGTAAAGACCAAGGTACTATTGTGCACCTTATCGGTACACGATGCATAAAGTAAGCAGCATTCAGACCATCACCACTATTGAACTGCTATCTTGCTATTCTTGAATCTACATGCCATATTTGCCCGTCCCATGTTATGCACTACGTCTCGCTAATTTTAGCGCGAGCGGTACGTCAATCTGAAACAAGCATGTGAAGATCTCAAGGTGGCGCTGAGTATACTGAGGGTGGGTGAGGATGAGGCGATTCTTGGAGCGAAAGAGTCGTGGACAGTGTCAAGGTGTGCCAATCGCTTCATTGCTGGAAGAATTCCGTTGTCGATGTCACGGTTCGATCTGTCTTGGTCAAATTCCAGTTCGACTGCGTGATGTACAAAGATATAAGGTCGTCGATTGTACAAACTTATAAGGTGTTCACAACGCGACGATGCCCTGAAACTGCTAGATCTCTTTCAAAATCCTGCACTTGATTGGCCTGAACGCTACCGGATCCAGATCTGGATCTTGGGCGACTGACAACTTGTGGTTCCATACGAATGCATGCTTCCATCACCTCGCATATTATAACGCCGCACTGATCGTCGTCCGGCTGTGTCCAACGGGGGCTTGCATTTCGAGGGTCGATAGCTTATGCGCGGCGGCGCAAGATGTGAACGCGATGCGAAGATGTGTGCGACATACGTATCGAGTAACGCGGAGCAAGTGGTGCGTTACTTTCGACCCACTTCTGGGTCGCTCCGTCGTGACAGATGTCGTCGGAAGGTCTCCATCCTGGAAATGACTGCCAGAGTTTTGCGATGACATAGATTCCCGTCTAAACATGCAGATAACTTGGACATCACTTCCCGCATTAAGTAGCCCGAAACTAAATGGACAAGCAGCCCCACAATCACGCGTATCCGTTCCGGTTGCGGCAAGAAGATCGATAGTTGACACAGTTTCGACATTAGATGACCCAATTTTACATCGTCAACGAGTTCAGAACGAGGGACCTGCGCTTTCCGGTCCCGCGTGCGGTCCCCGAGTAGCATAGTAACAGTGACAATCGACTGCAACACGCCGCCGTCGCACCCGCGCTCTTGCTAGCTTTTTAAGCGTAACTGTAGGGGAGAAATCCCTAAGCTTAGCATATGCAGGCCGAAACGCAAAGAAGTGAGATACGTACGTGTCGATCAACGAATCTCGCATCTGATCGATCACCGCGGATTGAGTCTGTCCTTGGAGCTCTGCAAAATTGACAACAATGAAGACGATCAGGTTCTGCGTCTCGAGTCATCGACGCCCTTATCAAGAGACGTACTGAATGTGGCCTCGATGACGGAGATCTCGGTAGCGGTAGTGTCGAGTCCGGCGAAAGCGCACCAATCGTTGACGACGAGCCCGGCTCCAATCACGTCGGAACCTCGGTTTACCGTACCGGCCTACAGGATACATTGCACGGATAAATGGAGTGATCAGCTTGAAGTCTCTTGAATGTAGACCTCATGTCAACTTACGACAAGGGGAACCTGGAGCAGTGACGAAAGTTCATCCTGTTCTGACCGCGAGGTCTTGGGATGCACAAGACCTCCCTATAGCGCCACGATCACAAAAAACTCTGTTCAGCAACAGGACCCTCTCGAGAACCGTCATACCGATCGATCGTGTCTCACCTGGTTGCTCAAAGCACAATAACTCCCAACCAAAACATTGCTTGCCACCGTCTGCCTAAATACCTCGACCTTCAAGACATCGGCAATGATCTCCTCGGTCTCCCTGTCCAAATCCGGGTGAACGAGCGCGACGTAATCGTTACAGACGATGACGTTTCCCAAAGCGCTCAACCTCTCCTCGACCCGCTGGAGGGCGACCTCGGCGGGGAGGGAATTTCTGAGGTGTTGTAGCTCTTGATCGGTGGTCGTGCTGGGTACGAGGAGACCGTGACGGTTTCCAGCGGTGAGACGTCCGATGATACGGGTACCGGCGATGGTGGTGTGAATGACAGGGATGACGTCCTGGAGCTCGGCCTCGAAGACCGAGTAGAAGTTGGACGATGATGCCAAGGCGGTGAGACAGTAACTTTAGGGGCGTAGAATGTCGAAAGATACACGACACCGAGGTCAGCAGGAAATCAGGCAGGACAACGTACGAGACAAGCAGTGCTGACTTACGAGTTGGTGAGCTTGGAGAAGACTCCGATATCGGAAGAGTTTTCGAATTGAGCACGGACAGCCATAGTGAAGTAGTCTGGACGCTTGGAGGGTGTACTTGAGGTGGTCCTAAAAGTGAGGAAAGGTGTGGCGAGTCCTGCTGATGGTAAGAATCACCGAGTTGATGTGGATAGAAAGGGAACATCGAGTAACCAGATCGTCAGCCTTTCAGTCATCCTTCGAGGCGCGTGTTATATGTTTGTCCCGAGCCGATAAGATGGACGTACAGGCAAGAGTCGGTCGGATCCGAAGACTGTCGAATGGAGTGTCCTTTGTTGTGGATTTGTGACGTGGAGATGGAGTCTTTGCAAGAGCGATATCACCTTGCGCTGAACATCGAGGCGTGGGGTGAAGTGACTTGCAGCAACTTTTGATGAGAGCATTCGGATCCGAGGGTGGAGGCTGACGACAAAAGGAAAATGCCGTAAGGATGATCCAACTAATAAGGTAATACACCTCATTCCGAAGATAATCGCTTATCAAACAAGTTGTGACACGCGTGAGAGCCATTTGTGTGTCCTTTGCTCGAGGTAGAAGTTCAATCAACTTCTCTCTTTTCCCTTCTCCCGGCGATACAAAACAAGCAGACCCGAGCGTCATCATCATGTCATTGAACGACTTGATCAACCCTTTATCGCTACAGATACCAGTACTCTCTCATCACAGTAGACTACTACACAACTCTACTCTTCTCAAACCCACTCACACGCAAACCCTATTTCACCATGGCTCTCAACCCCTTTCTCCAAAACAAAAACATCTCGACCCCCATGAACGACAAGGTCTCCAGAACGCCTTCGCCGACCATCTCTCCTATGCATGACCCTAGGCAGAAGAAGGCAGTCGTACAACCTCCCAACAAGGTGCTGGGTGCTGTGAACCGTGAGTTTCCGTGACTCTCTTTGCGTATGGTCATGATCAACGAGGAACTCGAACCTCATCGCTGAAACTGCGGGACGTATCGTGATACCTTTAGCCAACCCGGTCATCCCCGGTCAGAACACCACTCCATCAGGCGAACAGGTCTACCAACAAGGACTCGGTCAAAAGGCTCTTCTCGCCAAGAGGTTCGCCAAAGCCAAGTAAGTCGCTCTTGCCGGCCATACTGTTCTCGAAGCCAGCGGACGAAATCTTACCTGGACGATCCTTCCTTTCCGATTTTTAGCAAACCCTCTTTGGTATCTCCTACCGACCAGATGCAATCCCCCTGCTCCCAAAAGCTCGCAGGTGCGAAGAAGAGGCATTTCGTCAAGTACGTCCCGGCTTCGTTGTCTGCCCATCATGGACCTCGTGCGCTTCGTTTCACTCGCTGACGCAAACTGAACTCTGCTTGATGAATTCTTAGGGGCAAGCCCGTCTCCCTAGCATCTTCGTTCTTGGCCGCTCAGTCATCACCAGCGGGGAAATCCGTCCGATCGGAACAGGAGCACGATGAGAACGTCGACATGTCATGATCCGGCGCCGGTTTGGCTACATCAACCTGGATCTCTCTTCCTTTCTCCGTTCGATCGGCAATCTCGCATCCTTGACAACAACACCTCTTTCCGGCATTATTGTATCCATCTCGATTTTCGTTACTTCCACCAGGTCTACACTACATTTTCCCCACCCCTTCATCTTCCGAGCAATACGACCTTGTATTGTGATCTTTGTCATTTTAGGGCATCGCTTTGTACAAACATGTACTTGTTCACTTGTGCGCATATCTACAAATATACATTATCTTGCCTAGTTGGTTCGCCATTTCGATTCTGTAGATCCTAGGGTACTCTGAAATATTTCAGGTATGCCGCGCAGATCAACCCGGGAACGCATGTACACCTTCATCTGCTGATGCTGGTTGTTCCTGGCAGTGCTGACCAGTCACTGGATATCTCTCACGCGGGTATCAGGTCGCTAAACGAACGTTGAACTTGTCATATCCGACTAGACTTGTAGTGATATGCCAAATGAGCTCGTATGATGTGATGACGCTGGAACCCCATTTAAGAAGATCTCACAATTGCGCCTCTCGCAGAAGGGCGTCACTGGAATAAGTTGTCTGCATTATGCTGCAAGTCAGACCACACAATACGTGTGCTTGTCAGGCTTGGTGCGATGTTATTGCGTCCTCATTCTCAACGCCGTGGATGTATCCAACCCTCACGCTTGATTCCGTTCCGAAAGGCTGTTGCGCTCATCCTGAGCTCGTATGCTGTGCATGTGTGCATTATACAACCCGACCTCGAGGCACAGAACTGGCGTGCTGTCCTGTCTACCTTCTCGCCACCAATGAATCTCCTCATCCCTTCTTGTTCTTATCATTCAACTGATCTGCCCCTACCCCGAGGGCTTTCGTGCGTCTCGCAATGATCTTATCCATCGCCTTTTCAAGGATATTCGCCGCCTTTGTGTATTGATTGTCCTTTTCGCTCGTCCCATTATATTGCCGACAATTCGCGAATATCAATTTCGCGTCGCGTGTGAACTCTTCTAGATCATTGTAGTGGTTGTGTTCGAGCTTGTACTCCATGGTTTGTAGGTCTGAACGATTTCAGGATGTTTCGAAGCGATAATGGGAAGCGTCTCAGTTCGATTGATAGTGAGAGAAAAGAAGCAGCACTCCCACTCACCCATCGGCTCCTTGATCGTCTGATAGTAATCTTTGATCAATTCCCCATTGACAGGATTCAGGAACGGCCAAGCCGCGGTCTCGCTCTGCATATCATCCAGGATCTGACGAAGCAGGACGTGATAACGGTTCCGAACCGGTTGTCGGATACTGTATAGATCGAATTGTATTAGCTCTCAACCCAGCAGCACTGAATGTATGGTGAGATTACGTACATTTCATCCATCTCTGGATCCCATCCACTCTCCGCTATGAGTTCCAGACGACGACAATAGGGATCAGCCAAGTCAAACTTTAATGTCTTCTGACTGCGTCCGCTTACCCAAGCCTGGTATCCGGTCCTTGGACAATTTGATCACCTCGCCAGGCTTGCGGTCCTTGAATATGCTCAGACCCGCCCGGACCACATGTGATCGAGAAATCGTCCGGATTTTTGCCAAAACGGCCTGTGAATGGGCCGTGTTTCAGCTGGGTATTCACAGCGGAGCATAAGTAACGATACTTACCGCCTTTTGCCGATGCAAGACTTGGTGCGACTCGAGGTAGTTGACCTTGGGGATCATCTTGCACTGCCCAGCAAATCGAATCGTTAATACGGCGTCTGACGAATCTCTGCAACAACGACGACATTGTCCGCCAACTTACCTGCATCAGGTTCGCAGAATCATAGTCCTTGATGTAGCCAACCCATCTCTCCCTTGGAAAGGTAATCTCCTTACTGAAACCTTGCTTCTTGAAGTATCCGATAGCATAGTTATCGGCGTACGTCAAGAAATGGTGGATCGTGGGATGGGCTTTCCGTATGTAATCTTTCACGGCGGTCATCATGAAAGATCCATAACCCTACAAGTCATTAACGGGGGTGATGTAAGTATCGGTGACTCCAGATGCATCCTTGAAAGACATACCCGAATCTGCTCTGTGGAATCTACTGCACAAAAGACGATTTCTGCGAAACCTCGACTTTCAAAGGGTCGATAGCAGATGCCTCCGACAACTCGCCAACCTCGCTTGACGATTGCCATAGAGTAGTGATTGTTGTCGAGGACTAGCCTGGTGATGTATTCCCGTGGCATTTTGGGGAGCTGTTTCTGAAAGAGGTTTTTGAGGCCAATGAGGACGATCGAGGACACCGGTGACGGCTCGACCGACGAGACCACCGGCAAGCGGATGACGTCTTGCTCGAACTCCTCGGCGGCAGATTTGGCAGGTAATGGGTCCTGCAAGGCTTGTCAGTCGGGCGAAAGGCCATGCATGGCTAGAGACTATATCGACTCACGACGTCGAGATCCCCCCAGTCCTCAATCTCCTCCACGTCGACGTCTTCGGCCAGTCCTGTGGTTCGCATCTCTTGATCGACATCGACCGTCACCCCCTGGGTCAGACGATTAACGACGTCCGCCGCTTCTTCCACTTGTTTCGCGGCGACCTCTTGAGCTTTCGAGGGCATCTCCTTTTCCGCACTTTTCTTGACGAGGGCCTCGTCTTCCGCATGCCCTACACTCAGACCCGCTTTGTGTATTGGCCTTCCCTCGTCATCTACGACCATGTCGTCTCCTTCCTTCCGCACGACGGATATGGGTTCTCGCTGTTTCCCCTTGCCCTTCCCTGCACCTTTTCCTGCCAAACTTCGTCCTCCTTGTCCTGGACCTGGTACAGATCTCGAACTGGCAATCCCGTTGACGTGATTCGTCTTGGCCATCTTGGCTAGTGGTTCGTCGTCTTCTGAAGAACTCGCCATTGGTTCATCCTCATTGTCTGCCTTTGAGCCCTGCTCTTTTCGCTTGTCCGTTCCGTCCTCTGAGCCAGATTGCTCTGCAGATTCTGAACCTGTCCGTCGTCGCTTCCTACTTGGCCTTGGCGAGTTCATTAACGCGGCTTGAAGAGGTGTACCCGGGCTGGAAGCGGGCGAGTCTTCCCGGGCCGTAGATTTACCTGGGCGTTTCGAACCCACAGCGGTGAAGCTGTCCAGTTGTCTGTTATCATAAGGGTTGAGCTTCAAAATCACCTCAAGTAGTACGAAGTCGGCGCGAATGGTGACTCACGGCCGTAGCCCATCTATATCTGGATCGCTGTAATCGAAATCTAATAGCTTTTGCTTGTCCTGTTTAGCCAAACATCTTGGTCAGCTCCGGACAAGTATGGCCAAGTCATATTGGCTGTGGCGTACATTATAAAGTTCCTCTATCCGTCCAGCTACCCTCCGCCGTCGTTGCTGCTCGTCCTCGCCGATATCCTCGCTCAACGTGTGTCCTCCATCTGGCTCGTCGTCTGATCTCCAACCATGTCCGCATTGCCCGCAGATATCCCACAGGATAGGCTTAAAGTCGATCTCCTTCTCCTTGCCCTTGTTCTTTTTCACTTGCAGACGGATCTGAGCTCCTTCTGGTGGTCTCAGACCCGTACAATCACAGTCTTCCGTCCGGCACGGGAGAAATCGCGCGAGCTTAAAGTCCTGAACTTCCGGGGTCAAGACGGTCACATCCTCGACAGCTAGTGGATAGATGTATCCTGTAGGTAAAGACCCGCTGGATCCTCCTTTACTACGAGGAGTCGGTGATCTCAATGACGAGTCCGTATGTCGAGCCGACCCTGAGAGCGGGATGTGGGAAGGGTCGGCACTCAACGTCGAAGACCGACGGCTCTGGTTGTGGTCTATCCATTGATCAGGGCTGCCGGGCGGAGGAGGTGTGAGGATACCGGAAGAGGAAGCTGCTGACGGCGTAGATGGCTCGCCCATGTCCTATATCGTTGCAAGGTATATCCTGCCGCCCGAGACGAGCTAGAGTGCTATAGCAGGAGGTCCGGACTCGGTCTGTTTGTTTACTTGTCTAGCTTGTCTGCTGATCGACGATCGCGATGACCCGCCGGGATCTCTCGAATCCGGTATCGTTCGACAGCTAGGGCGGAGGACTACGTCTAGAGATGCTGATGGAGAGTGTGAAGTGCTATGTTGTTGGCTAGTAAAAGCCCAAACCTGCGGTCCCTTCTCCATCCAGCCCAGCCCAAAAGGAGGGGGTGTTTTCGACCTCGGGGCCGAGGTTCACGTCACAATCTGCTTCCGCACAACTTCCAACTTCCGAGAAGTCGATCGATTTCGAAATTCATCAGCAGCAATTCAGCAAAGATGACGATGTTGGCAAGAAGTACGATCTCGCACAAAGACGATAGAGCAGATATACAATTGACGACTACTCTGAAGGCTCAGATCGATTCGAGACATGACGACTTTCGTACTTCCCGGTGATGTCATCCCTCTACCGGCCGATCCGGTCGACCCTTCGACCTCCCAGTCGATCACGTTCGGTCCTGGTATCGGTGCTTCCACATCGAAGACGGGAAGCGAGGCCATCTCCGTCGCTACCAAGATGGGACCGGTACATAACACTGCAAAGCGAAGAAAGACGAAAGATGGGCCGACGGAAGTCAACAGGCTGTGGGTCGAAGTGCAATCGAAGAGAGTGGGTAGATTACGAGTTTTCGCACTGTCTGCGATAAAAGCCAAGGCTAACATCGTCTCGCACGTGGTGCTTATAGTATGTACCAGCACCAGGCGAGGACGTTATCGGAATCATCGTACAGAAGCACGCGGAAGGTTTTCGAGTCGATATCGGAGCCGCTCAGCTCGCCCAACTGGGACAGTTTGCATTTGAGGGAGCGAGCAAGAAGACGAAACCGAGATTAGACGTGAATCTTGTGGAAACGCTTCGCGACTGTGACTGTGACCAGAAGTCAGGCTGATGTCCTGATCTCCCTGTTTCGCAGAACGGAACCGTCGTCCACGCTCGAGTGTCGCTGGCGAACCGGGATATGGAGCCAGAGATCGAATGCGTCGATCCCAAGGACGGCAAATCGAACGGTTATGGAGAGTTGAAGGGAGGGTTGATGGTGACCTGTTCGCTGCAATTATGTAGAAGGTAAGTGTCGAGCTTTCCTTCTCGGCTTGTGTACATCGGCTGACTGATCGGCCTTTTTTCGCAGGGTTTTGTCGACGAGGATGATGGGCGAGATCATGACCCTCTGGCCTCTCAACACCCAGATCACGGTGGCACCCGCGATGAACGGGCGGATATGGCTCAATTGCGAGTCAGGTATCTTGCCCGTCATCGGTCTGAAAAGGATCCTGGAGGCGATCGATGCGGGCGAGGTGGATTGGGAGAACATGGACGCGTTGCAGGGATGGGTCAAAAGGGAGGGCATCGTGCTCAACTAGAGGGGTGTCGGTGAAGCATGATTCCAACTGTAGCGATAACATGAATCTCAGAGGTTTTACGGGGCAGATCGGTGAGAACTCCGATGTGCGAATTCAAACCTGAATATCTCGAGTGCGAGCGTTTCATATCAAAGGGAAATCAGGCTCGCTCCTTGGATGGCATGCCCTCAGCAATAAAATCGGTCACAGGATCAAATGCAGACGAGTCAACGCGTCTATTCCATCTATGTCGTGTTTTGCCACGGGGACTCATAATCAGGCTCGGTTACTCGTCTTAGAGGGATCATCACAACAGGAGATCTGATCGTTAGTGTTGGGCGGCTCATATCACAAATGGCAGACACTTACCGACACATAATGCGTTTCACCCAATTCTGTGGCAAAAGGGCGGCGCGACTTGTGTCTCGTCCCGATATTCGGCTGCGTTTCGCATTTGGGCCAGCTGTTTTGATAAAGATCAATTGAGATTACTTCGGTTTCCAACCACTACTCGCGCTCTTGAAACCGTCATCTCGAATATAAGATTTGCAAATCTCCTTGTCCTTCTCGACTCACTTACCCTTGGTAATTTGGGAGGTTCGATTTGTGATGGGAAATGAAGAGGGGGAACCGCTAAGGAATTGAGGCCCGTGAGGACGCTTGGAATGTCATACAGCTGTCTGTTCCACCTCCACAGCTTCGGTAAGTCGACGACATCGACATCGGTTCCCTTGAAAATATCGGCATCGGTCCCCTTCGAAATGTCGACTTCGGTTCTCCACCATGAGTGTCCTGTGTCAACTACTGTGATGTTCCCGGATGCTACAACAAAGATTCCAAACCCAGTCATATCAGGAGGCACAACGCTTCCGTCATCCATCAATGACAAGAAGCATGTCACGCCCACGACAACGACATAATCACCCTGATCGAAAGCGAGTGTGAGGCTTGGGCTTTGGGTGCCAGTTACCCTAAGCGTCACATTATCTTCCTTACGTTTCAGAAGCACGGTGCCATCTGGGACAGAAATGTGGACGAATTCATTAAAGCCCCCCACCAGCGGGACGCGCATCGTATCATAACGTCCACTTCGGTTCTCTTGATGACGGAGGGTGGAGGGTGCACAGGCCATCGTACAGGTAAGATGAACTGAATGTGAAGATCAAGTTTTGTTGCGGAGACCTGATCAGGGCTCCCATAAGTGAACATGCTCGACAATTTCCACGACAATCTCCAGATTTCGGGTATCGAATAAAACTTCAACTCCTTTCCCCACGCCTGTATCTCCATCATGTAGTCCTGCTGCTCCCGTAGGACTAGGATTTGATCATTCAGTGCTTTCAGCGCTCCAGACTGAAAATTGCGGCGAGCGAGGTCCAGCGCCTTGACAGGACCGAGGGTTTCCTCGTCGGAGTCGTCGTCCAGGCCCATGAAATCATTTGGACCGGGCTGAAACCATGCTTTAACGTCCGTCACCGCGTCTAGCACCACGGGAACGGACAGTCGCTCAGCCCTAGATATACGGAGATGCTCGATCATTTACGGATTCCGGGCCCTGAGGTTTGTAAGTTTACATTGATCTCTCGAAAGAGCGCCTGAACGATTTTTCAGCCGACGTTACATCCGCCTCACACCATATACTCGTACAAGAGGCACCGATTCGAGCTGGAAGCTCTGAGCGACTCGATTGATTGTTGAGAGGGTTTTCTAGCAACAGATGATTTATCCCTACTGCGACCCTTCTACCATGATCGTGGGATCGTGAGTCGAGTTGAGTCGAAGGGCTGCGATTGTTGAGTAGCAGAGTAGCCCATCCTTGCTGTGCAGTAAACTCCGGAAGTCCCTTCCCCCGTCGGGATCGCGCCGAGCTCCGACGGAAGCGATCACTCATCCTCACAATGGCCGATGGCGCTGTTTCGGCGCAGTCGCCAAGTTGCAAAGGTCGAATTTTCCTTGACTGGGATTGCCTCGAATGTACATATAACTGCCGTTCACCTCGACAGGCAGAGAAAAGCAGCTGTGGTAAAATATCGTTAAATTGCTCAACCTACCTTGACGACGATACACAATGGGCAACCTCAATATGTCTCAGTCTCCCCCGAAAAAGGGTCTCAACATCTCCAATCCCTCAGGAGCGCAGATCCTCACCTGGCTCGCTCATATCGCCGGTTATCGGATCCTGCCTCTGAAGCCCGAGAAGATTGCTGGCCAGATCGAACCGTCTGCGGGTAAACAGCTCCTCCAAGTGACTCAGGATGATTGGGAAGACATCCACCTGGCCGCTCAGTTTAGTAACGGGCTGGCCGAGTTCAAGCCTATGGAAGAGACTTGCGAGCGTCTGCAAAGAGAAACAGGTTTCGAGTTGGACGGAGTGGTCCCATTCGACACAGGTCTATCGGTCGGGAGGAAAGCCGTCCTCTTTCGGGTCGGGAGGAGGATAATCTTGACGTTCGAAGCTACCAAGCCGAACGAGATGAAGATGAACGCTTGGTCTCACGCAAAGGATCCGGAGAAGAAGTGGAGCTTGCCCTATGCTAGGTACTTGGATGGGAGGCAGGTGCATTCGTTCTTCCTGGACATGTGGTTGGGTATGAGGGAAGAGATTTTCAGAGAGATCACGAAGATGGTACGGCAAGCGGAAGAGCAAGGAGACGGGATAGAACGGTTTCTCATCACCGGACATTCCATGGGCGGAGGTATCAGCGTGTAAGTCCTTCCTCCCTCGCCTCTCCGCAACCTCGAACTGACGACGATCGCCTCCAGTCTCGCCCTGATAGACATCGTCGAACATCTCCGTCAAACCTTTGGCACCCCCTCTGCTTCCCCGCGACCCTGGTGCACCGACCCTCAACTTACCCATCTCATTCGCCATGTAACCTTTGCCGACTTCGCCTCCGCTGGAACCTCTTACACCGCTCACCTCAACGACTACTATTCCCTCTATAACATACCTGCTTGGGATTTCGTCCACCCGCACGATTTCACCACGCGCCTGCATTTGCCCTTCTTCAGGACGCGAAGGGGGCATCGATATGTCCTGCCGAAAGAAGCGGTGAAGGGGTTCGAGAAGGAATACGCGGCGGGGAGGCACGATATGCCAGGGTACTTGAAGAGTATGGAATGGATGCAGGCGAACCCAAGGACGCTGAGATCGCTCTATGCTTAGGCTCGAAAAGCCGAAGACTAGGGTCTCGCCTCGAGCATCGCGGGTCCCGCTCCCGAGCGCACCTCTGCCCCGCGCACAAGAGAGACGACTGCAGTCACGGCGGTCATCTCTCTGCTTCGTCAATGGGGCCGTTCGCCCGGCCAAGTCGACAGCCTCGAGCTATGAGCCTTGAATTTGCGCATGCGAGAGTTGCTCGCTGAACGGGAACTACAGACTTCCGTCTCTTGCAGGGGGGCCTCAATCGAGTACTCTATACGTTACTTGACTTGGTCACATTTCCCAATGGACTTCGCGCCGCCACAAATTGGTGTTGTAGGCGTCCGGACGAATGGCTCCATCAGGCAAGGTCTGCTATGGCGAGACAGATATCCGGTCTCGAGTTGCAGTGGATTTTGGAGCTGAAACCGACAAGGAGTTTTCCGCTGTGAAGACTCGATTGTGGCGAGACTCGACCTTTCTGAACTGCCCACTCAGGCAACGTTGTGTAGATTATGCATGTTTGAATCCAGCATTATATCTCTTGTCTACTACCTCCCCCCAGATCTTGCTTCTGGCGCATTCGATTGTTACTTGCCCATAAGCTTCATCCCTATCGCCTTTTACTCTTCTAGATGATCTATTTGGTGGCCTTGATAGCGTTCTGGTGATCGATATAGATTCGTCAAACTACAGTCACCCAGGCGGGATGGATAGCGAGACTCACCGGCCCTGACAACTCTTCATAAGCAGTAGCGTTCTGTCCAGCTTGCTTCTTGACGTTGGCGATCTCAACCTCCTTGGCCTGGACCTTCTTTTTCAAAGCGGCAACCTCGTCTTGCAGGTCCTGAGTCTGTCGGGAAGAAGCCGAGTTCTTTGCGGTCTACCGGTCACGATGATCAGGACGGCATTGACGAATGGTCGGGCGACCGCTAACTTACAGAGTTACCCAGCTTGTTGAGTTCTTCGTGTGTCTTGACGAGATCGAACGTGATCATGAAAGCTCTCGTAAGCAGCAAAGCCATGACCAGAGTGAAGCCGGTGAGGTACACTGTCGCAGCCGGACGACGAGCGGGGCATTAGCTCCCTGCGTTTCTTTTGACTCAGGTGTTGCGGCGATGACGCTTACGATTCCTTTGAGCGTAGAACTTTCTCGAGCGGCTGTACAAGACCGAATATGTCAGCAAACCTGTCGGTTTTCAAAAATTTGGCTTGTCAAATTGACACGCACTAGTTAGTTTCGACCCTGACATCCTGGACTCCACGCTCCTCCTTGGCTTCGGAACCTTCTCGTGCGATCTTGATCATCCTCTGCACACTGTCGACGAACAGGACAGCCACGAATCTATAATATTTGGTAAGAGACGTTAGCTGACCTCCAAGAATGACATCTCGGACGGATGGGAGCTCACATGAAGGATATCTTCATCTGCGTTGGGCGGTAGCAAATATAGAACGGGGGAAATATCAGTCATCCCCGTCCGAATAGCTCGCAGGTACAGCCAACTCACGCCATAGCTAATCTTGGCGACAACGGGATTCTCCGCCAAGAAGTAGGTCAACCTGATTCAATTCGGGCATGTAAGCTTATGGATTGGGAATTCGGGGCGCAAGCAGCAGATTGGACTCACTTGCTCTTCAGCTTGAATGGCATCGGAGCCACTACCAAAGAGAAGAGCGTCATCTCAGCCGCGAGGAGCAAGAAGCAGACTGCGACAGGAGAAGCGTTAGTTGAAGGACAGGCTAGATACTACGTAGGATGACTTGCTGGTGTAGTAGAGCTACAGCAAAATGGAGGAGGTAGTACGGTCAGACGAGTTGCATCGGGCGCGTCAGGATATGGGATCGCTTACAGTCATGATTATGGGTTATTTCAGCGGGTTTGCAAAAGATAATTCGAAGTTACCGTCGAGGTGAGTAGGGCTACGAGAATTATAATGTGACAATGGTTCGTGTTTTATTACGCGGTGGGCGAGCTGGATATCAACTGCAACAAGTCGTTTCGAGCAGGACGACGACTACTCAGGTCGACGTTGACTTTTGGTGCCGTAGCCCGGTTCGACGTCCAAGCGACGTCATAGTCGAAAAGATCACGTGACCGGTAGAGGTCGAGCGTCGCTTGCAAAAGGTGAAACTCGAATTGCTGCTAGTCTCTTGGATTTCTATCATATCGATTGGATGCTTGTTATTGAGTGTTTTTCTGATCAACGCCAGTGAGTTCCCACGGACTTGCAAGCATGCCTAGACAATCAGTCTGTGTGGCAAAAATTGCATCTTACCGGAGTTGATTTCAATGGGCGCTACAAGATACATGTGAATCTGTCGTTGTGCGTTGGAACCGACTTTGATTTGCTGACCAGGATTCAACCTGGACCCAGTCTGCAATTGAAGAGCGACTTCAGCCCCCTGTTTGTGAAGGACGTGTCTTGGATGGTAGATAACATTATATTTGTACAACCAGAATTAACAACAAGCCAAGCGGTCGTGATGTAGTGGCTATCATGCATCCTTCACAGATCACATTCTGGCGTTCGGATGATGTCGAGGGTTCGATCCCCTCCGATCGTATACCTTTTTGGCCTCTTTTTCGGAATAATCTGACGTCTGCTCTCGTGCATCATCGGCCGCAACAGTCATGAAACAACAAGTCTGGAGGCCTGGAGGTTACATTTTTGCGTTAAGATAGCTATTCACACAAGTTATATTGGTTATCTCCTGTCGGGACTACGTTCTGTGAGAAGCATGAGATGAAACCCCGGGTCTGTCCGTCACAACCAAAGATCCCTCTTAATCAAGTCAGTTGGGTCTCCTCTGCCGCGCTGCATCCGGAAGCAAATCCGCGTTCGGTCGCTGGTGCCCATCCATCATCAACCGCCCAGGCCTATCGCCCGAGTGCCCGGTATGTCCTCGTCAACTAATGCAACTAAGATCAGTACGACCTCTTGATAGTTCGTCAAGGAGTCGAGCATATTCCAGCGCAAGCTGTCCAACTTCGCTCGTTCATCCCCAACTCGACGTCCACCTTGGCTCGCGTGATACGCACGCACAGCGAAATCGGCTAGCTCTCGTAAGTCAAAGGCAGCTTCGGGGAACAATGCGATATGAAGCTGAGAATGTCCAAAGGCACGCAATTGCGCTATTCGCATCACCTGGCACAACCTTCTAGTCGTAACCTCGGGTCTTTCAAAGCACATTCCTTTTCGAAACCTCTCCTTTGGTAATCACCTGCAACCCGCATCTTCAGCGAATCAATCATGCCGGTCCGAGGATTGGAACGTGAGTCTCGACATTCCTTTCTCCGGACCCGATGAAAGATGTGTCCTTTTAACCATCCCTTGCGTTGCTATGAGATATTGAAATACCTCATGACCATCTATGCTGACTTTGCAAACTCCACCGACCCTGTCCGCAGCCCTGCTCGCCGAGCGTCGTCTCATCCAGCAAGCACCCTTGTCTGCTCTGGCCGAGACCAGAATCGGGATCGACGTCTCCCAGTACCTCCGACAAATCCTCACCTCGGAATCCACCCGAGAACCTCTAATCGCTGCTACTGGTGGACTTCCCATCGCCTTGACCGCGCATATCGAAGCCGACCTCCGCACTCTCGACAAATTCCGCATCAAGCCCGTCTTTGTCTTCAACGGACTACCTTTGTATCGGAGGAACCCCCCTAGACAGGCTCAAGAGGTCATCAGCGGACGAGAAGCAGCTCAGAGGAATCACGCATGGGCATTGTATGAGCAGGGACATGCAGAGGAAGCAGCCAAGGTCTTGACCGAGGGGCAGAGGCATGGGAATTGGGTGGTCCCGATCGAGGTGACCAGGTTGATCTTGAGGATGTTCAGGCATAGGATGGTCGAGTATATCGTTGCACCTTATATGCAATGGGGACAGGTAAGTTCTTGGCGACAGAGACGGATCGGATGACGCTCGAGACTGACGCGTCAAGCCTGGCAGCTATCATACCTCTTGAACCACCCCAAGGGCTACGTGCATTCGGTCTTTTCCTCCTTGGAAATGCTCGCCTTCCCGACTCAGCGAGTCATCACCTCGATCGACTTTGCGAATGCCACGTTCCGTTTCGTCGACCGCGGCAGGGCCATTGCCGATATCGGCCTCATCCCGGACCAGTTTATCGACTTCATCATCTTGTGCGGGACGGAACTCTTGCCTACTTTCCCTCCCTTGGCGGACAACTTTTTCAATCGGTCCTTGATCGACATGCTGAGACACTTCAAGTCGGGAGCGGGCGTCATCGCTGGCCACTCGGAACATCCGGCAGTCCGGGCGTCTGGCTACTTGGAGGGATTCCTCCGAACCAGAGCCGCCATCAAGTACTCTCTTGTCCTGACCGCCGAGGAGGGTACCTGCCTTCCTTTGCCTCTCGTTATTCCCCCAACTCAACAGGCACACGCCATCACCGCCTCAGAGGTCCCGGCCGACATTCACGAGATCTTTTCCGGGAGACTTCCCGACGAGCTCTATTTCCACATCTCAAAAGGTCTCATCAGCCCTCAACTGGTCGGTTGGCTCACGAGCGGGATCATCCACGAACTTCCTCCGCTCGATAACGGGGAGAGTATCGAGTACAGGAAATACATCGAAAACGTCATCACAGAGGGTGCCACAGCACCGAGATGCACAGCATTATCGTTGTTGACATCGTGTCTTAATCAAGCATGGCAACAGAAGAGGATCGTGAGTTCACGTCTCCATCGCGTTGTCAGGAGAAAGGACTAACGGGTATTGTATGGCCTCAGGGAGCACACTACTTTTTCGACCCTCCTCATATCAGCATGCAGGGTCACGTCGTTAACTTCAACGCCGCAGAGACCAAAAGCCTAACCGATCGATGTGCAAGCTGGCACGTTCCATACGGCACAGTAGAAGACGAGCTGAGACGGCAGAATGTGAGAAATGGAGCTTTGGCCATTTATGCTAATCTCGCGTTCCTTGACTGACATGAGCGTTTCTGCTGCAGTCCTCCACCATCGACTTCAAGCTGTGCCTCGGTGCAACCAGCTCGGAAGAATCTGCGAAGAGGACCAAGGCAACCTCCAAAGCGGGTAAGCCGTTGGAGAGGAGGGATGAGATTGTGGCCAACGTGATCTGGAGGTTCTTGGATTTGAGAGGGCAAGTGCAACAGATCTCTGTGGGCGGTAGAAGACAGCCTTTGCTGACCGTCTGTTTCTTCGCCATCAACCTGTCGTAGCCTGCAAAACCCGAACCATACGCATACGACCCTTGGCAAAGCGCTTTCGGCCGGTATCAACGCTTCAAGGGTGAATGACAAGTTCCAAGAACCGTTGTACCTCGCGCTGGAGTTGGCTAGGGCTGGTGTCCTGCATGGTGACCTGTGGAGCGGTCGAACGTACAGTGGAGGACCTAGTTTCGGAACTCGTGAGTCGAGCCAATGATCGCCAATTGGCGTTGAATCTGATCTGTGCATGACTTCATCTAGCTTCCGAGATGACGAGTTCGCTGTTATTCATGAGGTGTTTGAGTATCGTCCCTCTGTCTTACCGAGTGAGTTGAGCTGAAGATCAAGGGCGAGTTCTAGATCCTGATCAAGTCTGCAACTTTATCTCAGTCGCAACAATGGTCAGGACCTCTCAGTCGGGAGCTGCTCGTTTTCAACTCTTTCGTCAAGTCTCTCACGCGATCGCTCAGGCATCTGATGGAGGCTACCTGCGTGCACATGTTCTTGAAGGGGGATGCGAAGAGACAGCGGGACGACTTTGTGGATGTTGCACTTAGTACGTGGAACGAGCGAAGACCGCTCGCCTAAGTCACCCATTAAACCGACGACTGCTCCTTCAGGCCTTCCTTTCCAGGGCGAGGTCAACACCGGATTCGGAGTCTTGGCCAAGGTGTATGTTGATGCGACCATCGCATTCTATCAGGGTATGCCTGAGGGAGACCCCGAGGCTGCGGACGTCAAGGCTGCCAAGGAACAAGCGTTTGAAGTGGTAGAAGAAACCTTTGTCATCGTCAAGACGCCAAAGGCAGAGATTGAACGAGGATTCAGGTTCTGGGATGCGGTGAGTCGTATCGTCATTGTTGTGCCAGATCATGCGCGTGCTAATTCGCTCTTGACGCACCAGTTGATGGTATCGATCCGAGCCATTGCCAAGGTGCAGGGTCCAGATCCGCAGATTTTGAACACGATCGTCAGCTCTTCGGTCATCGAGCAGTTCGAGACCGCTGACAAGTGGCTCAAGCCTTTCCGTCCATAATCCGCTTGATCGATTAGGATAGGGTTGGTAAGAACCGCATGGTTTTGAACTTGCGTACGACGATTTTGGGTTTTGTAGGACTTATCGATCATGACAAATGCATTGCATTGCATAGCGCATTCAATTGCACCCGCTGCTTCAAGCTAGCACGTCATGGCCGCGTTACTTTAAGCTAGTCAAGGACTGCGATATGGGAATCAAGTCTGGCTTGAGCACGATAGACCGATGTCCACTTCGAGCGGATTGATCAGCTTAAGACCATCTGACATGAATAGGGTAAGGAGACACGCTGCCTTGTGCTACGTGACAGCCTTCGGGCCATTAGTTCTCGCATGGCTGAGGTGCAGATCATGAAGTATCTACCTAAGCCATATGTCTACATAGTCCCAGAGACCGCTGCTACGCAAATGCAGCTTGATCGTATAGATCCATTCTGCTTTTGTACTTGGCCAGAATACCCCCCATATGGTATTTCAGAGCCTGCATGTATTGGATGAGAAGTCTAGGGTACGACCTCACTTTTCTTCCTCGTCCCAACATACTGAGATGTTTTCATCCCCGACCAACATCTCAATGAGATGATTCACGATTCTGGAGGGTTCGAGTCCAGTCGATGCTACACCGAGGAATGGGAAGATCGGTCGATTATGATACAACAACTAAATCGATCATGACGACTATATCATTACGAATAGAACTGTGACCCCTGCCAACCTAGTATAGACAGTCAGCCAGGATCGACCTGCCTATACCTACTCGGAGGTGCGAGCATGTAGTTAGGCCTCTAATTTGAAGCAGTAGCATTTCCCTTCTCACTACCCCAAGCTTGATATCTGACAAAGACGAGAAAAGCCAAGCCCACAAAGTTGATCAGCGAAACCGGTGGGGTCGACATCGAGTCGAATCGAGGTTGGCCGCTTACCCAAATACACCCTCCCAACAATCGACTCCACCCACAGCCAAAAATGCACAGAAAAGCCTGTGATGAAGATGTGCAAGAGGTGGAGATGATGACAGATACTGTCAATATCAGTCAAGAATGGCAGGACAAGAGTGATGAGACCCAATTGCAAGAAGAGGGTGTCAAAGCAGGAGTGGAGGAAGGTGTAGGTGTAGGGGAACATGATGTTGATGATGTTGCATGGCTTCTTGAACGCTCCGTCTAAACACCATGCAAATTCTCACTGTCCTCTTTGATGCATTGCGATTACACGATCCTGGACATGTCTGCCATTTGTCCCTCTGATCTGCCATTCGTCAGCTGGCTACGCATTGTTTACGGAACAGTCTCTAGTAGAGCGTTCATTGCTTCCACGTTCCCATACAACCTTAGTGATCCTAACGAGATATCCAAACCCTATAGTCGCGACTTCTTCGCTGTCCACCTTTGGTCGCATGTGGGATCAGTTCCAAGGGAAGGAAATGGAATACCATATGTATCCATCCGTGACGCTGTCTACGATTCGCAGCAGTGCTCTCGGCTGGTCGGGAAGGTCCATAATCCATCTGAGCCCCTAGATTCGACTGGGACTCCGGAAAGTCTGCTTCTGGGGAAAGAGTCTACTATTGCGTTCTCAGTAGATCGAAGGGTAAGGGATAGTACCCCGAAGTGTGTCAGCCCTCAAAATCCATCGTTCGCAGGTCGTTCGCTGTATGGCATGACAGGCGTTCCACTGCGTTCCACTCGAAACACGCCGAGCGATCTGCCAGGTGAAACACGGACGAGACGAGCGGGATCAATCCATGGATATACGGATTCGGAGCGAATAACAAGAAGTTCCCCTTCCCCTCCATCTCTGTCCGGAGTGATCGAACCGCCTCGGAACCCCCACGGTCATGCGGCGACCGGGAGGCCCGGGCGGGGGTAACGACCGACTACAACGGGAAAAAGACAAGCGAATACGAGAACCTATATACAAAAAGCCAAGCGACGCAGCTGAGGCAGCTGTTGAACAACCTTTTTCTTCTTTTCCTTCTTCTTGGGTACTATCAGACACACGCGCCCTTCCTTTCACGCATCGCTCCCTTTCCCCTCCCCTTTATTCATACAACGTGGTATGCAGTTGGTGCATACTGATACGAGCAAAACCTTTGTTACGGCGAGATTTCGTTTTCGCAGGACGATTCGAGATCGACGGCGACGACGTTCACTCGACCGACTGAGCGTGACCCTGAGCAGCTTCGATCTTGCCCTCTTCGGACGAAGCCGAGGGGGATGAAAACGGTTGAGGCGCCCCGTTGATCAAGAGTGCCTTCAACCAGCCGTTCTCTGCGTGGAACAATGATAAAGGCCCGAAAGTTAGTTGTCGTAGCCCCCTTGCGGGAAGAACCCAGACTCACCCTTTCTCAACCCGTCCATGTCACGTTCCATCTTGTTCAAACGGTCCTCCAAATCCTTGGCGTGCCTCTCGAGCGCCTGCTCTCGCTCCTTCTTCTTCATCCTGAATCGGGCCGAGGCAGCGGTGTTCCGTCGTCGTTTACTGCAAGGGGGGAATAAAGACTTGAATTTAGCGACAACGTCCAGACCAGCACAGGGTTTCAGAGGGGGGACGGCGGTCTCACTCTTCCTCGGGCGTCACACCATCGGGCAAGACCCCACTGTCATGCAAATCCGCCTCCATGCTGTCCATCGACCTCTTCCTCGACCCGTACCCCTGTCCATGCGCATGTACGTGAGCGTGAGCGGGTCCATAAGACGAAGGATGCCCAGGACCCATCGCCTGAGCGGTCAAGCTGGCCAAAGAAGCCTGAGTGTACCTCGGCTGGTAGACCGAGTTGGAATTCGGCCCGACGCTAGAATCGTCCGACAACTTCCTCCTCTTCCCCTGAGGCGACGAAGTCACCGAGGACGACATGACGGCCAACTGTTGCTGGACGAGGTTTTGATTTTGGAGCTGATGTTGTCGCTGAGCCTGAGTGTCAAAGCTGTGCAAGCTGGCGGCGTCGGACAATGAACCCGCCGACGCGCTCCCGGCTCGACGGAGTTCCATCCCGCCCTGAGCCGAGGGGACGATATCGACCGTCTTGTTCGCGTTCGATTCGTCGCGACCGTGACCGTGGTGGTAAAGGCCCTCACCCAGATCGACGGACCCGAAAACCCGGTCGATCTCGCTCGACAATTGCTGGTGTTGCTGCTGCTGGTGGTGAGACGAGCCAAAGTTCATCCCGGCATGACCGTGCCCAAAACCGGCATCGTGCGGCGCATAGACGAACGGCGTCGCCGCAGGGGTCGATTCGTGCTGAGGAGGACTCCTCGCCGAGCCTGCCCCGTTGCCGTTCGCGCTTGCGTGGTGATTCAAGAGGAAAGCGTTCATCGCGGCGTTTTGTTGTTGTTGCGCAGGGGCTTCAAACGTGCTAGCGTGTTGAGGGAACGCAGCGGCAAGAAGGGCCATCAGGTTTTGTTCTTGGCCTGGAAGCTTGTCAGTGTCCTTATTGGCGTCGTCGCTCTTGCTGTTGCTTTTGGCGTTTTTGCTAGTGTCGCTGATGGGTACGGCACTTTCAAGGACGGGCGTGTTGATGGGAGGCGCAGGTATGTGAAGGTGACGAGCACGAGGAGTGGGTTGTTGTGGTTGTTGTTGTTGTCGAGTGTCGGAAGAGGGTACCGCGTTCGAATATGACGGGGTGAAAGGTTCGGAGGGGGAGTGGGAAGTTGACGACTTTTTCTGTTCATCAACAGATCTCGCTTCTAGATCCTTTCCCCCCCGGTTGACCTGCTCGACCTCGACCTGCTTTTGACCTCGCTGAGCTTGACTGGCTCTGGGTCGTCCTGACGCAGGGGTCAAGGAGTCGAGCGAGGGGATAGAGGATGAAAGGAGTGCCGAGTATTGGGTCAGGAAAGAGGCCAGATCCGGGGCGGCTCCAGAGGCGGGCGGTTGAGTGACCACGTTTCCGCCCGTCGTCGTGGTAGATGGAACAGCAGGGGTCGCCACGGGGACATGGTTGTCCGTTTCGACCCTCCTCCCTCGTTCGACCAGCTGGACCTCCTTTACGCTCGTACCCCTATCCTCGCTTCCGACCCTGACCTCGTCCTTGTCCTTGTCCTCGTCGGCTCCCAACCTCTGATCTAGCAAGACGTTCTTCTCCTTGCCCTGTTTCACCCTGCTCTTGTAATATTCCATCAAGTCCATCTCGATCTCTCCCTCGGCATCCTTGCCGACGAGCTGTTGAGGATCCACGGCATCAAAGACGCCTTCGACCTTGTCCCTCGGCGAACCCCCGATACCCGCACCCGCACCGGCTTGATCTTCGGTCCATGAAAACTCGGTATTGATCCACAGGTCCAGGTGTCTCTTCAACGATTCCTCCAGAGCCGGGTCGTCCACCCCGTTGTTACCCAGCCCGGCATCGTCGTCCGCCGTCGATGACAAGGTCGTCGGGTGAGCCGAGGGATAGAGCGTCCGGAAGGGGGACGGGGCCGGGGTCCCGGCGAGGACGTTGAGGTTGGCGATGTGTGAAGGAAGGTGCATCCTTATCGTTCAGAGCGATAAGACCGTCAAGAAAAGACTGCTGCCAAGTTGTAGGTGGGATCGTAGGGGGTGGTGGTAGACCACCCGGTTCGCGCGCGAAAAAGAGACGAAGAGGGGGGGAAAGAAAGAGGGAGACCTCCTTCTGATCCTGCCTGATCGATCCGTTCCTTCGGGTCGCTGAATGGGTGCTCAGGCGCCGGCCTATGAGACTTGGGGGGAGTGTGGGTGTGTACGGTATGCAGAGAAGTGTGTGTGTTTATGCGGTATGATGATGTTGTCGCCAGGTTGGGTCGTTCAACAACGTTTTGATGAGAACGTCGAGGTCGATCCTGATTGCTGACCCTTGCCTTGTCCCGGATCGAGAGAGGGAGAGAGCGACGCGCGCTAAAACGAGAAATCACGAATGGTGCAATTTCAAATTTGAAATGAAAAAAGAGATCAAATCCATAGGACGATTGATTGATAATCCTTAGCAATCTCCCGACGTTTCAGGTCGATCAACCTGGTGTTGAATATCTTGGAGATCATCCTGAATCCCCGGCCCGGGGACATGAAATATGCCGCATGCCGACAAATATGTTGTTGAAATGGCCTCACGGCGACAAAGGCCTGGAGTGGCCATCTGTAGCTACTGTAGCTTCCGAGTGTTGTCAGGTCGTGATGTCTCAAACGGTAACATGACTCTCTCGGTCGTTCGTCTTCAGCTGCTCATTCCAGGACTTGCACGTGAACCAGACTGTGTACCGTACGTGACAGCGAAGAACCTCACAATTATCCAAGACGACACTGGATACGTTTCTCGTTATGTAACGATCTGCAAATCTTCCTATTGATGAATACAAGTGGTTCACAGCTCGCCAACCTCTTTCAGCCCCAGATCCTTCCACAACTTGGCCCTCCCCTTCTCCTTGTCCCCTGCCACGCCGGCGCCCTTCCCGCCATTGACCTTGCTGAAATCCAACCGTTTCTGACCACCGCCCATCTCCCCCTCGTCCACCCACTTGCAACCCACCCCGTCCTTTTCCAACCTGAGCTTCGGTCCCGCCCAGCTGAAACGGACCAGAGAGGGGTACCCGAAAATGGGGGAAAAGGTCGACTTGAGGTAATTTTGGGTTTTAGGGTCTGATTGATGTGGAGTGATTGTGGCACGCGATCGGGCTTGTTAGTAAAAGACGAACCTGCTGTGCTCCTCTTGGCCAAACTCACCCGATGGATACCCGCTCCCTAGAGCTTCCTTCATCGTCGGCCGGTCGTCTTTATCCACTACGTCCATGTTCACATCTCCAAGTTCAGCAACTTCTACCTTGGCAATGGGCTCATCGACCTCCGCCACCGTTGTCGACTCCAACAACCCGCTGGCCATCGTCTCCTCTCCGCGACCCGCCAAGGTTCTCCGAGCCCGTTTTCGAGGTCGGTCGTTGTCGGACGAGTCGGAAGCCTCGTCTACGTCCGTCCCCGCCGCTTCCTCTTCATCTTGCTCAGCCTCGACGTCGACCTGTTTCCCCTTCCCCTTCCTTCCCTTGCCAGACCTCTCCTTACCATTCCCCTTGCCTTTGCCCTTGACTGCTTTGCCTTTACTAGACCCTTCCCCGACATCCTCCCCCTCACGACTCGCTCGCGACCGCACTTGCACGGGCACCATCAACTCGTCCCGCTCCACCCCTTTGCCCTCTGGGTGGATCCACATCTCGATCCATCGATCCCTCGTGACCTTGGCGACGATCGAAGCGGCACCGACGATCTTGTAGGTCGAGTCGGCTTTGGCCTCGACGACGATCGAGAGGGTGCTACAGTCGACCAGGGCGCAGTGAGATGTCCCCGTGAGCTTCAATGATAACGGCTCGACGAAGGGAGGACTCACGGGAAGATCTGGGATAAACGGGATTGCCATTGTGCGGCCGGACCGAGGGCATCTACATAGACCTATCGTGACCTTCTCTATCAGCCTCGCCTAGAGCCTAACCGCCCCGATGCACTCACCTCCTTCAGGTTGACACCCCTCGCCAAGGCTTCCCTGATCAAACCGATGGTCGCTTCTTCGGCCTGCCTGTTCAGATTAAAGGGCGATCTGCGGAGCATGCCCGAGCTGATATCTTGTGGAGAGAGAGTGGTGGACGAGTAGACTAGGGAAGGGTGGGCGGTGAATGCGTCCTGGGGGCATTTGGATGATAGTGATATGGGATCCGGTCCAGTCAATAGCTCAGCGAAGAGTGGGGTAGTATGGCGATATCATAGCTCACCCAGAGTGCATCCCGAGTCTCGTGGGATAGCGCCTTGGAGTCTATAATACGCCAGCTAGACGGAAATCAGACAACGTTCTTGCCATTACCAAGAGACGACAGGGGAACTCGCCATCAAATCCGAGTGATTCCAAGGTAGGCTTGAAACTGAGCGGACAATATGCTGCAGCGTAGACCATCGGTCCGAGGACGGCTGTCGGGTGGCCCAGATATCATACGAGGAATCAGCTAACTCCTCATCCTCGGTTACCATATCAGGTTGAGGAATCCTTTCAAACTCACGCCCTCGTCCAGCCTCGTCTATACCCAACATCCATCCTTCCTCGTTCTCATCCTTGATACCCTTTTCATCCTGGTCGAGCCTGTCCTGCAAGAGCCAGTCGGGCAACGGCGAGTGATAGCTGTACGAATCGATCAGGGGCCGAGTGGGACGAGGTTCAATGGGGTCCGACATATTTGTATCTCGAGTAGGTAGATAGAATAGACAGAGGCAGAGGAAGATACTGGAGGTGGAAGCGAGGAAGAATTTGTCGCTCGATTGTTCAGGGTACAAGGTCGAAAACGATTTCGCTGTTCGCCGAAATCTCTGATGATCTGAGAAGGGCAAACGCGTCAAACGCGTCGCGTCGCATGGCAAAAGCGAGACGCGTCTTGCTCTCAAACGTAAACCGCCCACTAGTACACTACTACTACTACCACCAACCTGCGACTTGCAGCAAAGTAGCAAGTTGCATACATGCTGGCACACAAGAGCTTTTGATATCTCAGACCCCGAGCGGTACTGATCCAGGATGAGGAGGAATGCGATTGAATACGCGATGCATTTTCCAAGCTCTTTGTGGACGTCTCTAATTACCACAAAACGGTCTTTCCCGTGCGGACGCGATCTGTATGCCCCCTTCGATCTACACGCCAGGCAGCGTAACTGAGATATCACCTGAATGCGCTAAACACATGACCCCTATCTACGTTTCAGTGGCATTGGTAGGGCTCGTCAGTCCGAGGTCAATGCCGCCGCACGTCGCGACCGAAAGCGTTTGATACGCAGCGCCCAGGACGTCATTCCTGGGCGATTGCTTCCGCTCCCTCCTTCCCTCTCCCCTTCGCTGCCGCCGGCCGAAATGTCGTGCCCACCCATCATTTCTCGCTCTCGAACTGCCTGACCACTTCAGGGCACCAGAGCATCAGAATTTGCATACTGAAATACTGAAAGGTCGAGATACACATGATTGGTACTGGCAGCAAGCAGTCATACTGGCTGTGGCTCGTCATGTCAGATCGTCGTTCTATCGTCAGTTCGTGTTCGTTGTCCATGACACGAAGCCGAGAAGCCGAGCCGACGAAGGTTTCAACTTTGGCTTGGCCCAAGGGTGAGGATTGGTCGCCGACGGAGGGAGAGACGAGGCGATGGGGACGCTACCTGTTCCATCCAATGCGCATATGATGATCAGCTTGCGAGCTGTAACAGACTAGCCATACCTTCTTCGATTGTTGTTTGCTTGGGTGCTTGTCGACGTCGTCCATTCCATATTCCTTCCTTCGCTCGCCGCCAAAGTCCCTTTTAGCTCTTTGTGTGCCGCCGCCGCGGGAACGATCCCTCTCTCTCTCTGGTTGCGCAACCTCTCATCGCCGTAAACAACCTCGGTCCTGTTGAAAAAGCATCAACATCGCCTCCCCTGCATTCCCAACAACCATCATTTATAAGCAACACGAGTGCAATCTGGAGACCTTGCCACTCGGTGTAACCTCCCCTCCCCATCTCCCAGACCCCTCCAAGACCGACCTCCGCCGGATAGACAGACGATCCGGTCGAGCTACGGTTAGGCATCGAGAGGATCATCGATCTTGACAATCAAGGAAGATCATTCATCCACCTCACCCTCACAATCGTTCAACTCGACCACCCTCGTTTCTTATCGTCGAAGATCTCGGAACGGCCGAGATAGCAATACGAGAACAAGGGCAGGAAGGACGACTCGTAACGATCAGAGCTTACCGACCGGATCGGGTGTTCGACCACTCTCATTTCACCTGTTATAACAACACTACGACCTCTAGTGGAAATCCATCTGCTATTAGAAGAGGTTGAAGAAAACGATGGCTGTTTGAGCCCACCAACAAACACCATCCCCTTCCGTTCGAGATCATCTGCCTCCTTCCTACACCCGACAATCGAAACCATCCTATAACCCTCTTGCACGACGACACCGGAGAGGCGACCGCGACGACAATCAGTAGCAACGACAGAGAAAGCATACTCATACAGTTAAGCGAAGCGATGCTTCAGACGTGTTACGCTCGACAAGAACCCATCGTGAATAACATCGAGGGGAACGACGGAAAGGACGCCGGTCACAGCGGTATTGCTGTTGCAGGCGGTGAGACTGTTGATTGCACAGCTAGTCCGGCTGGGGCTTTGGCAGTAGAGTTCGAAAGCTACCTGGAGCGATTCGAGTCGAGCGGACGGGAGCGGGAGAATCAGCGTCAGCCACAGTATCATCATCACCAACCCCATCATCAATCGACCCGATCGACCTCGTCTCAAGCTTCTTCCTCTTCTGGTTTTTCATCGCTCTCTTCATCTTCTCAAACGAGAAACAACCACACTCAATCAGATCATCATCATCAAGCGAGCTACCCTTTATACAACTACCGAAAGGACTCTTATCAGCAGCGAGACCGGGACGACCCGGAAGATTACCCGATGGGAGACGATAGTGGGAGAATACCAGAGATGGATTCTCCAGGAAAGACGAGCGAGATGAGTAGTTCCATGTGGCAAGTCATGCTCCTACGAATGCAGGACAGGCCTGGACGATGGATCTCGAGCTAACCTAGCGGTCTGCGTGTACAGTTCAACACCGTCGGCGGTTAGCGCGAATCTGCCTACGTCTTTGGCCAGTACCGCAGGGTGAGTCGAAGGGGCGGGTGTGGAGGGAAAGTGTCTGACGTTGAAGCTGATGAGTGGTCCTCCTGTCAGCCGCTCCTTTTTCACCAAATCGACGCACGGGTTTACTCGTTGTACATCTCCTTCACCTGACTCTCGAGCATTCGTTCTGGATCTCACATCGTGTGATGACGAGAGCGACATGTCCATCACACCGACACCACTAGCACCAGCGCCAACAGCAACAATGGCAGGGCCGGCGGACGCCAAGAAGGTTGGACCTGGTTTGACGATCGATCTAGGCGAACAACAGCGTAGAGAGACGAAGAGGTCGGACGAGGAGGATGAGGTAGAGAGATCTAGCCCTCAACACAGGAAGTTCCCGGCGAACGCTCGAATCTTCAGGTCGTGCCTATCCAGGACGATCTCGTCGCCGGCCATGGAGATGGGAGGTGCGGCTATGGGATCGATCACTACGACACCGGTCGCACCGCCTCGACTCTACTCTACCCGATCGGAAAGCGAAACCCTGTCGACTCGAAGCCATAGAGCTTCTCTCGGTCGACCGGCAAGAGTGACGTTTTGCGAAAAGCTGCCTCCGACATTCCCTACGCATCCAAATTACGACTACGATAGATCTCCTCACCCGGTCGTACCGAGATTGAGTTACCGGGATGTTCTGGAATTAAGAGAGATGAAAGTCGAGATGGCGCTTGTGACGAAGAGACAGCAAGGAGCGGCCGGGTTGACAGACGATGCGCTCGTCGGCGGCGCCAAGCCGGCTCCGCCGCAGGATTCCGGACTGGGACTGCAGATGAACCGGGAAGGACGCCCAAACTCGCCGTTCTCCCTCTTTGAGGACGACGAGTCGGTCGAAAATCTGCCCCCTTCACCGTCGGCCTTGACTTCATCTTTCCCTTCGTCCATCAAACTGGTCTCGCGATTGCATGAGATGGGAGAGTTTCGCCCGCCAGCTAGGGAAAGAGGGATGGGGCTCAAGGTCGAGCAGACGTTTGGCCTGGATAGGGTTGCCAGTGGAGACAGCTTGAGGGACGATTTCGCCAAACATTTAAGCGGAGGGAATGGCGAAGGGTCTATCTCGTCTTTGAGACGCAAGACGAGTGGCGAATTTGCTGTCGAAGAGAGCGATTTTCAGAAAGAGCTACGGAAGGCTAGGGAGGAGCTGGAGGCAATCGCCGTGCAGGAAGCGAGGCTCGGTATGGCCTCTCAATTGGGCGGGGCTAAATCCAACAAGGGAGAACAACATAGCGTCGCCATGGGCAGCAGCGGGAGTTCCACGCCGCTCGGACTCGGTATCATCAGGCCCTCGCCGAGTCTCAATTCCGAGACCATGAGCCATCTCCGATCGAGCTCGTCGTTGTCGAGCGTCAACGGAGGGAACAGGTCGAGAAAGTCGTCGTTGGCGTCGCAACAAGGTGGTCTCGAAGCGGACGCATCGACGGATATATCGATCGGCGGACTGCCCTCTGAAAGGGCTTCCTTTGCCCCAATCCATTCTTCTATCAAATCTGGAATCTTGCAAGGGGACGACGGCGAAGAGGGGTCTCTGTTGTTCCCAAGCAAGGCTCCTCCACCATCCTCCACTAGACCCACGGCCAGGTCGGCCAGGACCCCTGCGCCCCCCTCACAGAGCAAGAACAACTTCCGACCTCCGTCCCCCATCCTCGCGCCATTCGCTAGATCCGCGCCAATCCGCGCCACCACTCAACGTACAGAGACTCTCGGCACAGCGAAGAGTTCTCATGAAGGTGGATCCAAGGGCAGCATCTTTAGACCTCCTTCGCCCATCCTGGCGCCATTTGCGCGGAGCTCGCCCTTGCAACATTGATGCGCGTTCCCTTGCAATTGCACAATACACTTAACGACAGTCTACCAGTTTCCATTATCGTTCTCGATTGTCTTGCGTAGCATATATCACACACCTCGCCTTTTCTTGGCTTACTGTATTCTGACATACATTTATGCATTTCATGTCGACGTTGACCAGGCATGCACCTCTGTGGAGACGAGTTGATGACTAATCACGTTCGATCGAGCCGCGATCGATCTGCAGCAGCAGGTCGGGGGTGAATTTTATGCAATCCATGTATTTCATACAACGACTAACCTTTCGGCTTGGAAGAGACACATCTCTGCCAACTTGCATTCCATACTAGGCCCCTTCCCATATCACGATGGGCGTAGCAGGCTTGACGACATTCTTGCGCGAAGGACGGACCTCGCTTTCGGTAGTCAATCAAGTCGCTGGAGTGATCAACGATTCTTTGACGCATGGAGAGCTGGAAGGACGGTATACAGAACCTCCGCAGGGCGAATGGACACCGGTCGTGATAGATGCTTGGTCGTAATTCGAACTTTGCTCTGACAGTTGAAGTATCGCGCAAAGTTGACCTTTTGGTTCACCTTCTTCGACGGAACAGATTCATCTTTGGCTTATACGAGGGCAACGTGCCGTGGACGACTGGAGGAGATTACCATGCATTTGCAGTGCTGATCAAGAAGACCTTGATATGCTGGAACCGAGTCGGAATCGTTCCTTATTTCGTTTTCGATGGTGAGAACTTGGTCAAACCAAGTGACCACGATCTTGCTCGATAAGCTAAACTCCGTGATACTTTTGCAGGACCTCGACCCAGATCCAAGCACCAAACGATTCTGAGCCGTATGGAGAACCCACTCAAGGTCGCACAGCTATTCTACAGGACATCGGTAACCTCGCGATCACATCCGTCGTTTCAACGCGACGAAGGCCTTCTTCCGCCGTTCGTCCTACCTATCTTGAACGAAGTGCTTCACAAAGAAGGATTTAGGGATGGGATCCAGATCTTTCACGTCGCCGAGGGAGAAGCCGACGGCTATTGCGTCAGTCTGGCAGAGGAGCTCGGAGCGTTCGTCTTGGGGAACGACTCGGACTTTGCGATCCTCGGAGCTAGTATCGGCGAGACCGGCTACCGGGGCTATGTACCGATCGAGATGGTACAGTGGGTCTTGACGGAGGAGGAACCGGCCTCGACATCTGCGGCTTCGACCGTGGCAGGCTCAGAATTCGATGACGACGACGGTTTTACCGTCAAGCGAGCCAAGAAGTGGCCTAACCGCCGTGGGATGATATCCAATAACTCGACCACACAAACGCAGATTGTCAACGGGCTCGCACCGCCAGCCTTGAACATCTCGCCGTTTCCCGACGCCGTGAGAACGTTGAGATTCGTCATGCCGACGTACAGTCCAGCGACATTGTCGGAGCGTTTACGGATACCACCGACCCATCTACGGCTGTTGGCATCGCTTTTGGGAACCGATCACTCACCACCAGAAGCGCCAGCACTGTTCTTCGATCACAACATGAAGAAGTCGGCCAGGATCGAACATACGGCAAACGTTATCCGAGAGTGCCTTGTCCCGGGTGCATCAGCCAGGTTGAAAAGGAAACGACTACCACATTACGCAACACCTGCTATCTTCCGCCCTCGAGCCAAAGACGAGGGTATTGCTGCCTTTTCCGAGGCAGAGAGCGGATCAGCCATCGCTAATGCCGGCGATGAGCTTTACTCTTTTATCTCACTCGTCGTGCAGTCTCTCTTGCTCAGGCCCCTTGCCAAGGACGAGATGCTGCACGATCTCGTCATTAGCTTGATCGAGGCTACGTGCCATTACATCCTTCCGGGATCTCCAACTGAGCTAGGACTCGATCTAGATAGCATCGGGTCACCGATCACTGGATACTGCTGCTCTACATATCCTTATTGCGTATGTCATCCGATCGAAGAGGTCGGACCGTCTATCAAAGGATCTACAGAGCCCAACGAGAATCAATTGGAACGAGCTCGGCAGCTCTATGCGCGAGCCAACAAGTCGGGACATATGAACACCTTGTCGGCCTACCTGCATTCCGACCGGTCCTATCTGCAGAGTTGCCTCGCCGATCCAGAGGGACAGCCGCTAAGAGCGCTAGAAGAGGCTAGTGGCCTTCGGATCACGTCGTGGGAGATCATGCTGGATGCATTGAGATATCTCCCTTGCGAGACGAAAGCTAGTCCAGTACAGGATGAGACCGGTGTGCAAGCCACCGTCGATGTAGACGAAGAGGAAGAGGTGGCAGAGCCCGCGGGAGACTCTGGGACAGCAGGTCAGGACGAGCTAGAAGCCGATATTCCCGAAGTCGAGGATGGGAACTTCTATGTCGTCGATTATTTGCGTCTGGGATCTTCCACTCGTCTAACCGAGTTTTATCTCCCCCTGTTTACTGAACCGGCTCTTTACAACCTCATTGCCATCAAACCCGTGCAAGAACGGTTCGAGCACTTTGCAAGCCATTTCAATCTTCTCGAAGGCAAATCATCACGAATGCCCGGCAAATGGCAAGTCCTGGTTGCCTTGATAAGATTGTCAATCGACATGCATACCAGCCTGGCTGCCAAGCGCAAGGCGAAATTGTGGACGCAAAAAGAGGTTCGGCGAGCGATCATTGCTGGGATTCTTAGCGAACGCCTGTGGTCAGGCCCAAGAGGTCGAGCTTCATCGGATGCAGCCCGCCTCATGCTTGAAACGCGAAACTGCCACATCGTCGCGCTCGTCACGACGGCGGGTCAGGAAGTGCTACAACTCGCACAGGCACTACGTTTGCATGGCGCAGAAGTGCACAACAAAGCCGACGAGTTTCCCAATGGCGAGACGACGACCGAATTCTCGATCGCACCTTACCGTTTCATCGAGGGGACGGTCTGGCACCAGACGCTTACATCGCCCGAGGAGATCCCGCTTGACAAGGAGGCGACTTTCGTAGTCGAGATGTGCATGCAGGCTGTTGCCGAAGGAAGAGAGAGCAAGATTCTCGGTTGGCGAGGGCCTGCCACAAGCAAGGATACCTCGACTTCGGGGTCATCAAGCAAGCAAAAGACCGGCAGCAAACCCATTAAGGGGAACCAGCCCATGAGCCGATACGACATGTTGGCCGGGGTGCCACTCTGATCACAAACCAATTTATAGATGGACGAGTCTTTGCGTTGTATATCGTGGTAGATAGAGTGGGGTCACACATAATATAAGCCCCTTTTATGCTATACAAGGGTCACGAAAGATCGCCTTTTACGTGTCCCGATCAGACTCTACGCCTCTCGCCCTTCCCTCATCGTCCCTGCCTAGCTCGGCGAGCCCTCGCGGCAGCGACCCTAGCCTCCTTTTCCTGATCTACCACCCGACCTCCTCGCTTGACCGTCGATTTCTGCAACGGTGCCGGTTCCTGGAAGACCGACCTGTCCACAGCATCCATCACGCTCGCAGGTGCTCCCGTCGTCTCAGTCGAAGCAGACGTCTCCCTGATCACCTCGGTATGCTGAAGCGTCGACTTCTCCACGGCCTTCTTGTCCCCTTTTCGCGCTGCCATCCTCATCTTCAGCTGCCTCTCCTGCTCATCCCGAGTTCGCTTCAAGAACCACTCTTTGCCCTCCTTGAGCGTGTCCCTGAGGGTAGGAGGGGGACGGGGCTTGTAACCAGGAGGAAGAGGGACGGTGGGGGGTTCCTTGATCTTGAAAAGCTTTTTGAAAGCCTTTTGACGAAGGATGAACGCTTGGAGGAGGGTCAACGAGTTGGAAAACGTCCAGTAGAAGGTCAAGGCCTATTAGATTGACCAGACAGACTATTCAGGAGGGTACTCATGAGCAATATAGTCGGACCTCCCACTCACCGAAGCCATGTGTGCGACGAACGGGATGGCCAGTACGGTAGCTACCCTGAACACGTTGATGGTATGCTGGTTCTGCCTGCTCTTGTTCGACCCGGTCCCGTCGGCTCCCATCTGCATGACGGCCAACGTCAAGGCCATACTCGTTACCGGCAAGATGTAGTAAGGGTCCGCAACCGTCAAGTCGGTGAACCAGGCCAGACCGCCTTCTTTCAGCTGGGGCACGGGGAGGGCGACGAGTTTCCGAATGGCGAAGAAGAAGGCTAGGAAGAGAGGCATCTGAAGCATGGGCAATCCGAGACTTCGGACCGGGTGGACGTCGTGTTCCTTCCAAAGCTGAGCCAATTGGGCCGCATACACCTGTCCTGCCTGTTGGTCGCCTCGACCCTTTGCCTCGGTCATCTTCTCCATCAAGACCTTTTGTTGATCCTGAATCGCCGACATTCTCGAATTGTGCGCTTGCATGCGGACAACGAGCGGGAAGAGGGCTAATCGGAGACAAGCCGTGGTGATCATGATGGTGCCCCACCAAGGGATCCCCATGCCTACATGAATGGCCTCGAGGGCGTCCCGGATCCAGCCTGCCGGGTTCAACACGCCGTGTGTGAGACCCATGAGCTTGAGATCACCGATCTTCATGGCGGCATGCACAGCTTCCGGGGAGGCGAGTACGTCGGCGATATTGTCCGGGTTGGCAGCGATCAGGGATTCGATGGTTGGGACATCGGCTGTCGCGGGAGGTTGAGGGAGGATCAAGCTCGGGTCCGTGTCCGTATAACCATCAGCTTTGGGCGCCGGAGGCAGGTTCGAGGTGGAGCTGACCGAAGTCGGCATATGGGGAACTTCCGGGTTGACGGGACCCAAACCGCTGGCTCCATCGGTAGCGGCCATGGCGGAAGGATCTGCCTGAGTGGTCACCGCATGTTCGGCTTCACCGTTGACATCCGGGATAGCGAGTGTTGCCTGGTTGGGAGGGAGCGAACCGGTCGCAGTAGCAGCCGAACCAGTATCCGGAGTCGCAGGAGCTGACCATGAGATTGATCGACTCGAGTTAAGGAAGACAGACGATTGGAAGAGGGGAGTTGCGAATCGAAGGCTGGTAGCGTTTCCCGATCGTACAGCAGGGCGAATCGCCTGCAATCGCAAGAAACGGTATTTCAGATCGATCAGCTCGGGTGGCTTGTTGATAGTTGGGAGACTATTATTTGATGCTATACCTGAATGGAAATCTGTCTGGTCTGTCGAGAACCGACGTTGCTTAACCTCGACGACCTGCAAGTGGATTGTAACGGAAATTTCAGCGAGACGATCGTGATGGTAAGGTCGACTTGAACAACTTACAACGCGGCCGCGTTGGACAGCTTAATTCTTGCCAACATTCCGATCCTTGTCCCTCTTGTGATTTGAATTTACCTACCAAGGTGTGTCGAGTTGCACAGATGGTGTGTATAAGTGTGTTGCCTGGCAGGGGACATTTCGAGGTTGTCAAGGTCCCGTCGTGAGATCAGAGTCACGTGACTCGAATCGGTCGATCGTCGTCATGAGTATCGTCAAGGAGCAGGTGCATTCATTCATATCGTCGTACTGCTACTTGTACACCGTACATGCTCGATCCCGCACATAGCCAAGCTAGCCACTCATCAGCAGCATAGGTACAGGAAGCATTCGATGTCCCCTTGCTCGCTGGCGAGAACTGCCGCAAGAGGCGTCCGGCTGGCCAGACCGCAAGTCTCGGCGCCATCGATATTGACATTATCATTATCAGCATGGAAAACGACTTTTCAAGATGGAAGCTGCAACTCAAGGTTGCCGGTCAAGAATACTTCGACGGTAGATATATCAAGCAGTAGAGGATATGCTAGCTGGACATCCGGAGGATCAAGCGGTCATACCAAGTGGCTGGCGAACTCGAAGGTACTCGCCAAGACACCTCGTACCACGGTCACACGACGAGCATACACAACCGCTACCGTCCAAAACTCGATACCGCCCGGCTCTACTTCCTCAAAACCTGCTCGTTCTTCCCTTAGACGTAGCCGCATTCGTTACCTGTACTACTTGGCCGCTTTCCTCGCCATCACCGGGATATGCTACGAGACGATTCCTCCCGCCCGTCACCTCCTCATCGCCTCCATCCGCTGCCTCCGGCTAGTCAAAGCCGTCGGCCTCAGCGTCCTCGATTACAAGTACACCTTCCTCGACTGGTACCCCTCCGACAAGTACACGGAGGAGGAGAGGAAACAGCTAGCCAGGACCGATCGACACGCTTGTCATGCGAGGAGCAGCGAGAGGTTGTTTCAGGCCTTGAAGAGCAATGCGGGAATCTACGTCAAGTTGGGCCAACATATCGCTTCGATCCAGGCTCTTCCTGTCGAGTGGACGACGAGCATGAGGCCATTGCAGGATCAGTGTTACCCCACGTCGATTCCCAAGCTAGACGCTATGCTGAGAAAAGACATGGACATGGGGTGCGTCCGTTCGTCGTATTCGGGCGCTTAACCGCCGCTGGAAGGTTTCGCTGACTGGAATTTCCCGGATGTACATCTTTCAGCTTGAACGATCTGTTTGACAACTTTGACCCCAACCCGATAGGAGTCGCTTCGGTAAGCCCACCCGCTATTGCAAGCGGGAAAGTTCCTCTTCGAACGATCTGGCTCACAACGACTCGGAATGACTTAGCTGGCGCAAGTACATCGAGCGGTAGACCGAAGGACGGGCAAGGATGTCGCCGTGAAGTTGCAACACCCTCACTTGGAAGATTTCGTCGCCATCGAGTAAGCGACGGCGTGTATTCGAGGGGAACAAAGAGGTGTAGAAGATGCTAAACCTGGATTATTCCGCTCTGACACTAGTATCGCCACAGTCAAATGGTCCATGAGACTGGTCAAAGCCGTCTTTCCCGATTTGTGAGCCGTGAACTTTGAACAGGAAACATGCCATGCGAGCAGTCGATACTGATTGAGAAGGTCATGGTTCTAGCGAATTCTCATGGTTGGGCAAGGAGATGACCGAGTGAGTGATAATAGGCTTCAGAGTGTATGGCTTGGAATGGTCAGCGCTAACGTGATTATCTGCACGGATAGGATGCTGCCTTTGGAAATGGTAAGAACGATTACGATTCCCTTGTGATGACCAGAAGCCAAGATCGATCGCTCACTTTAATGACTCGCCCTTTTATCCAGGACTTTGCCCACGAAGCTTGGAATTCGGACAAGGCCAAGTCCGATTTCGCACCATTGACAGGCAAGACAGCGATCTACGTCCCCGAAGTTTTGTGGGCCGAGAAGCGATGCATGGTGATGGAATGTGAGTCCATGAGCAGAACGCTTGCTCGGGCGACGCTAATGCTTATCATTCGCCTTTTATTAGTTATTCAAGGAGCTAGGGTGGACGATCTCAAATATCTGAAAGAACATGGCATCGATAGGAATCAAGTTTCACAGCAGCTGTCTAGGATCTTTTCTCAAATGGTTTACATCAACGGGTTCTTCCATGCAGATCCTCATCACGTGAGACTGTACAACGATCTCTTACCTTCACACGCTTCCTTTGCTGAAACCCTCTCTGATCGACCTGTAGGGCAACCTGTTGATCCGCCCGAAAGCGCCCAAATCACAATCTCCCTTCAACTTTGATATTGTCCTTCTTGACCACGGCCAATACTTTGATATCGATGACGATTTGCGAGTCAACTATGCTAGGTTCTGGTTGAGCTTGATCTCGCCCGAAACTCCCAAGAATCTAGCAAAAAGGAAATATTATGCCAAGCTCGTAGCCAATGTTGACGATGATCTGGTAGGCCGCAAGCTACAGTTAAGCATAGTCGAGTAGCTTTGAGCTCACTCAGAACTTCCATCTGCCGATCAGTACCCCGTATTGGAGACTGCCATCACTGGAAGGATGGGTCTCGCTGATTCATCCCAGGCCGACGGTACTGCGCCCGACGGACCTGTACAGCGCAAGAAGAGCTTGTTGGAGCTATCCTCCAGTGCGTTGCAGCCGCGTGCATAACACCTCTACACGTCGGGTCAGCTGACCATGAACTCTTCTTTCTGTCAGTGAGCGACGACGAGCTGAACATGATCAGGACAGCAATGACTGAGCAAGAAGGATTGATCACCTCGATCTTCACCTTGCTTCGAAACGCTCCTCGGTGAGTCGGCGTCTGATCTAAAAGGGCCAGTTCGGAAGCTGACGAGGAAAGCCGAACTGGGTAGTCGACTCATCATGATCCTCAAGCTTAACGATCTACAGCGCGCACTTGACGTGTCACTGAACACAACACATGGTCCAGTAAGTCCAGTCAATTTCGAGGGTGATGTCATGCTGTCGCTGACCTTCGAGCAACTTCCCACCTGTTCAAGTCGCGAATCTTTATCATTGTTGCCCGGTTCTGCGCCTTTGCTTCGTGGGAAGATGATCGCAAGAAATTGGCCAAGCGTCTACGCGTGGAGGGTCTCTCTACCGATCTGATAACGAGCTGGTTCGAGGACTGGTGGCAATACCAAAAATACTACAAGTGAGTGGTTTCGGTATCCTTCAGAACATCTGATTCGATGATTGACACCCTTCCGGAATCTATAGCGGTCTGCGACTGTATGAATGGACTCTGGATACTCGGGCGAGTATGGTGAAGCTTTTGATGTGGTTCAATGGGTTCAGGAAGCGAGGATGGAGCGGCGCATTCGATGAGGCGGCTGGGCTTGCCTAGCGTCCCCGCAAAGAGGATTATTAGATTCGACATATTCGATATGTATCCAAATCAGTCAGGTCCGGTTTAGGCTTGAGACTCGTAGATATTGTTGTTCGGTAGTATATCCATCAATATAATCTTTGTTCAAGCTCGTCCGGGCTCATTTTCATCTTTCATGCTTGGACAATCCACGCGGAGTCGAGGTCCCGCCGTTGGAGGTAAAAATACAATGATAGGGGGATTTGGGAACTCGTAAACCATCTTCCAGCCATCGCTCGTCATCGTGTCTAGGTCACATTTCTCTTCAACATCCTGCAAGCTTAGAATCCGGGAGGAACGACACCGCTTGGCTGGCCTGCCTGGGGAGCCCCCAAAAGCTGGATCGAGAGCGATAGCGATAGCGGATATTAGCAGTCGAGCTCTAAACCATCAGTCTGAAACGACACTCGACTCACCGACTGCTGCCCACTCTGCTGCATCTGCAACTCCTTCTCCTGACCGACGATCCTAGCCTCGTCCTCGATCGCCAACGCCAAAGGCAGACCGACCAAGAGCGCACTCGTGGTGATGATCCATACGGCGTTTCCAGCCCACTGCGAACCCGTCGACACCCACGAGGTGGCCTGTTGCCATTTCCTCACGGCCTCGAGCCTCGTCGAGGGGGGTACGATGTCTTTGAGTGCGATCAACCTGTCCGTGTACGTCTCGTTGGCAATGTCGTCGTCGTCGGAAACGTCCGAGACCGAGAGGACGTCCGAGTCGGTCTCGTAGTCAGACTCGTGTTCTTGGGGGAGGGAAGAATCCCTGACTTCTTCGACGGCGACCATTGTCTGCGAGCGGGACTGTTGCATGAGCAAGTGAAGGTAGGCGTTTGTATAGGCGCGGAGCACGACCTACAGAGTTTGTTTTAGCGATTACTTGCAGCAAATATCCTGACTGTGATTGCTTTGCAGTGATATCTCGATTTGGGGAATGGGCTGGATGTAGTGGTGAGGTCGAATCTGCCCGTTCCTCATCGATGAACGATGAACCAAATGACGACTCGTTCTCATCAATCTCGATTTCTTGCAAAGTCATTTGTTTGATAAGGCCGCCAATCATACCATGAGCTATGACGTGTATTACCTCCCTCTCCCCCGCTTTATGAATATCAGCTTCGCCCATAATTATGATTTTGAAACGCTGCCCGAGCTGAAAGTATCAAGGTCGAGCGGATTTGAACTAGAAATCAAGAAGTTGGACACCTTCGACTTCTCAACCCCTTCACAACTGTCATATCAATTCCAAACAATTGATTAGTACCCGCAATGTCAGCGACGCTTCCACCAGCAGCGTCAACGGCGGCACCAGCCGTCGCCAAAACCAACGCCCGGAAGAGAAAACCCAGAAAGAGACGGAGAAAGAACAACAAGGCTGGGGACTCGTCCAGCTCGAGCAGTGACAGTTCAAGTGACGATGAGCCTGTCAAGGCTGTTCCGACGCCCGTCAAGCCGGTTCCAGCTAAAAAGGCAGCTTCCTGTAGGTCCCCCACACTGTTTCGTCGAGCAGAGAAAGGTCAGTAGCTGAACCATCTGCTTCGGTTTACATATAGCATCTTCGGATAGCGATTCCTCTTCCTCTTCCTCCTCCTCATCATCATCCTCATCCGATTCAGACTCGGACGATGATGCTCCCGGACCTTCGAAACCTGTTACTCCTGCCGCTGTAGCAGAGCCGGCTCGACCGAGAAGACGACAACCTTCCCGATCCCTCTCCCCTACCGTTCGTGATGTGCCAGCGTTCGCTCCTCCTCCCACCACGACTGCCAAGTCGGCGTCGACAACATCTCCCAAGGTCAACGGAAAGGGCAAAGAAAAGGCAATCCCGGCTACGATGGAGGTGGATGACGTAGAGCCGGACAATGACGAGGATGCCATCAGGGCCGATTCCGACGATGACGACGAGGACGAAGGCGTAAAGAGCAAAAATGCGCGGGAAGAGGAAGAGGTGGAGAAGAAGGCCCTGGAGGAGAGACAGGCGAGGTTCAGAAAGCTGTGGATGGGCAAAGTGGTCACGGCGTTTGGGAATGACCTGGAACAGCTGCGCAAGGTGAGCACGAAGACGATCGATGTGATGCTTGTTACCGGTTCGGGCCGAGAGTCTCAAGCTGCATACTCCGCTTTTATGCCATGCCTGCGTTGTAGGATGAACCTGGTCTGACGGGGTCCAAGTTGGAACTTCTGATCGAATCGCTTGCTGCTGGTGAGATCAAGTCCTACTTAACGCTTGAGGTTGAAGGTCGTTTCACTGAACCATCAAATTCGCTCATACAGGTACGGAAGTGTTCAGCGACGGTCGCAACAAAAAGGACGACGGGTCCATGGAGGTCGACGAGATTGGAGTTGTGCTAGGAGATTGAGCTGTGGGTCCGGTCCGGGCAAGCATGACGAGGCTACACACAGCCTGTGTATACTAGATATAACGACATCCATTTCGTGCGACTCGCTCTCGGCAACAAATTCGGTCGCACATTTTCGGTTCGCTCTCCCCCTTCGACACGACTTTATGAGGGTCTGCAGATGAAGAGTACTACGGTGCCATCAATCTGGCTAGTCGCTTGGGGACTCTGGGGAAGGAAAGCGATGCGAGCGGGGAAAGATCGGGACTCATTTACCAGGAACATGGGTGGTCATGAGGGATCTCATCGTTCTTAGCATTGTGGACCCCAGCTACCTTGCCTGTCTCCATACCGCTCAACCGCCTGTATGTCCTCTATATTTGCAACAGCAAGAGCTATACTTTTTGGCAAAAACAAAACATGACTGGCATCGGTACTGTTGCATCCGTTGAAGTCATTTGCAGTGTGACAGGTCCAAACCTCTCTCGCGAGGCGGATACCGGGTTTTCTTCTTTAGCCCAGATCGTGTATATCTAATAGTCGCCCGTGGTTCGGAAGCACATCTATATGCTGAATCTGATACAACCTCTTCGACCATGTACACCATGCGACCTAGAAATAATGCCCAAACTTGCTCTCCAACGTCTCGTAGATCAGAAAGATCATTGCACTGCTCGGTGCGCTTCTCATGACCGTGACCCCACACCCGGCGTACAGTCCTCGGATCCCTCGAGACTTGTAAATTTTTTTGGCCACCTCGAAGAATTTGGGAGCCGGTCGAGCGCCCTTTTGTCGGCTCGGGTCTGTGAGCGTGTCGTGCTTGCTCAATTCGGCCTGGGTCTGCATGGCCGACTTGACACAGTCGGCAGGGAAGAGGACGATGTTGTAGCTCATCCCCGCGCTGGCGCCAGCCAAGACCAGCTCCCACGTGCTCAAATCCTTTTTGCTGAGTGGTACCCGTTCGCCTGTCAACGGGTCCGTGGCCGTCCGGCCGTTTTTGGTGTGGTAGGAGAGGAAAGCGCGGGATACGACTTCGTACGCCGAGAACCAGGCTGCGGAACCTCCCGTCTCCCGGAAGAGCGTCCCCACTTGCCCCAGCCAAAGGCCTCGGATGCCGTGTTCGGCGATGACGGATCGGATGATCGCGCCTGGGCCTTCGAGGGGAGGACGAGCGCGAGTCGTGATGGGCGATTTCAAGGTATTGGCTAGGGGTTTTGATGTGATTACAGGATGGCTAGTCGAGGACGAGGCGAGCGTGCATGGTCGACCGGCAATTCCAGTGTGCAGAGGCGTGGATGTTGCTGCTCCAAATGTGCCCTCTCGCGCCAGAGCTTGCACCTGCATCGTACACTTGACGAGCTCGATAGGGGTTCTGTAAAGTGAGAGTCATCGACGTGAGCTTTTCCGAGATCCGAGGCGGCATTCGCAACTCACAAGACGAAACTCGCAAACGCTCCCGCCATACCCGCCGCCATGGCCAATTCTCCCATGCTCATCTCCCTCCTCTTGCCCCTAGCCTTTTCGCTCAGCGGTTCTCCATTCTCGAGCGACGCGATGGGGCTACCAAAGATCGTATGACCCGGTCGAGATGCCGAGCGGATGAGTTCTTGAATCTTGTTGTAGACGAGAAACAGACTGGCATTCTCTGCTGCTGCTCCGACGATGGGTGCCGAGATGCCCTGGAGACGTGAGAGTAGCTTGGCGACGATCAGCGCCGGGTCAGGACGGGCGTGGAGCAGGGCTTTACGCGGCGCACTCGGTACAGTCCCCTGGCTCCCTCTTTAGCAAAGGTCTGCTTGAAGCAATCCAGAGGTCCCTGGTAGGCGGGAGGCCGATCCGTAGGCTGTGATTGAAGTCGGACTTTGACTGTGAGGATATAGGGTCATTTTCGGGTCAGGAGACTCGAGAGATGGTTGTACGAGCCGCTCGGAGCTTACCCAGGTCGAACGGATGCTCGAAGAGCTTCGAGGTCATGCCTGCTATCTGCGAGGTGGTCTCCGGTTCAGAACGAGGCGGTTGCAAAGCTCGTCATGGTTCACAGACTCACCGAACCAAAGGTGATATCCTTCAGGGCCCCCGAAGCGTTCCCGACGTCCAGCGGTGCGGCGTCTTCAGACATTGTTTGACTGGTTCGAGGCGAGCTCGTTACGGTCCGGTCCGATCCGCTTCAACAATGAGGTCGTGGAGGTCGTTGACGTCGAGAGTAAATGACGATTGAGGTCGCCGGTCTCCGCATCTTGGCGACTCTACGACGATAACGTTCTCCTTTCGATTCGAGGGATGCTGCTTGTCGGTCGGAAGCAAATGATGCGACAAAAAGCACGTGATATGACCAGTTCAGGTCGGGATCAACCGAAAAAGACGCGCATTTCGGGCAAAAAAGATTGACGACGCCTGCAGGATTTGAACCTACGCGGCCAGAGGCCAATGCATGGCGAATAATGAATTCGAGTGCATCCCATTAACCACTTTGGTAAAGCGCCTTGGTTATCTCCTAATATCCTAAATACAATCTAAATCAAACACACACTAGCAAACTCTGGCCAATCACGCGCGGTTTAATGCCCGATGACTGGAAAAAAAAAACAGGGAGCTTCCGCGACCGATCAGCCGTCAGGTCATCAACGATTGATCGATTGATCGATTGACCGATGATCGATACCTCTTCCCCCTCCTCGATCAGCACACCCTTCCTACATAATTGCCGTGGTCAATTCAGAAAATCAGATACATTAAAGCAGTGATCACCCACCCAACCCATTCCCTTCGGGGTTGTGGCGGCGACGGTCGGCTGAATATTGATGATTGATGAAGTTCTGCGGTCAGTAAAGGCAATTGATCACCCACCACAGTTCTTGTGGCGTTGACTGGTCGGCCTGATCTGACCAAAGACGATCAAATCCTTCAAGGACTGTTTGTTGATGAACCCTGTGATTTGGGGGGATTCGCAGCAGTCTGGTGATGTGTTCCGCTCTCGTGATTTGAGGGCAGATTCGCAAGAGCAAGCTTCGACACCAGCCAACAAATCGATCGGTCTCCCCGTACCAGTCCAATCGAGGATCAAGGTTCGCACGTTCTTTCCGCTGCTCGGCGATGCATCGCCGCTTTCGTGGTCAGTTGCGATGCAAATCGCAACTACTTTCTCAGACGTAAGTAATCGTCTCTCGTTCTGCTACCTTTCACGGAAATTGGGGATGAGCTTGGAAGTGGTGGTCAGAAGAGCGAAGTCATGTATTAGGCTTGCCTGCAAGCCGGGAATAGTATCACACGGGACTAGAAGGTAAGGGTAAGGTAATGAATGTAATAACGGATGTAGTACAACTGGTACTACATTACAGTAAACACATAGGGGGTGTTCTAGATATACTCCGTACGGGAACTCCCATCGGAGGTCCCTGTAAAATTACCCGACGCGGATGTTTGGTACGCGTACCGCGGATACTATAACAGCATGACCAAGAACGGGGGGGAGATGCTGCCAATTTTTTTTTCTGGGAGCAAACCCCAGGCGAGTCGTACCGGTATCAGGATCGATGGTTCAGCAAAAAGAAGTCATATTGTTCGACATAAGCGGAACTTACATGTCAAATATCCAAAGCCCAGCGTTTCACGCGTTGACCTTTACGCATGGCGCGCGCCGCGCGCCCGTGCTATAGCTCTGGCTGAGTACTACTCTACACTCCCCACATCACCCTCTCTTTCGTCCAGTCCATGGCTGCCGCTTGCTTCTTCGCCGTTGCCCTCACCGGCATAGCTCACTATGTACCTAGCGAGTTCATCATTATTAGTCATCGAGCTATCAGAGTATCAACAATCTGGCGCGTGCTGCCTCCGTCTTTCCCGGTCGCGGAGCACCAGGTCGCTGACCTCAAACTTCGTCAAATATATCGACTCATTCAACATTCCTCTGGAACAGTGGAATACGGTTGTTAGCATCGAATTGCTCACCTAGGGTACATGATTGGTCATTCAGACAAATCAACGCCTCCACTCGTCTCGCTACAGCGTGTGTACAAATGGCATTCGACACTCACACTGATAAGGCTGGCTTGGCCATGGGATCCTCCATCGCCATCACGACGGGAACATGACGGCGTGGAGTGCCATTCGCAGACAATCTGCTCGCAATTTCCACCTACTGAAACAATATCATCAAGTCTAAGAAGGGAGGGCTTTCCGTCCCTGTCGCAGGCCAAGCTCGTTCAAAATATATCAGCCAGGCAATCTCGCTCGATCCTGCAAGCTTCTTCGATCCAGCCCTCCTCGTGTTCCCAACGTCCGATGGGCCGAACCGGTCACGGCCGCATAGTACAAACTGCTGTCCGCCACTATGAAGAAAGGCCAGTAAGACGTTTCAGACGCCTAGTAAATCCTTCCAGTCACCTCTGATGCCGGGGGCGGCTACATGGACTTTCTCTGTGGCGCACCAAACCCTCCCCTCGCGCTACCACCCGTTCGTATCCGTTTGCATTGCCGTTCGTCATGTCCAAAAGGCCGAATAACCTAACCTTTGACGGTCGGGTCTGGGCAAATAAATTTCCTCGAAGCCATTCCAGTCCATCGTCATACAACAAAAGGTACATGTGGCAGAATTTTTTGTCTCGTGTCAGATGACTTGGCCTGTTTAAGAAAGAGCACTTGACTTGATACGTGTTCACAGAATGCATAATGAGATGCCTATATCGTCTTTCGCGCTGGTGTGTGGCCACCTATATACATCGAGACTCGAATCTCATGCTGCGACTCATACGGTCTCTCCAAACGAATCCAACCCCAGTCCCAAACCAGCCAAGTTCCCGCCCGCGCTCGGCCTCCACAGGCTCCTCAACGTAGCTTCTCCTCTCCACAACCGTCGTCCAAAGATGACGGTCTCCCTAGCAAAGATCTCTCCGAACCCGAGCATGACACCGTTGATAAAGGGCAGGATGAGGTTGATCCCGACCACGGCGGCAATCCTCGCGATCGAGCGGTGAGAAGGCGAGGTGAAGAGGGAGAGAGTGAGGGAGGGGGGTTGGTAAGGCGGGCCAGAGAGTGGGGAGGGAGTAGGAATAGGTCCAATCTCGACCTTGTCGTCGTCCTTGTTTTTGGAGTCTGATTGCGATTTCTCGTCCCCAGACCTTCGGGTCGACGAGAAGCTCGACGAAGAGGCCACGGCGTTGGTACTGGTAGACCTGGAGGAGACGATCTTTGAGGACGAAGAAGCTCCAGCCTGTCCTTGGCTCTGCGAAGGAGCGCTAGGTTCGGTAGCTCCCTTCTCGGCAGCGATGGATTCCGAGGCGTCCTTCCACGAGGTTCCGACGGCTTGACGACGGTTGGAAGCGTCACCAGTCTCGGCGCTGAGGAGGTCGTTACGTCGCTGAGCCGAGGCGGGAGTAGGGTCTAGGTTACCGTCTCCCTGGCTGATCTTGGTGATGGTCTCGTGTGCTTGCTGTCAAGACGAGAAGGTGCGATCAGCACACCTATGCAGATACTGATACGTTGATAGCGACCAGGGCTGACCTTGAGGACCTCGGCCCCCTGCCTGTGACCGGGCTCGGCCAACCCGCCGGCATCACCAGCGGTAAGATCCCTAGGATCCGCCTCGACCTCGTCATCCGGTACGGTGGCCGACGACCCATCCCTGACAATCTCCCAAGCGTCCCTGACGGCGTTCCATCGTTTCCTCTCCTTGTCCTGCTTGACCTGGGACGACCTCCTCTTCTGGCCAGCGATGGACTTGCTGCTCGAAGCGGGAGCGTTCAGCAGCTCCTGCAACTTGCGCTCGACCTCGGCGTCCTCTTCTTCCTGCTTCTTACGCTTCTCCTCGTCCTTCTTCTTCTGAACGTTCTCCTTTTCAAACCTGACCCGCTCCTCTTCCAACCTCAACCTCGTGCTCTCGCTCTTGGTCCTAGCGACCGAGCTCTCTCCCCTCCAGACCTCGAGGTTCTTGTCCAAGACCGACTTCCAATCCTCGTCAGCCTTGGCCGTGTTCTTGGCGGTCTCGACAGGGTTCTCGACGCTGGAGGGGTCACCGGACTGGTCGCCCTTGTGAGAAGACTGGATGGGATCCGGGGCGTCCTCGTTCTGGTTCTGCTCGGCGGGGATGATCAGGGTAGGCTGGTCGAGGTGGATGTCGGTCAGACCGGCTTCGGCATTCTTCTCCTTGGGCACCTTGGGAGAAGGAGGAGGGAAGGAAAAGGAAGAGACGAAGGAGGACTGTGAAGTGCGATGATGAGAGGTGAGCGGGAGATACAACGAGAACGGCGGCACCGAGTTGTTCACCGACTCACGGCGAGCGAGTCGTCACCGCTGTCGTTGTTGTGTTCGTTGGCCATGTCTATAGCTGTTTTGTTCGTTGTAATGATGCACAGGGGATACAGATGGTAGTAACAGCGGAGATGGGCAGAAGTAGTCGACCCTTAGTTGACTTGCATGTATGATGCGATGAGCTGCTGCTCGACGACAATTCCTAATTCCCAACTTCCCTCGCATCGATCTCGCTGCGTCGATCGCGTCATTTGCGCGTTTCAGCCAATCAGGTCACGTATCACATTACTACTCCCAAGGTCGAGGTATCAATTCATTATTCTGGGTCGTCGTCATTCGTTTCATCATACTGATACACCGCACACGGTCAGGGTCATAGAGTGTCATCGAAGGGGAACCTCGTACGAGGCTCTCCTCCGCTTTTTGGTCGCTCGCAAAAGCGGCATCTGGATTTTTTCACCGTGACCCCGGCAATTTACCCGTCCATGACGAGATGTCGAATCTCCCACAACCTCTTCTCCTCCCTTCTCCTCGCTCGGTCCATCTCCTTGTCCACATCCCTGCCTCTCATCCTCTCCGCCTCGGAAGCCCCGTACCACCCCTTCATCTCATGTGCGTGTCTCCGCTCGGCAGCCCGGGTCTCTTTGTACAAGTCTTCATCGACCCAGGTCCACCCGCTCAGGTCGTAGTCGGTCGAAGAACCTCCGGGTAGTCGAGAGCTGGCTAGCGATATCGACCGGTCCCCGATGTTATTGTTATGGAGGTGGTTCAATTCGGCAGGCGAAGGATGTCCGAGTTTGCCAGAGAGGAGGTTCCTGCCCTGTCTCAGGTCCACCTTGGCCTCGTCGACAAAGTCGTCCGAGACGTCTGAATGCTGCGACCGTGACATGACGCTAGAGGGTGTCGCCGTGTAAGCCGTAGAGACATCGCTGATAAACCTCCTCCCGTAGGCCAAGCTTCCCGCTCTAGCGCTAGGTTCCCTGAGGTCGAGCCCGGTAAACGTGCCCTTGGTGATTGTCCCCCCTCCCCCTCGCCGGTCTTGCCAAAAGTCATCCTCATCGTCCGCCAATCCTTCGAAAGGATCCGGATCTTCCTCCTCTTGTGGTAGTGTGCTCATCCAACACATCTTTTCCGGATCAAACATCATGTTGCCGACGACCCTGACCGCGTTGCTCGTGGTCGACGTGTTGCCAACTGCATGACCACCACTCGCGTCTGCCCCATTACCGTGCCCGTGAGCGATAAAGCCGTTGCCCTTGCTGTTCTCCTTGTCATGAGGAATGGGGGATACCGGTTTCATCCCATGCTGAGGAGCTCGATAGGCGATCAACGCCGGTCGAACGGAAGAGGCGAGCTGGTTGTCAAACTCTCTCAGCACGCCGTAATTACCCTCCCAGCGCAAGGTCTGCGGGTTCCAGGTCATCTCCCCAACTGAATACCCAAAGGATGATTGGGTTCAGCCTTTATGCACTATGCTCTGACTGGTGAAGAAGTCTTCGAGACTGACCTTGTTTCTTCTCCAACTTGCCCAGGTGTCGGATGAGTCCGGCCTTCTTCCTTTCTTTCCGCGCAGGGGTAGCCAGCGAGCTTGCGATGGAAGAACTCGTCGCGGTAGATGCGAGCGGTTTCTTGCGCTTTTCTCCGGTCGAGGTAGAGATATGCGATGAAGAAGATGTGGAAGGTTTCATCCTCAATGATCCGGCTGATCGTTTCATAGCGTGTGGAGCGGGTGTCAGTCTCGTTTCGAAGTCTGTGCTAGAAGAACGCCTTGTAGACTCACAGTCATGGTATGACGGTCGACCGAGTCCTAACCCCCCGCTGGCATTCGTGTTGGCGCTATTCGGCAGCCCGCTGATATACGAAGAAGATGCATGACTCGCCATCGAACCCGACCCACTTCTGGAAGATGGCGTGAAACTCTCCTTGGAGCGATCCACCACCAAATCATCGAATACGTCGAGCTCGGTCCCATCGCCGTACGTCCGTGTCGTCTTTGGCCTTCTCAGCACGTGGGCGATGGTCATGTGAGGGTTATTGTTCATGTTGGAAGGGAGAGGCGATTGTGACGAGTGGGAGGGATTGCTAGCCGAGGAAGAAGGTCGATTGAAAGCCGAGCCGAGGGGAGGTCTCGACTTGCCCTTGGACGCAGAGACGGGAACAGTTTGCGTTTGTCGATGGGATTGACCGTGATCAGACGGGATCCTTGTCATCGCCGGCATGGGTGGCATCGGTTGATTTACCGCCTCGCTGAACCTTTCTCTGCTCTTTGCAGCCTGTCGCGCGACGCTAGAGGCAGTCGGTGCCACGTATGAAGGTACGCTGGGTGAGTCGGCCTGCTGACTAGCCATAGCATCGCGAAGACTGGCAAGGGACTGTTTCTTAGCGAACACTGGCCCAGGCGTCGCCGTGGGCCGGTCGTTTAGCCTAGAATGGGACTTTTGCGTGCGTAATCGGTGTGGAGTGGATGGTCCTGCAACAGCTGGAGACGACGTGACCGCATCGACCATGACTCGACCCGAATCCGTCTTGCGTAGCTTGGCCTCTGGCGATTCGACCTTGCCGCTAGTCTTCCTCTCCCGGAACAAGTCACCCGAATCGTAACGTCCTCTAGACCCACCGGAATCCTTGCGCAGGGTCCCGTTGGCCCCCTTGGAGGAAGGAGTTGCGGGAGGCAACCTCGCCTTTCTCAGCCTGCTCAGCCTTCCTTGGTTAAGCTCAGCACCTTCTTCCTCGAGCACCAGCCCATCCTCGAACGCTTCTTCGTGTACATCATAGCGCGACTTGGCAGCCGACGAGATGGTGGCACGAGTCAACCGGGAAGCCTTGAATGTACCCGAGTCTGGGACGGTATGATTCTTGCCAGCCTGACTCGAACCCGAACCGTGCATTGAAGGCGGAGGATGAGCCTTTCTCTTCCTATCCAGCAAATTGTTCAACTCGCGACTCTGACCGGAGGAGAAGAAGCTCGGCGTGGGAAGCACAAAGTCGTTTTCGAAATCGTCAATCTCATCAGCGACCATGATCGACCTCGAGTGGATGTCGGTTTCGGATTGATCTGTGACCGGCATTGATGCAGACGTAATGGATGTCGAGCTCGTGCTCGGGCTGGCAAAGGCCGACCGGTGCGGATCACCAATGTCCCGATCCCAATCGGATCTCGAGCTGTTGGTGACAAGGGAAGAACGGGACGACCGGTGTCTCAGCCCCAAGGAAGGGTAGTCCTTCTTGTTGGCGAGTTTGAGGTGTTCTAACGTGAGAGGTAGTGCAAAGTCTGCTTCGAGATCGCCGTCATCTAGAGGTTTGGGTTCTTTCCGCTCCGAAGACTTTTGCAGGTTACCCTTGTCCGCAAAGGGTTGGCCAGGCCCGAACCTATCTCTCAACCCTTTGAGGGTAGCAGAACCCGCTTTCAACGTCGACTCCCTCTCGTCCTCATCCATCATCGCATCAAACTCGTCCCAATCCGTCTCCTTGTCCCCCACCGGTCGGACAAGCCGTAACGGTAGACCAGCCGCACGAGCCGGCATCTTCAAGGTCTCTGTCTGCTCGTCAAAGTCGTCCCCGAAGCCGTCGTCTTCTTCGAAGGCATTATCGAAGCCTCTGTCCTGCCTAGTATCCCTCCCCGGCTTCTCGAACTGCCCAGACGCTTGCATCGCTTTCATGCTGTCCAAGCTGATGAACCCCGCCTTCCCACCCGCTGATGACGCCTTGACGTTGGGCACCGGGACCGAAGGGATATGCCCGGTCTTGAGCTTGATCGTGCCCTGCCCGTCATCTAGGTCTTCGATATCGTCGAAGCCCGCCATATCATCCTCTTCAAATGGATCGTCCGGAAAGGAAGGTCGAGAGCTGTTTTGGAGCGGTGTATGAGAAGACGAGGCAAAGCTCGTCTGTCGGGAGGAGGGTGCATGGAAGGGTCGGTCCGAGGGGAGCTCAAAGTCCCCATCGTCCCAATCTTCACGAGGAGCAAAGGTCGTCGCGGGAGGTAGGTAGGCCATGTTTCCTGAGAGTTGTCAACTGTCGATCCGTAGAGCTTGGCTAGATTCGATTTGATGAAGAGCTGCCGGAATGCAGCATAATGACGTTTCCTATCAGCACTTGTACGGCTGCCGTCCTAGCCATCGGACTCACAAATCCGAGTCAGCTTGTTGAGGGTTTCCCGATTCGTCAGATGTAAAGAGCGTTGTAGTGATAATCGTTGTCGAGGGTCGTTGTCGTTGTCGTATCCAGTTACAACAGGAGAGTCATAGAAGAGGTGATGTTGTTGTTGTCGATTCCTTTGTTACCGTCCGTCATCGTCCCGTCATCACTAGCCGGTCTAGGAGGTTGCGCAGACTATGTTGTCAGAAAAGATCGCAGAGATTCAGGTGGGCGTGAGCAAACTCCATGTCAACAGGGTCATTGACGAGGTTATAGTATCTTCGATCTATCAATCAACAAAAGGGTGGGAGACGAGCCAAGGACCATCAGCAGATCAAACTCCGTTCGCGTTCCAGCAGGGACGCGCGCGGGGAACTTGAACTACATCAAGGCGCAAGGCATATCAAGGCAAGTGTGAACGATCCAATCGCCAGGGCGTAGGTACGCATGCATGCATGATGTGTTGACAGAGTAGTGGTATGACCTATCCGCATCTATAGTTCCCTCTTGACCAAACCCAACCCGGACGAAACGCTGCCCCACCACCGTCCTATCCATCCCAAACTGATCTTGTTATAGCGTACCAGCGCGTAGACGATCGCCGCAGCCCCGCCCGTGACTCCGGCTACCCCAAGGTAAGTCAGCATTGTTCTTGTCGTCATCCTACCCGTCGATGGTCCTCGTGGAATGGAAGACGTCGGATCAAGGGCGACTCGTGTGATGGTAGTCCAGAGATTTGGTACCGAGCCTAACCGGACACTGACGGACATTGGGACGGGGAGCCCAAGTTTCCGTGCATACACATCGGGTTGTAGCTCGTATCGCTGCAACCTCGCAAGTCAGTGCAATTCATGGCATTCAGAGCAACCACGCTTTAGCTCACCTGTTGTGTCAGATCCAAGTCTGCCTTGGTCGCGACAAAGACGCTCGGTATGTGATCTAACGTATATGACTCCTGCTCGACCGAATCACAAGTCGATTTAGCTTTCTGTGATACTGGTCGTCTTCAGAATAGGTCTTTGAACTGACTCTGATGTTGGCGAGATAAGAAAATGAGTTGGCATCGCTCGAATCGTAAAGGTAGATGATGACGTCGGCCATATCGAGCCTTTTCCGGCTCCGGAGAACCTCGCTCTCGTATTTCGAACCGAATTCTTGCAACTGTCAGTCAACGAGATAGATTTCGACATGATGAGCAATGTCCTCGTGGGGTCAGACAGCGTGAACGCAATAAGCACTCACCACCAAGTACTTTTCTCCGCCACCCATCTCTACCGAATTCACCGCGCTCATCGTCCGGCTCGTCGGTTCGTACCCCACGTCCCCCAATTCTCCTCCTCGGAACCGCTTGCTCAAGAAGCTCCTTAAGAGGCTCGTCTTGCCTGACCCTGCGGCCCCAACGACGTAGCACAAAAAGACGTTCCTTGTCACCTTTTTCTGGCGACGTTCGGTCTTGCGCGGCCGTGTGATCTTGAGGGCGGTAGTCGTGGGCATGTCCAGTGAAGAGGGTGAAGAAGTGTATCCCAAGCTGTGCAATTAATAAGGGGGTTAGCTATTCCAATGTAGATTGACTTGCCACGACTTTACATACTATGCAAGGTAGGACAAGGTCGTCTTGTGATCCAATAACGTCGTCATACTACCGAGAGCGCACGAGGACTAGCGTTGAGCCAGCGAGCTTTCCGTCTTGATCGCAATATCCGACTCACCTCCACTGCGCCAGCCACCCTTGCAGCGTGACCTTGCCGGTCTCATCTGTTATTGTCGTCCCCGGGAACCCCTGTACGATCCAAGGGTTACCAGGCGAAGTTGAGAACAGGTCGTCCAGCTCCAATTGGGAAAGTGCACCGTCTTGATCCTGCGAGTCCGGTAGTCAAGCATGGCCCAATCAGCGAGAAGATAACAGACTGATGCTCTGAAACGGGACTGACTCGATCGTATGCCTCAAAGATGTCTGTCAGGAACTGGTTACCGAGTGGGCTCAATTCGACCGAACAGTCGCCAGGTACGTCGAACCTGAATGGCCAAACGAACTTTAGTTTCGCTCGCCTTCGGTCTGTTCCTGATTCCACGTCAACGCACCTTGGATTCAACACGTCATCCGTCAACTCCAACCCTTCACCATAGCCAAACTTCCTCAATACGGTCCACGTCGTCTCCATCCTCCCCTGCTGTACAAAGATTGTATGCAGGTAGAGGAAACCGAGCTCGGTGATCCCCTCTGAAGGGGACATCGAGGTCGAAGGTGCCGTCGACATGACAGGCTGGACGCAGGAAGGGTCGTACGCCCTGACGAGCTCGAGAATACCTTCAAGTTCTTGTAGCTGTAATGGCGTTTGGAAGCATTTTTGCTGCGGAAAGGTCGCGCGGTATCGACGTGTCAGACCAGATTCATCCAAGAGAACGTTGAAAGACCGATTTACCTGGAAAGCGTTCAGCTCGTTGGCATTCAACAATCCATCCTTGTCTTGATCCGAGACCTTGAAGATCCGGCGCAGGGCATCCGTGCATTTTGGCTTCAAGATCTATATCGCGTCGTTCGAGCAATCCTCCAGTCAGCCTTTTCATGCTCTCATCTGTTTCTGCAATGTGGACTCACATGCTCTCGACTGTCATACAAAGGCGCCGTCGGGTGCAAGACTGCTTTTTGAGCGAAATAAAAGACTTCTGAGACGTTCAGAGGGATCTTAGCCGAGCATTCGACGACCGTCTCGATTTCCTGCAGTAGTGCAATTCAGGCCCACAAGGAAATACACATGGTAAGGAACGAAAGAAACGAGAGGTGAAGATTTAGCTTTCACGTAGTTTTCATGCTACAACGCCATGCCATAGAGGAAAGACCAAAAAAATCAATAGAAGAAAGAAGAAGGACCCACCTTGAACTCTCTCATCAGAGGCCCTATCTCCTCCTCCAAAGCCTCATTCGTAACCTCGCCTCCTCTCAAGTCGATCTTGTTCCCAACCAAGATAACCGGCACATTAACTCCCTCTCTCCGGAAGAGGGGTAACCAGTACTCTGCTACGCGATCGAAAGAGGCTGGATCGGAGATGGAATAGACCAGGCAGATGACGTGGGCGCGAGGGAGGGTTGTCAGGAGGTGGTTGCGAGAGGAGGGGGAGGCTGCGGTATGATGCGAGCAAGCGAGCCGATACGGGCAGCGATATGGTGTATGAAGGACCGAATGATCGCAGGAATCGCGACGGCGGAAGAGGATAGTCAGAGCTGGAGCTTTGGCACAGTGGCACAAGAAGAAGGGAGAGCTTACAGGAAGAGGAAGAATCGATGATACAGGTCGTCACATTTTCCGGAGTAACTTCAGGTGGAATCGTCACCTCCGGCACGACGTGTTGGACCTATTCTCATCGACCGATCCAATCGAGCAAGCATGGTACGTCATGTATCGTATCCGGTGCGGGTTTCGGTGAACAGCAGAGATCACGGATGCACGCCGAGTTGGAACGAGTTGAAGCGTTAATAATTATTGGAGGAGAATTAAATCAGTAAGGTCCCTTTCAAAGCTGCGATATGTCCAGGGAACCGATTCTGAACCGGGACTCACATGTTGTACGAAACTCTCCTTGATCAAGCTTGTGATGATCGTACTCTTGCCCACCCCATCTACAAACAGTAATGATGATTTCAATGATCACCGTAGCAAGGGGAAGTCTGTTCAGCACAAGTACATCCGATTTTACTCTGGAGCTCCGGGTCGAGCTTCTAATGAGCTGCCCGGACGCCGGACTCACCGTCCCCAACCATTAAGATCCTGACGGTGTCTCTCCTAGGCATTATTATGTTTCACCTGCTACGCTTGTGCGATTGTGCAATCCGAGCTCCTTTGCTGATAGGTGTTGGGAAAGGAATTAGGTGTGATTTGGTTCGTCGCGCGATCCGATTAAGTCAAGAATAATCGCGATTCCGTGGCCGTGATCGTGAGAGGTCAGACACCTGAGCGATTTATCGTCCAAGAGTATTACAGCTAGCGAAGGAGGGCGTGCCGGGGAGTGCAGGATGTGTGATGCTGTGGAAGATCTATGATCCTAGATATCCTAGTGATCTATCGAAGTAAACGTCTTGAATCGATGATGGTTGCCCTCGGGCGAGCAGAGCGTGCGGCTGCAAGTAACCTTGAATGCGTTACGTAAGCGCATGGACTCGGCAAGGGGAACAGAGACGGCCTTCGGCATCGGTCTCCGGAGCGGTGATCGTCGTCGCAAGAGGTCATGTCATGCATGTCAGCTGCTATAGACATATGCGACCATGTCACGATCAATACAACTCGACTCCCCTTGCAAAAGCTCGAATAGGGAGGAGATGCGAGTATTTCTGACGTAGCTAGTTACATCTTCCTCGAAATCACAGCTGAATATCAACCTGGATCATCGCAATATCTCAAGGCAATCATGGATTACACCAACATCCTCGAGCGCATCAACACCTCGTCATGGTCCGCTCAGCAGGAACAAGTGAGAGTCATCTTGCATAGCTTGCATTGTCCTCCATTTCACATCTCGAACCGGCACCTCTGATACACTTCGCCTTATTCTCGATTCAGATTCTCTTGGAACCGTATACCTACCACTCTCAGATTCCAGGCAAGGAGATCCGTTCGAAACTCATCGAAGCGTTTAATTTGTGGTTGGACGTACCGGAAGACGATCTGGAGGTGATCAAACGGATCGTGAGAATGTTACATAATGCTAGTCTTCTGTGAGTGGCAAACGAGATGATTTGATGTGCAAGTCGTTACTGTATTGATGTTCCTGATCATCCCGTTCCTTTTTTTTTCTTGATCCATGTCCCCTCCTTCTCCTCTTCCTCAACTCCCCAAAACTGCTCAGGATGGACGACGTAGAAGATTCTTCAGACCTCCGCCGTGGCATCCCCGTAGCCCACAAGATTTACGGCGTACCGCAGACGATCAATTCGGCCAACTACGTCTACTTTTTGGCTATGCAGGAGCTATATCGGTTCAGGGCTGGGCGAGTTGGCAAGGCAAATGCCGGGTCTAGTCTCAACGGTAAAGCGGAGGAGGCAGGAAACGGAGAGAAAGGAAAGGGGAAGGAGCGACAGAGAACGGAGGAGATGACAGAAGAGGATCAAGAGAAGGAATTGGACGAGGTCATCACTGGTGCGTTCCCCCACATATCAATACACCTGAAGCCAGGCTGTGAGTGAAACAAACCGAGAGCTGATCGGTTCTGCTCCACTGGGATGGAATAGAGGAACTACTACAACTCCATCGCGGTCAAGGCTTAGACCTGTTTTGGAGGGATACCCTGACTTGTCCGACAGAAGAAGAATACGTGGGGATGGTCCTAGGCAGTAAGTCCAAGTTGAAGACGTCAGCTTCTAGATTTGCTGAAAGGGTACGGGCTGATGAAGGGATTCCTGGGGTGATGCTTGGGTCGCAGAAACGGGAGGATTGTTCAGGATAGCTGTCAAGTTGATGATGGCCCGGAGCGAATCATCCGTGTAAGCTGCAACCTGGAGCATATCGTGCTTGGTTTCGTAACTTTGACTGACCATGGCTCAACCTCACAGCGACTACACCCCCGTGGTCAACCTCATTTCCCTCCTATTCCAGATAAGAGACGACTATCAGAACCTTCAATCGACCGAGTACGGAGAGAATAAAGGATTCTGCGAGGACCTGACGGAAGGCAAGTTTTCGTTTCCGTTGATACACGGGGTGAGGAGTGAGAGGGAGGTCGGGAAGCGGGAGATCTTAAGTGGGTCATTGCCATTCGTTTACTTTTTCGACGCTCACGTGCTGATGAAAACAAGGCTGTGCTTCACGTACGCTTACGACTCGTCTCACAGACGTACTCCAGAAGCGCACCACTGACCGGTCCCTCAAGGCGTACACGGTCAAGATCATGACCGAACGTACAAAGTCCTTTGAGTATACGAGAAAGGTATTGAGGGAGCTCGAGGGGCAGGTACATGCCGAGATCGGGAGGTTGGGTGGGAATAGGGTGCTAGAGGGGATCGTCAAGGGTCTCAGTCTAGGGGTGGAGAAGGAGGCAGGTGATGTATGATCGTCGCGAGGAGCATATGATATCGGGTGAGGGAGAGGTACACATACGCACATATATAATAGGTCGAGCTCAAGCATCGCGGCTGTTGTACGCATTCTACGAGTAATTTGCATTCGCATCGAGGTGTATTAGTCATACTGGAAAGTCACGGTCGACGAGTCTCAGCTCTGTCTCCTCCCCCGCAGTTCCGGGGAAACGGGGTTTCGGTCCTGTCATCACTCAGGCCCCTATCAGTCGTCGTCGTCGATATATACCCCTTGCCACCACCAATTAAGAGGTATATACAATCAACTACTACATACGACACTCCAGCTTCTTTTCTCTGCTCTGTCCGTCTCGAGGATTCGGGAGCACCCTCTTGAAATATAGCGATAAATAGATCAATCACACATCCACCACCTCTCGCTTTGATCGCTTGATTGGTAACCGCGCTGGCGAGCGATATAATACAATACGAGCAGCCGAGTTGGAGACATACGAATAGACATATGAACTTCGATCTATAGATCTAGGTGAGTCCAAGATTTTGGCGGAATAGCCCTTTCGACCGAGCTGCATAGCTGATGATCGGATCGTGTGACTTGCCTCTCTATCATCGATGACTTCGATCGAAACGTCGCCGTCACCGCTCACGCGCGTACAGCCTCAAGCTATCGAGATAACATAACATAACCTAGCATCATCATCGGAGCATCGGCCATATTCAGGACGACGAGCACCATATAAACATCATAGTGGAAGACGGAAGATGGGCAACAACCAATCGAGCACTCGGGGCGGTCGATCCGCCTCTAGCTCACGGATGTCTCGACCTATGAGGCAAAGACGAGAACGGACGCATAGCGGTGGGACGGCCATGGAGGTCGATGGGGATGGAGATGCGGATAGCAATAGTGTCCCGGCATCATCGATGAAGAGCGGAGAGACCAGCGGGATGGTATCGCCTTCGGGCCATGAAGCAGAGGTCGAGGCGAGTTCGAGGACGTCGCCAGAACCCGATCCAGGAATGGATCTGTACGCATCTGCGAGCGGGGCAGCTGCTGGTGCTGGTACATCAAGGCGGAGGAGGTACCAGGAATCCACGTCGACGGTATCTACCCGATCAGGTTCTTCTTCCACCGCGGGCGCGACTCAGAAACATCAAGCTACGTCAGCGGAATCCGCGGACCGGCCGTCCTTTGGGCGGAGGATCAGCAGTGCGTTTGGGAGGAGGAAGACGGAGAGGTCTGAACGTAGGAGCAACCCGTTTGAAGGTCGGGGGGAGTCTAGCTTGAATTTCGAGGGTAGCGAGAGCGAGGGCAAGGGCAAGGAAAGGGAGATGGCGACGGAGGGTTCATCTGTGGCTGGAGGAGCGATCCAGGAGGAAGTGGATCAAGAGGTCAGGCGAGATCGGGGATCGAGGGGACAAGGCGAGATGAAGCGCAGGAGAATCAGTGGGATATTCTCGGCTACTCCTTCTCGAACGAACTCGGATACCGCGTTGGCGGCTCGGACTCAGACCTTGAGCACGGACGACCAACAGAATGAAAAAGATTTTGGATCGGGAGTCGTCGTGGATCAGGTGATGTTGCCTGAAACGAGCGAGATGTTGCCTCAGTCCGCGACGTTAGTGGAAGACAATCAACTTGAGAGGCCATTGATGAAACCCGACTCAGACGATGCTCCCACAGCGGTCGAGTCGGATCCACTCAGTTCCGTACCTTCCAATCTGCCAGGATCGCCACCGGTCATCCCCCTGACGGAGACGGACCCGCTTCTGGATGACCGTCTACGAACCCTGTCTACGATTTGGGAGGTCCTCGGGTCCGACGTCGCCCGGAGCTTACCTGCTGTCGCAACGGCCGAGGCGGTCCGAAGGGCGAGTGTGACGGGTAGCATCAGATCGAGAGAGGCCGTTGTGGAAGGCCTTGCGACGCCCGTGGCGGAATACGAACCGGTCGTACCGGATACAGATCTCGCTAGTTTACCAGCGTTGCCACCCAGCACGGTCAGCCTTTTGGATGATCTCGAGGCCGATGCTAGGAGCCGGGCGACGATACAGTTCGAAACTGGTTCTCCGTTGGAAGCTTTGTTAGGTGGCTCGACGGGTCAGGTACCGACGTTACTCGACTCGGAACTTCCTGCGATCGTCATTCCTCCTACACCGGACACGCGGTCAGAGCATTTCGTACCAGAACCTGTGCAAGCGACTTCGAGTGACAACTTGTTACGTCCGCCTACTATACCGCTGTTGACTCCTCGGCCGAGCGCTTCGTCATTGCTTACCACCGGGACTGGAACCACCGACACTTCGACCACGAGCAGCTCGCAGGATAGGCGACGAAGCAGGATCGGAGGTCTCGCTGAGCGTGTGGGAAGCTGGTTCGGGATCGGCAATGTCGAAGGAAATGCAGAAGCCGAGAGGAGCCAAGCTGCTATGCAGACGGCAACACCTTCGTTGCCGGCTGCGTCAGCTTCCAGCGAGGACCCACCACCGGCATCGACAGCCCCTGCCCCTCGGCCAAGACTTCCGCAGGGGGCCGTCATGATTGTGCAGGGATTCGTGCAGACTTCGATCCCGGCTTCCCGGGAGGGAAGCAACGCTGGGGACTCGCCGGCTAGGGCTGAAAGCCCGTTATCGACCACGGTACCGCCTAGGAGTCAAGGCCCAATCAGAGCGCAATCTGCTACGGACGTGAATGCTACCGCTTCTGCGGCTACTGCTACTGCTTCTGCTGCGGCCCCCGACGAGGAGACAGCGGCCGAATCGAGCTCTAGCAGACCTATCAGACCTGATACGCCACGACGAGTTTCCGAGGGGGATCAGCCGAGTACCGCTACCCCGCGGGAGGGACGATCGGGTCGTTTCGGACGAGGAGGGATCTGGGGTAGATATAGAAGCAGTCCGGACTCTGAGCCTCCCAATTTTGCGGAACAAGCCAGAATGCTAGCTGGGCTCCTGAGGTGAGTGGCTCGAATGTCTAGCTTGCTGCGTTTTCCCCTTCTGATTGAGTCGCTCTGTACGTCAAAAGCGTTGCTACGGCTGCTACGGCTTCTTCCCTGCTCGCACTTCCCGGAGGCGCAGATGCGGCGCCTACTTCGGCTACCGGTAGCACCGCGACTGCTCCGTCCAACGGTCCTCGAGCGGCTCTCGCATCTCTTCGTAGACGGCTGCAGAACTCGAACGCCAATGCTGCGCCTCCCGCCAATGAGGAAAACGGCCTCGAACATGTGCTCCGTTCTTACATGCAACGTGCAATGAGCGGGAACGAATTGAATACTAGCTTACCGGCATCAGGTGGAGAAAGCGGCACCTCTGCAGATGCCCAAGCAGCCGGAGAGGGCGATCAGCCCGGCCTCGCTACCATTTTGCCCAATGCTGAGGAATCCAGCTTCGAAGAGTTCCTGAACAATATGCAGTACAGTCTGATCCGGACCTTGCGAGAGTTTAACGGTGATCCTACGCTACAAGCAGCGCCAAATACGCAGGCTTCAGCCCTGTCTGGCTCGACTGCGCAACCACAAGGACCTTCGAACCCTGCCGACGTCGCCGAGACGTCTTCTGAACAAGTCGGTCGACCCACTCAGTCAGCGGAAATGGAGTCTGCGCCCGTTGCTATGGAAGTGGACGAGGATCAAGGAAGCGTTCATTCGAGCGAATCGGCCGCATCGGACGAGAACCCTACTGGAGAACCCAGCCGTCTCAGCTTTTTCCGCATGTTTCAGTTTCCAGCACGTGACCAGCCTCCCCCAACTACAGCTCCTGCTCCTGGCGAGCCCGCCGCGCCTACATCTCTGATCCCGGCCGTCATCGTCGGGGTCCGATCCATCAACCGAGATATCAACACCATTAATTCACAGAACGCTGGACAGAGTCAGTTCCCGTTCAGCGATGCTGCAGACATGCAGGATCATACACAGGATGATCCTGCGCCTGCCCCTGCAGCCTCTGCTGCCACAACTACCGGTGTCACAGCCGATGCGCCTACGGAAACACCCATTCCTACGATTACGACCACCGATACCGAGACTGCCGAGCCGAATACTACCACACCCGACATCACAGATGCCACTTCTCCTGACATCGATGTTCCACCGGAGCATAGGAATCGGTTGATGCGAGCCATGCGCGCTCTGGTTCATCGTGATGGGCAACGTGCTAGGCAAGCTGAAGCCCAAGCTCAAGCTCGAGCCCAGGCGGCTGCGCGAGCTGCGGCTTTCGTGACCAACAACTATGTCATCTGGGTCGTCGGTGGGAATTACCCGGCGGGCCATCCGATCCTGACGATACCGCATCTGTTCACTGGGGAGTTGAACCACGACGATCTCTGGGCGCTGGCCGAGGCTATGGGACAGCACAAGCCTCCGGTGGCGACCAAGGACGATATTGCCAAGGCGGGTTTGAAGGTTATCAAGGGATCCGAGATCGAGAGTGCCGTCAAGACGGGTCAGGTGCACGACATGTGCCTCGACCGATGTTTGGTACGTTGCACTCGGGGTAGATCGGCTGTGTTCGTTTCAAGCGCTGATCTTGATGGATTGATTATGCAGGTCTGTTTGTCTGACTATGAACCTGAGGAAGATTGCCGAGTGATGACCTGCAAGCATGCTTTCCACGTCGAATGCATCGACCGATGGTTGGAGACCGGTAGGAACAGTTGTCCCGCGTAAGTCTTAGCCGCGATAGCAACAATCCCGAAGTAAGCTTGTACTGATTCAAGGTCTACTTCATCTGTCTAGTTGCCGGCAAGCGGGCGTCAAGACGGCTTCCAACACGGAGACTCCTCCGACCACCCAGGCTGACGCTTCCGGACCCACTTCGACTCCAGACGGAAATCTTCCAGAAGCTCAAGCCGTTCACAGCACCGAGGCTACCGCCTCCACCCAAGATCACGACACGACTATGGCTTGATGGAAATGCCTTAGTTCCATCCTTCTGCATATACGCATACGGGTTTGCCATATAGCGCATGATTACGACCTCGTTTACGACCATGTTTGCTTTGCGAGTTTCTCTGCCATGTATCGATGAGAATATCAGAATTCAGATGTATCCCTTACCTCGGCCAGCGCTTCGTCATCACCCCGGCGCATCTTACGGCATCGGCGATCGGCGCCAAAAGCGACCGATCGAGCGGGGACGGGGACGATCGACATGGGCTCGTGTAGCTCGTCTCAACCCTGCGACATCAAACATGTCCTGCGTACTCTATGCTCCGTGCTACCATCCTGAAAGGTATCGCAGGCAAAGAGACGTCGTATGATCGTCCCGAAATTCCGCACCGCCAGTCTTCCCACCAGAGTCCTCGTACAGTACCGCCCTCGCCGCAGCATGTCGTCAACCGTAGGAAAGGAAGAGAACGTCTGGGATTACCCTCGGTCAGTGAGTTTGGGTCGTACGGGAGACGAGGTACATCAAGCTGACTGCAGCTATCGCTTAGGCCTCCCGCATTAGAGAAGACTGACCGGTATGCCGTGCTTCACGCTACAAAAGAGCAGATTCTAAGCGCTCATCTCGTACATCTAGCCATCTTCGGGTAATCTGGGTGGATCAGGGGGGAATCGAGACTGTCATCGCGGATACCAAAGAAGGGTATCGAGTCCTTGAAACTAGGTAAGCGAGACATGGTACCAGCTTGGTCGATCCGATAGGCGCTGATATCGATGTTTTTCTCTATAGCCACCCCCCAACGTATTACCTTCCTCCCACCTCGATACAGCGACCCGAACTGTTCCAAAAGACCGCGAAACATACGTTCTGCGAGTGGAAGGGTGTAGCCTCGTACTTTACCTTCAAACCTCCTACATCCTCATCCGACGCGTCCGGGCCGGCCTCTGTCCCTAAGATCGAAAACCGGATCTGGACGTACGAGAACCCCACACAGCGATTCGTGCCGATCAAGGATTATTACTGTTTCTACGCCAGTTCGGGCCAGACGATTGATAGAGGATCCACTCGGGCTGGGTGGAAGTGTGAAGTTGACGGAGAGGTGGTCAAGCCTCAGGAAGGGTAGGTCGTGCCGTACCACGTATTGAGCACACGGAATGTGATGGGCTGATTTTCGCTGTTTGTGCGACACTAGCGACTTTTATGGCGGTTGGGTTCATAAAGGCATCACTGGCAAGATGAAGGGCGGTAAGTTCAATACAGCAGACTGAATGCTATGCAGGAATGTTTGCTGATCAAGGACTTTCACAGCGAGGGGAACTGAGTACTGGTAGCCGGAGTCGATCTTCAATCGCACGAGATCTCTCGAAATCGGCCTTTTTGACATGAGCTGCGACCGTCTCTTATGTAACTGCAAAAGTGTATTCGAATAAAAGTCATAAAGTGTCATCACATTCCAAATCTGACTGGTCATAAGCATATCGTAAGAGGTCGTCATTTCCCTGCTTCGTCAAGGGGTCCCAGCTGTGTCGCAATGTGACATCCCGAGCGCTCCCCAGAGCTAGCATTATTGTCGATCACCCACTGACGGGATGCCGGACAAGCTCCTTGTAGAGGTCTTCCGGGAGATCTTTGGCCAGCGCGAGGGTGATCCCGATGATTGAGTTGGCTTGTAGGGGAGGGAAGATACGAAGCAATTTCATCGGTCTATACAAGAAGAAGAGCGTAAATTGATGTTTAGGTCAGAATCGGCCGGAGGAAGTAACTGAGTCGAAAGGGGGGCTTACGAAGGGCTTTCCATCAATTCTTGCCGCATCATCAATAACTGCGCGATCACGCAGAGGATATTCAGATGGACGCCAAAGGCAAGAAGAAAGCTAGTACGTGGGGCGATTTGTGTGAGTGCACGTCAGTGGGAGGATGATCCGTTGCCAAGGCGAGAAGTTGCGTCAAGACCCACTCCCATAGCTTGAGGACCTGATCAAGCGGGGGCGTACAAGCGCAGAGCGTCAAGGCGGCTGTCAGCGAGGACAGAGAGCAAGTCAGTGTCAATTATTCCAATAACTGCGAAGAGATCTGCCTTCGGAGCGAAGGCGCACTCACATGGGAAAGCGTACAATTCGGCGGACAAACTCTTCGATCTCAAGTGTGCGTAAAGTTCAGGGTCGGCCACTTCGAGACACTTGTCTAGCAGCTGAAAACGACCCCAAGAACGATATATTCAGTCAAGTCCCGCCACGTTGAACGGAAATCAAGAAGTCACCTCCAAACCGCGATGTACGCCTCGAAGATCCCTCTGCACGTACTGCGGACAGGATGTTTCGATGAAGGTCGAGAAACAGGCAAAGGCTTCGACCTGCGTAGGTAGGGTATACAGGAACGGGGCGGAGAGGACGTTCATCCCTGGTGAAGCATAAATTCAGGTAGGGCGAGATGTATCGAGGTCCAAGCAAGGTTGGGGTGTTCGTCAAAGAGATCCTCTTACGCCTGATGAATTGAAGAACCCACCCTGTACGTAAGAGAAATCTAATCCGCCTTCCATCTCAAGCGCTTTTTCTGCACCGTCCCAAATGACGAGACGGATCCACCATGCATTTCCCATTTGCACAATCACCGTTTCATGTCAGCCTACGCCGTCGATATCTGAAGCTGGCGCATTGAGAATAGCAACCAAGACAGCGATATCTCGAACGCACCTTGAGACCTCCAGACGAAAGCCTCCAAGAGCCTGATCAACATGTCTTCCCGTACTTTTCCTTTGAAGTCGGTATCTGTTGCTAGGGTCCGGAATGTATCGTTCTTGACTACCGGGTTGATCGACCAATGGGTTTATAGTAGGAAGAAGAGGACATAAGAAGAACAGATGCACACGATATAAACGGTTGTCAGAAAGGGTTTAGGGGCGAGAAGAACCGAACTCGAGGACCAGGGAAGAAAGACTACACTCACTTTTCGTACTAACTCCAGATGGACCTTTATCTACAAGCCGTAAGTAGTCGGCCGAATCGAGGTGATCAACGTGTAAGAGGAGTTTCCAGACCCGGGCTCTTATAGATGGTTGAGATGGGGGCAAGTTGGGCTGTATATTCGGTGTTTGAAGGATGAGGACGACGATCGTAATCATATCAGCGCAATGCGGCTCGAGTGTCAAGAAATCACGAGAGACCACGGTGTAACTCGCCTCATCGGGTATCCCAGCGGTAAGCACGAGTCGGCGTAGCCGTTTAGCTTGATCAGAGATATCGGACGACGTCTTTATCCGTGCCGAGCTCTGATGAGTTGTGGACGTCGATGTTGATGATGGGTTGAGGATCTCGAGGAAACGAGCTTTGATCTGTCTATCAGACATTATGACAGGTCGCTATGAAGGAGGTGAAGCTGGCTTGCAAAGATTGTAAGACGATTCGTTGATATCATTTACCATAAAGTCGAATAGAATATAGAGATCTAGAGATGCTAGAGACGAGGTCGTTGACGAATCCAGGATCCCCTTCTCGACAGCGACAAACACAACAAACACAACACGCGCCGATATCAGATATTTAGCGTTTTTACGTCACCCTCATGACGCGATTCCCGTATTTTATGCCATAAAAACGCTAAAGATGGCAGAAAATTAGCGAAAGGGGACAATTCACCAAACGCGTCTCCTAGGCTCGGCGACCTCGATAGAGCGCCCTGATTACCATCCTCATCGATCCATACATGCCATACATCATCTGCAACATTTTAGTTACCACCTGCTCTCTCGATCTCTCCTATATATACAACTCATCTATTCGTTGAATCTCTCACCACCATGTCCGGCCTTGTAGCCGAGGTCCAAGGGCTCGTCACCGCCAACGACCACCTCACGGCGACGCTACAACAGCTGGAACAACAGCTCACCAGCAAGACCCAAGCTCATTCGGAGAGCGTGAGGAAGAACCAGGCGTTGGAGGACAAGCTGGAGACTGAACGTATCAAAGGGCTGAAAGTCAAGGAGAAGCTCGAGCTCGAAATCAAGGGCTTGAAGGGGAAGCTGAAGGACAAGGAGGACAAGGTCAAGGTGCTGGAAAAGGAGGTCAAGGGGGTCAAATCCAAGGCCGAGTTGGACGCGAGGAACAAGGTCGAAGGAGAGTTGAGCCTGCTCAAAACGGCACACGAGGATCAACAACGGAGGTTGATAGAGCAGTTCAAGGACACGTTGAAGAGGTTGGCAGTCGGATGGACCCAGAGTTTGGAGAAGGACGTCGAGGTCGCGGATAAACGGTTCGAGGCGATGATGGGGTCTTCGGAAACGATGCAGGTGGATGAAAAGGAACAGGATGGTCAGCGATTCGATAGAGAAGATATCGACCCGGATCTGATGCACGATCACCATCGTCATGTTGAAACCGTAAGCTCTGCTCCAAGTCCCGCTCGACCACTTTCACCGACTACGTTGGCGCATCATACCATTGATTCGGGCTGATCCGAATTCTACTTTTGCCTTTGTCCTTTCTTGAGGAAACAGACTTTGATCCAAACCCAGAGTCGAGCTGGAGCAGAAACCCCTACTCAAACTGAGACCCTGCCTGATAGTCAGCCTTCCGGACCATCACCAATGATACCCACATCCACATCAAACCGAACCTCGACGCAACGTCTATCTCAACCCATGCTTCCAGTCTTATCTACGTCTGCACCAGCTGAAGAGGCGACAACGTCGGTCAGGTCTTCCCGCTCCCGAACGCCGTTGACCCCGCTGGATCGGGGGGTCGAGAGGTCGTGTATGGCCGAGTTCAGTGAGGGCGTTCGTAGAAATGGGAAACCTGGAGGATTGAAATGTACGGGGGTTGAATTGATGGTTGAGAGCGTTGACGCACCAGAGAAAGGGGATGAAGGTGAACAGGAGCAGAGCCTACAGCAGAAGGATCGCGAAGAAGACCCAGAGGAAGAGCGAGACCGAGAATCGGGACCGGCCAGACAAGATTTCGTCCCTTCCGCTCCAGGGAGTACGGTGCAGATCGGGGAAACCGGAACCGCGCAGCCCACTGTGAATGAAGAGATTGAGGATATCAAGCCGACTCTACCCCTACCTCTGGCTTCTGGAAGCTGGACTTTGGAGGTAGAAGTTCCGGTTGCTTCTTCCTCGAGGTCCCGATCGTCCCAGGTCATTGAATCCAGGACCAGGGCTAGCACGGGTGTCAATGCTGCTACCGGTATCGATCTTCCTTGTGGAGGAGGCAATGATAGCAGTCCTACAGCAGGTTTGGGTTTGGGAAGGTGCGCGAGCAGGTCGCTCAAGAGGAAAAGTGTTGGCAGACACGTCGCCTCAGAAGCGGAAGCGACCGATCAGGTGGCAGAGGGAGACGGCGGCACGATCATGATCGGACAGAGTGCAAGTAGTCCTGCTCGGCAGGAAGATTCTGGAAAGGGGAAGAAGAGACGAGTAGAAAGATTACATCCGGATGCGAGGGAGAAGTCTGCTCGAATCCGTCAGTCTGCCAGCAGCATTGTCGCAAAAAGCAGTCCCGCTACCACCGCTCCTATGGTGACGACCCGTTCTGGTAGACGAAACACGCATGCGCCAGTGGGTCATCTTCCCAACCTACCCCGTCCCAGCCGATCAGGATCCCATCCGATCGAAGAGGAAAGTCCAACTCCGTTTATCTCTTATCGCCCCTCAGCGCGGCTGAGGTCGCATGTGGCGGGAAACACGGGTCAGATGAGGGAATTTGGATCGCGCGGTAATGCAGGCCGGGGCCATAGTTTATTTGAAGAGGACGCGGACAAGATAGGAGGAGAGGATGTGAAGCCTGGCGAACCGAACGACACGGTTCATACGCAACCGACATCTATATCTGGAGGCGACACCTCCGATACAACGACGGTGACGATCTCGATGGATACGCCAGTGATGAGTATGCCATCAGATCCAATCTCAACAGCAACGGTAGCGGAACATATGACCCCGACGCCACAGCCGAGAAGCATATCAAAACGGTCAAAACATACCCCACTTAGTAGTACCAGCGCAAAGAAACGGGCCAGGAATCGAATACCAACGGTTCTGGGCCCGGTCACTATACCAGGTAGGTCGGTGTGTCAGGACGATTCCATCTCGACAGCCATGCTAAACTCGACCTGTTGTGATACGCAGTATATCTGGACGACGAGGATGACGATCCGCTATCTCTGTGATTTTTCTTAGCGTGGTCTGCGGCATTCATGTACCCGACCCTATTCCACGATCAATGGAATTCGTTGACGCGATGACATCGGCTGTGACCGTCTGCAGCTTCCAATGCCATTCGCCATTGCCTTGGACCTTGTCAATCGGGACCGATACCTCGATTGAGATACCATCGGTCCTGGTTCCGAGCTTGTCATCATTCATCGCGGTCGGAACCGGTCCTGAGGATATCGGGCTGTGAAGTGAGGAGTCTCATGTATACCTTCACGAGACATGGTTCCTTCACTTGTATTTGTATTGAACATCAAGACACAGCTGAGCAGCAATGTCCTTGTGTTCCTGGGACCCAGATGAGTATCTTCCTATCACCTTTTTGAAGACCTCCCTGATCGCAGGCAAGGTGACCTTCCAGTGTGCCAAATCTCCTTCAAACAGCTCGATAGCCCAAGCTTCCATGGTTGTTTGATAGATCCATAAAGTGATCCCGGGTTGAGAGCCATTGCAACGATCTTGAGGTCAAACTTGATATTGATGACTTGACCATGATGGTAAGGGCTATTTTCACCCTTGAAGGCCACGGCAAGTTTTGGGATTCACTTCAATCCCAGGTACCATTTGAGCGAGATCATTTGACAGAGCGCCGCGACGGGACCTCCGAGGACGAGCCAGAGTTTCGGCTCCATTTTCAAACAAGTTCCTACGCAATTAATATCGACTCCAGCTTAAGTCTGAATGGACGATAAGACCTCAGCGACAACGACGCCCAAATCGGTACTGTTAGCGCCTTGCAAAGCCTTGCAATTGACGAGCAAGCGGGTGCCGTCTGGCTAGAATCAAGGCAACGAAAGGAAATATATCGTTTCCGTATCGCTCGTTGTTCATGATGCAAGCAATCTATGTCTTGCTATCCAAGCCGAGGCTCTCAGTAGCGCCATAAGCTTCAAGTGCGTTGTCTGGCTTCTATTCGTCTGCTAAATGTTCGTCTTTACCATGTTCCTCATGCACGCTCATCATATTCCAAGCTCCAAATCTCAGCGTGTCCTTCAAATCGCATGTATATCTCATACGCCTAGATCGGCATCGCACTGAAACATCTAATATTCCCTTACTCAGTCTTGGTCTTGACAACGCTAGCGCTTGCAATCCGCATGTCCAATCTCTTGACGATCCAGTAAATTGCAAAGAACGTCAAGGAAGCCAGGGTGACGACGGCTGGCTTTTGCAAGGACGCGTAGAAGGGATAGGTGTACGTAATCTATAAAGCGGGTCGGATGATATGAGATCAGCTGCGCCGTACCGAGTTCACTGGGGAAAGGGAGTAGGAAAGGCTCACGTAAATGTTCTGCTCGTTGCTCTCAGACGCCAGAGCTTTCTTGATGGTGATCCTAGGTCGACCGGTAGAGTCGAGGTAGGTTTTGTGCACCGAATGCTCGACAGCGGCCACAGGGAAAGGCGCTACAACTTCGACGTTCCTGCATATCGCAAATAAATACAAAGACATCAGCAAGGTTGATCATCCCCAGGTACCGTATGCTTTCGACGGTGATTAGGACTGACTTGGCGCCCTCGGGCAAGGTGACGATCAACTCGGCCTCGTCCACAACAACTCCCTTCAACCCTGTCATGAACGGCACAGCCAGCATCTTCTTGTCCCCGCCGACGGTCTTCATCCAACTTCCTAGGTTGAGGTCCCACCCGACGGTAAACTCGAAACTCCAGCCTCCCAGAAGCGGGAACCTAGGCTGAATCTCCAAGATCGCCGGGAGACCCGCTCTGGAAGAAGGTCGGAAGTGCGAGGTAGAGATGTTCCCGATAGAGTCGTAATAATAGGGAGAGGAAGCTCCTTCCGGGATTGGGTAGGTGATCTCGCGGAGGATCTGGGCAGGGAAGGTAGGTCGGAACCGAGCGGATTGGAAGTCGAGACGAGAAAAGAAGCCTCGGAGTCTGTGACGGCCGGATCGTTTTCAGGTCAGTGGATGCCGGAATCGATTGCAAGTCGGCAGCGCGAAATGATGAACTCACTTCGGTCCGGCGTTGAACAGAGTGATCTTGTCCTCCATGTTCAAATTCCCTCCCCACATCCCGACCTCTGCAAACCTCTGCAACGTCTTGATTGCCAGCACCGGTTCCGACGTGTCATAATGGATCGTCAAAGGAGACTGCTTGAATCCGACCGTCTTGATGCTAGCGGGGACGTTGTGAAAGGGACCGAGGTTGAGAGAAGAGCCGGCGAGTTTGTACGGTTTAGAGGTGGATTCCGAAGGGAGGTAGGAGTTGGGGGTTTTGGAGTGAGAAACGATCTTGCGGGGAGCACTGGCATGATTGCGAGCGGCAGGATCAGTATTGGCGATTCGATGGCAGAGTTCCTTTGTCAATACAGGACGGCAAAAAACTTACCGGTACTTGATAGTCATCTTCTTGGTATGGTACGCCGTCTCGGGGAAAGTCGTCTCTGAAGAGAACTGGAGGTACTGAGCTTCGTCCTGGCCGATGATCTCTGGGAGAGGTTTCGACTGATACGCCAGGTACTCGGTCAATATGATCGAGGCCAACTGGTCCTTTTGTGTCAGATTCGCCGGGATGTAGACGACCTGGGCGCTACCATTCCGCAGAGAAACGATCATGCATGAAGTTTAGCTCTTTTTCCCGCCCAGTTGCTTTGCCAACCTGCCTACTCACCCGGTCTCCGGATCGATACTCGTAGCAATCTGCCCCAGCTTGTTTCTATTAACGCTGACCTCCCAAGCGATAGGCACCTTCCCCGTCTTCCCCGCCAGCGGCAAGACGTAATCTCCCGGCTGATCCGCTATGGACCTGGCAGTGATCGTGCTCGTCACTGTTGTCACGCTTCCACCGAGCTCGACAGACCGGGAGATGGCATCGTTCTGGTATGATTTGGGGAACGCTTCGACGACGAGCGTTGCTAGCGATAGTAGCGGGAGCGAGAGTAGAGTGGGGAGACGCATTGCGGAGACAGTCTCTACACCACGTTTAGAAGGCTAGCTCGTGAGGTAATATTGATCACATATTACACCCAGATAGCAAGCTGTATATACTGTATAGGAGTTCCGACAAGTACCTGCACGAGCAGTACTCACTGCGTGGTGGCTCAGGGGTGGTGGTTCGTCACCGACATCGTTCACAATTTGCTTCCGCACCCCCCCTAAGCTACGGCAACCTCGACAATGCGACGGATCGATCTTCATCGCAACAACACATGGTAATGGTACATACAAGCCTGTCCACTTGACAACAGACCACGTCACACCGCCTACGAAGCCGAACCTCCCGTCGCTCCACCTGCAGCAGCAGCAGTAGCAGCGGCGGCCCCAGCGGGCGGCTGTCCGTAAATATCGTTCCCCGCCGCCATATGCCCCTTGAGCCATGTGCGGACTGCAATACGGAATAGATGGTTATAAGCTGTTATTCTGGGCAAGGTGGAAATGACCGGCTTACAAGCAGTATCTTCCACGTCGTACCCCATTTGGGCTATGATACGAGAAGAACGAAGAACGACCCGTCAGCTCGAGATCCTCAAGTACATCGCCTCACTCGCCATCTCCATCTCGTGCGCGAAAATGAAGACGCGACAAAAGGGAGAAAGCCAAGTGTAAAAAGACCCACCCCAATACCCCTTCCAAGCTTCATAAGTCCCGCTCGTATCCGTCTTGTCCGGCATCCCATCGACCATAACAGGTACTCCTGGCGTTCCCTGAGCTTGTTCAGCCCCATTCGGGGTCGCTCCGGGCAAAGGCGGTTGCTGTTGCTGCTGATATCCAGCGTAGCCTCCATACCCTCCCTGTCCTTGCTGTTGGTAGCCTCCAGCACCACCCTGTTGATGTTGATACCCACCACCGCCGTGATGCCCACCGTACCCTCCGCCCATACCCATATTCATCTGCATGTTCGCGATCGCCTTGGCGTGTTCTTCCCTGACCACCGTGAGCAGATCTTCGGCGAGTTCTTTGGCGGCGACTAGTTGGCGCTCGTCAGGGCCACTGCAATGTCACAACACAAGATATGCGGGGTCCAGTCAGTATGATGTGGTATGACACCGGATGATAGGGGGACATGAGAAGACCGACCTGATGAACACATGCATAGGCTCCTCGGCCTCCCTCCCCGTATCGTTCTCGATGAACCCAGATCCGAGACCTTTGATCTGCACTCGGGTACCCGTTTCGGCTTGAATGTATTTCACAAACATTCCCTGTGCGATTATATAGACAAATTGCTTGTAAGCCAGGAACAAAGAGGAACAAAGAGGGTTGATGGATGAGAGCGGGGATGATGTGCTTACACCGGGACCGACCACTTTGGCCCTAACGTTGAAGTTCCTCATGCTCTCCAGCCCAATCGGCAACTTTTCCTCTGGCCACTTTTTCCTCTCCCCACCCTGTCGCCCTTCTTCAAAGTACCTCTCCCTATTCTTCGCAAACCGGCTCCTATCCTCGACCAACGGACCGAGGTCGGCATCGATGAGCTCGTTGACGCGTTTGATGGCAGTGTCCAAGACTGTTTGGGAGGGAGCAGCGATATGTAGGTAGAGAGGTTCTTCATTCGGGGCGGCTTTGGAACGGTCCGGGAGCCACACGCCTTTGGTTGTGATCGATGCTCCGGTCTCTGTGGCGATCTGCAAACGTAAACGCAAGGCATATCGAATCCGGACACAGAACTTGTCAGCCAGAGCTTTCCTAACAGCCACAACGGCGGACGATCACTCACCTCCTGCTGCGTAGACCCTTTGGTGATCAAGTACCGATTCCTGAGATCGTTGATATCGATGTTGTGCGTAAACGCTCCGTCGTACAGGTCCTTCTTTTCCTCCTTGACCGCAGTGGAAGGAGAACCAGAGCCGGAGCCGGCCCCATGCATGGAAGCGATCCTGGCTGCGACGGCGGCTGCAGAAGGTCATGAAAGTAGGAGAGGTCAGTCGATTATCCAGGAGGTCCGAGGAAATAGGTCAGGATGGGTAGGAGGCATACCTGCTTGAGCTGCCGCGTCGAGCGTGGGTTTCTGCTCGGGCTCGTCATCCCACTTGCGTTTCCTATCAATGTCGGCCATGATTCTCGATTCGGGCTGTATATCTGATATGGTTTCGAGGTCCTGGGTGTTGAATGGTGGATGGGTTGAATGTCTTTTGGTCGTGTTGAAAGGGTCAATGAGAGGTTGTTAGCTAGAGTGAAGTTTGAGGTGAGACTCGTCGTCGTTGACCTGCTCTCTTTGGATATTTGTGATCGATTAAGAACTTTGATTCTACAAGTCATTCACCACGTCTACCTATAGATTGATGTGCATCGCATAGACAACTGAAGTCCAGCTCGGATTTCCAATCAACCTCTTCGCAATGTCTATTCCGACCCTCTCGACCCACCGCTCACTCACTGTGCTCGGTCGCCGTCAACTCTTTTCGACACGGATCGCCAGCTCGAGTGCTGGTTCCTCACGAAGAGCCTTTGCGAACGATTCGAAAGATGATTCGAAGATTGTCGACGAAAAGTGAGCAGATCGAGAGTGAAGACTGAGCCTTGGAAGTTAGTGATGGAATTCTGATTTTCGTCGAGGATGTGTCGATAGACCGAAACAAGAACGCCTGGAAGACATCTTTGCCGACCTGTTTGACGAAAAGCCTCTCCCCTCTCTCCGGTCAGTCCGAATTCTCACATCTCGTTGAATCATGGGAGCTTACCTCAGGCGCTCTATTGAATTGTTACAGACCGCCCAGACCGCCCGCTGCCAAGACCGCCCAATCTCAGCTAGACGCTATTTACTCCAGAATTGGCAACGACGGGAATGCCCAGACCGACGACAGCGTTCTTCCGAGCTGGGTAAGGTCCAGCCCGAAAGTCGATGCACCCCGCAGGAACATATTCTCAGACGAATCGGGGATAAACTATAACTCAGCACCAAGGAAGAGGTCTCAGATGGGCGCTTCCTCATCATCCGGATCACCGTCGTCGTCGGCCCGGCAGGGATCCGAATGGCGATCCGACCGAAGTGGTACGGCTGGTGGAGGTAGGGGTAATCGGTTCGGAATGCAATCCGACAACGACAGGACCTCAAGGATCAACAACGACAGGTCCATGATGACTCCCAAAGAGACCAAGGCGTTCAACTCGATCTTGAATGGGATGTACAAGGATCATACCGGCGCTTCCACCACCAAGAGTGCGCAGAGTGTGGAAAGTATCGAGACTTTGGAGAGCGATAAGCCTGAGAGGGTCGTCTCGGCGCCTCTGGGGTACCTAGATGCCGATCCCGCAGATTCGTCAAGGTCGACCTCGAACTACAACTCGGCCCAGTCGGGATCTTCAACCTCAAACTCGAATCCGAGCCGAACACCTCGACCGGTCAAACCGACCATGCCCGCTCACGAGATGGAACAAGCGACGTATGACGAGTTTGATAGGCAGAAGGAAATCATTTCGGGCTTGGGGTCCGATTTGGAAGTTTGGGAATGGGCTAGGGAGAACGTATTCCAGACTCCCTCGAAGGCGGCCAACCTAGCTGAGGGAGAGACCGGGGCTGGACAAGTGGAATTGGAGAGAAAAACGAGGAGCCCGGCGTTCCCAGCTTCGTACTCGCTCGTCCTGGCCTACCTGATCAAGGTCTTCAGGGACGAATTCAAGAATCCTCATCTCGCCCTCTCCGCCTTCACCCTCGCCCGCTCGCATTCGATCCAATCTTACGTTTCGGGATGCTCCACGGCGGCGTACAACGAAGCGCTGGAAACGTACTGGAAGTCTTTCCGGAACCTTCGGAGGGTGGAAGAATGTGTCAAGGAGATGAGCGTGAATGGGGTAGGGTGGGATCGGAACACTAGCAGAATACTCTCCGGGATCATAGAGACCTTGAGCGAGACGCAGTTGTCTTCCCCCTCGGCCCAGTTTGGAGCGGGACAAAGACGCCTAGAAGCGGAATTCGGGACCGAGGTCTTGATCCGCCTGGGAGCTTTGGAGAAACGGGTGGAAGCCGATGTGAGGAGTAAAGAGAAGGGGGTGAGGATGTTACTCGGGCAATTGGCGGCAGAGAGGAGGAAGAGGGAGGCGGCGAGCAGGCCGGCGGTGTTGCCCGAGGTGGAGGAAGAGGAACGATGGGGTGGGCGTGAGGATGGAGAGGGTGAGGGCGATGAGGCTGGTGGTCGGTGGGAGGATGATGGGGAACAACGAGGCGGACGACGGGAGTATGGACGGGGTGACAGGGCACGGTCATACGAGGGTAGCTCTGGCCGGTCATACGAGGGAGGGAATAGGGGACGATCATACGAGGATCGAGGCCGCGGAAAACCATACGAGAATGGTAATCAGGAAAGGTCATACGAAGGCGGTCAAAGGAGGCAGTCGTACCCTCGACGAGATGACGGGGGTCGGTCGTCCTCGTCCCGTGCGGAACCGTGGCGATAAATATTCATGTAATGAGTAACACACTCGGTTGCGCATCATGTGTGGCCGGATCTAATTGTACTACATACCGGTCGTCGAACCGATATTTACAATCACGACTTTATAGACGCAAGAGCGATCTACGCCATGCTGGCGAGAGGGATGGTTCGCCGAGTGCCAAGCCGGCCATCTCTCCAAATTACGATCACCCGAAACACCAATGATCCGCCTGAGGCACCCAAGGCCCATATGTCGATGATACCTTGCAGTCCATGCTTCTCAAGGTGACACATGGCTTTGCGGAGAGGGATATTCGCCTTGTGTTGTAGCATCGCCTCCAAGATGTTGACCCAACCAATCAGTACCAAAATCCGTCCGAAAAATCTCTGCCTACTTTGAATTTTCCATTTGAAACAGGGCACAGGTGAACCCAAGAACGTAGAAGGGATTCAAAGGGATGCGCTCGATTGCGATCTTGAAGCGCTTGCATTTTGCAAAGACGATGCGACCTGAATGAAACACACGTCGACCCGTTCCTTGAGCGTAGACTCTTCGTCGTATAGACCTGCCTGCCTAGATGGTCGATGAGCAACTCGAGTGATCTCGTGCATGCACACACCCTCGAAGTATCGAATCAGCGACCAACATCGCTGTTATACAGTCGTTGTATTCATAGCACAGGATCATATACGTCCACGTCATGCCCTTGCTTCGGCCAACAGGGCTCCCTCTGTTCCTCGTCCGGTCCATTCACACCACCCGACCTCGAAACAGAGACGTCCTTGCGCGGTACGCACTCCCTGCAGGTTGGCCTGCTGGGTTGATCAGACCCGATAGTCAACATGGTCAGCAGCACGAAGATAGTAGGAAAGGCCGCGATGATAGTTTGGGAAGTGGGCGCTCGAGAAACGACGGAGTCAGGGGCGAGGGTGGAAAACAAGAGACGTTCGGGTCGATGGCTACCAACCCGGCCATAGCTTCTATCCAGGACGTACCCGCACCAACAGCGTCGGATTCCCCATCCAGATTGAAGTCGAAATCGGCTGGTCAGGAGCTCAAAGACGAACTCGACATTCCCACTCAGCCTGTACCGGCCATGACCGCTACCACCACTACCATCGGAAACGCTGATGAATCCACCTCAGACGGACGGACAAGAACGAGACCCCTGGAAGGAGAGCGCACAGAACCTATAACCGTAGCCGGGGTGTTTATCCCTGTCAAACCTAAACCTCCGGGAGAAGAAGGTCAGTTCCAGTTTTGCTTTGCCTTCTTGCCTGTGAAGCGTGGGTATGGGGGGATAAGGACAGCTGGCTAATCATAAACTTTATCCTCCGTTATTCTCTTTCGCTCGCTCGTCGTGGCCTATTATCCATCGATCCGTGCCCATTGATGATACCCTGTCGCGTCCGTACGAATGGTAGACTGCTGCATGTCAGGCTGCGTTGTGGGTACTCCCCTTCTCCTGTTTGCTACGATTTCAGACTCATCCCTTACCATTCCTCAGAACTGTATCTACACGATCTACACGGACGAGACCCTCGAATACAATCAATCCATCATGGACGCCATCTCCGCCCTCAGGACATCCGGTATTCCACGGTCAGAATGGCCAGCCGAAGTCAGAGAGAAGGCGGGTAAGGAGAGGGTCAATGGCGCTGGTGAAGTCGGGATCGAGGGGTCGAGGGAGGAGGTCAGGAAGGAGGTTTTGAAAGGGTTGGATCCTAGTCTGAGAGCGTTCTTGGAGTACGTATCTCCCTCTTCCGTCGTTCCTCTTCTTGGAGTTGTTGGGAACTCTGCATAACCAACGGGAAAGGAAGGCTGTGAAGCTGACTGACGCTCTCTCTCGGTGATCCATAGGATGGAAGCCAAGTTGAAAGCCAAGAAGGACAAGAGCAAGGTCTGATTGACCGCTGAACATTCCGTCTGTTCCACGACCATCACCGGAACTACGTCCGAGAGGACCTGGGGAGATTGCTCTTTCTCGTCGGCATGGCCCTTGACTGTGGAGTTTCCCGTGGTCTGACAAGAGGACCCTATCCTCAAAGAGATGTTCAGACACGCCAACCCCGCTGGGAGCTTCCGTAGGGGCCATCGACTCCTCTGTGCTCTGCATCACCGCACGGTCGGCTTCTCTGACTCACATGAGAGGAAGGAGTTTTTCAGAGGTGCAATGCGGGAAAATGGCTTCGGTCGATACCCCTGCTCTGGTTGACGATGCTAGAAGACGTTGTCTGGGCACTGGCATCTGCGCACAGCCATTTCCGCTATTTGCGCCTGCATATCATACGATGGCGCGCATATCGCCTCACCAGCAGTCTCACTTGACTAATAGAGCAACGTTATCTGTTCTATGTCTTGGTTACCCTTGTCAGATTGTCAACGAGGGTCGTATGATACAGCCGTCGCTGTAATTATGACGTAAAGAAGGGCAGATCCCTCAAATTGAATGGTGGTTCGTAAGGTATCGCATGATATTGTCACGTATATCGTAAAATATAATGGCTGCTTGGCCTGTACAATATGTAAATGTGTCAGATGCAGCTATGATTCATCGTATACTTGTAGATCCCGTTCATGCATCGTCTTGATCTTCGCTTATCGCCTCGGGTCTGGTCGCCTTCCGCTCGACCTGTCCCTATAGCTCGAGCCGCTAGGCAAGGGCCGAGGGGTATTGCTCCACATCGGCCGGGCGTTGTCTTGGCGAGACTGTTCAGATTGACGACCGGCTGCGGTTCGATCCGAGTCTCCACGGGCAAGAGGAGGGGGTGCATTGCTGGAGGGACGACCGTTGACTGGAATGGCATTAGCCGACGACCTGGACGTTTCGCTGGGTGGGCCTCGATCGAAACGAGCTGGCGGTCCGCGGGGGTGCGAAGGAGGTCCCATCGGCTATAATCACCATGCCAACCGGATCAGCCTCATCACTATGCAAATCGCTCTGGAAGCAGGAAAACTCACGCTTGGACTGGACGGTACAGTGGCTACGCCGAGAACCTGGGCACGTGAAGGATGAACGAAAGGCACAGCTCGTGCTGGAGCTTGAGTCGTAGAAGCGGGTGCAGGTGGGGGTCCGGACCTATCACTGCTGACAACATCGTGAGATCGGGTGGCGGCCAGACCATCGCGATGCTGAATTTCTGGCCCGCTTTGTCGGACATCCGAGGGGTACCTGTCCGGCCCAGACCTTGACAGCTATGTGAGGAATGTACGCGGAGCTTATCAGCCGTGTTGTCTGTCGTCAAGCTGCGGATGGCACTTACGTGAGGGGGCGACCTTCGACCAGAACGGCTATCCTCGCTGTAACGAGCCATGCGGAGCGTTTCTTCAAGGGGCCTAGATTCCCTGCGCTCGACTTCGTACGGTCTATCCGGCGTCGACGTATCCTGGCGAGAGTTTGATCGCCCAAATTCTGGCCGTCCCACTTCGTTTCGGACTGAAGACCGGTTTCGATCTTCCCTGTCGAAATCTCTAGGTACTGAAACAGGTCCCAGCCTGGATTTAAGATCTTCCGGCAATGAACGTTCTTCGTTTCGTGGCGGTACTTGGACAGTCTGTAGCCCAGATATTACCCGTTAGTCACACTCGTCTAAGAGACCAGAGATCGACCGATCGTAACTTGCCTCTCTATGAGGTGGTGGGTCGCGGACAGATGACGTTGACCCGCGAGCTGAGCCCGCGCGCTCAGACACTGCATCGTGTTCAGGTCTATAATAGTCGCCTCGACGACCGCCGAATGACCGATCCGAATCTCTTGGAACGGGACCGACGGGGGGTGGTTTAAAGCTCGTCGAGGCAGGTGTAGTCTGTGGGATATAGACATGCCGCAAGAGGCAAGGCATGAGCAAGCTGGAGAGCGGGGTGAATGACTTGACCGGACGACGTACCCTATCAGGTATTCGATTCGTTCTCTCATTCGTAATCTCCCTATTTGCGGCTTCAGAAGCCGGCGCCCCGAACGTCCTCATGTTCACGGGGGTGGCATTCACGCCACTCAAGAATCCGGGTTGTCTTGGTCCGCGAGGCTCTTGAGCTGAAAGGGAAGCAGACCGAAATAGATTGTAAGGGTCCAGGTTCCTCGTCAAACGGTAGCCACAGCACGATCGGTCGCTATTGCCTGCAGATCTGATCGCTGCCCAGCCGTTTCCGAGCCCACCGAAGGATAATTTGTGGGTCAAACCAAGCGGTAGGCCGGTAACCTATGGATACCTCGTAAACCTTCCCAAGCATTTTCTGGCCTGGCGCATTATCGCACAAGGAGTGGCAGAGACTGCTTTCGCGGTAGCTCAAACTGCTCGAAGTAGCGATGCAACATCGATAACGACATCGCCGGCTGGCAACGAGCGTGGGCAGCGAACCAGATCGGCAGACGAGACAGTAGACCGAAAGACCTGGGCAATGAACGTACGTCTGCTTTGTTGATCACGCCTGTCCATGTTGGCGGGAGACCCGTCCGCTCGAGGCTGAGTCGGCGGCAAGGCTGTACGAGCTACTGAGCTCTCGGCTCTTCCAGATGGTGCTACCGTTGCCGGCTCGCGGATGTCAGGGTCGACACGCATTCGCTTGCTCGAACCTCGATCGTCAGCGAGATCGTCCGGTTGATCCCTTCGCCTGCTCTCCCCGACGATTGGCCGGGGACCGAGAGGCGGATCCAGACTCCTTGAGGGTGGATAGTTGCGATTGCTAGGACCGCTACCTTCAGGCGGACCAGAAAAGGTGTAGCCGTTATCTCGACGATCTAGTCCCTGACGACCCCGTTTTCCGTTTCGTCTCCCGCTCCTTCCACCTCCGTTCCTGCGAAGATCCGACTGATTGGAGGTCTGTCGGGAACGTCCGTCGGCCCTTTGACCTGGAAGAGACGATTCTGGGCGAGGCGGGGAAGTGGGATCATCTGGCCCCATGCTGTCCGCAGACACGTCCGCTTCCACCTTCGCCGATGGCGACTCTGTAGTGGAGGACGGCCTGTTCTCTGGAATGTTCTTACCCTCGCCGCTCGATTGCCCATTTTCCACAGACGATCCACGTCGCGGCACGCTTTCCTGACCAGGAATCGGCTCGACATCGGGAAGGTCCTGCGTGGGTAAAGGTGGAGTCTCTGGCTCGGGCTCGACTGGCATCGGTCGGGCCCAAGATACTTCTTTCGTAACTGTGTTGTAATAGTACGTTTTTCCCTCATGCTTTCGAGAGTTCTTGGTGATCCAATCGGGGGGTAAAGGTGTCTCTGTTGAAACTGAAGGTTTGACTTCGCTCACGGCCTGATCGTGATAGCGGACACGTTAACCATGACTCGTAAAAAGGCGGCCGAGGAGTCTCGACTTGCAGTTCGAATCTGCTCATTCTTCTGTTCAATCTGGATTTTGGGTTCCTCTTCTGCAATGTTGAAAGAAAGCGGATGAGTATCGCTAGCTTCCACTGGCAAGAGAGAACAGCGCGACTGACTTGGTTTCTCAGTAGCTTTGGGTGGTGCCTCAACCGCTCTTGGCTTTTCTTGCTCTTCCTTCACCTCTTTTGTCTGCTCGCTCTTCTCTTGAGGAGCTGACCCAGCCTGCCAAGGGTCAAAGTCGTCCTCCATACCCCAGTCCACCTCAGCGTCCATGTTGTCGACCTAGTAGGGTTTTCGAGTGGTATTCGAGCTTCGAGCTTTGACGGTCCTGGACACGGGACAAGACCGAAGGCTATATCGAGGAGGTCTTGGGGATGATGGAGTGTGGTAAGGTGGCTCTGGTGTATCTCTAGATGATTGTGGTCGGGTTCCCTTTCGATGTGAATCGGGAAAGGCATCCATCCCCCTTCATTAATTGGGACTTGGGTCGACTCAGCTTCGAGCTTGGATGACGTCTTATCAAACAATTGATCAATTGACCAGCGACTGACAGTTTTCTATAAATGTGACGTGGCAGTACCGAAGCGCTCCCGCCCCCGAATCGAGTGTGAAACCTTTCTCTCGAACATGAAACTCGGTCGTGAGCGGGACAATCTATCGACCGTCCGCTGCCCTATGCCAGTCTTCCGTATATTAAGGCTGAAGTTATGTCTCTGAAGTGAAAGCTCGAGCAAGCTTTCGCGTGTTTACTGCCCGTCTCGATGAGCCAAACTTCATCTGGACGCTTTGCGGAGCACAATGAGTTTCGTTGTCCACGCTGCGCGACGTGCCAATGCATATGTCGTGTAGACCATTTAGGTTGATGCAGATTGATCTAGATTGGTCTCATTTCTACCTAGATGCAAACTTTCCAAGGATATGTCGGTTGATGGGATCATTCCAATCTGGCGTATTCCGCTGTGCGTGAGGCTATTTGCGATTCGAAGATAGATGTATGTCAGAATACTATAGCGATCTGTACCTCGCTTGCGATCCAGCCACCGAGGCTAGTGTATGGCAGACCTATATCGAAGCTTTAGCTCACGCAGTACGTATGATATGCCCATCACATTCGGCCACCGAGACCTCGCTTCCTGACGATCTTTAGATGGTAAGAAAGAAGAAGAGATACATAATCAGGGAAGGGGCACGTGACGGCTTGTTCGACGATGACGAGAGAATTGTATATCAGTGGTATGCTTTGCAACCTTCTGAGTGAGGTTGCGAATAGGTCGCCAAGTTCACAGTACAGAAGGTTGATAATCTTACAGTATGACGATACAGGTACCCAAGTAAAATGAAAATGGACATGTGTAACCATCCTTCAGCACAATTCGATAACGGACAATGATGGGGTGAAAAGGCTCTCATAGAGTACATATCTTCTTGATGAGAGCTGTATACAACAGAAAGGTGTGCAAATTAGGCCAGTGGAGCAGCTTGACGAATCGAGTGTCAGTTCATCTTTTTCCACTTAACGTGCTGACATAAGATAACTCGCCCGCGCTCGGTTAGAACACCTTGGTGAAAAGACAAATAATCAACTCATATCCAGACATCCTATGCATACACTAAAAAGGTAACAGATTCATATACTTGGAAAACGATGGCTTCGTGAACCTGAAATCTGTTTGACAAGCACTTACCGATCCTGCCTTAGGGTATTCCGCCTCGCCACGGACATCACTTATCATCTTCATGTCCGCACATATGCTGCTGCATCTGTGTTGCTCTACTTCAAAGCGTGCTCCGAATGGGCGTATGGCACTGTCTCAGTCGTGCGCATGGCAGAATGGGCCAGGAGGTTTGCGATTCCAACTCGGTGAGACTACGTACATCGAGGGAGTCTGCTGGGACAATGCTGAGCGAACGAGTGCTGAAACCGTACGCGCGTAATCATACCTTGTTTTCGCCTCGGGATCGTCGATATTTCGGGCTTTTACAGCATTGCAAATCGCAAGCATCTTGTATCTCCGTCGCCGTCGCTCTTGGCATCTTGTGACTGCAACTTGGAGACGGTTGTACCCAAACTCTGTCATTTCCACGACGAGAGCACGAGAGTGGCAGCGTTCCGTGAAACGAAAACGCGACTGAATCCGAAAGCGAGAGGCGATCATGATCATTTCGGGCGCGTTGCCGTCATCGCCTCGCACTCGGCGAGCTCTCACATCAGCAGCTGCAGCAGGTGCTGCAAGGGGAGAACTGTCTCGTGTTTCTCATCGGACCCCGACTCGATACTTAGACTATACCATCGCTAGCCAAGTGCAAATCACCAATCACTCACCACCCACTAGCAGACTGGACTTGCACCGGTTCACAAAAGTCCTCCCATCCCAACCATCACAACAGCTTCTGGCGGAATCCTACCACAGCGAGCAGTGCGGGATCGTGAATTCGATGTCGACATCGACGACGGATACGATCTGGACATTTCAACCTATCGTCACCCGAATCACCAACACTATAAGTGATAGTACTCCTGGTCGGGGAAGATATCCGGTAGATTCCGGCATAGAAAGGGCACCGAGAGCGAGGACGACAGAGAGCATTACGCGAACATACCGCGACCTTTAGCAAGAACGAGTCGAAGAATTCAGGACCTGCCGACCCCGGCTTTCTACCGAAGTCGGAGCGTCCTCAGTCGAGGAGAGAGAGGATAGGAACAGGTAGAACATTATTGACAGGAGCACGCGACAGTGCGGACAAAAGCAAGACCTAGCATTAGTTTAGGGGCGACGTCGCGAAGGCAGCCGCTCCGAGAAGGGAAAGACTAGGCGGAGACGGTAGGACTAGACGATACGGGGATATCAGGAGAAACATTCAACTAGAGTAGACGAGAGGAAACAACGGAAGGATCCATACTATGGCCACTCATCGACGGACGGGCGCACCGACGCATAATCGGACTAATTCGGCACAGATCAACCAGAGGGCGCAGGTGAGCCAGTCGACACCGGGATGGTTGACCACGATCGACGCTGATACTGGGATCGATCCGAATCGTACGCTTGCTTTGTACCACAACGGTACAAATACCCATTTCCCAACCCTGCCCCGATTCAGCTGGCCAACGCGTACCAGGAACTGGGGAAAGAATTGGGTAGTGAGAAGTTGAAGGTGGTCGGAAGTTACACTTTGGGGCGGGTTATCGGTGAAGGTGAGCGGCTGGCCGACAAGATGAAGGTATGAGTTAAGATGCTCATCTCTGCGTGATCTCGCTCTATTCGCTCTATCCGCTCCTCTCGGCTCGCACAGGCTCCTACGGTGCCGTATACATCGCCACTCACCGTCTCACCGGCACCCGATGTGCCGTCAAAAAGATTCCCAAGTCCATGACCGGCCAACTCACCCGAGAGATCCACCACCATCGTTCCTTGCACCATCGTCACATTCTCCAGCTCTACGAGATCATCGCTACCGAATCGCACATCTGGCTCGTCTCCGAATTGTGCACAGGTGGGGAACTCTTTGACTACCTCGTCGAGAGGGGAAGATTACTGGAAGGAGAAGCCAGGAGGATTTTTGGAGAGTTGACAGTGGCCGTAGGGACGATACACAGGAAAGGCACAGTCCACAGGGATCTGAAGCTGGAGAATGTGTTCCTGAACGGATTCTGCGGAGTGAAACTGGGAGACCTGGGGTTCGCTCGGGAATGGTCAAGAGGGAGCAAGCTGTTGGATACGTTCTGCGGGACGACAGGGTACGCTTCGCCGGAAATGTTGCAGGGACATAAGTACGCGGGGGAAGGTGAGCAAAATACGGCGGCAAGAAGCTGGATCGAGGTGGCTTGGAAGCTGATAGGTCGTCTGCCTTGCTTTCCGTCACAGAGGCGGACATCTGGTCCTTGGGAATCATTCTATATACGCTTCTGTGTGGGGGCTTGCCTTTCGATGATGACGATGAGGACACGATGAAGTCGTTGATCGTCAAGGGGGAATACGAAGAACCCGAATGGCTGAGCGATGGTAAGTCGAGATGCTTTGTTTGCGCCATTTTCCATTTTCTGACGAGCAGCTGTATCCCACCCTGACCCTTAGAGGCCAAAGACCTCATTCAAAGCATCCTAAAGCTGGAACCGACGTCAAGACTATCGATCGAAGGTATCCTCTCTCACCCATGGTTCAGCAAACGTATAGTCGACCTGCCCGCGGATGCGCTACAGAACGGACAGTCAGGTGCAGGTGCGGTGACACCGTTCTTGAACACACCTGAGACAAATCCGACCGGGATGACTTCGTACTTTTCCGACACGTTGTCGACCCCCTTGCCGGCAGTGAATCAGCATAGAATCGGCGGTCAGGCGGGATTGTCGCCCTTGAGTTCCCCAAAGTTGGAGGCTACAAAGATGACCGCGCCGCCCCCGACGAATAATCTCCAGGGTTACAAGTACCCGACGAGCAAGTTGGCTACAGAGGCGATCCCGATCAGATCCTCGGATGGGGAAGGGGACGCCTCAGATACCTCGGCCGAGACAAGGACGTCTTCGGATGAGGGGCATACGAGCACGAGTTCGACGACGGCACCTACCACTGCCGAAGGTGACGAGACTGTGGACGCTTTCGACACAAACAAGGCCGCAACGGAAGCAATGTCGATGGACTCTTTCAACGATGTCTACATGCTTTCGAACGAGAGCCAGTCGACCATCAAGAAATCACCAGCTCCAAGCGTGACATTTGCCAAACCGAGCGTGCACATATTGGAAAAACAGCCCGAGGAGGACGAGCTTGGGGTTTCTGACGGACCGGATTCGAGGCGACACTCGGCGATCAGTTTCGACGAACATGGATATCATATGGCAGTCCATAGCAGGACTCCAGCGAGGACCAAGCGGAGGTCCGTGTCATCCAGCGTCGCGTCGGAATGCCGACCGTCTATGTTTCACAGTAGCTCGTTTTCGACATCTGCGCTTCCCATCGTCGACTATCTCGGACAGCTGGCCGAAGCGTCTCCTGTCTTCTTCTCGACCATTGACGAAAAGGAACTGCTGAGGAGTCTCGAACTGCTCGGCTTCGACGTTGGGCAGATGAAACATAGCGTTACGAGTGATGCATGCGATTCCAGCGCGGCAACGTGGTGGATGCTGAGAGCAAAGCAGCAACAAAAGGAAGAGTATGAGAGATATCAGTTGGAAGGCTTACCGGTTGTCACCGAGGTCGAACATCCTCCTAGACCTGCAACTGCACCTCCTGTGCCTGTGCCTTCCGGAGAGCGACATGTCCAGCCTCCGCAACAAAGTGCAACTGCCGACGTCTTCACCAGCGAAGCAACCAGGGCTTCAGTGACGCCAGACCATACGACCCAGATAAGACCCATCGAGCTAGGACCCCCTATTCGGTCTTCCAGTGATGCTCGGAGACCCTCGCTTGCCACCGACAATAAAGCTGTGACGACGCTGGGATTGCCAAGCCATCTGCATCAGCAGTCTGTGCCATCCGAGGAACCGGAACGATCAGGTTCGTCGAGATCGGTACCAATAAGTATGGGCCATCAAGTGCCGAACTCGAGCCCTCCATTGGTCATGGAGCCGTTGAAGCCTGCCGATGAATCGAGCACTGCGGCGTCTAGCCCGGGCAGCCCCAGCCGGCGGGCGGAAGCAGGCAAAGTAAGGTCCTCCTCGATCTCGATGCTGCAACGAGCGACCTCCGCCCTGTCTACGGGTCTGGTAAGGAAAAAGTCGGAAGAGAAACTTCTCGACGAGGCTTCCGCCAAGGATGCCGGCGACGTGAAAAAGTCTCCTACCAAGTTAATCAAAACGCCACCCCTCGGCCGGCGAAAGGACAGTCTCGAGGCTTCACAGACGCTCTCTGATGACAACCATGAAACGCTTGGGAACGGTTCTGGACCTGTCATTCCGCCGTCTTCATCCTATGGCACTTTGTCTGGGAGCACAATTTCGCTCAACGATTCTCCCTCGACCAGCAAGGCCCCAAAGAATGGCAAGCGTGAGAGCTTGTTGATGACCTTCCGCTCCTGGTGGAACGAGGATCGCAAAAAACGGAAACGCAACAATGGCGGTGCCGGTCCTGTCATTCAGCATCACGGCCTCAGTCATACACCGAGCCTTAGGTCCCAACATATGCACGCCGTCAAGCGAACCACGATTGTACAGAGACGCTCGCCTGCGGATAGCCGGCCCCACATTGGCTCGCGACGGTCGAGCAGTGTCAACTCTCGCAGATCATCGGTCACATCCTTGCACATGCCTCTTATGGAGTTGCCAGCCGGTTCACCAATGGATCCATACACTCTCCTTCGCCGGCAAAGTAGTAGAAGGTCGACTGGCAGCCGAACTCCGACTAGCGAGTTTGGAGAGTTTGGCGGTGGGTCTCGACCGACGTCGGTGCGGTCGATGCAGTTGCATGGCTCGGCATCGCAGAGGACATTACACGGCAAGGCGCAGTCTATAAGCTCTACCGGATCACGGACACCGACACGGAGTCCAGGAGGTCGCGTTTCGCATTATCGCAACGTTTCCGCTTCTTCAGCTCGATCACGAGCCCGGGGCGGTCCACACAATCGCTCGGCCTCGACCGCGACCAACGCTTCGAATCGTTCGGGAGGATCATCACGTCGTTCATCCGGCATGCCCGATGATAGGATCGGCGAGGACGGTAACGATTACGAATCGGACGACATGCTCGTACACGCCTGGCGGAAACGTTCGGTCGAGGACCGACTGGCCCATCCTACCCAGCTCATCGCCAAACGGACTCGGTCCCCCCTGGCGAGTCAGTTCATACTCAGTCATATGGGTAAGCCGAGACCAATGCCTCCGATCCGGGACGTCTTCGCCGACAAGGGCAAGAATGTCGATGGTCAAGGTGAAGAAGATTGGACGAGTGACGAAGACGAAGGAGGACAATTCGCTGGTGGCCTCGGACAATCATCCACAAGCTCGGGCAACCCGAGCGGCGCAACGATACACGATTCTCCCTTGCAAAAAAGTTCGGGTTCGTTCTCCTCGATGCCCATGGCGTTTTCTCGGGGCTCGACTCGGAGCGGCTCCAGCTCGAAAACGACTGATACCAAGCAGAAGTCTTCCACGTCAACGTCGTCTTCATCTTCCGGCTTGGTTGTGGAGCAATCGACGGACAGCCGGGCCCGTGGTCGAGGCGTTATGCCTACGAATCGTCCTGCCGACATTACTGAAGAAGAGGAACCTGAAGAATAGGACGACAATCTGTATTCCCACATACGCATAATTACGCACAACGCGGACTCCTCTCTGATTCTGTTGGCGCTGTCGTGTCCTGACTCAATTTCGATTTCCCTCATGTACGAATCCCTTAACGAGCCTCGTGTGTATCTATATACCCTCGCACACAGCATTTCCATTGTCATTCGCAATCGAGATGCCGTCCAGGCTTTTGTCACGCTGCAGAGGCTGCTTCCTCGCTGTTAAATGTAGTTGCAGTGCCCCGGCATGATGCGGTGCGATGCGCGCCCGCTTGACAGCCGTCTCGACATCGATCTTGAGCCTAGAACATCGGAACTGGTCGGAAAGTAATCGGAAACCCTTGAAAAGTCATGCAAGTTGTAGTATACGATACTTAAAGCTGGTCCGCTAGGTGTCCGATGAGACCGTTCTCTCCTGCGACCTATAGCTCGGCCTGAAGCTCGATCGACCCTGCCTCTCGTAGGTTCGACGTGGTCGTGTACACAGCTCGACAATCAAGCGGCTCTTGGCAGGTCTCTAACACAACTTGATTTCAGATATCGGGAAAGGATGGTATTATCATTGAACGCGCTAAGCATGACGAGACTCAACAGATCTAGAGATACGGGTTGTCGGTTTCACGTTTCGAGATTGCAATTTCTCGCTCGATCGCTCGTGCCTTGAAACCCGATCTGAAAGATCTCGATCAAACGTGCGTCTCTCGATCGTTGATCTTTCCGAGCTCCGACGTCGCATCGCGATCAGGCTGTGCCATCGAAAGAACTCTTCGGGGGGTTTCAAATGTGAAGGAAGGACCAAAGGAGGGTCATCGGGTGGATACGTTTCGCTTCGCGCCCCAAACTAAATAAGCGAGAGGACGTCGCGCTCGCGACCGAAACGTCGTTGTGGAGCAGGGCCACAATTGCAACAACGAAACAAGATGACGACGACGACGACGACGACGACCAGCCATCTCCATCGGATCGATGAATATCGCAGCACAATCGAGGAAGGGATTACGTAGAGTGTACTAGAGTGTACGATCCGTTCCGATGTTTCTCCTGTGCATTTCGGGTATCGTCGAACGCCAGACGATGATCCTACCCTCCTTTGAAAGTGGATCGTCGCGCTCCCTCTCCCCCTCGCTCCCGCGGTGGGTCTGTGCGCAACAATGAAACGTCTGATCGGCTCGAATCCGTCGTCGTCGCCCTGGATTTACGTCTCACCCGAATCGTCCGTTCATCGCACGATTCGATCATCTGACCACGGCGACCGCAGTTTTTTTCTCTTTCGGCTCGACACAGCCGTCCAACATTCAGAAAAGGTATATATATATCCCCGGTCGAGAAGGACAAATCGATCGCCGTCGCCACACACCCGTCTTCGAGTTCTTCTCTTCGGAATATTCCTCTTGCCTATCTAGTAGCTAATCTAAAAGCAACTTGCATCAAAACCCTCGAACAACACCGACACAATGATCCCCCTGCCGTTAATCGCAGTCGCCTTCTCATATATTACTCCTTTCCTCTTCTTTTATTTCTCCCCGTTCGCTTCTATCACCTTTCACATACATGGATCGATCGGATATTCCTCGTCTCGTTACTCGCTCGCGTCCTTTCTTCCCCTCACCGACTCCCCGTACTCGTCTCGTTCCTCGTTCTCGTCATCAATTCGCCACGTACCCGCCTCAATTCTGGAAGAATTCGTCGATAGCATCGTCAAAGTAAGGAAGTCGTTGCGCTCTCGCCAGTCTCTCACCCGCTGCCAGCTGATCGTTGCCGAGATCCTAGTTGCCGAAGTACCCCCTTCTACCCCCCTCTCCCGTCAACTACGACCCAAAGCTGGACCTCTACATGCGAGGACAGTATCTGAAGGAGCTAGGTTACAATGGAGCTTCTTTGCACGATGCCTACGAGACCGTAAGTTCCATTCCGACCTCGACCTCGGACTCGCTCCATCCCGATCCCGAACTCGAACTCGAACTCGAACTCGACCTCTCGATCTCGACCCCGACCCCGACCCCGACCTGGCTCGATCCCGACCCCAGACCTCTACCTCGTTCCGCTATCCTCCTCCCGGCCTCGAGAATCTTGCTCGACGTTGTTTCGCTGACGCGGATCGTCTCGTTTCGTCTGCAGTGCCGACCGGATTGGCTCGACGACGTCCGAACCCCCCTCGCCTCGCCTCAAACCGTCTCGCCTCAACCCGCCTCGCCCCAACCCGCCTCGCCCCAACCCGCATCAATCGACGACAACTGGCCACCCGTCAGTCCTCTGTCCCGTCGTATGCGGAAGTTGGAATTCCGGCTGCATGATCTCTACTGGAACATCTACTGGGATTTTGAGGACTGGTTCTTCCAGGAGTCCGGACTATGGTCGTGCCTATCGAAAGTCCCGATAGACGCCGCCTGGCATTTGATGGAATTGGCTCGAGGTCTCGCCGGTTTCGCCCAGGGTCTCGCCAAGATCTTCGTCGGTTTCGCTCAGGGTTTTGCCAAGGTCTTTGTCGCATTATTCTTGGGTCTTTCTGCTCTCGAAGACTTGCTTGAGGCCATCTGGGTCTTCTTGGGCTTGGTCAGGCCTAATGAAGATCTGGTGTACTACCTTTGGCAGCGGGTACTCCTTTGGCAGTGGGAGTGGGAACTCGATATTGTCGACGAAGACCTTCCTACGGCGATGCCCGGCGCGTATCCCGGATTCGAGGTGGAACGACCGACTCCGAAGACCAAGATCGATGTCAATAAGGAGACCGAGATCGACAGGAAGACCGAGATCGACGCCGAGATCGACACGAACAAGGAGGCCGAACTGAGCCTCGTTTATCCTGACGGACAGACCCCTCCTGTGCCGACGCTTCGGCGAGGTCAAGAGGGTGGCAATGTTTGTCGCTTGCTGTGAGCTGAGCCTCGTTTGTCCTGACGGAAAGACCCCTCCTGTGCCGACGCTTCGGCGAGGTCAAGAGGGCGGCAATGTTCGTCGGTCGCTGTGATCCCCGCTCGTTCGTCGTCTTTCAGTCTGCCCTGCCATCGTCTCCGGCGTATTCCTCTCGTGTCCTTACACCTCCGTGCCATCGCCATCGTCCTCGCCTTCGACATCTCGTGTCCGTCTTGGTATCCGGCCTTCATAACCGTCTTCGCATTTGTCCTCGGTCTTCGTCATCCTCGCGTTCGTCCCAGTCTTCGCCAACTTTATTCGATTTCGTCTTCGATCGTCATCACCGCGACCCTCTGACCATGCCATCGCCTTCGTTATCCTCGCCCTCGCCTCTCCGTGGCCATACCCGTCGTCGCGTTCGCCAGTCGACATCCGTCGACATCCATCCATATCGTCCTGCAAGTCTTGACCCGGTTGTCAACACGCGGGAGTTCGGAACCCATACCAAAGCGCTGCGCTCGATCGATTCAAGATTGTACTGCAGCCAGCCATTCGATCGACTCCAGTATGCGAGGGCAGCCGCACATAGCTGGGTCTCCCTTCGGACGGAGCTCGGAGGGATCTCGCAAGTCGTTTTCGTGGGCAGACGAGCTGGTCTCGTTCTTTTTCTTTTTATCCGAGCATCTTTTAGTCTAATTCTGGCATCGTTTCGTGTGATCGGCTCTGTTGTACTGTATTATCAGTATCTGCTGTGGTTTCTTGCTTGTTGACGTGGTGTGTCATGTATATCTATCCCGAAGTTGGTGGATCAAGTCGGCAAAGCGCGGACATGATCGTGTTTTCTTCCCCTTCTGCCAGCGAAATGTCCGCCCCTTGCCGGCCGGGATTGAGCGACCTTCCACCGAGTTCGCTTTCGAATCGGTCATGAATATCTGGATATCAATCAGTCAGGTCTTCTGCTATCAACTCCAACTTCGTGACAGCCCGACATTCAGATAGATAGTAGATCCTTTTGTACGATGAGCGTAGCAAACGCGGACGAAGCTAGAAAAGCGCTCAAACTAGCCCAGGACTACCGTGAAAAGGGTTCCTACTCGGTCGCTCTCAAATGGGCTCGCAAATCGTCCAGCTTGTCACCATCATCAGAAGCAACAAGCTTGACAGCATCTCTGGAGAAAGAGATCGCTTCTGGTGCCACATCGACATCGATACCGTCGAAAGATGCCACGTCGTCAGCTACCAAAGCTACAGGCGCCGAGACGCACCCGAGTGCGAGCGGGACGCATCAACGGCCGGGACATGGATCCTCCAGCGCTGGTGAGACTTCCGGATCTTCGACGAAGGATGGTGGAGATGCCAAAAGCAGATCGTTCACTCCGGAGCAGACGAAAGTGGTGAAACGGGTCATCGCTTGTAAAGCACACGAGTATTACTCGATATTGGCAGGTGAGCTCGATATCTCCAGTCTGCCAGTACGGACCTTTTCGAACACCCCTTTGATCCGACTTACTCTTGAACTTTGTAGTGGAAAGGAGCTGTTCCGAGGGGGAAGTGCGGAAAGCATATCGAAAGGTCAGTCAGACTGGTCCATGACGAGGCTCGAGGCTTACTAATCACCCGTCTTCTTGTCTTATTCAGCTCGCTCTTGCGTTACACCCGGACAAGAAGTAAGCTCAACAACCGGGAATACATCTGGCAGAGGTTCTCACCCAAACCTTGTTCTCGTTCTGCCGTTTACAGCGGTGCACCGAGAGCCGACGAGGCTTTTAAAAGTCGGTCGCATCGCTCTCGCTTCTGAGCTGAAGAAAGCAATACTGACACCCTCTACCCACCTCTGCCATCACATAGTGGTCTCGAAAGCGTTCCAAGTCCTGTCCGACAACAACCTGCGAGCGGCTTACGATTCAAATCCTCATCAAGACCCTTCCAGTCGAGGTGGCGGTGGTGGAGGTGGTGGACCGAGCATGGCAACGAGAGGGTTCGGCGGCGGTCATCCTGGGTTCCATCAGTCCGAGGTCTCGCCGGAAGACTTGTTCCGTGCGTTCTTTGGCGGTGGAGGGTTCGATCAGTTTGGAGGTGGCGGTGGTGGCTTTGGGGGTGGACCAGGTGAGTAGCGAGGTGCAACATGACTCGACGAGGCGGGATGCACATTGACGTTTACTGACGGTTCCGTCCGTCTAGTGTTCACGTTCGGCGGCCCCAATGGGTTCAGACAATTTGGCGGCAACCAGGGCATGCATGCTCGAGCTCGAGATAACCGACGAGAATCACCTCCTCCCAATTGGGTGCAGATGCTGCCTCTCCTCTTCCTCGTATTCATCGGTCTCCTCTCCTGGCTCCCTGGCATGTTCTCGACCCCAGACCCGGGGTATCAATGGAAGTCCATCTCGCCTTGGACTCTGCACAAGCAGACGAGCAGCATAAACGTCGATTATTGGGTCAACCCGCGGGAATGGCAGCGACACCCCATCTTTGAGAGTATACCCGAAGGGAAGAGGGGGATGGAACAGGCTGGAACGTATAGCAACAAGTTGAAGCGGTTCGAATCTGGGATCGAACAGCATTACGTGTCCACTCTGCGTCAACAGGTAAGCAAGACTCGAGGCAGGTTTGTGTCGGGGCGATTACGACGTGGGAGCTGATTTGACAACGGCTCTGCGTGATGTGACTAGTGCGGCAACGAGCGAGAGGATAGGCGCGATCGTATAGACCGGAATCGTGGACTGTTTGGGCTCGGCGCCGATTGGGAGAAGATCGCCCAGATCCAGAACGAAAAGCTACCGAGTTGCGAGAAATTGAGAACGCTCGAGAGCAAGTACTCTGGGAGCCGGAACTTGTATCGGTAATAGATAGAGAGAGCATTGTACATGTGGTCGTATGGCACATGGCATCGTCCAGCTGTCATGGCGGCGAATCGTGTTTACGCGAAGACACGCATGTTGACTTGGAAGGAAGCGCGGGCTGGCAAAGAACATGGGGACGCTTTCACCTCACCTTGACCGGCATCACTACAAGCTACAGGTCGCATCCACACAACTTCACCGTCGATCGGTTTCGTACTCTGGACTTTGCCTTTACCCAATGGCTCTCGGCTTACTCGCCCGTCGTTGTCTTTCCCCGGTCCATCCCCGATGGGGAATGGCGGTAAAACGCTTCGTCCGGTTTGAACGCTTTTCATATTTGAAAAGAGGATGTCACACTCTCTTCGGGTCAACATCACAGCGATCACTCGGGAACCCGGGGCACCGCCATCCAGCGACCCCCACCACCTTGGCATGAATTCCCCCCCGCGGGGTATGGTCTGATCGAAACGGGGGAAATGGTCGATTGTTGACGGTTTCGACCTTGACCTTCCCCCCCCCCCTGGTTGTCCCGTCAAACAAACAAACTTCGGCGGCATTCCATTCTGCAGTCCCGGCTCAACATTCTCAGTGGAAACAGGTATAAATCCAAGGGTTGAACACAAGCAGCAAGCAGGAATGGTCCAGATGCTCTCGACGCAAAACGCACCAGTCAAGTCCTGCCGACGACATCTGGGCCGCCCTTGTCAGAGCGCCCTTCTCCGAGCCAATTCAGGATGCTTCACAACGTCGCCATCAACGGACTTCTCGCCTTTATATTGACAAGCGGAGCTATCAATGCTGCAGTCATCCCCCGCCAAGCTTCAGTCCCTCCCTCGGTGTGCCAACCTCTCGACGGCACCAACGGAACGGGTCCTTACCAAATCGACACAACCTGTGTAGATCCGTTGTATGGCAACCCGGTCGTCCTCAACGAGACCGACCAGACCTTTCCTGTCCCTCACCGGCTGGTCGCGGGTATCTTTGACAATACCACGGTCACGTTCAACATCTACCTCCCTCAACTAGGGTCCGGGTTCGAGAACCGGTTCTTCCAGTACATTTATCCTCTCGCCAACGGATCGGCCACCGATGCCGAGATCCAGTTCGCTGCCGACCAGAAGGGGTACCAACTCGCCGTCAAGGGAGCCTTGGGGTACAGGCAGGACGCCGCGGCTGCCAAGTTTGCTCGTACCGTCGCTGCCAAATACTACGGGTTGACCGACCCCTGGAAGATCAACGGATACGCTTATGGGGGTAGCGGAGGGTCCTTGCAGATCGTTGGGGCCGTGGAGAACGTCCAGGGGGTCTGGCAGGGGATCGTACCTTATATTCAGGCCATCCCGACCTCGATTCCCAACACGGTCGCCTCGCTCGCTCACTGCGCTCTCGTCCTGGGCGACAAGGGCTCCGCCATTGCCGATTCCGTCTTGCCCGGTGGCGATGGCAACCCGGAGCGAACTCTGAACGACTTGGAACGGGCTACTTATCGTGAATGTACCAAGCTAGGTCTGCCCCCTCGACAGTGGGAGGTCATCAAGTGGGGTTATGACGGCGGATTGTTGCTCAACTTCTACCCCAATATCTATAATATCGACGCCAACTACGCTAACGACTTCTGGAGTAAGACGGGGTACGTCGGAATGGAGGACTCGGACCTTGGACGGTTCTACCGGTCTCGCAGACGCAGCGGCAATTCGACCTTTTCCAACGTCAGATACGACCCTGCCGGGACGCCGCTCTCGCTCAGCATTGACAACCTACCGGATGGCTTCTCTCTTTTCGGGGCCGATTTCACGATTGTCAACCCCAACGGCACGGTCATCACCCGGTTGAACACGCTCGGTATCAACGAAGCCACAAGAGAATTCAACTTGAGCATCACGCCTTCGATCAACTCGTCCCTCTTCACCGCACCTGGGTCCCTCTTCAGCTGGGACAACAGCAAGTATCTGGCTGCACACCTGTACCACCGATACCAACTCCCCGTCCGAGAAGGCTTTACGATTTACGACCAGTACCGACAAGGCGGTGTCTCGTCAGGTGCACCTCTCTACCCTCAACGTTCCCCGCTCATCGCACCCATCTTCGTTGCCGGGTCCAGCGGTGGCGGGACTCACACCGGCGCCATCAGGTCCAAGATGATCGTCGTTCAGAACCTTCTCGACATCAATTCGCCCCCCTGGAACGCCTACTGGTACAAGGGACAGGTCAAACGGGCCTTGGGAGAGACCAAGGCTCGAAGCATGTATCGGTTATGGTACACCGATAATGCCGACCACCCGGAAGGTCCAGTCAAGCAGAGCTCGCAGAACCGATTGATCCAGTACGACGGAATCATTTACCATGCCTTGTACCACATCTCGAGATGGCACGAGCAAGGGATCGAGCCTCCCGAGACCACTTTCACCCAGAACGACGGGCAGATCACCGTCCCCCCGACCGCGGACGAGCGTGGTGGGGTCCAGCCTGTCGTCGTTCTCACCGTCGGCAAGGGTAACAGTAACGACAAGGTCGTCAACGTCAGATGCGGAGAAAACGTCGACCTGGCCGGAAAGGTTCAGGTACCAAGGGGGTTGGGTGGAATCATCAAGGCCGAATGGGATTACGAGGGTACCGGTACTTTCGAGCCCGTCAAGATCGACAAGGCCAAGAAGACGCTCAACGTCAAGTCCCAACACTCGTACGGCAAGGCGGGTACCTACTACGCTACTCTCAGGGCGTCGAGCGTTTACGACGGCAATATCAACAACAACTTTTCCAATGCTTACAACCTCGACCGAGCGAGGATCGTTGTTAGCTGTTGAAATCGACCGGGGTTCGGCCCATTAGCGGGATTGCCTGGATCTCAACGAAGAGATTCTCGAGACCGAAGCGTCGGAATGATTGTTCAGACGTCGATATGCGGTTTCTACAGCCAGTGAGGCTTGTAGTGGTCTGCGCAACGAAGGTGTACTGAAGGGAAATATCATTCAATTTGCTGCCTTTGCGTACGACCTCTTCGTCATTTGATTTTCAACGACTAATCGGCTTTCAAGTATCGCTCTCATCAGCTTGATAGCGAGTCGATGGAATTATCGTGCAAACCCTGCCGGACTGTTCAGATCAGGTCAGTGTTCGCTGTTGGATATCGAGTTGATCACCGTTGTATAGTTTGCATGAGGATAAAATATACAAGAGGGGATCATGAAATCAGACCAGAATGGTCTGCTATATATATTATTCTGGTAGGTGGCAAGGTGCTGCGGTTTGCGGTTTGCGGTCTGCGGTTTGCGGTCGCAAGTTGCGGTTTGCGGTCGCAACTTGCGGTTGTGGTCGCAACTTGCGACAGTGGTCGCAGATTGCTAAGCGAGTCGCAGATTGCTAAGCGAGAACAAAAGGAAAGGTGCGAAGAGTGGATGTGCTTTATTGTTCCATGCGGTCTATTGTTCTGGGAGAACAATAGACGTGCGGGAGAACAATAGGATTCGACACTCCCCCTCACTCAAGCGTCCTTTGCGAAAGAGGTTGGTTTTCCCCTGAGACCCATCCCGGTGACAAGGTGATGGAATTGGTGATGGGCGAGACCTTTGGTGAGAGCATCGGCAAGGTTGTCCTGAGTTGGAACATGGGAGAGTTCAACGGTGTTGTCAAGTACCTTCTCTCTAAGATAGTGGTGTCTCATGTCGATGTGTTTGGTGCGATCATGAGCAACAGGATTCTTGGATAGTTGAATGGCAGCATTGTTGTCGTTGAGAATGGCGAGGGGACCAGAGACCGGGTGACCGAGAGATTCGAGAAGAGTGCGGAGCCATACTGCCTGTCGGGTAGCATCAGCAGAAGCCATGTATTCAGCTTCAGCGGTTGAGAGAGCTGTAGTTGGTTGTCGTCGGGATTTCCAGGCTACCGGTCCTCCAAAAGCACGGAAGAGGTATCCGGTAGTAGATCGGCGAGTGTCCAAGCATCCACCCCAGTCAGCATCGGCGTAGCCCAGGACGATCCTTTGGCCAGAGGTGGTGTCGTAGGTAAGGCAGAGCTCGATGGTGCCTTGGAGGTATCGGAGCAGGTGTCGAGCTGCATGGACATGTTGTTTGTTCCACTTGCTGACAGTCCGAGCTAAGACTCCAGCGGCATGAGCAATGTCCGGTCTGGTGATGGTGGCCGCATACATGATCGATCCGACCATTGCGGGATATTCTTCATGAGCGGCTTCCTGATGTTCAGCATCGGTAGCGGGAAGAGATCGGAAGCCGGAAGGAAGGGGAGTCTTTGCTGGTTTGGAGTCGAGCATGCCGAACCTTTCCAAGACCGCCTGTACGTAGTTGTCGTGAACCCAAGAGTTTCCTCTATCTGTTACGTACGACCTTTTGCTTCTAAGACAGTCCGACGCAATATTTTATCTTACCGTTATCACCAGTTCTCTTGAGGTAGAATCAGACGAGGGTAGCTAGTCCTAGTCGAAAGGTATTGAGAGTTTATTCGAGGTTGTAGAGGGTGAGAGGAATTCAGAGATGTTCTGTCTTCCCTTCAACATTCTCTTTTGGCCTCATATATATATGTTCATGAGATACTACAATATCCAAGTCTGACACTACGAGTGCCGATGTACGAGTTCCGTCTTCCGATCTCCGGTCTCCGATGTATGATGTACAAGTTCCGGTCTCCGATGTACGATGTACGAGTTCCGGTCTCCGATGTACGATGTACGAGTTCCGGTCTCCGATGTACGATGTACAAGTTCCGACAGAGTCCTTTGGCAAGTTCCCACAATGTCCTAGCATCCCTCTGTGGAAGGCGTTTCAGGTGATGGTCCAGCGGCTTGCTGATCTTGTGTACTGAAACACCGGTCCAGTAGGCAAGCATGATTGGAGTGGCGACTTGCCGTCTATGTCCTAATGTTGTATAACACTTGTAGATAGTTCTAAACATGTCCTGAGTTGATTCATTACAGAACCCCCGTCGCTAAAGAAGCTTTGACCTCAAAGCACTGTTTCGCGCCTGAACAGCTATTTTTCCGTTTTTTGTGTCGCGTATATCCGTGTGTGTACACCTCAGGGGGATAGATAGCTCCGAGCCAATCGGCAGGATGCTGGCTACGCGTCTGGAGGCCAGTTCTGCCGAAGCACAACGTCTCTCTGTCTCTTTCCATGGCTCCACAGTGTACCCAATCCTTAGACTTCTCCAGTACCAGTGTTTGCTTCCTCAGCAGTAGTAGGCCTGTAGAGCTAGCCAGGCTGCTCGTCTCGCGCAGGGACGTCGTACACATCACTATGGACATCTCGACTAGCCTCCTGCAACGTTACAGCACGATCCCACCTTTCTGAACCTGCCAATTCCATAGCTGAGTTCTCTGACTTCGATTTTGGGCCTTTACTGACTCTGGACACTATGTGCCTTCCCTACAGCTTCAAACCAATCCCCAGGCCGCTTCCTTCGACAGATCTCGCGTATGGATACCAGGGAAGGGTGCTGCATAGTTTGGGGGCGATGCGAACGATCTGTGGCTCTACAGGGGGGAGACTATGCCGAATTTTTTTCTGAGGGGGGCTGCTTAAGGTTGACAGGGGAATGGGTGTAGCTCCTGAACCGTCAGAGCTATCGCGTAGGGACGCTGCAGGCAACTCGTGGTGAGTACCGGCTACCATGCTACACGATTCGGCGACCCTGACATCGATCTATGTTGCTCCAGTACCCTATCTCTGTCTCATAGCTTCCAGTACATCGATTTTTCCTCCTATTCATCCGTCCTATCCTATGTCCATCCTCCTGTACTCCATCTACCACCTGATACCATCGATCTCATCGTCCTCAAAGACACTCATGACTCCAGTGTTCGCTCCAAGGCCCTGCTTCTTCAAGTACTTCAAGAGGTTGCTCTTGTTGATGCTACCTTTCGCCCACTTCCTCTGCATGTGCGCCATTGCGTCCTCCTCTCCAAATATCTCTTCCAACTCCTGCTGTGTCCCATACGAGATGTTACGATGCCCATCGACCATGTAGACATAGTCTAGCTTCCACAGGTTCTTCCTGCCACGGTACAGGTTGTGTGCGATGATGGACCATCCGTTGAAGGACCTCTGTACGTGTCTCTTAACCTTCTCGGGTGTTGCTCTGTTGCCAGATCTGGCCAGCTCTCTGTAGCGAGCTCGAACGAGGTCAGAGAGGCCCTTAGTAGGAGGGTTCGCTTCCTGCACCTGAGTGGTGACAGTGTTGGCGATAGGGATAGTATTATAGGCGTCACGTGACGCGCGACCTACGGTGCGCGTCGCCTCGGGGTCTCGTTCGGAGACCCTCTCGGGGACTCTCTCGGAGACCTTTTAGGAGATGTTCTCGTAGACGTCTAACTAGTACCTTGTAGTAGTTAGACATCCGTTATTACATTACTATGCCTACCGTTACCTTTCCCCAGTCCCGCGACCTTATTACCTCAAGACCCGGCAGGTCGGCTGCCAGGCCTTATAGAATAACGGATCACCAAAGGACCCCGGCTGGGAACGCGAAAAGGGGTAGTGATGGGATCCCGCTGCACATTGGTGCTAGCGGTAACCCTAGTGGTCCGGAGAGCCACCTCACTCTGGTAGGAGTGTTCTACCCGCAGGGGATTCCTGTGCAGGCAGTGATGATGGTAGATTCGGGGGCCACGGGTATGTTCATGGATCGGACGTTCGCGAGGATCCATAACTTTGATGTGATAGACCTAGAGAACCCTAGGACCGTCACGGTCATCGACGGAAGAGAGATAGTGGGTGGTCAGATCACCCAGAAGGCACATGCTATTGTGCGGACAGGATTGCACCAAGAGAAGGCGGAGTTCTTCTTGACGGATTTGTGTGGGTACGCGGCGGTCCTCGGGATTACATGGTTACGACACCATAGCCCACACATCCAGTGGGATACGAATACGGTCACCTTCGCGGACGACTGTTTGAAGAAGGGATGCGTCAAGAAGGTAGAGGTAGTATGCTCCCCCGACGAGGTGGAGATAGAAACGCGGAATATCGATCCGCTGTCGAGAATGAAGGAGCCGATCACGGAGAATCTCGTGGTGGCTCAAATGCAGATGACGAGGGAGGATGAGGAGCGGGCCCGCAGGCCGGACCTGTGGGACTGGGACGTCAAGCCCACCGACTCGATTCAAAACGAACTCGATCCTCCCGAGTACATGGAGAAGTTGCGAGACGTTGTGCCGAAGAAGTACCATGAGTACCTCGGAGCGTTCTCCAAGACGAAGGCAGACTCGCTGCCTCCTAAGCGCTCGATCGATCATGCGATCGAGCTGAAGCCTGGCACAACTCCCACGTATGGGAAGTTGTACAACCACTCGCAGAAGGAGACGGACGCTCTCAAGGCGTGGTTGGCGGAGAACCAGGCGAAAGGGTTTATTCGACCCTCGAAATCCTCGTGTTCGAGTCCGGTACTGTTCGTACCGAAGAAAGGGGGTGAATTGAGGCTGTGTATTGATTACCGCCGCCTCAACGAAATTACCGAGAAGGACAGGACCCCCCTGCCGCTTATCTCGGAGACCTTAGATCGCCTACGGGGATCGAAGGTATATACGAAGATGGACCTGAGGGGAGCGTACAACCTCCTGAGGGTCAAAGAGGAGGATGTTTGGAAGACCGCGTTCACGACACGCTATGGTCTGTTCGAATGTCTCGTCATGCCATTCGGTTTGACAAATGCGCCGGCGACGTTCCAGCGCTGGATGAATCAGGTCTTCCAGGACATGTTAGACGTGTGTGTGGTCGTCTATTTAGACGACATATTGATTTACTCCGCCGATCAGGAGACACACGACGAGCACGTACGGGAAGTGCTGAGGAGGCTACAGGCGAATGGCCTGTACGCAAAGGCGGAGAAGTGTGAGTTTGACACGACGGCGACGGAGTTCTTGGGGTATGATATTGCCCCTACGGGGGTCAGCATGAATCCGTCGAAGGTGAAGTCGGTGTTGGAGTG